CATATTTATAGGTCTACTGGTAAATCAATATGAAACTTCCAGGAGAAAGTATGTCTTCCCATAGATATCAACAAGTTCATCACAATTTACTAAAATATAGAATATAGTAGTTTGATGAATTTACTGCAGACTGCTGCATCGGTATTATATTGCGAAGTAAAGGAATGAAAGGAATCTGTAATTGTTAAAATATTATTTAATCTAATATCGTTTAATAAAGGAAATTAAGGCTATAGTAATGATTGTATACCTGACGACAAAGATCTATTTGTAAAAGAAAATTCTCATCGCATATTTGTTCATTTCAACCAAATAATAACAAAAGTATGATAAATCTATCTCTGATATTATGCAATCAACTAAAGATTGGATTTGTGGACATATTACCGATATATTTCAGATCCCTGTAAGCAATTAATTATTTTTGACATGCATACTGTAGTGTTTACTTTTAAATACGGTATAGTCTATTTTTAGCAAAAGTATTGGTTTTCGCTAGACTGTAGCATAACTCTAATTATCTACAGTATGATCTATAATTTACAATTTACTCTGTAGAAATGTCTTGTAGTCTAGCTAATATATACCGTTGTACTAGCTTAACATAGAAGTAATTTATTTTTATGAATCTGTCGCGCCTATAAATAATTTCCTCCTGCTGTGCTCCTAACATTATAGAAGCTATCTTCTTTCACCTATCTCGTTAGTTAGTTCTGGTAGTTAGACGGTAAGCTTGCACGCTTTACCCATTCTACGCTACTATAGTTATGCGACTAGACATGTCGTTACTCGCACGATAATTTTTGCACGATTATTCTCTTACAATAACTCAATAAAGGTTGCTCTTCTGTTAACTATTTTATTGTACTTTATTGCGACTAATGCCGAACTCTAAACCTTCCGAAACATCATACATGCAGGCCCTAATAATTAATTTTTGCAATATTTAGTGATCCATCATTACCAATGAGTTCTAAGATTGAGATTTTAGTAGTGATGCATCCGATCATACTAGGCTTCGACGTATTCCAACGATTTTTGAATATACTATCGTAAAATTAGCTTTGCATAGGATTCCAATAGCTGATGCATTGTATATTGATCAACGATGATCGATAGGTTCTAAAATAAAGAGTTTAATAGGAATGTATTTAAATGCAAAGGGCTAATAGAGACCCCAGTTCTTCAAATATATTACCGTGTAAATGTTATTGATGTATTGTTCTCATAAGCAACTCATGGACTAGCGATCCACCATTACCAGTAAGTTCTTGAATTGAGATTTGAAAAGCAGTTTCTTCCAATCCGTATCATTTCAACCGAATTGACTAAGCTAATAATAGTTATGTCTATATTATCCTGTCGGCGTTCAGTATCACATAGAAAGCTTCAATAATCATTTAGAGTCATGTAATTCAAATAAATTGAAACAACATCATTTTCTCAATTTATACATAACAGCACAAATTGAAGAAAAATGACATGTAAACCCAATTCTCTGAGAATGCTAACTAAAACTATTGTCCTAGCCCTGTGTATCTATTACTAGGTTGATAAAAGATGACTGTAATAGAATAAAAGAATAAGTACGGGGTTGGATTAACGGGAAAATATATTATGAATGCAATTTGGGTGATTGGATTAACTTTCTCTAAATTTCTCCCTTTTAAACAGCAAAGAATTGGTTATTTTATGACGAAGTCGATCGAAAACGGAGAAGTGAGAAGCAATGTTATTCATTTTTGATGATCATTAAGAGCTTCAAGCAAGTTAGTTACTTTAAATTATAAAGTAAAGATGAGTAATTGGTGAGCAAATTATATACTATTCATAACCACTTGAAAGAGCTTAATTTCAGAAAATAGCAAATATTTTAATGATACCTGTAATTTAATTTCCAAGCAACAATTACAGCAATATCTTTAAATTAAGTAATTACACATGTATCAATTTTAGGGTGATGTATTGGCTTGTAGTAATATCAAGACTCTGCTTTAGCTATTAAATGTAGTTACTGCAGATCAATAGTGAGGATATTGATCTCTTTTAAGATTCTATCAACTTTCTTGTATTGCTTTGTAGACTTCATTTGAACCGTTAAACTGCTCTGTAATTAGTCGATGGTGGTAGACGTATATAAAGTAAGTATCTTGAGAAAATAGTCAGATATAATGGTTGATTAATGGGATTACTTAATGATCTATCTTAGAAATAACTATACGACTATTGCAGAGCTGAGATTCCTTCCATTTATAATTTAGCAATGAAAGTAATTTTTTCTTTTAAAATTATGCTAATTCCCTTGCTTTATATTGTAGACTTCTTTTAAACCTTAAAAATTGCTCATTAATTAGTTAAAGTAGTGCACATACATAAAGAAAGTATCTTGAGAAAATAATAAGCTATAAATTGTCAATTAAGTGGACTAGTCAGCGATCTATCTTAGAAATAGCTCCAATAACTAGAAGGAGTCAATTTATGAGTACCAGCTTAAGGTAGTAAGTGAATGTAATCAGCCTTTAAACGAAGCAATGACTTTATCAACTTTCTCTATACTGGGTTGTTTACTAGATTTATACAACCTATTATCCTCGACAACGTTACAAATTTTAGAAGTTTTCAAGTTTTAAACTTGACTGGTAGAGACTACTAAAATAGCATCATATACTTCCCTCGGTATCCTATCATTTTCTATATGATGTTGAATCTTGAGATATATTTAATTGATAAGGGCTGTAGTAGTATTCAAACTAGTTAACATATGGTTACTAATGAGTATTACTGTCGAAAACTTTCAATAACATAACACAAATTTTGAGTAGCAATAATCTTTTAGTAGCATCTTGATTATTAAGGTTTAAAATAGCAATATGTTTTACGCCTTCAGCTTTACCTCACTATATTGTGGAAGATAGATTTAGTCCCACATATAAAGCAACTAACTGGCACGGATCGGTTATAATTTTATTACTTGAATAATTTTATATCTTGCTTCATTTTTAGTTTACGTTCTGGTACGAAATAGCATCAATAATTAGTGTATCATAAACGCTAAGCTAATATCAATTCCATTATATCATGTCACAGCTCTCTCTCTTCAATTTGCACTTTTCCATCTAATCCATTGCAAAAAATTCGAAACAATCAAAAAATTGACTTTGTCTTAAAAAGAAAAATAGCTCCAGAAATTAAAAGTTACCCACAAATAATATATCAGCAAACAAACCAGAATGATGTTTAAACTAAATAAAGGCAAGAGATTGAAATCGAATCAATTTGGTGGTATTGAGAACGGTAATGGGAATACTAACAGGTCTAAAGTAAATGTTAGTTATTCCTGTCCTGAAAAACTCCATCAATTAACTACGGAATGCGAAGAAACCGAGAAAATACTTAGAAATTCTACGGAAATGCTTTTAGAAAACCATGAAAACATGGATATTTTATTAACGAGAGCAAGAACGCTATCCAATGATGCTGAGAAGATGAAGAAAATAGCTCAAAAGGTAAAGAAACATAAAATGGAAATAAATCGTATAGCTTGTTGCTGCGATTGTTGTAAAAGCCGTAAGACATTGATTATTATTATCGTCTTTACGATCATTATTATATCGTTGATTGTCTTGCTATTACTTATTCGTTAAATAAGATAATGGTTCTATTTGTCTCAGCTGGTTTACCTCCCTATTTACTATAAAATAATACTATTGTAGTTTGCAGTCATATATCATGGATATTCCAGATTCAAAGCTTATTACAAAGTTTATTGTATACTTCCACTGTCTCCCCCACCTCATCAAAGCTGACTTATACATGAAATTGATACATCAGACCGTAATATTAAACTATAATACATTACCTAGATCATCTAAACACTATTTACTTATGATATTTATGAAAAAATTTGTAATCATAATCATCTGATTCAAACACTTATTTACTAGATCTGTAGTATATAAAGCATTATGATTATGTCCCGTTTTAATGACTAATTCAATTTATGAATTCATTGCAACTATATTTGATGGTATGATACTGCATAAATTGGTATTTGTTGGTATATGTTAAAGAGTAATCTAGTTAAGACTACAATAATGAGATACAATTTACTTGTAATTGGTAACCGTCACAGCGAATATGTTTACCTGATAATATTTCGTATACGCGAATTTTATGTTCTAAATGACGGCTATATTTTATTTGTAGGCTATCTTTGTAATTTCATTTGTTTAAGCCTTTCATTTCTGCCAATTTATAAGTGACTAAAATTGCAAGAATTTTGTAGAAATTGATCTTGTGGATCTTGTATTATTGAACTCTGTAATAAATAACTTAGTATCGTTAAATTTTGTGTGGTTTTTGGGTATATTATTACAGGTATGGTTATAAAGTACGACTAGCAATCATACTTAAGCAATTTATGCCTGTCCGTCTTTCTAGAATAATTTATTAATTTGCATAAGTACAGAAATCATAGCAATCTGTTTCCCTTAATTTCTCCTTCGTAATCGATTCTATTAACAGCTGAGAAAGGATATCAATTATGGACTAGGTTAACTCAAATTATTACAAATGGGCAGTGGTAGTAAGATAGATCGAGATATGTCAACTATACTGGTATACAAGATAAGATATTAATGGCTAATAAGTTAAAGCAACTATTATACGATATATTATACCCGTATCTCTTACTGAAATCATCCATAACCAATCTTGTCTATTACTAATACTGCTATAGTATGCAGCAGAATATTTGTAGCTATCAGTAAACTTTAATCATGAAACGTTAGTTAATTTCAATCTACCAGAAATTTAACGATAAGAAGATTAGCATTAGCAGCACGAGAATTTGCCTTAATTTACTCGTATCTCTCCCTTAATTGAGCAAAAATAATATTCAGGTTTGAAATGGTTTGATATAAAATTTAACAAATAAAATTGCAATGGCTCATGATTACTAGAACTTTACCATGTTAGTCACCGTAAGTTACGGTATATTTCTGAGTAAAATCTGACCAAGTAAGACGATTTTTAAATTTAACAAGGTGAGCATCCTGATCTATTCATGTTTATAACCGCTTAACTGAATTAAGTTTCTAATACTATTTCATTATAAATTGTTTCTCAGATTTTGTTTTGATTATTTATCGCATTATTAGTAAAATTGTATCTATTATTTATTCTACTCATTAAACTTCATATTCTGTTCTATTTAACCCTTGTATATCCAAGTTCTATGTAACAATCCGCTACAAGCTGGGTCCATAGGCGCCGATGAAAAGGCGATTTTAATTAGTTCTACGAGATTGCTGCAGTAGAAACAAACATTCACTCCTGTCGCTATAACAAGTAGAGTCAAGTAATTATTATTTTCCATTTCCTGCTATATCTCTATTAATAAAGTAGAAAATTTAGATAATTACGAGCATCTTTATACTTTCGAAAGTTAAAATTACTTTATCAAAGGAATTATCTTATGAAAGTAGTGTCTTATTTACCTATCAGAAAAAGATAGATTCAAGAAGAAATAACAATTGCAATTATCGCCGATATTTTCAAGCTCATCGAGAACTAATATTAAAGATATTAATGCAGAAACATTGTCATATTTACATGTTGGAAAGTAAAAGATTGAATGATGATAGTACTGAAGTTAGCAAGATCGACAAGTTAGCTTTAAATGATGTGAAAATTCCACAAGATCATTATTTGTTAACTTAAGTAAACGTTCTCAGCACATTCTCAAGTCAAGCTTGGTACTAGATCTCGAAATCGTTAACTTCGTCTAAGATTTAAATATCATCATTACAATTGTTATCTGTTGTGATTAAAATCCTTCAGGAAAGATTTTCTAAGCAGATTTATAAAGCAAAAAACATTACTATAGAAGAAGCAACTTTATTACTGCTCTATTCTATTCCTGGCTAACAAGCAAACTGGAAAATTGAATCAAACCTTTTAGCTTAAGGTACAGTCACAAATGAAATAATCTTATGACATAAGTATATATCATACATCGTACTTTTTATTTATAAATTTTATGCATTATTCCATCATAACGAAGAATTCGAAGAATGGTTAAAAATCATATTGCAAAGCTAATACATGCCATAACCAAGCGTAGGGAATCATCATCTGAAATTAGAAATGTACCAGTTGACGATGCCCGAGAAGATGAACCAAACCCCAATCAACCAAGTATACAGGATCTACGTAATAATATCGATGATACTAAAAAGCAATTAAATGAAAATATGGCAAAGATAACAGAAAGAAATGAAAGTCTTGATAACGTGAGAAAGAGATCCGACACAGTAGTATCTATTTCTAGTGAATTATTTGATACCATTGATAATGTTAAAAGAAATGAGGAGCGATCATCTAAGCGTTGGTCCTTGTGCAACTGGAATAGAAACCGTCTCTTTATCGCTATCGCTGTTTTAATAGCTGTTGGTGTTATTACATTTTTTACAATCGTATCCACTTAAAGCTATCTTTAAGTAGTACAGGCATGGCCTGCGTCAGTTTACATTTATATTGGTCAAGAATAAAAACAAACTCTGTAATTTTATGGTGAGCTTCTGTGTTTGCCATTAAATTCAGATTACAATGATTGTTTATGTATCAATTGGACCAATAGAAATAATACAGTACTTGATTTCATTTAGTGCAGGCAACTTAATCGACTAGTGAAAGTACTCCTATTTTTTTGCCACAGTTTTATGTTAGATAATCTGTTAGTAGAATGAGCTACTCGGAATTATTGAAATATTTTATTTTCTCAAAATATTGATAAAGAGCAAGGCATTGTGTTACAGTTATTTATTTGCTAGTCCATGACCGAAGAAATATTAGATAAAATACGCTTACATTTGCATTTTCTCGCCTGACATATTTATGCTCTATTTCATACTTCATTTTGCTATGGACGAACCATGTCCGAAATTAAAGCTTTACCCAATGCTTAGATAGATTTGCTAACCCTTAATGTACTCCAAGTCTTGATAGTATTTAATAATTTATAATTACACCTAAATGCAGATGTACCATCTTTGATACTGTATGATACTTCTAGCGTAAACTAGTAGTCAGAAATCAAATATAAGTGATTACAGGATACTGTAATGGAACACTTATATCGACTCCAATTTTTTTGTCAAAGAATGACTTTTAATGATCTAATAAAACGATTTTAAACTTAGTGAATAGTATATAAGTTACCGACAATTTGCGAAATCAAGCATTTTGTAAAATGCCTGAAATGCTATAAGATATACTTCCCCTATCCACTAACTTTGAGGCGTATCCCATTCAAGGTAACTTATTAGAGATATATAAGTAAGTAGATAGGATAGCAATAAAATAATTTATGAGACCTTTATGGTATTAGATCTTCGACTAAGGTGATGGTTCATTCTATTCAAATCTGATGCACGGTAAGTTAATGAAGGAATTACCATTATCTCCATCATTCGTACAAATCAAGAAAGCAATTCGCAATCAAGTATTTTTACTAAAATTTTAATATCAGAAGGTAGTTTATAATTTCGGTGCCATGTTAGCAACTTTATGTGCATTGTATAAATAGTAAACTTTTAAGACTGTTTAAGTACAAGAATTTAAGGTATACGCGTTGATATTAGAGTTCTTAAAACAAGTGTTCTTGGCCTCCAAACAGCAGTGTGAAATCCGTAGACAGAATCCTGATTATAACTTTTAATTTAGACAATACAGCGTACACAAGTTTGATTTCAAAAGTTATTTATTGTCCTCAGATATATATACAAAAATGTACATCACATTCCTTCTTAATACGATACTGCTACAACTGCATCAGTGCAAGAGGAAATAATCCAAGTCGAATGCAAGTAACCACAGATTATTACTTATAATTTGCGATAATACAGGTATAATCTTAAAGAAATAGAGATCTGACCAAAATCGTAATCACCTCATGCAAAAGTATTCTGTAGTAATCTGTCCAAATAAATTACAATCTAAGTTGGTGTAAGATATTATAGAAGAAATCATCTTGATCGAATATTACGCTGTCGATCTTGCCATCCTTTATATTTATTTATTGCGACGTTAATCATCTCCAGTAAATGATCGGCAAGCTAAGTAAGAAGTACAAAAGTTTAGGTTAATAAGATGACGAAGAAAAATAGCAAGAGTACGAATTTCCAATAAAAAATCTTAATAAAAAAAGGTGTTTCCGCTCTCACATGCGAGTGTTCTTCAGTTAAAGAGGCCTTAAGTCGCTGTAAATTACTAGACTTATACTTTGAGATTGCAGCGGCCATTCTCTCAACCTGGATCAAAGTGGAAAACATAATCAGTATCCAGCATTGCTACGGCAAGAAACCTATAAAAGTCTGAGTAATGTTAAAGATTGACAAATTTATAAACCTTTTCTTCTAAGCCTTTCGATTGTACGGGAAAGCAAGACCAAAAATGTCGGAGTAATTCTCCCAAGGCAAAGTAATGTTTTTTAAGGTCATCCTGCAGTGACTGGCTGACCGATTCTAATTTAGTAAAAAGAGAGCATTTAAGTAATGACGTTGGAAGGAAATAAAGCCATTAGCCAGAGAACTTACGAGTTAAGTTTACTTGTAACACAGACTTCATTAAAGCACCATTAGGACTTAAATCGTTTACAGCCTTACACGCTGCCTCACTGCTGATACACTGCAAATTGTAATTAATCACACCAATAAAAATTTTAGTTAATATTTCTATTAATACGTGAAGCGTAAAATGTACCTCAACAAGGTTAGCAGACCAATTCTTTAGTTTTGATTTAAGATTAGATGTAGCTACTTCAACATCGCTTTGTGATATTACTGTAACATCCTGTTAGGATAAAACGTGTTATTTTTAACCCTCATCACCTTAAGACATTTTCACAGTAATCTTCAGGTATTATTGTTTTACTAATGGTCATCCTAACAGACCTGAATTGGAACTGTTGGTCCTTGGGCATAAACCTGTGTGTTTTTCAATGCTAACTTCGGCCCAAGATCAGCATCTTTCCCGTGCAATTCATCATAACTTACGGCTTCACGTAATTTGATCTATGCAGAAACGAACGATATTTTACTTACAGGGGATGATGAAAGTATTAATTGAACGCATTACCTTCTTTCTATCTTTTTGTGTGTCTGAATCGTTTTGTTCCTTGTCACTATGCACGAGTACGTATATAACTCTAATCAATAGTGTATCTCTTATATCTTTGATGCTAGTTTACCAAAGCAATAAGGTTATTTTGCGTACCGTTTTTCGCCAGAATGAAGTATTACATAGCTCTGATGATTAAATTGCTGTAGTAATTGGGCATTACTGGTAGTGGCGGCTGATTGTCCATCTATATCATTAGTGCCAAATGCCTAAAACAGATTTAAGACGGTAAAGTTGATGTATTATATCACCACTCAAGCCTAAAGTGTCAGCTGGCATAATTACAAATTCATTTATCTACCTCATCTAAAAATGTATTCGATTTCGTTAAATCTAATAACGGATCACGCTCACTCCGGGCATTTTTTTGCAAGTAATCTATGTAAATTAACGTAGCAATCATTGTCACCAATTTATTAATAAGTAACATCTGATTTTTGATCCACTGCAAGAATGAAGTTTTATGTAGAGTTGTATAAGCTACCATTAAAGTCCTTGCTTGCACCACTTCCGAACAGTTCGTTGGCGGCATTATTCGATGTGCTTGCTCGGTTACGATGAAAATATTGCGATTGAAAAAATAATGTCCAAAATTCTCCTTCATTCATCTATGAAGTATTGTAATCAAGTACCAAATTATACTACATACAAGCTTAAATATATTGCACTGCCGTACACTGGCATTCATGTACTTTAATTAGGATACAACATAAAGAAATTAACAATCTATTTTAAGTTACCTTGTCAGGAACACATTCTATATGCTTTTTCTTAACTAAAAACATGAGCAAATAGTAACAAATTATTTTAAACTATATATCGTGCTACAGATTTAACATGAATGAAGCGATTGGCTTACTATCCATAATTAATGCATTAAAATCAGTTAGTCAAGGTATTGAAGTTATTACCTTTCGGATACGTCTTAAATATTGATTCTATCATATCGGCACTTAAATTATACTTTAATGTATTACATCCAGAAACATTAACATTGGCCCCAGTCTAAATGATGACAGCAAATTTAAGTACTTAAAGATGAGAGTTCCTACACGCGTATATATATTCATTATAGAAGCACGCTTGTATATGTTTTAATATATATGAATCGGTAACCATACCAAGAATTCTGGAGAAACTCCAATATTTTGGCCTGATGACGAAGTGAGCATACCCTAATATGTAAATATATTTATTAGTTAGAATTTACGACAATGGAAATGTGGCCATACGGCAAAGACCTCACAACCTAACAAAACTGTACAGAAAGAAGCTAGAGCAAATTTTAATAATAGCAAAACTTGTATCAGACATGAATTTAAATTATGAGACATAACTGACGCAGAAATAGTATTTTAGAAATGTAGGAAGGGTTCGATAAAGCTTTATTTTGTTTAAGTTAAAATAAAACAAGTAAAGACATAACAATTTTTTAACAACTGCCGCAATTTCAAGAACAGATCATGTTAACCTGAATATTAAATTATAGGATAATTATAATTAGCTAAAGCTATCCAATAGCAATCCATTCTCTACTTGGTAGTAAGGTCATATTATCCAGATAACTTTTAAGTACTAGTACTGGCCTAGCCTTAGAATAGTGGGAGACGGAAAATTTTAGACACAATGATTCTAACGCATTTTGAAGTCAATTATCGGATAGACGATTGCCATTAATATACTCTAGTTAATCATGCACAGAAGCAAAACACCTAAAATACGTTAAAAAGATCCAAAGCAGTTAAGCCATTTATGTTCTCCAGTCGATAATATAATCAAAAGTTGACTAATTTACTACGATCCATTAGACTACAGACTGTAAGCAGACTTCATATATACTGCAAATAAATAGAGCGGAATTATTTCAAGCGGCTACTACGCACTGTAGGTAGTTTTGATAGAAATGTCGTCAGACAGTCAGAGTTTGTTTGCATGTATGTCTAATATTCGAAAATAACTTACAGAACGATTAGACCAAAATTCCTCAGCACTTATAATATTTCCAACTACTAAATCTTTGTATAATTGGTACAATTCAGGATTTTCCTTTAATAGCCTAAAAGAAGATTGAGACGATAATAAGCGTTCTGTTAGAGTTGAGTTTGATCGAAATTTGCTATGAAATTCTAGCATGCATTCAATGCACCATCAGGGCGATCTATTTGCTCGATTCTATACGAATTATTATTAACGTTGTACCTGCTTTTTTCTTCTAATTCTTTGGAAGGTTTCTTTCGACTTTTAATTAACAGCTGTTGTACAAAATCTTTCGCTTGATCTCGTTCTGTTTTAGCACTATCGCTATTGGCAAAGTGGAAATTGAATGAATTCCCGTTGTGGAGCTGCAATTGCAATTGCACTTTGGAGCTGGTATCAGGGCTTATTTTTTGCACTATATTTGAAGCAAGGAACCATACCAACAAAGGTTATTTCAATTAGCGAACTCGTTCTGACTACCTACTACTTTCATTACTGAGGTAATAACAGTCCTATATAATCATAATTTAAGGCAAGATAATCTTGTCACTACGTTAAATAGTAATAAAATTGTAGAAAACAAGGCTATAACATATCGTCAGCATGCCATCACCATTCCATCATCAACTTGAGATTGTACAGCAAGAACTCACTTTTAATCTCCGGATAATAACTACATAACTGTAGCTCATCATTATCACTGGCTTTCCAAACAATTCGCTTTGTCGATAAAAAGAAGGTACCCATCATTTTGCGATGTTTAACATAGGTATTTTGATAAAGCAGCTCTTCATCCTTGGCCAACTCCATCTTGTTTTCACTCTGTCCCTCGATTCCTACTTTTGGCAGTATTGCCGTAAGTAGTACGGTACGGTACAGTACACTCTCCTTACAGTCAGAGTGGAGAGAGTAAAATACTGTAGCCAAATCTTCTACAGTACATGCGTCATAGTAGAATTAGATAAAAGCCTACGTCCCATACTGTACTGTATTGCTAGAGTGAAGGTTTACGACTGTACTCTGTCTATCCTAAGATGCCCCATACTATACTGCGCTCTACAACGCTCTGTATACGGCAGATGATGTCGATGTCAGAGCAACATCAACATTTTAGATTTCCTAGACTACTCACAACACCTAAGTTAGTTTTATTAAAGGATAGGCCTTGTCGAAAAGATACAGTATGAGCGCTAAAGCATTGCTTAATAGAAATCGTTTCATGAGATAAGCTGTATTATTAATATTTTTATATAATTATCATCGGCCACTCACCCAACACTGAACAATTGTCAACATATCATCGACTACAACAGTATACGAGTACAGTATTGTGTTTTTAAATTACTCCCTTGATCAATGAATTCCATGAAAATTTATAGGATAATAATTATAATTAATAATAAATCAACCCATTCATCTGTTCCTTGCCGAATCATGCATAGGACAGCAACGTTAATTTCGTTTTCGATATACGCGTAGTCTATAAACTTATTAACGTGAATCGGAAGGAGAACAGAAGTAATCCAAGTGTTGATATGCTGTAGGAAACTACGTATTACAGTATACTTAAGATCACCTCCTCATCGGTTTTTTTAACATTAGTCTTGTAAATGCTTCTCACTATTTAATAATAATTATCACTGTAATACGTATGTTAAAATCAAATCAAATCTATACCATAACTTAGTTATGCTAAGTGCTTAGTGCGATTATAATTTGCTATTCAGCATACGTCAAAGCGATAGTCACAAACGTGCTTAGAAACAGGCTGGCGTAGCCAATAATAATTAATTAATACATTTGAATTGAAACTTATACATTATACAGTATATAGAGAGAGATTTTATTTATTCGTACGATACAGTGTACATCCTTGCAACACGTACAGTTTCTTTAAACGGTACTGCTAAACGCCTAGAGTTGTATACGCACGGTAAATTTATCGAAATATCACAAAGTTAGTATTAACATTACCCCATACGAAGCGTCGGCAACAAGTTTTCCAGCATAAACAATATATTTGCCCCTTTTTAAGCAAAAACTTAAATGATAGCTCATACGAGTATATATATATACACACGACGATATATTTTTATACCAACGCAAATATTTGCAAATCGCTATATCTACTACTGATAAGATCATCTTTCAGTATTAATCGAATAGCTATCCGCCAGGCTCATACTAGTAATTATCAAAGTATAAACAACAATTAATGGATCCGCTATAGGATCATCATGCATCAAATGTGATCACCTAAGTGAGAAAAATATGAGGTAATCACTATGAAGGTATTTCGTTTAGAAAGTGATCGCTCCGGTTGGAGCAGTTTGCTGAAAGGCAAATTGATCTTCCTTCACTTCAGGAGCTAGGGTTTCATCATCATCATCTCCTTCCTAATAGGCGTAATAATCAATCATCCATCAATATATGAACGTTCCAACAAGTTTGTAGCTCCTATAAGCATAAAAGCATCAGCAATGTTTTTACCACATCTGGGAAATATTTGTCCATTATATCGGATATTAGTTGGTAAACTTGATCATTATCATGCGTCTGTAAGGCTTCCATTTTATCCAAGCCTGTTACAAGAATACATGTAAATCAAGAAATCGATTAATAAAAATAATACACGAAGCCAAAATACAGATATTCTAATACTCTTATGACTATGAAGTAACTAGTACTATAAATTAATATAATTTACCTCCTTCCTCTTCGATTGATAAGCAGATTGGTTCAGCCTGTTTTACTTTATCAGCAACCTGAAATATATAGAATATGTCGTCTTAACAATTACGATCCAATCCAATTATATCTAAATATTTTCGTTTCAAAATACTTACATTTAATATGTTTCTTAGTCCTTCCAGAGCGACTATTATAATCTATCATTAAATCAAATGCTGTCGTTAAAATCACTAACGATATGAATTAAATCCATTGTAGCCATGTTACTCGGGCAAGAATTACCTTTGGTTCCATTGATGACAATAAGTCACATAACGGCTTAATCACTCCACATTGTACTAAGTAAGATACCTAATTGGTAATGATATACTCAGTAAATATTATTTTAGGGAAGCGTCACTATTTGGTAAGCTAGCAAACAGTTTAATTTTCCAATTTACTGCAGTATTACGTCAAGTCAATCAGTTATCGTAAATTTAATAGAGTTACCTGATCAACGGTTCCACCAGCTGTAAAGTTATTTACAGCCCAAGCACATTCTTTTTTAGTCTTAAAATCACTCTATTGAAAAATACGTAAGAAGTTCGCACTTTTGCTATAGTAATTTACTCCCAATTAAATCGATAAATTATTTTGAATAAACTTACATTTCGTAGGGTTTCGACTAATTGTGGAATAATATTTGCATTTATCAATGCCTAATATGCATGGTAAAATCATTTCATGTTAAAAAACATTAAATTGCATGCAGCATATAATCCTTCACACTAAAAGTATAAATGTGTCTATTGTATCTATTTAATAAAATAACCTGTATTTGTTGTTGATTGCCAGCCGCAATATTAGAAATAGTCCAAGCGGTTTCCTACAAGTAGAGACAGTATTGCAAAATAAATCAAGGTATTGATCTCTATTTATTGTAGCCTATTCTACTACAATAGCTTTCCAAAATCTACCTTCTGTACGCTAGCTTTTTGGTGTTTTAACAACAAGGCTAGGCAATAATGACCTTGTAGATCAAGAATAGCCTATACCACAAAGGAAATATTCAATATTAGCTGTGATCACAACTAAGAATATATTTTGTAATTTTCTCTGTATTTTTATATAGATATCAAGTATTCTTATCATCATATTACTTGAGTTTGCGTGTCGTTGCCTGTGACAATGTTACCAATAGTTCTTAAAGCAGGCGTCTGTAGATAAAATATTGTATAAAATACAATTAACGATGGAGGCTACCAAAAAGGAAAATTACACCAACGTAAAAAATGAAATATACTTACAAGAAGTGATAGCTCTGTAGAAGCTAGTAATGACACCAAACGTGGACAAACACCTGATCTGATAACGTTCTCAATTTTTTCATTGGGGCCATCAGTAATATAGGACAATGCCCAGCATGCATCAGTGGAAATCTAAAAGTTGCAATAAGAGCCTAATTCAGTCAAATCTTGTTACATGTTATTCAATATATATATGGAATCTTACCTCTTTATCATCAGCGTGCAGAAGCTGTGCCAACAATGGCAATATCTAGTGTAACATTAACAACAGTAATAAGCTTTCAATGCTACATAGACATTATACTTTAAAAAAAGGGAAATTAACCGACTACGAATGAGCTTATAAAAATACGATGAAAATCAATATAATTAGTGAAAGTTATTACCTCGCGGACGGCTTCAAACGGTGGTGGAGGATTTTTGTTTCGACATAAATTCGATAACGTCCAAGTTGCATTACGTAAAAACGTCACCTATTTGTAACAGTAATAAAAATTTATTTGTATATTCTAACAAGTGAAAGGAGTTAAAATATACAGTAAAAAGTAAGTATAATAGTCACACAAAAAGGATTATTTACGATGTTTACATACAGGCTTATCAGGTGTAGTGATTCTCAGCATAGCAGGAATGACATCACAACGAATAACTAAATCCCTCGCCTTGGGTCCATCTCCAGCAATATTTCCGAGAGCCCAAATTGCTTGTTCGCACACGTTAGCATACGTCGAAGACAGCAATTTAACAAAATGTGGTACTGCCCCTAAAATTATCATTTCAAATTGTTAGTGACGAGAAGACTTGCAATATTATGTCCAATCAAGTTGGCATACCTGAATCAATGACGACCTTGGTTTGATCCGAAGTCCCAGAAGCGATATTAGTCAATGCCCAAGCAGCTTCAAATTGTAGAGTTGGGCTATAAAATAATTATGCGTATAATGAATGTTACAATATTTTTTCTATCCAATAACGTCCATTTCTAGGTATATTCAATCTTGCTCTATCAGTTAAACGTACTTATCATTGCATGACAGAAATTCCACAAATTTGGGAACTAAACCAGCCCTATAAGATTTAATCGAAATTTGTAGTTGATTAACATCAATCCATAGATTGTACACTTACAGTTGATATCAAAGATAAAAGGCAAGAACTACACTACCTATTTTATACTCAATATGATATACATACTTGATAACACTTTCAACAGGTGGATGACGTTCCCTCGATAGAATTTTTCTAATAGCATATATAAATTATGATTACTTTGTAGCTTATACCCCCAACATTCTCATATAATTTTCTCTTTTAATATCAAGACTTGGTCTATACAATTTGTAAAGCGTACCTTGCTGATTGTACAGCTAACATTTGAGTTTCAACCGATGATGGATCATTGATTTTCTAATAAAAAAATATATCATAGCACACATGTTACTATCATCAGAACATGGATAGAAATTGGCTACATGAAGTAAATATTGTATAGCGTAGCACAAATACCTGAACAATTTCATCCAGATTTGTTAAGTAATGACCACTTTCCTATTCAAATTTAATATAATCATTTTATATCATTGCTTATTCCATCGATTTAATAGAGCTATTCATACAAAGCAGAAAATACAGCTAAAACATTTAAAAGTAAATGCCCTTCTACCTAATTCAATGAAACTCCAATTCTATGATATTGTATGGTGAAAATATAGACTCAAATGACGGTTTCAGCTTACAGCAAAATGGTAAACAAAGTGATCCTCGTACTATAAGATTGATACTGCTTGTAAATAGCTCTTTAAAGACTCATTCACTCCTTGCTATACTTTATCCTATCCACTACGTCGCAATAATAAAAATGCGCATTGAAATGTGTTGTCAGTGTGACAACAATTTTCCATCCTCTCGTTTATGAACTTACTATGGAAACAACTAGTGATATCTCAGCTTCCCTATCATTGAATTGACTACGTTCAATATTCCTGTGTCAATAGAAGCAAGATAGGGTATCGTCCATGACTATTGCTACTCATCGAATGTAATCTATGATGCAAGGGACTCCTATCGAGTGTAGTCTACAATCGATCAGTTGATGTTTTGCTATTGCCTATATGTCAACATGTCTTCAAATTGCCTATCGAAGCCATGCAGCTAACTCCAAATAGTAGAGAGGGAAAGTACGAGAATTGTTCATGTTCCTATCAACCTAGACGAGTATTGGACGTATAAAATCAAAGCATGCAAACCTATCTTGAACTCCAGCATCAGTAATGTCGATTATTCAACAGTACAAAGTCCATTTGAATACTATACAATGATTAAAGTAAAGCTTGAGAATCATTCCAAGTCACTACCCTATGATCAACCATGAGTCCAATTTGGCCATCACTAACTTTGTCAATCTATTGTCACTTCCGTTATTAACAATACAATAATACTTCATTGAATGACAATCTATGGTGGCTATTGTTTGGAACAATAGAAGTAGTGCAAACATCAATACTGTATGGTTGAGGAGACATCAGTCATACAAGCTGTCAGTGACCTCTGCCAGTAGACGTGCTACATCATGATTATCTATTGTATTTTGCAAGCGTCAATCGCGGTGAATTGTACACTTGTACGCTTCAATCAATCATAGCGTTGACTCAGCATGGACAACAATGCAATCTAAAGGCGATTCTCTTTGGTTAGATAAGTGACACAAACAAGAGTACATGGATCATATTATTCTCTATTAAGGCCACAAAATGCTGCTGGAAAATCAATCACACAACACAAACCTGATTATTGGTTGTTTCACTCAATGGATTGCAAGTCACTTCAGTCGATAGATTGACATTACGACGCTTCAGGACTTGTTCGTCTCGTTTGTTCTATGAAGAGAGGAAAAAAATGGATTAATAGACGACAGACAGTATGGCAAAAATTCATTGAAATAAAATCAGTCTTAGAATGATGGATCGCCATTCTAAACGCAATGAGAGGATAGGGTAGTCTGATCCAACAGAAATCCATTTTAGAAAGCAAAGGGTAAAACGTTCTTGGCAATACAGTACAGTAGTTGCTTGGTAAAATGATATTACCGTCTATCTTTGCACCAATAAACAAATATCCAATAACTATGTTGGATAATTTCCTATTGCAAAATGGAATGCAGTTCGTGCATTGACAATATGGATAATCAGCGATCATGATGTAATTCATTATGGCAACGTTGTTGGATCGTGTTGAATTCCAACTTGAATATACGGTAGAACGTTTTTACAGTACTTTCTTGGACAATAATGATATAGGCGAAATGCACGAAACGTCCACGAAATACTACCTGTAAATAAATATACTATAGCGAATGGATGAAATGAAATGCCAATTCCGATGTACATCACTTGCTGCTGGTACAATCCAATCATGATGACTAAATGTAAATCATGACTCCATTGCAATGAGAACTTTTGAAAACTGAAATGCTAACTTGTCAAAGCAAGTATCTAGTGTCATGACGCTTAACAAAAACTGGTTACAAGGAGTTAGCTGTATCATGTACAAGCGATTCATGAATGATTTCTTGCATGGCCTTCCCATATAGAAAAATTGAGCTGATAAAACAATCAAAGATCGTTGACTTTCGATCCTAACTTTGAATCTTACTTTATTACGGTATAAGGTAATAGTTATCTCTGCCGATCGACCCTTTCAATCGAGATTTTACAGTCGTGCTTTGGTGGGAAAGCAGCGATAGCAGTTGCTTATTGCTCATATGGTGTATAGAGTCATGGAGTTGAAACAATTTTTACCTAATATTACAACAAGTCCTGACACGTTTAATTACAGAATGAATGTAGGTCAAAAATCACCAGTCAGAATATCAGTGCACTTCATGCTTTTCTAGTGCGTTGATGACGAAGTGTAATACTATTCGATGCTTTTATTGTAAACTATATTACGGATAAATTCGATTGAAATGGAAACTTTCAAAATCCATCGTCATTGAGTGGTGTTACATCAACTACAGCACAAACCTTTCGAAGTTCGATACTGACTTCATTTCTACGTCGTCGAAGTTCCTAAAATGCGACAATATCCCAAAGTATTCTTATTAATTAATAATAATAATTGTAGAATTGAATGCATTCAAAACTGTCTATATCTAACGATCGCGCTGCGCTGATCGGAGTATCTTACAAGTGAATACAGTTCCAAGACCTATACCATCTTCCAATGTTGTATACGTATCACTACGATATCGTTATTAACACATCATGCTTACTTTAAGTTTGATCAAAGAAGTAAAGTGAGAAATAGGACAATTTCACCAATAACGATATCAATACATAAGATAGATGATTAAGAGTATCTGATGGCATTCTTCAGGATATTGACCACACTAACAGAGTCAATGCAAACTATAGTAGCAAACCAAAGAGTGGAGAACGTACAGTAGTCTTTTCTGGTCGTTTAATAATGGTACACCGGTATGCGAATATAGTCAAAATTAATAACGATCACCGGACTCATTCACTAGGTTCCATATTAATCATCAATGGTAAAAACTTGCGAATGCACTGCGTCATAGACTTTAAAAATCACTATCAATCACAACATGAGACGATGGAGAAGGTCTTGATTTGAATTTATTACTAGACGGTCAAAAGTAAGATTTTCCTACTTCCACTACTTCGGTACACTGTGACTAAGAATGGAAATGGAAATCAATTTGCAATTCAATTTCACTTACCCTATCATCCTTTCCCTTATTTTTAAAAGATTTAAGACGAGAATTTTCAAGTGATCCAGGCATAGTGTACTAACCCCAAAATTGGAACAAATTGGCAACATTTATTACGCGTTCTAACACTACAACAACGCATTGGCATATAACCTATCGAGTCCAGTAAGTTACCAATCTTGAAAAAAAAATGTCTATGTAGCTTATAACACTTACAAGGTTCAAACGTTGCTCTAAAATTAAAAATCTCAGAAGGAATCAATGTCTAATTTCAATGGAGAAGTGCAATGATCGATTGCCAAATAATGTTGATGAGCGATGGTGAGCAAGAGATTGAATTCTGGATTTGAATTAACTGACCGTTAGTTATATACGGCCAATTTGCATACGCGTTCACTTAGTTGATAGGGGAGTCTATACTGTAGCCTTGAAAGCATATGTAGCGTAAAGCAGTAGTAAGGATGAATGAAAGACGTTTTGTGACAGTATGCACTGTAGTTTGCAAATGCGCAAAGGTTGCAATACAAGTGCACCGAATTATGGATGCTTTCATACTATTTTATGCCATTGAATAGCGATGTTTGAGTAAGTAGGGCTACGCGATGATCGACACTTTATACAGTGTACAGTACTGTAAAGAGTAGGCAAGATGGCAAAATACTGTAGCCAGTGGTTGGTCTGGCCGATAGGTTAGTGTATTGTTCAGCTCTGTATGCTCATAACAGCATATAGCATATTGCATTGAATTTCCTGACTGCCCTTTGCACATGCGGTTGCCATTCGATCACAATCCTTTGTATGGGTTCCATTGGCCAATTAAAATTGGAAGAGTGAGAAAGCTCTTCTTTCATTGGATATCGAATCAATTTGAAAATTAACCGCCGAAGGGTGATGGTAAGCATGCGCATGGCTGAATCATTTGGGTACAGTGTACACTGTACTGTACAGTACAGTCACGGACTACAGTACAGTACAGCATAATACAGTACAGTACTGTACACTGTACTGTGCTAGCTTTGCTTTCTACGCATGTCAACTTTTACTAGAACCTTCTACAGAGGACCGGTAAAAATGCCAAATGAAGGACCCTGACCACTACAGTATGGTCTGCTATGATGAACTAGAGTATTCGGTTGCAAAATAATAACAAGGCCTGGCAGACTATCTTTCTGCTCCTTCTACTATAGTCTGCTATGGTGAACTACAGTAAAGTATTCGGTGCAACAATAATGACAAGGCCTGGCAGACTATCTTTCTGCTCCTTCTACTATAGTCTGCTATGGTGAACTACAGTAAAGTATTCGGTGCAACAATAATGACAAGGCCTGGCAGACTATCTTTCTGCTCCTTCTACTATAGTCTGCTATGGTGAACTACAGTAAAGTATTCGGTGCAACAATAATGACAAGGCCTGGCAGACTATCTTTCTGCTCATTCTGCTATAGTCTGCTATGGTGAATTACAGTAAAGTACTCGGTGCAACAATAATGACAAGGCCTGGCAGACTATCTTTCTGCTTCTTCTACTATAGTCTGCTATGGTGAACTACAGTAAAGTACTCGGTGCAACAATAATGACAAGGCCTGGCAGACTATCTTTCTGCTCATTCTGCTATAGTCTGCTATGGTGAATTATAGTAAAGTACTCGGTGCAAAAATAATGACAAGGCCTGGCAGACTATTTTTCTGCTCATTCTACTATACTGGACAGTAAAGTAGTTTGCTATGGTGAACTACTTTAGCACAATATTTTCAATAATTAATTGTCGATATGAATAGTTTTTAAATAATTAATTACAAGCTTTTTCGAGATTATTAACATTAAGTTATGTTAAACAATTTTGCCATAACATTAAACATTATATTATCAGCAACGCTGCTGTACAGTACAGTACAGTACAGTAAAGTACTCGGTGCAAAAAGAATGACAAGGATAGCAGACTATCTTTCTGCTCATTCTGCTATAGTCTGCTATGGCGAACTAAAATATTCGGTACGATAATAATGACAGGGCTAAGCAGAATATCTTTCCGCTCATTCTACTATAGTCTGCTATGGTGAACTACAGTAAAGTATTCGGTGCAAAAAGAATGACTTACACTAGCAGACTATCTTTCTGTTCATTCTGCTATAGTCCGCTATGGTGAACTAAAGTATTCGGTGCAAAAATAATGACAAGGCTTTGCAGACTATCTTTCTGCTCATTCTGCTATAGCCGTAAACCCCATATTCCACACTGTGCAAAACCAATCCACCACTGGAGACGACTACCAAAATAGTTCAACCCAACATTTATATTACATAGAACGGCTGTGGCCAGTCCATTGCCCTCTTTCATTTATTAAGTGTACATTATCTGCTAAAAAATCTTTTCTGTTACCCCTGTTAACGAAGATGAAAAATACGGGATTTGACCGAAGTCCTGAAAAAATGCATCGCTTGAATTGACGTATTAGTAAAATACGGGCATTCACACGACGGACTCCTTTTCAGGACAGCTAGCAGGACTCTAGTCAAATCGTGTATTTTGTCCTGCCATTTCCTAGTTCTGTAGTAGCAGCTAGCAATCAGAATACTGCAAATTATAGATTTCTATGCTGTACGGTAGCCTGTAACTTATCTCTTTCAAGTATCAATTTCTGCTGTCTGTGCTAATAGTGATACAGTATCACAGATTGATCGATCGATGGCGGACCGAGGATAACTTTCAAGACGCTTAGGCCTTAGGGTCTCAATCGTAGTCCACGCATTACACACTTGAAATATCAATTAACAATTTTATTTTTGACTATCCATATTTCAAATTGAATATTCCATTGTCAATATTTACGTATGCAGCACGTAATCCTTCATATCCAAATTAAAAATGTTACAAATAATCAAAGCCATTCAATTCGAAGCCAATATGGCGTAATATAATGAGTGACATATCTTCACGGTTAAGATAGATTTACAATATATTCGTATACGCGTAGAGCTTAGAGTGTATTGAACTGCGCCTTGGTACTATTCTAATGTGATATCCGCCTGTAAAGTTGTAAATACTCAAATGAAAAAAAATATTAATTATCATATTGTACAGGCCAAATAGTCTATGAAACGAATAGCCTTACTCAAATTATTCGAGCTATCAAAGAAAAATCGTCTCTTCCATTGACCAAGCTTTCCATCATGGATGCTAAAGTCTGTATCACAATTTCATAAATGTACTGACTGTGTTTTATTATACATTACAAGTGATATGATAAAATACTGCATGATATTGCTTAAAATACAAGATTACGACTATTACAATTTTCGGTATAAATGCAATTCTTAACTATGATTGGTGACTTTCAAGCTGTTTGTCGTAATTTTAGTGTATTGAGGTAAAAAATAACCATCAGTTTTTACAATATGTTGAAGTAATATTCGGTATTTTAGTTGGGATACCAAGTCTTGGTTGATGTTAATCTTGCTGAACCTATAAATGAAAGCGATAAAATATTAATCACAGTAGATTACTTAATACGAGCAGTCAACCTAATAAGAGACTACATAAACGATAACATGTATTGCAAAAAGTTGATATTATTTTCATTCTAATTTTAAGCTTGAATATTCGAAAAACTGCTCTATGAACGATATGAATATTATAATCGACAACGCACTACAAATTAATAAAGTTTAAAGTATTAATCGAAAGACTTACCGGTAATCACGGATAGACTGGATTCTCCTTAATCTATGCTACAATAATCGCTTTGGCGCTCGTAGGGCGATCACTTACAACTTTAACTCCAGGCGCCATACCAGTTGCAGGATCAACAGAAAATCGAGTATTAAACTCAGCAGTCGTCAAGACCAGTAGTTTAAGTTAAGAAAAATGCAATAAACAAATGTCTAAACAATTCAGATTGCATCAATAAAATTTAAAATTGATCGATACATTATTCTATATCATGACAAAATATTCGTATTATAATATTTCAATTGTTATGGTTCAATACCGTGCATATTAATGCAAGATTGCTACTAGTATAAAAAAGGATATCTGCTGAAATAGGAATGTAAAGAATATTAGATTCCGTAACTACTTCCAGCTCGTGATGGATCATACCAGCACCATCTTTGCCACCTTCAATGCCAACCGCAACTGCATAGATATCAACTATTATTTTTGCAGTCATACCGACAGCGAGCTATAATGGAAATAAAATCAATAACACGTTAAATTAACACGTTCAATTCTGTCCATATATTAATAAAAAACTGTAAAAATTAAATAAAACTGCTACTTGCATATTACAAATAATTTTAATTGACTGCAACCAACAGTATGTTACTATCAGATATATCATAAGCATGAGTCAGTCGGTACTCACGGGTCCTGGTTGAAAAGAAGCCTTTAAACCGGTTGAAGGTGGGGGTTGAGTAATCTTGTATCTGCCTACATCAACTCCAATATTTTTAAGTAAAAACGTACTCCTGTACATGTAGCCTTCTTTCAAGACACCAAATTCCACACAGTCAGGATAAACTTCAAAGGCACGTGATTGTCTGCCATTAGAGACAGATGCTGTATTGACATCTCGACGAACTGGGCTTTCTATTTTCATATACTGCCAATTAAAAAGACTATGTCAGCATTTAGTGAGCATACCAATAATAAATATAGGCTACATAAACTAGTACACAGCTAAATCATTAAGGAACTTCAGTATAATTATGATGGTGATTTGATGGCATTTAAGAAGACTGAAATATGATTTTTACCTTCTCATTGGGAATTGAGCCAGGTCTAGAGCCTTTGACCGATACAGGCTTTCTAACACGAGATTGACTGCTCCTACTAAGACTCTCATTTGTGGAAATATTACGTTGAGCATCACTCTCGGAAACTAAATTACGCATTTTAAATTCGTTCCCATTATGCATAGTAAGTATGTCAGGAGATGCTAAACAAGTAAATGAAAGAGTAAGTGTCAATCAGTAATATTATTGAGGATTAAAACAGAGTGAAAGGCGAAATGATATAGGAAATTGTATTACGATCCGGTCAGAAAGTTGAATGAATGAAACTTACCTGTTTCTAATTCAGTAGCTGCCGTAATACGCTCTAATGGCGCCGATTGAACATCACCTCTCAAAGAATTATTAATAGATTTTGCATCATCCTGCTCGGCAAATTTAGCTACAGTAGAAGGATAAACACTTGCTTGACTAGGAGTTGCATTAGCGGGGCGCGATGGACTCATGGTGGTACTATGATGCTCGACTTCATTAAATTTGCTACTTGTATGCATTTTCACTGCTTTTCCAGGTGTTGGTGCTATCGGTCGCGCTTCCTCATAACTAACATCAAGACTGGATATTACCTTTGTATTGCTTTCCTCATCTTTATTATCTGGATTATTTTCACTAGTAACATTTAGATCAACCACACCGGTATCATCACCACCCGCAATCCCGCTAGGATTAGGTAAAGTTTGTTCCGAATCCAGTTTTAAATTATCTAAAATATAAGATAACGCAGTAGACGATCTGTCGCCTTGATGACTTTTCAGCGGCGATTTTGCTAATTCTTTTGTCAATGCTGTCATATTAGGTTCGTTAATGTACTCTAAAATTTCTTTCCCCTTCTCGGTATGAAAATAAGGAGGGATATGATGAGACTTCAACTGTTCTTTACGTGCCTCAGCAGCAGCTAGTTCTTCTCTATCAGCTTGCCAATCTGCTGGTGTTCTTTTCGGCTTAGGTTTTTGTTGTTTTTCTAATTTTGATGGTGATTTGGCGTGAAGATATAATTGAATAATATCGCGATCAGATAACTCAGGCTTAGAACTATTTGCTATAATATCACTTATAAATTCATTCAATTCTTCTTGTTGTGTATGATATCGACTTTGACTGCGATAATTGACTGTAAAATCAGACGCTTGTGAACGCTCTTCTAAATTTCGTTCATCCTGAGGTAATAATTGATCGGCATTGATTTCACGTTCATTAACGAATTCGTTATATTCACTTAGACAATTGAATAAGGTTTTCTTTTCTTTCTTTGATATTCTCGGATATCGTATTAAGTGGCGGATTTCGACGCCATTTGGATGTATCTTTTTCTTATGCAAAGCAGCTTTCTTCTTATCATTTTCCTGACCAAAGATTGCTTGGCGCATTTCTTGTTTGATATCCGCAATAGTAGAATCTACACGGAAAGAATTCACTCTCAATGAGGCCATGATAGATTCTCGAGCTTGTGGTGGTGCTGTCCAACGATTTAAAGTAACATTAGCTAGCGGTTGCAATATTGTAACGCATGAAGCTTTAGAGCGATTGCTAATATTTTCATTCATGATAATGTTATCCTTATCCATTGCTAAGTTGTTTAGTTCACTATCAACTAAATGGATATTCATCAATTCAGCACCACTACCATCAGGTTTCAAGATAAATAATCGCGGTAATATAAGTGGATTAATAAGTTGATCACCGTCACTTTCAGGACTCTTAGCGAAATCAACAATAACTTTTCCTTGCGATGAGACTTTAAAAGTATTGCCACGGCTGTCAACAGTATGGCAACAGATTGATGAAGCATGATGCATTTCATAAACACCTACTACACCGACTTCTTTTCCAAATGTACCAGCTATAAGAACCGATGCTGGTTGATATAATGTCCGACCATCATTATGTAATTCAATTTGAGAGCCATCATCTAAGTTTAAGTTATGATTTCCATCAACCTGTACAGTAGCTTTCGTTCCAGTAGCAAATAAAATTTGGCATGAACCGTCACTACAATTAAAAATTACACCGGCATATCCATTGCATTCAATTTTTCTGTATTTAATTCTTTCAGTGATCCTATTACCATCTTCATCACGTCCTTTTAGTCGTTCTTCATAATACGTATGAATCCTTGTTCCATCAGGATATTCAACAACTGAACTACCATTATCATGGTTGGAAATGATAACGTTGTCTTCTCTTACTCTAACACGCTGGGAAAATAAATATATCAATTTAAATCATTGATTTTAATTTAATTATAACAACTCAATCAATCGATACTGATAAGTATACATAGTTTTAAATATAACTCTATACTGTAATTTACTCACTTGATGAGTGATTGGATCAGACATGACGGTAGAGATAATTTCATCAATTAATTGATGCTGTGTTGAATCTAATCGAGTTGAATAACGTTGCCCTTCCGGACTAATCACTTCCCATTGATTGAACTTTTCTAATGCGATTTTATTGAAATGATCAACAGCTGAAATATTAGATACCTTTTTAGAGACACTACGTGAACTTGTTTTCTTTTGTGGTGTATTAGGTACGGCGTCGCTTGATTTCTGTCCATTTGCTGTAGTAACAGTGCGAGGAAAATTAATGCTACCACTAGCAGATTTACATATCACACCATGTGGCATTAAAACCTGTATACTGCCATCAACCATTAACTTAATGACATTGCCGTCATGAGTAAATGTTCGACCAATTTCCTCCTTCGTTATTTGAGATTTGAGTGCTTCACACACATGATAGCCATTCGATTTGTCAGTATAGAACTGGCGAACTATAATGCCAAGATTATTGTTGCTACTACCGTCTTCATTGCTTAATTTATCATTAACGGTTGCTTGAATATGAAGACCATCAGGACAGGACATAAATAAACCTTTAACTTGCTCTTTGAAACTATGATTAGAGGTAGGATTATTTAATTCACCTTCTGTTCTACTATCTTGATGAATGAATGTATCAAATGCTGACGGTGTCGGTTGCGATTGCGATTGCTGTGATTGTTGCTGCCTATCTTGCTTGTCTTGATTATGTTTTCGACTTTTCACTGGCGAGATGGTTGGTGTAGGAGCTGCAGTATGAGATCCTTGATCATAGTTATTAATTCTGATTCGTCATCACGCTCCGTAATTTCTCGTTTACCGTGACCACCAAATCGGCTATAGGAAATAGTAATACCGTCACGAAGATGAGCAATAAATGAGCCAAACTTACAAGGTGGTATAGGCTGATTTTGATCATCCTGAGCATTTTTATCTTGATTCATTAATCCGCTATCTTTCATCTCAGGATTATCTGCATCATGAGATTTATTGTGCTCTGAAGTATTTCCATCGTTATTCGATTCTTCGTCTTCTTCGTTATGAGGGTCAACAACGTGGACAACAAAATGATGACCATCTTTATACACTGAAGTTTTAACGTACAGGGTTCCGTGAACATAACTGGTCCTTTCTGATCGTATTAAGCCATCATCGCATGGCAACTGCGTTGCTTGACAACCAGAAACTCGAACCATTTGATTTCCGAGATCATAACCTAAGAATTTTTCTTCACACTCGTCATCGGTTTTTTCGATATCAATATCTCGATTGAGCTCATCTTTAACTGGTGTTTCTGATCGTACTGATGAATCCACTGTCATACTTTTAACAGATTCAGGTAAACTAACACGCCGATTATTGCTAGCACCTCGTTTACTACCCGTACCATGAGATGGAAATTGTGCTTCTTTCTCAGTTAATTTCTCGTTTTTAGTTTGCAATTTCAACTTAGACACAGACTTCTTGTTCATTGAATTTCCAAATTGTGGTGAAGGCGTACGTCGCTCTGGAGTTTTTCTTTGTTCGGTATGTGGACTTCGTCGAGCAGTACTGCGCTTCGTTCTAGCCCTTTTACTACTTTCCATACTTTCTGCTATTTCAGCTTCTTTAATACTTGCTCGTGAAATCAGCTCTTGCTTCGGCGGTAAAGGCATAGCAGGTTGAACAACAACCGATACGGTTTCGGCTTGAGCAGTATTTAATGCTTCGGTGGCTGCTATTTCCTTTTGTACCTTCTCCGATACAATATCGCCAATATCTTTAGCTACATATTCTAGATAGTTGCGAAAGCCAACATTGGAGTGTAAGCTGTAATCCCAATTAGTTAAGTGCTGTTGTCGTTTACCAATGGGATTATGCATAACCACAAGTAGAGTATTATCGCGTCGATTATGATAAGTGTCCACATGCGATCTTAATTCCTGAGCTTCACATAATACCTGTACCATGCTATCAGCTTGATAGTGTTCAGCGTAAAGCCAATTGTCGAAATCATGCTGATTTTCATCCAAATGATGATCATTATTTTGAGTGGGAAATAAATATGGATCGTCCCAAGGTAAAATGATAGGTTTAACGTCTTTACTGTCCTGAACAATCTCTTGATCATCAACACTAGTTAAGCTAACGTTTTCAAATGTAGCTTGTTTTAAGATGCGATTAAGTGAGTCTTCAGTTAGCGATACTTTTGTACAAAAATGCTGAAGTTGATGAGCTCTTGAAGCTCGATCCAAAACACAACGTTGAGAAGGTACCTGAAATTGCGAGAGGCGGGCAACTGGTAATTTTCGTAGCATCTCTAATTCCGCCTCATGTGGAATAATATTGTTTAAGCGAGCCAAATGGTAATAACGTTTTAATGCTTCATCACCATGACGAATAACTACGGGAGGAATTTCTACTTTGTTGTCCTTCGACCATACACTTGTATCATTGATAGTAGCATTATCTGTTATGGACTAAATGAAAATATTATTATACTTTACTCATTTGTAATAATTTCAACAATGTCAATAAAAGCTATATTTAAATCTAGAAAATTGTAGGCATAATTATAAGTAAATTATTCTTAGCTACAGTAGCCATAATAACATTTATACCTTTACGATAGGCTCGGATAAGCCCAAACCGCGAATAGCATTATCAAAATAGTCCATAACGGAAGCCTCTGCAGCGCCATTTTCGTCGCGTGTAACTGCAGTTGCTGCTGTTGATGGAGGTGGTGCGGCAGGATAATTAAAAGCTGTATTATTTAAAGAAGCTGCAATTTCGCTTTCATCGATCGCGATGCTTACCTAAAGTTATATATACATCAAGTATACAAATAATTACCGTACTGCACCGATTCAAAATCTAGAGCATGCAATCTAATTATGAATACCACGATTGCTAAGAACGCGTAAATCCTATAATTATTGAATAATTCATTCTTAAAATTTAGTATTACCTGCTCCAACATGGCATACATAATTAAAGGCACAGTAACACTTTCCGTTGGAACTGAGTTGAGAATATCGTTATAATAACGCATATCAACATCAGCGGTAACTGAATCATTAACAATATTTTGTGTGCCGTTGAGATCTCCTGAATTGTTAGTCGGAATTCGGATCAAATTGATCATTTTTAGATATTCTTGGTATTCTCGACGCCGAAGCAACATATTATAGCATATATTAGCAATTTGATCAAACATTTTCAGCCCAAATTCATTCTGAAATAACATCAATAAAGCAGCTATTGTTTAGTGATATCATAATGCTGCATATTACTAATATAAGTAAGCAGTTTGCCAATATTTTTAACCTTCTTTTCAATATTTTGATAATCAACCGGGAATAAAGACTTTTTAATTTCTACTTCAAAGGATGCTAAATCATGTAACTTGGCACTAGCAAAGGACTGCAGTACCACAGAATCCAGTTCTTTCCAGAATTTTTTCGATTTTTGTTCCATCTGTTTATCAATGTCATCCTTGCTATGATCTATAGTATTTTACGCAGTCGGTATTAGTATACAACAATTGTTTTAAACTTAAAGAATAGCCTACGTTACCCTAAAAATCCCTTTAATACTAATATGTTTCACACATACATGTATATAATATTATGTGAGATATAAAGCAGCAATTACCTTCGGTTGTAACATTTTGCACATTTGAAGTTTCAGCTAATTTATAAAGTTGTTCAAATGTTTCATAATCGTCCGACCGAACTTTAATAGTGGCATCAATCGGTATATTACTTTCAGCGCAATATGCTAAGACAGCAGATTCACTGAAGCCGTGGATAATGACGTAAGCTTGAGGTCCATATTCTGGTTCATCATCTGCCGTAGATAAAGTGAAGATTAAATTATGAGAACAAAGGATATAACTAGTTAATAGGAGTATAAGCTTGGCAAAATTCTAAAGTCAGTCCACTTATAAATTGATAATTCCAGTTACCGATGGTTTGAAAGTTATCCTCCTTTTCGCCTCGCCTCTTTAGTTTAGTTTCCTTCTTAAGTGGCATTGGTACTTCTCGTTGTATATCGCGCTTTTTAGCAGGAGAACGACTTCTTCGGCTAGAAATAGGTTTCTTGCCTTTCGTATCTACCCTATCTTGACGCACATTGTTTCTATTCGCCAATTCTGCGACCTATAATTCATAATTCATAATTCATAAATAGTTTTCACTTAGTCAGTGAATTAGAAGTCATTTTGAAAGCAAGTACGGATGCCTGGATTCCTACTTTTCGTTCCGCTTCGCGTTTAGCAATATCTTTAGTCTTTATCTGAATCAGCTTAAATTTTATTAATCTTGATTGTAAATGAGGGCTAATTTCATCTCCATTATCCAGAATTCCCTTAACATGCTCACAGATTTCGACAAATTGTGGTAGGTCACGATTTGATCCCTTTCTGACTTTACCACCTAATTCTCTAGCCTAAATGCATATTTCAAGGTTTTTACAAGCAATTATTACCAATTTAACTTTACCATACATATTCATTAATTAAATATCAATTGATGGCTAACGATACTGTACCTGATTTAGAACGTCGTCCTTAGATATAGCGTAAAATTGTTTGCGAATACCGGTAGCAATTGCGGAATGTAATATATTGATATGCTTAAAATCTTCCGTTCGATCACCAACTACAAAGAATAAAGCTGCTTTCCAATCATCCTGATGGTAAATATGATTATTTGTGTCAATAAATGATAAGCGTAAAAATACACAACAGTATCTTGATAGGATATTGATCCATCTCTACTACAGTACACCCAGATTATAAGAGACTAAGAGTAATAGCATTAGTATAATTTCGATAAATGATAACTTAAAGCAAATGAAATCATGCTTCTAACAATTATCGTATTCACAGAGTCAAACAACGACAGTGACCATTCCCACAAACATTAAGATCACAACGTCTTGGCGTACTAAATACTATTAGGTAATATGATTACGTATACAATTTAACATCTCTATTGCTACACACTCAAATTATAAGAGACTAAGAGTAATAGCCTAAGTATAATTTTGAAAAATGATAAATTGAAATAAAAGCAATTGTACTTCTAACGATTGTCATGTTCACAGAGTCAAGTAATAACAGTGACTATTTCCAGAAGCATTATGATCACAGCATCTGGACGTACTAACTGCTATATTAAGTGATATACTGTAATTGCGTATACACATTAATATCGATTAGTAAACTCGTTGTAACTATGACTATCGTCATAATTCAGTTAACATGTTAACATAGTATTAACATCTACGTTCATAATTCTAACTATTGAACAAACACTGATATACCATATTACCTCGTTTAGATTATAATTGACTAGTTGCGAATCCCATCTGCCTATACCGGCAGAACCACTCTTCTGTCGTGGTTTCTTGGACATTGCTTCAACAAATTATATTCATGAAATACTGACAAGAAATAGAAGCAATTCTAATTCACTATGTATAAAACTAGGATAAATTCGCTTAAGAGTTTGGATGAGATCAGTGGGTTGCATTGCCTTTCCTATACTGTATCATAAATAAATGTTCTTGTTGCTAGGCGACCGAGAAGAGTCTTTTCGCGTAAAGGCCATTGTTATGTAAATTACGCAGCCATAGTTACCATCATGGCCAGACGAATCCTACTGCGCAAGCGTAGGTAATTTCTCCAATTGTAAACAAGTCCTTTCTATCTGTCCGTATTATTCCACGCATGGACATTGAACAATTGGACATTGGACAGTAATGAACTCCTACCACCTTGGCTCTTGGATTGAAATATAGTAATCAGACTGCTTATAACTGCTAGCTAATAAATGATAGAACATTATTATACGTTCCCCAGCAGTTTTAACAAGATAATATGGCTTAGCTATGAATTAGATAAACGCAACATTGATCATCAGGTTTATAATGTCCAAAGGAGTTCCATTGCGACAGCAACTGCATTCGTGATATATAACATATGTCACATATTATACCAGCATATATTAATGAATTTAAATTATAATTAACAATTTCACTGCAATAATTCCTTAATGGAGTAATAGTGCTACTGTATTATTATCTAGCTGTTGATGTTATGCTCGTTCTCTCCATGCATAACTTTTCAATATCTGGCATAACGTCAATAAGGAAATATTACATAGTGTCAACTATAGCTCAAGAAAGTGTAAAAATTTAAATTAATCAGATCTCTAGATTACATTCGTATTGAAAACATGAAATGAGACACTAAATAATGATCTACCGAAATTAACATCTACGCGTATACAAAGCATTATCTTGCTTATTACTAGATCTCGAGCAGCTATGATATTGAGAAATAAGATAAAATATAAATGTTCCAGAAAGCGATTTAACATACTCTACTTAAGGCTCCTTGCATCGTAGATCCAATGTAAACGCCCATAAAATGCGAAAAATCTTAAAATACGATAAATTATAATCTTTACTGCTGCCTACAAGTTATGAAAAGTGCTAAATGCTACGTTACTTTACGAACAATTCATAGCACTACAATCAGAAGATGCTAGTTATACGCTATAATTTTCATATGTTTACTAGAATTAAATGATGTGAGGCTTAGAAAGTGATCACACACAGTGCAGTGTTAATCAGTAAATATCCCAGATATGTAGAACATGTACCTGCGCCATAGATGATAGACGTTTGACTCGATAAATAACTAATAAACCTGAACTTATATCTTCTGCTGTAATTAAAAAGAACATAAACCGTACCGTATAGTGACGTATGCTACAGTAATAGCGTTGACAATATTCTAGTTTCTCCAAAGTATGGTATTTAAATGACGGAAAATTTAGCATTTTAAGTCGCTTCAGCAGACCGTACGAAGCCTATAGTCAAGAAACAGCCGTTACTTGAATCTTTACTACAATATGACTCAAAAGTAATAGTTAGCTCTCTTTCGTTATTTTTAAAAGTATCAGTTTATTAATCAATAAACATTTAGAGGTTATAGCATTTCTCACAGTTTCCACAAAAAGAAATTGGAAATGTCAAATTAAAGTGGCTCACCAACATGATAAAATCAAATTAGTAACCCAATTTCTTAATAAAAGAGGGCTACAGTAGAAAGCTAATTCTGGATTATTAAAGTGGAAAACCAACTTTAAAATACGATCAGAACCTAACAATCTAGGACGAAATTAATTACCCTTGGATAAACATATACCATCAGATCAGATTACTTAACATTTAAGATCTCGCTTACTTCAAAAGTAATTAAATTTCTTCTGTTTGCTCAAGTCAGCAACACACTATCCTATCTCATAATAGCACTGAAGAATCCTATGGTGATGCTATATTTGATGATACTCATTTATTTATTGAGATTTTCTACCACTCTATTTCTAATCTAGATTCCAAAATGATCCTTTGATATAGTTTAAATATATTCTAATATAAATTATAAATAGGGTAAGAAAACTAAATCATTAAGATTAATGTGATTGTACTGCTGAATGAATTCATTAGATGATGATTTATTTCCATTCTACTGTCCAATCGGAATCCATATTAAGAGAAAGTCCGGTGACATTCAATACCTAGTTGTTGAACATTCAAATAGAATTAACACTATATACTGATATGCAATATCATGATCTACTCACTTACCGTATTTATAGGATCCCATCGGAATGTAGTGATATTATTACCTCCAGAAGTAACCTCACCGACAGCCTTGGGAAGACCATATACGAGAATGTTTTGGAGAGTATTTTCAGCAACGTAACCGTTATACTCTACTTTAGCAGCAACACTGTTCTATAATTTCAATCAGATAATAAGAAGGGAAATAAAATAATTATAAGGTACATTTAATATTAGCTGCTTATATAGTAAAATCCTTGATTAATACTCTATATTTAGTAATAACTGTTTTAAATAAAATCCTGTGATTAAAAGTAGCACAGTATAGGTCCATTTACCTCAGTCGCTTTATAGGAAATACTGAGATATTTGTTATTCTTATACGTATCTATATGAAGTGAATAGAAATTATGTTATAAATTGTGATATAATAAATACCTACCAATTTTATTAATTTATTTCAGAAAATCTTTTCTTACCAATAGAATCGCCATCATCCCAAAATAACTTTCCGGTAGCGGTATTATCATCATCCAAAGATATTAGTAATTCAAAAGGATTTTGACGCCTAGTAGGATGTGAATTTTAATAAAATATATTAGTTCTCGTGTCTCATTCTAAAAAAATTGGTATTATCTATTATATTAGACAGCATAATAGCAGCTCTGTGGGATCTAATTGATTAGATTTAAATGACGGGGATTAGCATAACGGTATGCTTTATCATTTCTTTTAGGATTGCTCAAACTTTAATCTAATAATAAATAAAAACTGCTCCTTTAGAATACTTTTACGCGATATAATCTAGTTAGAATATAGGATTGTAATCTTATATCTAATGTAACATTTTTTAGTCTTACAATACCCAACAAAATCATTACTGCATAACATTGAACTAATTTCTTCAGTCTATAATGCAAATTTCAGCTATAATTTCGGAGTCTATATTAGTTTCTGAGAACTACAGTATATTCTCCATCCAGAAGATAAGCATTCCGTTGGATATCCATTCTAGTTCTCAAAATGAAACTTAACTGATCTTTTTTACTTTTTACAAATCCCTAAAAATGCTCGTGCATAGACCAAAACTAGAATCTATCTAATCCAATTTATACGCCTACCTTACTAATTCGAAACTGATTTAAAATGATAATGCTGTCAATGATAAGCACTAGTAAATTATAAGATTATACTTCTTGTATCCACTGAACTTCAAAGAGTATATATTAAATATGACATTCTTTTAATGTTGATATCCAACTTATACGAGTATATAGAGAAGTTGAATTAATTTTACAATACTCACGAAAATACTGTATTATTGGCTGGTTGTTGCATAGGAATTATGACACCACCGCGCGTGTGGAGAGGAATGTAATTGTGAGGAGCATCGAAAGTTTGAAAAGTTAACCGAGCGTTCTTGGGCAATTCTCGACCCTAAAGTTGAAATTTAAGTATTATTGTGTACCAACAGTGACTAAATCTATATTGAAATCGATTCTGCTAATTTTGAGTTTCTACTTAAAGTTAGCCATTTGAACTTACAGTACGGTAGTCAAACCAGCGAGCACCTGGGATATAACCTCTAACCGAAGTGGTATTCTATAATCATGTCAGTAAATAAATGAATATATCAAGCAAATAGAAAAGGAAATCACTCAAAAATACAATCAAGACTAGAACTTGAATACCCGCTATATACCATTGTCCAACTGATTAGGATCCAAATGATTAAGCTAACTTTAAAATGTACTATCTTTAAAATTGAATCTATAGCCAGCTCTGCAGCTTCTGTTTCTCACCTGTAGCAATACTGGCGTTATCATCAGTCCACTTCCCCAAAGGAATTGCTTATCTATTGCTCTTGCAGTAATATCTTTCGGCCATCTATATTGTATTTACGATATTGAAAAATAAATTGAGTCTTTCACTATTGGAGTGTAAGTATTTGAGAAAAGACAATTTTTAATACTATGGCTAAAATAGGACACATACTGCATAGTACTAAATTACAATCATAATATGAAGATTAAAGAATCCTTCTTGGATTTATGTTTTTGTTGACAAAATTAACCTGTTGGTGCTGATAATCAAAATTATAAATTACTTAACATCATACTTACTCCATCATAAAGGGTCTCATAACGATGGTACCCAGGGTAGAAGCATCATGCATTAATGTATATAGATAAGGCAAAAGCCGGTAACGGATTAACAAAACTGTACGTGAATTAGTTGCAACTTCTGGCCCAAATTTCGGAGGATGTTGGTGCTGAAAGAATTTCACAAACGGCATACTGAGAACATCATAATCCAGCTTACAAAAAGAATCATCAATGAGTGTATCTTATAACTTACATCATAGTTTTCTGCATTATGATTTCGAGAAAATGGATAAAACGCACCAAGTTGCATCCAACGATTACATAAATCTGCTGTCGAATTTCCAAAAAATCCGCAAATATCTGCACCAACCTAAATTTTAATTTAAAGATAATTCTATTTTAGCTAGTAACAATTATCGTGACTGAAATCGCTTTTAGTCTTTTAAATGGAACCAAAGTAGAGTGCTGTAATCTTTCCATATCTAATAAATTGCAAATGCTACTTACATAGGAAAATCCGAACATGCCAAACTCAAAACTACCGATAATAGAATATGCCAGCTGACTCCACCACGCGTTATTATCACCGAGCCAATGACCTGTGAATTTACCACTTCCAACAAAAGTAGAACGTGAAAGTACCATGCTTCTCTTATTCAGGACCTTTCTTGCCGCACTATTAATTACAGTATCAATATTCATGTAAATTATACCGTACTTAAAATTTAAATGTTCAACATTGAATAAAAGTTTTTCATTATAACAGCTATATCAACAGCAATGCAAAAAAAAATGCTCATTCGATAAAGCTATAAAGGAATAAAACAGATTGAAACTTACATTAATGTGGGTTCAGTTTCGCTGTATCCGTACAAGCTATGAACGTTATAATGATCTGACCAATATTGTTTAGCATCCATACATAACGTTTTAGTGAAGAGAAAGTTTCCAGACAAGCTTTCTGATAGAGTAGTAAAACAAGAAAGAATTAGCTATCTTGCTCTATGAGTATCCAAATAGAAATGAATGAAATGCGTAAATACTATATGCTATAGCTTAAATGATGCTTGATCTTACTTGGACGATAGGGAGGATAATTCCACTTATTATTTGGGCAGCCAGTCTGCGATCCGGCAACGAAATTAGCTGGTTCATTCATATCCTGCACGATAAGTTAAGCTTAAATTAATACCATGGTAATTCAAGTCATTTTTTTATTACTCGTTAGATATTCTTTATTTATTACGCGCTAGATAGTATTTAATATCAGATATAGAAATTAAACAACCACTACTAATTGTAATTGCACCTTTATATTTTATGCTATATATTAAAATTAGTAAAGTCCAATAAAATAAGGGAATATAAGATAGTTACCGTTTGCATGGCTTAATGTATCGGAATCTAACTAACTCCTTAGATAGCCTTAGGTTATACTATAAATTTATTTCAAGTAAGAGAATGGAAGCTAAAACTCTGTTTCCATCTTAGTTATCACTATATTAAATACATTCATCAAGTATTTTATAGTTACAGTCGTGACTTAGAATACACTTACAATCCATAGTCCATCATATTCGATAACTTTATGAAAGTCTATAATTAAATCTTCCCACCATTTATGCGTAATAGGGTTGGTATAATCTGGAAACGATGCATTTCCTCTAGGCCATACCTATGTTATTTTAAAATTGTCATTTACTTAAACTATCTTATCTGTATTTTATACATAAGCTATGATTCGACTTTGCACAAACGGATTATTGAAGGATTGATCCTGAGATCCTTACCTTACCAACCAAGTATCCTCCTCTGCTATCATTTACCCATACTCCCATTTCTTGGCCTTTATCAAAAGGAGGATAAGTACCTTTGGTTTGATTATCGCTAATTGCGGGATCCTGATAATATCCAACATTTTTCCATATTAATATATATTCTTTATTATTTTAAAATTTCATTTTTATTCTCAATAAATCCATTCAGAATAAACAAATTTATGGAAAGATTATTAATTACCAGGATGATTATGTAATGTAGACCATCAGCATGTAACTGCTTAACAAATTCCGGTAGCCCATTAAATCGAACTCTATCATATGTAAAATCAAGCCGATGTCTCATGTAATCGATATCACCGTACTGAATGTCCTGTAAGCATTAGAAAATCAACTGACATTACAATTCCAACGACAATTTCTGATAATAATTTCAAATTTCTCGGCAAATCAAAATTTTTTTAGTAAGTTCTTATGTAAGGTATGAAATCATTGCATGAAGATCAATACAACGTTAAGTTTTGAAAAGCCTAAGAAATACCCGTAAAGTATCGCATACAAATAATTTACAGGAGAGTAATATTACAGCATTCTATAAAATCATCCTATCTAAAAGGACGGAACCCGATTCAACAATCAGGACTATCTTAAAATGTGGAATTATAAAATAAACGCTGCCGTACTACTGTGTCTAACTGAATAGTTTGAGGTTTTGAAATTAATTTATAAAAAAATTTCGTATAGAATACTCCATATTAACATAATATTATTAATAACTTTATATAAAATAGTTGAGGTAGAGACAGAACTGATGATGCTTAAAAACATTATTACGGCAAAGAAAAATATAGTTTATCAACTTACTTGAGGTATATCATATTCACGCATTTCAGAAACAACTCTTTTAACAACATCGATGTGCATGTAGCCCCATCGGCATAATTGGAATCCTAGAGCCCAATAGGGTTGGAAGTACGGCATTCCAATGGTCTAATTTCATTATTTAATAAAATGAATTGTTAGTACTTTGGTTACGTTGCAGCTCGTTGAAGATCTTAGAGCCAAAATAAACTATCAAAGGGTGAATGATATATTTCAATTTTTACATACTTGTATGTAGAGAGCATTGGTTGCAGCTGGATCAGGACCAAGAAAGATGAAAAAGTCCAAAACACCTCCGATAGTGCGATAAGTAATAGCTGGAGCTGGTGTAACAATAATTTCTAGACAGGAAAGGAATGCAAAATGATATATGATTTATTCTAATACAATAGCTGATAATTAGCGCTTGTCTGGTCGATATGATACAGCAAGTACTACGGTTATTACAATCGGATCTAAACTGCATTGAGTTTAGGCTAAATTGTAGGTAAAGGAAGCTTCATTAATTAGCGTCTGTATATAGCCATCTTTAGTATTCTCATCAGAACTGATTTGAAAATTCATAAAGATAGATAAAATACCATAGGTAGCATTTATCAATACCGCTTTAAAATTTTAATAGGAAAAAATCATTCGAATTTAAAATTTGCATTTTTAATTATAATTATAGGGTTCGGTACTAAAGGAGTCTTTGTGCGCTAGTAATATATGAAATAGTTTTTATAATTCGACGCTGGATTGTAGCAGCTCAGTTACGATCTTAAGGGTATAAATTAATTACTATTGCTACGGACACTGCGCTGAATATACGGCAGTCAAATGGTACTATTACGTCTAGAATTTTAAGGTATATGAACAAATCCTGTTCTCTACGGCTTGGATTTATAACGTTATAATAGAGGAACCTACACTTATTAGTGATACAGATACATGACTCATCTCAGAAAAATTACTATTTCCCACTTACCCATTGCATTACTGTTATAGAAAAGAACAGCGTTACTTCTAGCATCATTGTCTTCAATATTGAGGTAAAATGGATGGACACCGTATAAATTTAAATCAGCCTAAAAAGATGGACATTAGAACCAAGAAAAAAATAGGGTAATCAGTGCATCATCAGATTTTATGGAACTAGGGCTGCATTAAATAAGCCAAATTAAATTGATATAAATATTTCGATATTTTATTAGGATATTCTACGATGCGTATTAACAAAATTTTCTCGGCAAAATCAATTGAGAAACTTTCTAAATATGCTTTAATAGTAGAATCGACATTATATTTATTGATTACTACTGTTTCCATTAACAGTGATCAAGTTAACTGATAACTTCTACAATTCTTAATATCCTTAGCTTTGGTAAAAAAAGGAACTTCGAAGACTTGAATTTGATCACTTTAAATGATGAACTTACCGTTGGAAATTCATCTTTGGTAAAGAGTGGCCAAGCCTTCCAATCAAAATTATTGTGAAGATATTGCCGGTGTTCATGTTCACCTAAGCCGTAAAAATATCGTGATGGAAGTTTGGATGAAATCTGTAGAAATTGATTTTCATATTTGAAGCCACCACGTTCAGTATTAAAACTACAATAGAAAGAAATAGAAATGCATGGGTATGTAAGTCTAACGCAATTCCAACATCATTTTAAGTGCAACTTTTTAGTGTTTTAACACCCTACGTGGCTGCAAATAAATTGTGACGATATAAGTATTAGAAATATAATGTTTTATACAACGATGAATATTGTCAGACGGAAATGAAGGAAAGCATTCAAACCATTACACTTTTTCCATTTATTTTTTATTTCCTTACATAACTGTGTTGGTTTCCTTGCGGATAACTTGAAATGAAAACGGATTAGCTTTAACCTTTAGATCATAAAGACGACTTTGAGCAGCTTGATCGCCGTCTTTCATTTCCGGTAGAGGAATTGGAACCTCGTAGCGTTTAATATTAGCATCGGTGATCTAAGCCGGCAATTGTAATTGTGAAAAGTGATTAATTTAGAGAGTATAAGAATACTCTTTTAATCGTGGGAAGAATTATCACATATGGATCAAGCATAATTTTACAAAATTTCAGTCATAATTTTATCGCACTTTAATGCCAGCCACTGATTACCCGACAACTAAAGAATATTATACTACTTCAAGATTTATACTTTGGATAAAAAATATTGAAAAAGTAGATAAAAGAATTTACCTTGACTCTTAAGCGATTACTTTGTTGAAATTGAATGTCAACATTTAATTGATCTACTGGCTCTCCGAAATGCATAGGTGTTAACCGACATCGCTGAAGGCTAAGGCGCCATCCATAAGAAGTTTGAGTCTGCTGTGTGACGATGTAAGATGTTTCAACATCAGTACATGCTTGAGATGAAGCAGTAGCTAATCCACATTGGCCTGGAGCAGCAGCAGTTGTTGCAGCTGTTGTAGCTGCGTCGGTTTCTACAGGAGTAGTTCGAGTTACCGACGTTCTAGGTGTTGTACCCGCCACTGTTGGCCTGGTTGTTACTGGCCTAGTCGTTGTCGGAGTTTTAGCAGTTGCATTCGTATGGCTGCGATTGCTCAAAACTGTTACAGGAACCACAATGGCGACAATAATGATGATAATTGCAACTACTACTACGGCAATTTTAGCCGATTTACTCATCGCCATTTTGCCTCTCTTTCTTCTATCGATCCTGGATAGTTGCACTAAGCAGAAAATAAAATAAAATTGGTCAGCGCGTGCTTAAAGTTAAATAAATTCGGGCAGACCTCTAATGTAAATAATACTTAATAATAATGATCAGATAATATTGAGTCATCAAGAACGTCATAGATTTAAACTTTGGTTACTGACTATTGCTCCTGCTTAACGAACTGAAATTCACTTAGACTAGTGCAAGTACATCTTGGTACCTTGACACTGGGACCTCATGCAGAGCTAATGTAAACTAAGCCTGAGGTGATATAGCTGAGAGCGACTGCTGCGTTATTCCGATATGATCACGTATGGTATAATTCTTTTCTAGACTATGCCATAAGCAAGGAAATTGTATGAGGTCAATTTCTTGTTGTGAATCTTATAAATTTTTTACTATCGATTTCTTTTATAATATGACCTTATAATGCCGTAAGAAACCTACTCCAAGTACCGGCAAATTAGCATCGAATTGAATTCAGTAAAACAGCATTCTAAAAAATATTAAAGACGTTGCATGACAGCCAGATCTCTATTATGATTTGATAGAGAGCTTAGAAGTTTTGAAAGCACTCCATCATAATATCTATTTGTATTCATAATAGTCAAATATTATTGACTGGTGTATGTTTCAAACTAAATTGCTAGTGCTAGTCTCTTGTACTCTTGAAGTAATATTAGTAATTATGAACCTTGCTTGCAAAGTATTTTAATTATATTTCGTTGTATATCCTGTGTTCAACCATAATGATTTCCTGGAAATTACAGTGCGCTAGCACGTGCTATTCTCAGTCTATTTGGGAAGTAATGTACACATTAGGAATATAAAGTCGCAAAGATCGATTTATTTATACAGCAGATCTGTCTAGTATCAACATAATTGCAAGAAAAATTAAAATTGTTTTTTCTTACCCAAAGTAAAATTGGTTTGATAGACTGTAGATTATTAAACATTCATTAAAGGTTAATGTCAGCTCCTATATAGCAAATAATCTGGATATATCGAGCATACCTTCAATGTAACTATAAAATATACTATTTCATATGCAAAATATACATTTTAGATTTACAATTGATTATAATTACGTTTGCAATGAATTTTCTAGCAAAGGTACCGTGGCTAAGCCTAAAAAAGGAATCTTACAGAACACTGACCTTCTTTAATTATACTTACTCATTTACTTCCTGACTTCTTTACCATGTCAGATATTTTAAATTGTTACTGCTCTTTTCATTGCAATTTCATTGACTACGATATGGTATAATATTATTTCTTATAATAAATTATAATTAAGAATTAATTAATAGTTCATTAGCGTTGAAAAAGTCACTGTCAAATGACAGTACTTTACAATCCTAATTTATACATGTGCCTATTACCCGCAAGATGAAAGATATTTTCAGCTACAAAATCAAAGTAAGCTACTTAATAAAAACTAGCATGTAGCTAAATTGGGTACAGTCAAAGCCTATCCATAAACTGAAGACTCCCAAAATTGTCTCTGTACTGCTTGTTCCATATTAAATTGAATGTAGCTAGCAATAGAAACATGATTTTTAACTAGTTAGACTATCGAAAGTAACTACAAATCCAGAATATCGGCGTAACGAGAGATACTCATGTTATCTATTGTATAGTCCTTATTTATACATATATATATATATATAATCAAACTAGCATCGAAATGCATCTTTAAATAGTCGCAAACTCTTAAGTAACTACTGTAATGGTGGATTAATTCGGTATAGTTGATTTCGGAATTTTTTGATTTTAATTTGGTAGAATAGTATTCACTGTTATACTGCAGCATTAGTATACTAGCTTAATAAATTCTTCTTAATTCGGTAGTTACTAGAACTACCTAGAGTAGATTTTAACCTTGTTGTCGCTAATGGACTAGATGAAGTATCGACGATTCAGAATAAAAGGTATTTATCCTGTGAGTGAAATACGTAGCTCCGGTATAATTTTTCCTTTGGCGTTGACTTTTTAAAACCCACTTTTACAACTACAAATCCATCAGCTGGTATAGTTGGAGCTCATAACCATATGGAATCAATGATAACATCACAGTATACAGTCTAGTCTATGCTCTTACATTAGCACATTCACGTAAGAAGTGTGAAATGGAAGTAGAGATGGATGAATTTGTGCTTTATTCCCTTCCAAATGATATGATGATATACGAGTGTGACGATAGCGAACTGAAAGCATAAAATCTATTAACTAATTAAGCTATTAAAGTATATTCTATACATAGATATATTAATTATTATGAATATGTGCCAGCTATTGTGATTGTTGTAAGGGATTGTTCATAAATAAAAAGTGGAGCTGAGTAGACGACCGGAAGAGTAGTAGTAAGCTGTATAAAATGAGTTAAAAAAGCTAACAGTATAGTAGCATGGACTACACGTTGATCATGAAGTTGTTAGTAGGATAAAAGGTAGGGTAGTACTTATTATATCAGCACGGAGACCAAGATTTAAAGAGCAATTCCAATTAATATCAAGTTACGAGGTAGTTTTAGCAGATCAACGAAGGTACAGCATCCCCATTTTATATTATCTCCCTGTGTCACAACCTCTATCAAGACAACGAGTAACGCTTATAATACTAAAAGCAATCCAGAATGTACAGTAATCAACAATTAATTAATTTTTATTTCGCCGGTCTATGATCTCGAAGCGGAATTTCAATCCTTTTAATCATCGAAAAAATTATGCCAGTTCTAAACAAAATATTTACCGAACGAGGCAAATTAATTCTCCAGTTAGACTGGTACCATAGCAGCAATTAGGTGCTAGCTGAAAATTTTACACAAAGAGATCACGATATTTTCTACAATAACAGAGATTAGTCACGTCAATAATATATAGTCATAAAATATTCCGCAGTAAATTTTAGGTTTTTATTGCTACAGTCTAAATTAACGAGAAGTTGAACATACTGTAAAACAGTCATGATGATACTATAGCAGCTGAAGTAATTCATGCTTTTATAAAGTAAAGTTGAGCTAAACTTGGTTTTGCGATCTAAATAGTGTTGTAGCTACGATTTAACATAACTGAGATATTCAAAATAAAATTATCGCGTATGCTATGGTATCTGAAATGAATTGTCTGATTAAAAAAGTGGATACGAAATCTTTTATAGTCCCGCTTTACCTTTAGTAACTACTATCTGATAATACAATAATTAAGAATTCCACGTAGAGGTTATAATAAATCAAATTAAAACGTCAGTAAATCGTGCTGCTAACTATGCAAGGACCGTATGAAATCTGATATACAGCAATTGCATTTTAAGCCTTCATCTGATCTGATAGTGACTAAAAATTTCGTATGGCAATGCAAATATTTTATAGTAACAGTAACAATTCACGTTACGGATATGTAAATAAAAGATTTTTCGTACCAGAATTTACGATATATTACTGTGAGCACGCAGATCTGTTCTAGTATTAGTTCGAATATTTGTTGAAGTAAGAGAAAGTCATTAAAAACATTCTAGTTATAATCTAGTTTTGGTTCAATACTTTACATGTAATCCATAATGTAAAATAATTGCAAAGAAATTGTAAACTCTAGTTGTTCGATCAATAATTTGCACAGTCTTGCTCATGAATCTCATTAATTTAAATCTGTGGCAAGAATAGAAGTAGATGCTTCCAGTTAGTACGATTTCATATGACCACACAAAGTATCAACGCTAATAAGATATTGGACTGGATCAAAACCCATAGATTTATTAAATTTTCAATGAAATTATTTTAAATATATCACTTGAAAAAACTCAAACTATAGCTAACTTAAAGTAACTATTTCAACTTAAATTCACAAAAGTTTCAGTTCACAAAGCAGACTTGAATTACACCGTGTGATCGATCACATTTACATTATCTATTTTGTGAAGCTGATTTCATAACAAATTCCGATATATGATATGCCAACACTTGCTATAACTTCCTCAGAATAAAATTATTCAACGTTAATAGAGTACTAGCACCTAAATAGAGCTAGTAAATCCAGGAATTTAGTTTCTTCTATCGTAATATAATCTCCCCGAAACTTCATTGAACGATATGAGTAATTAAGCCATGCAAATCAGCACTTTAAACTACCTCAGTTCATTAACATAATTATTAATCGATTTGATATGAAATAAAAGAATTAAAGTAATGATCATAATTCAATATCATATTATTGCAAACATAGTTGCATAATTTAAAACTAGAATAAGAATTACGCGATACAAGAATTTAAGTACGAACTAGAGGTGTTTAACTCCAAGTTACGGTATAACTTTTGTTCATATCCATATTCAAGCCGGTTATATTTAGCATCTATCGATTTTAAACAATAAAATAAATTAAAACCATAACTCTAAAAATTACAGTGGCTATTTAGCGGATTCAGAAAATATTTTCAACAATTACCTTGTAATTATTACTAAAATCAAACTGCGTTGAAGTGCCATTGAGTTGGACTTGGTTGATACTGGCTACAGATAATCCATATACTGTAATATAATTCAAACTAGTTTGAGCGGTATAGCCATTTTGCACAACGGTAGCTGTCAACCCACTCTGAAATGGCAATCACAACAATTAGATTAGGTTCTTAAGTATTCTTATAGACTATGGACATAAATTGATAACATATTCTAGATTATTAGAAGAAATATGCCTTGAAATACCCATAATTTTGCAATAATTTATTCATGGTTAGTATAAACATGAAACCATTAACTAGATATCTTCTAAATCTATGAAAAACAGTAGTGAATTGCCAAACAGACGCTTTGCTAGATGGTTTAATTAACTAAAATGCCTAAAGATTGCTAATCTAGATAAACATCAGGCTAAATTATACAATTCTATTGATAATAAATCATTACCAAGAATTCAAACATTTATACAAACGCTAACATCACAAAGTATTATAGATACGTAAGTACAACTACTATTTCACTAATCTTTAAATATTCTTCCTTTTACCTTTGTTGCTTTATAATTAACACGAAGATATTGTCCATTAGCAATTGTATCTAATAAGTAATTTAAAAGCAAATAAATACACTAATATAATTTTCAAGATATTGAACAAGACTAAAGCTGTAAAGTAATACTTAAAAATTCTTACAATCCCACTGTTATGAATCAGAGAATAAAGTAGGGATTCATTTTATAATTTAGTTACTAAAAATAAAAGTTAAAATCTGTATCTACGGAAATAAAATATGTAAAAGATAATCTTATAATCTAGGAAAATTTTACTCAACTATCTTATGGCCTAGCAGATGTTTAGATTTTATTGCAGAATGCCAGATAATACAGTTATATTCTTTACTGTTTTAAATAATTATTGAAATTTCTCTGACTCGTTATTTATTTAATTTTGTTCAATTAAAGCGTAAGTAAGAGAATCATCAGATTTTGTCAAGGTTATGCTTAGCATTTACTGTCCATTAATGTAAGATATCTAAGAAAATGCCGTATTCTTAATGTGAAGATAAAGTACATAGTGAGATTCTTTGTAGCTTTCACGATTATTTTATAATTAAAAATAAAGATGAACTTACTAATAGTCTCTCCATCATCCCAAAATAAGTTTCCACTAGCTTGTAAGGTATCATCCATAGCAACCAATAAGCTGAAAGAATTTTGTCGTCTATATAATATAATATAATTGAAAAATATTTCAATTATCTGGAAAATTCCCACATGACACTAGTAAGCAGAAATTTGATGTACTAACGCAAAATAAGTAGTATTAGCTGGCTCTTGTTGGACGAAAATAGATCCTCCTCGAACATGTAATGGTATGTGATCAAACGGTGCATTTAATGTTAAATAACTTCTTCGTACTCCAACTTGAGCACCCTAATTAAAAGGATTATCATTTTATTATTGATACTTATACGTATAGTCTTTATGTTCAGCTATTATTTATGGCTTGGTAAAATCTATCTCAACAAATTAGTCAAACACCAAGGAAAGTATCAGTAAGTTTTATCACCAAAATTATTCTTGATTAGCAGTCATATGTTTACAGCTATGCTACTACACCTTCATAAAGGAAGTCTTACCGTATAATAGTCATACCATCTAGCATCAGGAAAATATCCATCGACTGTTACTGCGTCCTGTAGATATTGCATAGAAGCCAGTATAAGTACGAGAAATGCGAAATTAGGTTTAGGAATAATTATTTAGCTTAACTATCTGGGCTTAGAGACGTACCAAAGTTAGTACAGGCGTTATAAGAAGTCCACTACCCCATAAGAACTGTTTGTCAATTCCACGAGCTGTTTTATCAGTGGGAAACCTAATTACGTAACACAAAGTGAAATATGGTCAGCATGAGTAATGATTGCAAAATTTCAGGACTTGAAAATTATCATAAATTTAAACAATTCCTTACTCCAACATTAGAGCCCTCATAATTGTTGCACCAGCCGTTGTTGCCTCATAATGTAAATTATATAAATAAGGCAGTAATCTATAGCGTGTATGTAAAACCTTGCGAGCACTATTAGCATTTGCAGCTCCAAATGCTGGAGGGTGATGAGGCTATCAAAGCAAAAAAGACGATCAGTAATTATTCGGCACTTTTGATCTAAATTATATTATTGCAATTATTTTGTGCAATTTTATTTTATTTAATCCAGTTTACTACCAAAGTAATATATTTAAACACTAAAGATCATACGTTTACAAGGAATAACTTTAAACAAAACTAGGGCTCTATACTAGGTAAGTGAAATATGGATTAATTTGTAATCGATAGCTAGACCTATCAATCAATAGCTTAATTATTATTCTGCAAATCATATTCTTGGAAATGATGATAACTTATTCCTTTAACAAGAAATACCTTCGCATTAAGAGTATTGTGATTTCTCGAGTAGGTGTAGAAAGCGCCTAATTGCATCCAACGATTACATAATTTTGCGGTTGAGTCGCCAAAGAATCCGCATATATCGGCTCCAATCTATATAGATGACAAAGTATAAAAATTATTCGGCAAATAATTGTAACAGTTAAAAGGTAACTTATGTAACATTTCATTTTAACTTGTTAAACTCTAAAAGCTTGAAAAATACTTACGTATGGAATACCAAAAAGATTGAACTCTAAACTACCTATAGATTTCGAGTATAAATGTATTAGGATGAATAAACTTATTAAATTTGCCATCCAATATAAAGTAACAGTTTTTTGGTAGTACCAATGATAGAATACGCCATAGAATTCCAATTAGCAGCGTTATCGCCTAGCCAATGGCCACCGAATTTACCACTGCTAACATAAGTAGAACGAGATATAACCAGGCTTCTTTTATTAGTCGAAGCACGAGCAGCCCTGGAATATTTTCATAAAGGTAAAGAATTTAGCTCTGGCATGAAACTGAACTTTAAGCTTTGGTAACTATGTTTCAATATTGCGTCTTTAGAGACAGCAAAACAACCCTTCTTCTCGACTAATTTATTTGCATGATTTAGCTAAATTATTATCAATCGTAATAATAATAATCATCATACCTCAAACTAGGTTCCATTTCACTATGACCATATAAATTGTGAACATTGTAATGGACTCCCCAATTTTGTATAGAGTCCATACAGATTGTTTTGTCATTAAGATTGGGACCCCATATTCCATCTAAAATGAGTAGAAAAAGCATTAATTATTATATCGTCATTCCTCAGAATTTCGATGCTAATGGATAACATCAATATTTAAATGCAGTATACGTAATTTTTTAGGATAAATTCTGTACTTTTCTTGTCAGTAATAAAAATGATTAAAATAAGAGAAGAACGCTAGCCTAGGTTTATTCATATCTAGAAAGGTCTTCACGTGGCTTGTAAGGAGGAGCATTATATGGGTTGTTTGGACAACCGATAATGGAACCCGTTCCAAAATTAGCTGGCTCATTCATATCCTAGTTTCCATTATTGATATTTTAGTCATAAGAATTCAATAATTAATACAATCTTAATTAAATTAAGTCTTGCTTTCTACATACAATCCATAATCCATCAAATGGGATAGTTTTATGAAAGTCAACACACAATTGGGTCCACCAATCTGATGTTTGTGGAGCAGTATAATCCGGGAAAGATGCATTACCTGGTGGCCAAACCTAATAGCACAAGTAAAAAATGAACAAGTTGATAGACTGGCTCGGCTTAAATCTTAATACTGTGCAAATGACAGAAAACAATACATCATCGCTTAAACCTTGCCAAGGAGCATCGTTCCATCGCTATTATTGACAAAAACGCCCATTTTTTTCCCTTCATCGAATGCCGGATAAGTACCTGCTGGTCTAGTTGTATCAATAGCTGGGTCCTATTAATGGAATGATTATATTATTGAAAGTTACTTCTATAACCTACAGTTAGCCATACTTTACAGAATCGTTTGATCTTACTAGAATAATGATATATTTTTGGCCGTAAGAATGGACTTCATTAACTAATGCTGGCATATCCTTATAGCGAACTGGATCGTAAGTAAAATCTAATTGAGTTTGCATATAATCTATATCTCCATATTGAACGTCCTAAAAATTTAAGTATGCGAACTTAAATTAAATATCTGAGGAGACATTATAATTTTAAGAAATAGTACAGAAAACTCCAGCTTTCTGCATGGTTTTACCTGTGGAATATCATAAGCTCTCATTTCAGATAGAACTTGTCTTACACGCGATACATTGCCATAGCCATAACGACATAACTGGAAGCCCAATGCCCAATATGGTGGAAAATAAGGTGCACCGGTAGTCTAGAGATTTAAATTGGCAAATTAATTAACCTGCTCAGATTAAATTGAGCTCTGGCATAGCCCCACTACATAAAATCTTAATTTTTATCCTATTATTTAAGATATCATGGCGCTAACCATAACATATTGTGAAATTGCTTGTTTTGGCTGAGGTCCCATAAAGATGAAAAAGTCTACGATGCCACCAATAGAGCGCCATGTTATAGCTGGACTTTGAGAAAGAACGGCCTCTGGAGGAAATAGTTGGAAAAGAATTAAATTGGTTGCAAGTATTGGTATAAGAATGACTTAGATGTGATCGGAGCTAGAATGAATTATTCTACCTTACCCATTGCATTACTGTTGAAGAAAAGAACTGCATGGCTATTGGCTTGATCATCTTCGATGTTGAAGTACATAGGATGAGTGCCATATAAATTTCCGTCTTGCTATAGCGGAATGGAAAACAGAAATTTTTATTTAAGCTAGCCTTCAATTTAAAGCACCTATGCATATGTTTAAAGTGAAACGTCAATAAATATTCTCATCGGCGTATTCTACCTTAAATATAAGAAGAATTACCGGCAACATTATGTTCTTGCAAGTTAATACCGTACGTAAAATAGAATATACGCGTATAATCATAGTATGTAAATGTTGTAAAATCAATATTAGAAATACAGTAACGCTTTATTCAATCAATTATATATATCACTAAATCTGTGGGTTTAAGTTCAAAGTATCTGTGTTGATTATCAGTAATATCGGAACGTACAGTGGGTGGTTGATCTCTTGCGAATAGACCCCATCTTTTCCAGTTCCATTGCTGATGCTTAAATGATCGATGTTCATGTTCGCCAATACCATAGAAATCTTTGGATAATAATTTTGTGCTCCATTCAAGGTATTGATTTTCAAAGTGTAAAGGGCCTAGAGTTGTATCAAAGCTAGAAAAAAGATATTGATAGGAATTAACTTTATAAGTTATTCAACAAAAACAAGCTGAACTCTAGTGGCGGATTTTTATTTTATAATTGAACAACGATATTAAAGTATTTAGGGTAAAATATCTTAAAGCTGAATAACATTGTACTACAGCGTACAATACATATAAAAGATGACTGTAAAATAATACTTATTGATTTTCATCGTTATCGTTAAGCTTAATCTTGAGATACCTAGCGTTTCAATTTATACAGGTTCCTATTTAATCTCAGAGTTGATAGGTATACGTTGATCAAACTGCACTGCAACTTATTCGGTACACTATCATAACTAGGCTATTAAAATTAGGTAGCACTGAAAGCGATGTCAGCTAAAAAATATAGCATTCTTGAAACATTTGAAGTAGTTTAAAATGAAATACTTTATTTATAAGCATACATTGCTTTTCCGGTTGCTTTACGAATGACTTTAATAGCAAAAGGATTCTCTTGAATTTGGACTTGATAGAGAGGGTTCGGAGCTTCTGCATCATTACCGGACAGATTTGGCATCGTAATTGGAACCTCATATCGAGCATTGTTAGGATCGTAAATCTAATTAAAATCGATCATAATTATGGACAAGATTTAGATGATTTGCTTAAAAATTAGTTTAAATATTAGCGAATGACAACTTGACCAGACTAAATTTTTGTATATATCAACGAAATTAGAACTAAATCAGATGTCATTACAAGTTGATAAATTTTAAAATAGAAAATTTTTTGATAGATTTACGTTAATTTGTAAACTCTGAAAGTAGATTTGTGCTTATTGTCAGCTAAATTAGGTAAGTTGAGGTAATAAAATTTAAGTATAGCACTAAACGAAAGTCAGAAAAAGTCATAATCGATCTAATATCATCTTAATCGTCACAGTTTACAGCTAGAGAATGTCTAACAATATACAAATCGCGTAATACCGGCCATCAATTTACACCAATCAATCCCTGAAGAAATTGAAATTTCTCAAATATTAAATCATCTGATAAATGTCTAGTTAGTAAGTACTAAAATACAATGCTGGATAGTGACTGTCTTTAAAAAAATCATTTAAATGTAGCTTGTATTATTATCTATTGGAAGTAAAAGTTGAGATTGATCGAAATACTGGATACTATAATAGAGGTAGTAATAAATTTTCAAGATAGGAAATGAATTCACATTCCACCTGTAAGGTATCATTTTGCAATGGTAATAGATTGCAGTTACTTTCTTTGAAATCATTCATTTAACAGAGATGTAGCGCTGCTCTCAAGCTTGTAACGGACTCATTTGGGTGTATGTATAGTTACAGCATCAACGTGATCAAGAATTATTTCAAAAACACTACATACAGCTTACTAAATTACCTTAATTCGAAGTCGTTCATTGGTTTGATACTGAATATCTGCAGTTAATGTCGATATCCGACTGCCATATTGAACAGGAGTTGCAGTATCGCGGGTTAGTTCTAATGTTTGACCATATGATTTTTTTTCGGTCTTGCTAACGTAATAAGTTCGATAATTTTGGGGATAGAAGCAATAAGGAGCATTGGGTACATTTGTTGCTGCCCAGCAACAACCACGACTACGACATGTTTGTTCTGAAGATTGGAAATAATCTGGAAAGCAATCAATACGATCATTATCATTCACTGCTGGGCAAGAAGTGGGTGGTGGTGTAATTGGCATGGTTGTTGCTTGCATTGCTGGAGTAGTTGGTGGATTTATTGTCGGTTTTTTGGTTGTTGATGTTGGCGTTGCTGTTGGTGTAGTTGGTGGTGGAGCTGTTGTTGCAATAGTTGGAGTTCCTGCCAAATTACCACTGGATTGCTGGCATAGTTTTTGAGACATTGTGATAGGTAGAATGACAGCAATACATACAGCTACGATCATCGCAGCCAAGGCAATGAGAAAAATTCCTTTACTAGTTTGGCTACCTGATTGTTGGTTCTCGTCGACGTCAAATTTTTCCATGGTGGTTTCTAGCGATAACTGGAAATTTTTCAAAGTATAATTCAAACTGGTATTCGATGAGGATAATTACTAATATTAAACTTGCCGATCAGTTTATTAATTGTACTTTGTGTGCAAAGTAATTGCATCCAAGAGTAATTAATTACTCTGCACAGAATTCTATTTAGCTGCAGAGATTGAATGTTACAGTGTACAAACAAGGATCAGCCCAATTCTGATCTTGCAGAATAGACTGAGGAGGAAGCGAGGTCTTGGACAATATTAACTTGTACGAGAAGTAGCTACCGCAGCTTTGATAGAAGAGTTCTATTGGTCATTAATTCACAGTCACGTTATAAGACTTCAATTTAGCCGTATCGTCTATTTCTATTGCCTAGGGTTGTATTGGCAGGATATTATCTCACTCATAACCGAAGTTGTTTATCTAATGTTTGACATCAATTGTTTAGGTGTTTACATTAGGAAGAATATCCCAGAAAATGAGAATCATCTGATTATGTCTTGACAGTTTATTATTCACTTTTACTGTCAATGTATTCCAATTAAGGATGACAGAAAAATATTAGCAAGAATTAAATCGTATATATTCTTAACCTAATAGAATCGGAATTAGACAGGAGCTTCTTCTGTCTGATAATATTGACAAGAAAATAATAATTAGAACCGGCTAATACCACATTAAGCTTTACAACATTACATAGATATAGAAAAATCCAATTTTAGCTCGTAGCAGGATATCAAATCATGATTGATAGGTGAGCAATCAATAGAGAAGCATTTAATGCACTTATCTACGAATTAGCATTAAAAGATTTAGCCAATCACTTCTACTTTTTCACGATGATTATAATATTATTCACGGCTTTTCCTCGTGCTCATGATTGAGTCAACACTTCCTTTTGTATTATCACGCTAATATTCAAATGTCAATTTTTCGAATTGACATATTGTTATCAGTAATGTTTAGACGAAATATGAGTTATTAAGCTTCTCAAGCAAAGACTTAGTTACCCAAATGAAAATTTACAGTTTAATTCGATGATGATTCAGAATTGCATTATGATGATCTAAATGATGCTTAAGGTCAATCTATATTTGTCTATATCATCACTTTACTACCGCAATTTTACGTTTTCATATATTCAAATAAAGAAATAGTACCACTACAGTATGATAGACCTTCATGACAAAGCTAACAGGTTTCTGTCAGTCTTGACAAATCTATCACGTAAGCTATTTACATAAGCAACAATGTCTCGTCAATCAAAATGCCAAGATGATTTTATCATGATTATTTTTTTACAATTTATTCATACCAATTGTTTAAAGTTGATACACAAGTATCCTTGATAGATATACTAATAGACTACTTTTAGTTCTAATTCTTGCGGCAGGAAATGGGTACAAACTAGGTTATAATATGAAATAAAACTCTAATATGATCCTAGTCCCATTCTCCGGATCTTTTTGATTTAATATATTAACTGTTCACCGGTATATTATCCATCGTAAATCAATTTTTTACTCGGCTCTGCTAGTAAGCAGACAATATCTTAAAAACTACACCAATCAATCTTGATGCCAGGTACAGCTAAATGTTGTTAGGCGACGTTATTCCTATTTTTATATATTAGTCAACTTAATAAAAAAATGCTGACTTAACCCTACATTATATAACGCCATTCTTTAGTTAGTTAGATATAATAGAATATAAGTGTATTTTGATCGTAAAAATATAAAGTGGCCAAAAGTACATAGTTACCGTGATCATGTTTATCCTTTACAACAATGATAATTGCTTTTTCTGTCCATATCTTATTGAGCATGATCATATATTTTAAAACTAGACTACGTATATGGAATATAAGCGAATTTCCGATAGTAAAAATTATAGAGTCCAAATTGAAAAGTTAAAATGATCGTATTGATCTACCATAATCGCGATAATTGCTGTTTTTGTCATAATCTTATTGACTATGATAATATCTTTAGGAACTAGAATATACCGTATCGAATATAGACGAATTTCGATGGTAAAAAGTATGAAGTAGTCCAAATTACAAAGTTAAAATGATCATGTTTATCCTTTATAACAACAGCAATTGCTAGTTGACTATGATAATAATATATTTAAAAGCTAGACTATATCGAATATAATCTAACCTCGATGGTGTAAGAGTATAAAGTATTCTAAATTGCATACTTAAAGTGATTATGTATATCCTCTAAAGTAACGGCAATTACAGCTTTCCATGTGTATCATAATGAGTATGATAATATATTTAAAAACTAGACTATATTTTGTTATCGCTGGTTCTATTCTGAATTGAGCCGATTGAATCTGTTCATTCTATGACGTGAAATTGACAATTGCCAAACAGCGAATAGGAAGCTACAGATCTTGATATTGAAGACAAGAATCAAGAACCAATTCTTAAATCGAAGAATATTAAGAACTTTACTCTATTGAACTAATAATATCAAATTCCAGATAGCAAATAAATCAATTAATTAATTTTATTGGATGAACGTCAAGTCATTGATAATTATCAGTTACGATCGATATTATAAACGTATCATTTTGATATAAGTGATCATATGCGCACAACTAACGATCAAACTAAATTATGCTGGCCAAATTATTAATGAAATGACGTGATTTACCATAGCTACAGTTAAGTCAAGAGATATCTTTCAATCTTAACTGTGCTTAAAATTGAAAACCAGCATTATATCATTTATGTACAGATACAAGCCAAACATTTGTGTAGAAAACTAGCAATTATCAAAATAATTAGTTGAAGTTTGTGTTTTACGAACACGTTTTATTTTGGATTAAAATTTAGAAAAAACATAATCATGAGTTTAGGACACCAAATTAGCTCCAAGTAATGGTGAAAGCTTTGTTCATATCAATATTCAAATTAGATATTTGCAAAATCTATGGGACATGAAGAAAGAATAGATGATCAGAAAAATGAATACGGGTTTATCGTGAAATAATTTTTGCAAAATAAAATTTTACAACAAAATTTAATATCAATCAGTGTTAGAATGCTTACTTTAAATACGCTATCAAAAGTAAATTCTGTTGTTGTACCATCAACTTGAACATTACTGACTGTAGGAATAGATAAACCATAAACTTTGATCTCTCCTAAAGTTGTTGCAGCAATGTAATTATTCTTGGAAACAACGGCTTTCAATGATGTCTATAAAGTTAGAATATAATCTGAATTAATTTTGTATCATGAGCACTATAAAATCTGTCATCTATATCCATTTAAATTATGTTCATGTGTTCGCTAGTATGACAAACAGTTAAAAATTTTCGCTACTCTAGCTATCAAATAAAACATAATCAAGACTAGAGAATTTAGGATAGTGATATTTCTTCAGCGGTTTGCTCATGATATACTGATTACATATTCTATATAATATAATTGTTAGGCTTCTCAGATATAAATTTTGCGTTACTGATTTCGGCTGGATAGTTGCACAGTTATTGCTACTTTCTAGCTTAGTCATGCTATCCTATACACTGATTTGATAATACTATTCATAATATCTAGGAATGAAACCCTACATGTTTTCAAAATAATGCTCAGTAAATATTCCTTCTTTCTCGGTCTTACCTTATCTGCTGTATAGTCGACGTAGAGATATTGATCTTTCGGTATGGTATCTATTGATATTGGAAATTATAATTAAGTCGAAGCGTCACGTTAAACGAAAAGTCTTTATTAAGAAATAGGGAAATCTATCTAGCAAAGTATATTAAATTTGCATCCTACCTATTGAATCTCCATCATCCCAGAATAGATTCCCCTTCGCAGTAATTTTGTCATCCATAGCGACTAGTAAAGAAAATTGATTCATACGTCTAAAAATAGAAGAAAGCAACAGAGAAAATTTAACATATGCGTAAAACTTTCACAATACCTCACCAAGCAAGACAAAAATAAAGAACTACCCACACTAAATATTAACATGCAATTCAATTCTCTTTACTAAATACAAACAGATTACTTCAGCTTACGCAAAGTAGGTATTATTAGCAGCTTCTTGCATAGGTAAGATATATCCTCCACGAACGTGAACGTTAATATGATCGTATGGAGCACTTAATTCAACATTTCCTTTACGTATACCAACTTCAATTCCCTATCCATAGAAGGACGATAAAAGTAATAATTTTTAATCGCGAACACTTGCATTGATAAAGTGCTGTTACAGGAATGTACATCCTCTTTTTAAATACTATATTCATTATGCCCATAACAATATATTATGTCTAAAAATCATATCTTTATTAAATATACGAAGCTGATCACTATAAATCTTAATTTGACTTACATTATAATAATCGTACCACCTACTATCGGGAAAGTAGCCGGTCACCTTAACGGCATTCTAGATTGAAATAAAAAAGAACATAAAGTTTCAAAACGGTTCCAATCTGGCTACTTCATGATAAACCACAAGTAATTAAAGTTAATACCTCAGTTAAAACCGGCGTAATTAATAACGCAGCACCCCACAAAAATTGTCTGTCTGTATTCCTTGCAACTGGATCAGTTGGCCATCTAAACAATAGTACATGCGGTTATAAATTATCTTACAATAAAGGTAAGCTTAATATCAAATACTCTTCTTCTTGAGATCCATTTATCTTGTAACATAATTATTTTTATAACTTACAATTCATCAAATTAACTTACTCAAACAAAAAGGAACGCATAACTGTTAAGCCATCTGTATTTGCGTGATAAAATAAGGTGTATAAATAGGGGAGTAACTTATATCGAACTAGCAGGGCTTTTCTAGCACTATTAGCTAGTTTAGCTCCAAAAGCTGTTGGATGTTGAGGCTAATAAAAACAAGTAATGAAAAAGATTAAATTAAAAATGCATGAAGACGATGAAAGTCACAGTCTCGACCGTACCGAATTTCCTCGACCATTGTGATTTCTGCTATATGTGTAGAATGCTCCGAGTTGCATCCATCGATTACACAGGTTCTCATTAGTATTACCGTTGAATCCGCAAATATCTGCTCCAATCTAGGGTTCAAAATCAGTTTACATCATTACTTTATCCATAGTCTTAGATCTATCTGAAGATTTTTACAATAACTTACATATGGGATGCCAAACATATTGAACTCCAAACAGCCTAACGAGATCAACGAAAAATCAATTACGTTTAGAGTAAGGTCCTTCTATCATGATAAACGTACAACCAAACTTAATTTCTAATTAATTGATAAGCTATATAAACATCTATTTTAATGCTTATCCACACCAGCTTTTAGGCATATTTTACATATTGTGACGAACATAACTGTCCACTTCACTAACCAATGATCGAATATGCTAGATCAGGCCATGTAGAGAAGTTATCACCTAGCCAATGACCACCATATTTACCAGAACTTACGAAAGTAGATCGGGATATGACGATACTTCGCTCTCCTGTAGAAGCTCTAGCAGCTCTATTTTATAGTAATATTTAATAAGATTTAGTGCCATAAGCTTGGTAACATACTATGCATAACAAAAAAAATAGTACTGCAACATCTTATTAATTGAAGGAAATTTGGTACAACAGGCCTCGCAATATATGACATAAATAATAAATAGTATGATAATAATCCTCAATTTATCCCCAATTACTGTTCATCAGTCCGTTAAAGTTTATACTTATAACTTACTTGAGAGTGGGTTCTGTTTCACTAAATCCGTACAAGCTATGAACATCATAATGTAGACCCCAATGTTGCATAGAATCCATGCAAATAGTTTTATCATTCAATGTGCTGCCAAAAATGCTGACTAATGAAATTGAACAAAAGTAATGCATACTGCTAAATCTAACTTTCTTAAAACATTCACAAACAAATAGCTTAATAACCAATATCAAGATACGCAGTATGAACAGTTTACAAATCTAATTCACCAGTTAAAATGAAAATGTTATTATATTATTTTAATAGTGATTACATCTATGTGACTTTTCATTATATACAACAAAATTGTCTGTCGTACGTATACATATACTTATCATCTAATTTTAGAGTTAATACTAGCTTATAGGAATGAATTAAAGTTGTCTTGAAACATACGTGGCTTATATGGTGGATTATTATATTTATTTTTTGGACAACCCTTCATGGAACCTTCAACAAAATTGGCAGGTTCATTCATATCCTGATGGTAATTCATAATCATAGCATTAGTATAATTCTTTATAAGTATAATACTCATTCATAACTTACGATCCATAAGCCGTCAAATGTGATGTTCTTGCGAAAGTTCACGATTAATTCTTGCCACCATATAGTAGTATTTGGGTTTGTATAATCAGGGAAAGTAGCGTTACCTCGAGGCCAAACCTACATATATCGATATCCGTATCAGATTTCAACATCCTATTTTAATTTTGTAAATGAATATAATAATACCGCCAATTTTCTTTTCTCATTACCTTGCCAATTAAAGTCTTGCCTTCACCATCCTTGATGAAGATGTCCATCTTGACTCCATTATCGTAAGGAGGATATGTACCTGCAGTTTGATTGTCACTAATAGCTGGATCCTACAGTAATTGTAACTGTTATTACTTTAAGATTGCAAATACTTATATGCACAAAATAAGAGTATCTAATACACTATACTAACCAATATAATGATGTAGCGCATTCCTCTGGAGCGTAAATCATTGACAAATTCAGGAAGGCCAGCATAATTGACCGGATCCCACGTGAAATCTAAGGCATGCTTCATGTAATCGATATCCCCATATTGAACATCCTTTAATAAAATTTAAGAAAAATACAACTGTTTATTTCCTGAAAACTCTAAGGCCTTTATTTAGGTGTAGACAAGAAAAAGGTGAAAAATTTTCTAATCATTAATCTACTATTTTGTGCTTACATGTGGTATGTCAAACGATCTTACTTCTTCTACTACTTGCTTAACACGATCCAAGCTGTTATAACCCCAACGGCATAGCTGAAATCCCAAAGACCAATAAGGCGGAAAGTAGGGTAAGCCAATCATCTATTATAGTGATATCAATTTCGTTGAAGAGCATATTTTATTGAAATATACGTAATTGATATTAATAATTGTACTTTAAGTTGTATAGTAATGAAAATTTAACCTTAATGTATTGTTGAACAGCTTGATGTGGCATTGGGCCCATCGTTATGTAAAAATCGAGAATACCACCGGTTGTTCGCCATTGCAATCCTGGTGCTCCCGTTAGAATAACCTCTGCATGATTGAAAAAATACTTTTAGATATGTGAAAATATTGCAGCTACGGTAATAAATGGCCTCGATTAAAACCATTAGAAACAATCATTTATCTTGAAATAATAAACCTCGATCTTATTTGACAGATTGGCATTTACATATGCCACTCTTACCCATAGCATTGCTATTCATTAATAGTACGGTATGACTATTGGCTGCATCGTCTTCGACATTTAAATACATAGGATGTGAGCCGTAAAGATTGGCATTGAGCTATATGAATTATTTGAATGGAGGCATATAATTAAGATAATAGCCCACTTTGTAAGACTTTATAATGAAGCATGCTAAACTGCAGTAAATAGTTCAGATAGTAGACGTAGTAACTTACGACTGGTGCTTGATCGCGGGCGAAGATAGGAATACGTTTCCAGTGAAAATCCTTATGCATAAACGTACTATGAACATGCTCTCCTAATCCATAGAGGTTAGTAGATGGTAGCCTAGTTGACAATTCCAAATACTGATCTTCAAATACTAATGGGCCAAGAGTTGTATCAATGCTGAAATTAGAGCGCAAAATGCTTTGTAAATGCATAATGAACTAGTAATCTTTCATTTTATAATATTACTAACAAAAAATACAAGCTATAACCGTCAATTATATTTTAAGCGTCAATAGATTTTACATATGGAACTATTCATGTGAAATGAGTTACAATTAAGAAGCGATTATGGCAATCTTTTAATTTAAATGTGATACATGTATTTCTACTCTAGCTTTAATATAAAATTATTGCTGTTTAAACCTTCGTGTTAAACTATAAGTATTTCTATCTACTTTTTAAATCGATTGCTTTATATGTAAATTTATTACATTTTTGTTCCTGTTGATTTTCTCTTTACAATAATGGTAAAAACTGGTTTAGTCAATACTTCCACTTCATATAAAGGATCACTAGCCTGGTTGTCAGTGTCCGACATGGTTGGCATTGGTATAGGAACTTCGAATCTTTTATTATTAGGATCGTAAATCTATAATTTTAAAATAAAGTTAGTAAATAATGAAATAGACAATATATATAAAATAATGTCAAAAAATGGAAAAAAACTTTTATTTAATTCATTAAACAGTGTCACATCAATCTGTAGAAGATTTTTAGCAATCATTTGTTGTATCCGATAGGAAACAAAGTGCCGCACCTTTATTTTAAGTCATATCACATTGTAATATAAAGTAAATTGGGTGGCCCAACAAGCTTGGCCTTTATTTTACAAGCTTTGATAATTGCAAATTAGTAGAGTAAAAATTAGAGGAAAGAGATCTAGACTTTTTTTTATAAATTGAGATACTGAATCAAAATGACAGACATCCCCTACGTGTATTTCCAATATCTCAAGTTAGATATATAATCAACATCTATGTCGGCTAAATTAACGTTATCCGGTCTAAACTCTATTCAGATATAGCTTACATGATGAGCTAGTCTACTGATACCTAATATTAATATTAGTTGTTTGATTTGCGATCAGCTGTACGAGTCAATACTAGACCTATACAGCATTCTATCGACTTTAACTACTTTTCAGTTCTAATCGACAGCTAAAACTCTTTTCCGTTCATCCTTAAATGATAATCTCAATTTTAATCTGCTGCTCTATTCAACAGATAATATAGCATTAATCCTTAAAGACTGCTAGTTTCATACACTTACTTTCATTCTCAATCTTTCATTGGTTTGAAATTGGAAATCTGCATAGATCATATTTGGAGCATTACCGTAATGAACAGGCATGAAAGCATCCCGCATTAAGATAGCACGAATTCCGAAGGGCATCGTTCGAACTGTGCTGTTGTAAAATGAAAATTTGTCGGAATAGATACACCATGGTACACCACCGGTCGAAATTGGCCTCCAACAGCAGCGCCGATTTGCACAGGAAGAAGGATTGGAAAAGGAATAGTCTGCAAAGCAATCCAGTCGATTTTTTTCAGTGACTGCTAGACAAGGATTAACAGGAGGAGTTGGTGGTATCGTTGCTTGAGTTGTTGCACCAGTTGTTGCTGCATTTGTGGCTGCAGTGGTTGCAGCTGTTGTTTGCGGTGCTTTGGTTGTAGGTGGATTTGTTGGCCGAGTTGTTGGCTTTGATGTAGTCACTGCTTGAGTTGATCCAATTTCTTGATTTAAAGGGATGCAATTAATGTTGATAACCATTGGAACAACGACACAAATGGCGATAGTTGCGATCAAGAATATGCCTAATACCCAGAGAGCTCTTTTGCTGGACGTAAATTGTCCAAATGCATCGTCTTTCGACATTTTACTTCCAATTTATCTAGAAGAATACTCAGGCTTTAGCGAAGTGATTTTTGCTTCAAAATTTTAAAGCTGCTAAAATATGCAATAGAGATGAAGTAAGCTATAGACTATGAACAGATTGAATACAACAGTATTGCACTAGCCTACTAAAAGTGGAGATGGTCATAACCGCTGTTTAATATCACATTGGTCAACTCTATGCGGTCAGGCAAATGGGGAGGTGCTTGTATCAAAGACGGCTAAGGAGGTGGGATAGGAGGTGGGATAGAAGGTAGGATAAGGTAGAATAGAAGGTTGGATAGAAGGTTGGATAGAAGGTGGGATAGAAGATGGGATAGAAGGTGGGATAGAAGGTGGGATAGAAGGTGGGATAGGAGGTGTTTACAAAGTTTGCAAAATGAAATAATAACAAATAAATAGCCTAAAATCACCTACAGCAAGTATTAATATTTATTTATTGTCTTTGTTTATAGAAAGCTTTTGTCTGATTCTAGGTCACGATCATCCTCTAAGATACGCCAGAAATTGAGAAAGAGTTTATTATATTCTACTGGAAGCCATCATTGAACTATAACTGAAGCAAATATAAATTAGTACTCTACTAAAGCTTTTATAACATCTATCATATCCTTGACCTGTAGGCTGTAGCCATGAACCTAATCATGGTTTTTTCCTTATTTGGTTAGGACTTGTTAAATTGTTATTATCATTATTATTGATTCGAGCTATTGATTCTAGCTATTGCAGTCAAGATCATTTCATGTTTTAGCAATCGGCGTTGAGTTGCATGATCTAAAATAATTTACTCCACGTATTAATCAGTTCTTGCGACTATACACTACGGTCATCTTCCATCCAGTTAGGAAAAAACATTCTATGAAGGTCTGTAAAGAGGTGTCATAATTCATCTGTTTTGGTGACTATGATCAACTGCTCAATTAGAAAATGTATTCTATTAAGAACTTGAAAGGGCTCGCAGTATTCTTCCATTTTTACAACTATAACCCGCTAGCGAGTTAGGAGATGCACTACACAGAGAATCTCATAAAATTGACCGCGCTCATCCGCAATATTAGGAACTTTAAGGGGTTTGCGCTGTTCTGCTATCTTCACAACTATAATTCGTTAGTCAGTTAGGAAATGCACTACACAACGAATCTCAAAGAGTTTCCCGCGTTCATCCATTTACGTGACTATAATTCACTGTGCAGATCTAGTTAACAAGGACAGTATACTAATAATCTTGAAAAGTTTACACTATTTATCCATTTTTTTTGTAACCCTAATCCACTCTCTAGCAGGAAAGTGCACTATATGCAAAATTGTTAGTCATTTATTTGGATATTAAGTTCATTGACTAACAATAAAACAACTTAAGATAAGTTCCCATCATTTCTCACGCTATGCGAAATTGTCTTGAATATGAGTAAGAACTGCCCATCGTCAAAGATGAACACGTATAGAAACTTTCATTTATTGATAGACGCTATTTAATAAAAATGGCTTCTTAAGTCTTTCAGCATCAAAGATGTAATCATCACTATCTAACTGAAATAATTTTCCTAGAATGTAAATCACAGTACATCTCAGCCGTTCGTGGCATAATTATTCCTAGGTAAACATTATGCTAATTAAATTAAAATCGTGTTATCTGGTACCTGCACGAATTATGGACTTATTTACGAATAGTTAATATTAATAATTCTCTGACAAAGTATAGAATGATTCCGCCAATTCATATTGCAATAAATGATAATAATGACTGAATCATCTGCCGGCTTCTGCTATTTGACACAGCTTTAGTTTTCTCCTAAAGCTTTATTCTAATAATAACAACGACACAATGTAAACGATGAGGAAGACGGATAAACAGCAAATCAGTAATTTTGACCAACATGGAGATTATCTCTTCTCTATGGAATGACTCTATATAAAGTGCTAGCGATGAAAATCAGTCGGAGAATACGAAAGAAATTCCGTTAAAATTTGATTCCAATTATAAAATTCAATTAGCTTTGAGTTTCGCAACAAGTTGGTAGCCATCGTTTTCTTCATATTCCAGATAGTCAAGTCTGCTGCACCGAATGATCGATCTTACACTCTCAGCAATCATCAGCAGATAAGGTATCTGACAAGGGCTATAAAATTCAATCAATTAGCACTCGCATCTCTTTGTAGACGAGAAGTTGGAAAATTTCATACAGTACCAAGACGGGCATATGAATTTAAATGGAAAAGATTAACTTAATTGCCTCATCAGTACCGGCAAAGCAAAGCATAGCTAATAACTACTAGAGCAGTAAATAATATATCATTAATATGGACCAGCGATCATGATAGAAGAAGATGGAAATGATACAGCAGAGTACGAATGTATAATATTGGATTTTTTGCACTTCTGAAACAAAAAAATGATAAGGAAATTGAATCTTAGCAAGGTTTCAGTTTCATATCGGCTAATTATGGCGACTTTTTACAGCATCTATAGAATTGGTTAGCTTCTTATAAAATTTAACCTCTAGAATAGTTAGGAAAGTAAAATAATCCAAAAGTCGCTGATGACGTATTTCCGACGATAAGACTTAAACTTATAGAGAAAAATTCAATAGAAATCCTGCTATAAATACTTAATTCATTCACTCTAGCAGCTTACATAGCACAACCATCATTACTTTCAGCTTTCATTTTATAGATTATTTGATATACAGTCCTCTATCTTTAAAATGGCTTGATATCACAGCTAAATTGAATAGATCCAGCCATGGACTACTAATGAAATACCTTACTTTCTCTAGTACCGTAGTCCATGATACAGTTTACGAATGTCGTGATATTTATCCCATCATTCAGTTGAAAGCTATTATGGCTATAGCAGATTCGTAAATTATATCATCAAGGCGAAATGAATCATTTAATAGCAACAATATCAACCCGTAGGTTTATGATAGTAGTTCAGTAAGACTTATGAAATCACTTAGCATCTTACCTAACCTAACTTAGTAACCCATCAATTATCCAATACTACCCTATACTATGCTTCATAATTTCTGCCTGGCCTATCATATAAATCTTGTCATATTAATTTATTTCTTCTAAATAGGTGAAAAGATATTGTCTACTCTACCAAAATATGATAATGCTTTCTTAACATCGTGCTTATTAAGTAAAGCGATCCCATTTATTGCAAATAGGTGAAAAGATACTGCCTACTCTACCAAATCTATAAGGTAAATGTTTTCTTAACATAATTGTCTATTAAGTAAAGCAATCACGATATCACATATTTTATAGTTTTGTCCCTTGCTTATTACAACTAACCGGTAATACATCTTCTCAATTTAGCAAAATGAGCAAAAATGTACTATTGTTCTTGTTGAAATATATTATATTAATCGCTAGCCAATTTCCCCAAAATTAGCATTATATTGACTCATACTATGGACTATAGTTCAATCAACTCCTGTTGCTTTCTTTAAATGAATCAATCACTCTTATAAGCAAGTAAAACGCCTTCCACGGATTTTTACCTGAACAGTTTTATTTCCAATAAAATAATCATTTTTAAAATGTTAATTTTTAAAGTTAATTGACGAAAAAGAATCTATCAAAGATTCGAAACTGGTGATACTATTTAGTAAGATTTATTGAAAAGAATTCATTTGGATAATCAACAACAAGCATCAAAAGCAATGAATAAGTAAGTATTCAGCGCATTTTCTTTTCAGTAGTTCAGGTACAAAAATGAAATAGGAATCATGATAGCTCTCCATTTCAAATGTATTCAATTATTACTATCCCAATTACAAAAATATAAAAAACGATTTAACGGCAATAAGTTACTTAGACATGGTATTCTAAACGAATTTAAATCGTCTCACATGGCGTTCTTCTTTAGTCCATTGACAGTCTAATAATCAATTCGGGATAAAACTTTGTAATCACCCTATCAACGATATGATATTCAATTTTATTTCCTAATTGCTAGAAACGACAGAAGAAGTTCTATCCGAAGAGGTCATTGATGGAAAATGTTCATGAACAACCGTACCACTCGCCACAATCGTAGACTCTCTCGCTTGCTCATCTTCATCAACATTATTGCCATAATCATAGCCCATTGAAATATCACTATAACTACTCAGAGCTATAGATGAAATAGCAGTAGAGATCGTTTTTAGCGAATCTGCGGTAAGGATATTCTTATTCATTAGCGTGCTTGCGGTTGAAGTAGGAATATTCTGAGATGTTAGGCTAACATCATTTGGATTTTTCTGCAGTACCCCAACCAGTATACTGGCTGTAATTACTCCAATAACGATCAGAGCCAGGAGACAAACTACCACAACGGCCTTTCCTGTCAATTTGCAAGTTTTTGCTGAATCCATGTTCGTCAACCGGAATCGAGTGGAATAAGAGGATAATGATCACGCAGTCTTTATGATGAGAAACTATGAGTAAGTTTTCCAATATCAAGAGTTTTTATACATAGCAGTTCAACACGCACTGAGCTACAATATCTTTCAATCGTCAAATTGATAGTGAGATTTACTTACTAATTTTATCACGCAGAAAACACTTTACCTTCCCCAAACTACCAATCGTTCAAGTTCCATCCAAATAAAGTAGTAAAGCAGGGCTTGGAGATAAATCCATTGACCATAAGAAGAGATTGATCTCTATTCTAGAATGATCAATAGCCTGAATATCTTCCTTCAAGCGTTCCCATTTCCAAACTCTAGTCTCTTGAAGACAGCTTTGCCCACCTACTATTGCCATATATAGTCTAAACTTGCGGAAATGCGTAGTCGTTCAAGATTGTAATTTCGAAAGTTTCAGCCCTGAGTATCGGTTTGCACCTTCGAATCTCGCTAAGAAAAGTTAGCCATTAAATACCACTACTACTATATAGGGAAAGAATTTGTGTAATCTTTAAGAATATATCCAGCTGAGATAGCTTTGGCCACCTACCGTTTTTTGGCATCAGCTTGAGGAAATGACTAATTGTTCATAATGATAGTCTTGATAATCTCATGTTATTGTGTCAGCCTACACTTTCGAATCTTGCTAAAAGAGCTTAGCCATTTAATTCTACTACTGCATTGGGTATAAGTTGATATCATTTTCAAGAATGTACTGTGCTAGGATAGCTTTGGCCGTCTATAACTACCGTATATGGCGCTATGCTAAGACAATTTTAGCCACCTATGTATATGACCTAAGTATAGGAAAGTGATTAATGAATTGTGCATGATCATAGTCTCGATAGTTTTATGCTACTTCGCCAGTTTGCACCTTCGAATCTCATCAAGAAAGCTTAGCCATCTGCTACTACTACTGTACTATAGTATAGGACATAAGTTGGTGTCATCGTCGAGGATATATCTAGCCAACATAGCAATGGCCAGTTACTGCTAGCGTATATGGAATAAGATTATGGAAATGACTTGTCGTTTATGATCACAGTCTCAAGAATGTAATTCTACTATGTCGGTTTACACCTTCGAATCTCCAGGAGAGTTTAGACATCTACTACCGTATATAGCATGGGCTTATGTCATCGTCATGATGAAAATATTGTGATACCATATCTATATTTAATTGAAAATTACTGATAATCAATCCTGTGTCTACCTTGATACTGAATAATTTGCCTTATTAAAAGTACTGTGCTGTATTCGTTTAAAATAAAGTCATGATCTGGCCATTGGATTCTTAGACAATTCTTTATTCCCTTTATACCTACAATAGCTGACTGAATACGGTAACTAGCTTAAAAGCCGCGATGGAAATAATAGTAAATTTATTAGATAACCTAATGCCTTTAATGAAATGGGATAAATTGTAAGTACCAAATCTCTAATAAGTTATGATTGCAAAATTAATCGATACCTGCATCTACTGGTAATACGTAGAATTCTCTTTCCGCTGAATATTTCTAGATGGCAATGCCATAGCTTTCACATTTAGTAAATATAGCTGTCCTTGAAGTCCACCACAGTGTACGAAAACCTCACGAACAGCTTCATGGAACAACAATGCTAGCAGATATTTTTACCGGCTATTTTAGTCCAAGAGTAGTAAGAAAAATTTTCAACTCTATAGAATATGACGTTGGTATACTGCATTCTATTTTTGGCTTAGCAAAAAAATTGACTGCCAAATACGTCATGAAGTAATGGATGCTAAATACGGATCCATATACAGTAATCCATAACTTTATTAAGATTAAAGTAAGGATCAGGCCTGCTATTGTAATATTATGTCTCCATATTTGACCTATATTAAATTCGAATTGCAAAGCTATGATACAGTGTGAAGTCATTGCAAACCTGAAGTGTATAAAAGATTAAAATCTTTTGCACTTCCTATACTGTGATTCGCGAGACTAACTAGAGGTATACTGAAAAGATTTAATCTCCGCTAAAACCCTTCTGTGATCTCATATTTCTATCATTATTACCCTACTTAAGTATATTAGGACCATAGCTAGAGTTTTAAACTGCTAATACAGTTCCAATCATGTCCGTTGTAACAAAATCGGATCGGTTTTATTAAAATTTGAAGTGTATATATAAATAGTTTGCAACTCTTATACTATAGTTTGTATGACTTAGTAGAAATCCACTAAAAGCATTTAGCCTAGGCTAAATCCCTTCTTTGGTCTCGGATTTGTATTATCCCACTTAACTATACCACTACCATAGAGGAAGTGTTTAAGATTATAAGTATAGAGCAAATTACGCCCATCGATTTGTCTTGACGAAATGGGATCAGTTTTTTAAGAACTTCCGAGTATACAAAATCTTTTACGTCTCTCATACTAGAGTTTATATCACTTACTAGTAATTTACTGGAAGGATTTGGCCTACAGTAAGCCCCTTTTGTGATCTCATATTTACATTATTATCCCACCAAATTACGTATACTACTATCATAGCTAGAGTTTAAACTGTAAATACAGAGCAAACCATGACCTTCGATTTATTTTCACGAAATGGGAATAATTTTTTCTAATAATTCGCCATCATTCTACCAACCGCCGTACACTAAATTGGAAAAATTTCCCTGTTTGCTTTACTTTCTGAGCTAATTACATACAATTTGTACAGAAATAGTTGATAAAGTATAGAAAATATTCTTTACTGTCGTACGATGAATTAATTATTCAAGAAAAACTAGACGACTATCCATTCCAATTAGAAACACTTTACCTGATATATATCATAATAAATCATTATAGACCTTAATATACGCAGATGCATACTATAATTAATCGTAATTGCCATCAAATATTAATTAGATTGCGATTTCTTGCAGTGAAATTTCAGCCCGTCTTTTTAGATACTTTTAAACAAATCCATTTATTGAAAATTAAAGGTGCATCGCTATGTCAATACTAAAGTAGTCATTAAATGATTGCAACCTATTTAAAATGGCAATCAAAAAGCATTTGGATGCCTATACAAGAAGAAATGACTTGAAGGAAACTAAATACGACACACTAAATGCAAACAAAGATTAATGACTGGTATACATGAAGTAACGTGCAACTAATAAATGCAGACCATTTAATACAAAAAATAGCTCATGCTGCAATGCACAAGAAGCTACTGCTAACCCCTAACGACCACAAATTAAAGATCTATGAAATGATAGAATAGATAGATGCCAAAGAGGCCAAATAACAAACTAAAGGAACGCTTTATATGTTGCTGTGAAACCTCTTCCATTCATGTTGTAATTTAATGACGCGCCATTTATACCAGTTATATTCAGGACCTAGCCAACACAAGTCAAAATGAAATTCACACACGTTAATTTTCTCAATTTCTCAAGGTGATACTGTCAATATTGATCGATTATAAAGATCAGAAATAGTAATCACGTATGAAGAAGAAACCCGAGCGAACGCATTAATATCATCGCAAGCGGAATTACCCTAGTATTAGCATTAAACACGTGATTTTTGAATTCACCACCAACAGACACCGATACAATATTGGAAACTGTTATACCATAAACCAAAATGTTCTTCAAAGTTGGCGTAATGGGATAATTATTCTTCACCATGGTGACAGTCAAAGTATTCTATAGCACAAATTTGAAGAATAATCTAGATTAATAATTTATACCTCAATATTTTTAACTTTAATTGCAGTCATATATTACTCTAGAGTTGTCGTATCACGGTCTTATCTAGTTGAGTAGTGAAAGTTTTATTGTATCCTTAAATCTGCATTTACGATTACAGTTTTAACTGCCTTTCTATTTGAAAATTAAAATTAAGTTGGTATAGCACAAAGTCAATCGACTTTGTTTTCGCCTCTAATTTAGCGATCTATAATGTACTCAGTCTTAAAAATTATTCTGTTTAATACGAATGAACAGCAAAGTACCTGAGTAGCGTTCATAGTCATATATGTGTAATTTTCGTTCTTAATTGTTTCTATAGAAATGAGGATTCCAAAAATTAATATATTCAAATAATATTGTGAGGTACTATTTAGGCAAATTTAACCCTAATAATTTAAAGTAGCCACGATAATGTACAGTATAGAAAAAAAAGTGAATGATAGCATGATAGTTTACAATTTGTAATAGTATCGTGGATGATGGAGGGTTAAACCTGAATATCTTTACATTTTATGCTACCTTAATCAAAGTTTATATGATACCAGTATAGTATTTTAGAAAGCACAAGTATATAAGATGGACCTTTTTATTGCTCTTAATGCTTTTCCTAATATGATTATAAGTATCGTAGTATATAAAGCTAAAAGTATAACTGGTTATTATATCATCAATACGCAACTTAAAATGTGTTATAATTAATTCTATGCAAAAAATCTTAAGCATCAATTTCGTCCTATAATAATGTTACACTGCAGTAACTATAGCTCTATTTGTGATGGCGAAAAACTAAACATCTAAAGACATATTTCTAAATTAATATTTACAAAATTTGCCAATTATCTATGCCATAATAATATTATCAAAACACTTTCTGTATAACTAAGGTATCAATTTTGAAATTACGCTAATAACGGCCAAATATCAGTAATTTACAATTGCACGAGCAATTCAATATTCTCAAAGTTACCTGCACTATCTCCATCGTCCCAGAAGAATGAACCTTCGGCGAAATTGTTTGCACCAATTGCAATAATGATAGTGAATTGGTTTCTGCGTCTGTATGGTAGAAAAGCATTATGTTAAATGGTGTAAAACGATGTAACTCTAAATTTTAATTCGTAGACTTCTATAAACTAGCCTATATTGATATAAATTTACGAAGTATAAGACATGAACTAAAATTAAGATGATACCAATAAATAAACAACTGCTGTAACGCTGAATTAATAAAGCTAAGGTATAAATTAATCCATAAATATTGCTTAATATTAAATAAAATACAGTAGACAGGCACAACTAATATCTCAGTTATGAGCCCAGATGATGAAGTAGGCTTAGAGTAATCATGTATTGTCGAATTGGTAGCAATTAAAAAGGTCTATCAAATATAATGCAATGAAATATACCGTAACCCTAAAGATACATTATCCCCTAACTGATTCTCTAAGCCACTGTTATATGTTATTTATAGAGATTAAAAGACCATTCGAAAACAAAATTATTGTAAATTTTTGTTTAGGATAATCATAATAGCTATCTTAACTAACGAAGGTTCTATCAGCTTACGCAAAAACTGTCGTATTAGCCGGTTCTTGTACAACCATGATACTTCCACCCCGCATATGGAGAGGAATATAATCGGCAGGGGCATTCAATGAAACATTGCCATTTGGTGGGCGCACGAGTTCTACACCCTATTGTAATTAACATATTAATACATCAATAAGTTTGTATATACACGTAAATAGCTCAAAGCTTCAGAAAAAACACCGCATATCAAGTTTTTGAGGACCCGTCAGTAGCCTAATAGTGGCAGCATGGTCAATAATATACTTACAGTGTAATAGTCGAACCAACGTCCACTTGGGAAATAGCCATAGACACTATTTGCATTCTATTTCAATCAGAAAATGGCATACGAGTAATTAAAAATTATGAATTAAAATTTGTTATTAAGTTCTCAACATTTAAGGTTGTGCATTATAACCGAAAATTGATACCTGAGAATATTCGTAATTAAGTTTTATTTCGATAGTGTCTAGCTAATTTATAACAAAAAGTAGGTATGCAACTTACATCTTCTAGAACTGGAGTGATTAATAGTGCGGATCCCCACAGAAATTGTCTAGAAATAGTACGTGCGGTTATATCTCTTGGAAATTCCATCATTAATGATCGCATAACGGTCTTTCCCTCAGTAGCCGCTTCAAAGAACAAGGTATACAAATAGGGTAGCAATCTATAGCGGGTGAGCAAAACTTTTCTGGCATTGGCTGCATTTTGAGCACCAAATGCAGGTGGATGTTGAGGCTGTAAAGATAGAGAAAATAGTGCAATGAGGTTTTATAGAATTGAATTATCTTCTATCCTATATTACTGCATTAAAAAAGCTTAACATAATTTTGATTTGCAATAATTGATATTGATCTAACGAACATACCAAGAATCCATTGCCATTGTGATTACGAGCAAAAGTATAGAAAGCTCCCAGTTGCATCCAACGATTACAAAGTGAAGCAGTTGCATTATTGAAAAATCCGCAAATATCCGCACCAATCTGTTCATTATTTTATATGCAAGCATATATTAGATTATGAGGCAGGGTTAAATATCAATTCACGGAAATATGAAAGAACAAAAAAAATGATTGAAGCATGCATAAGTTTGAAGATTGGTATATTTCAAGCTTACATAGGGTATGCCGAACATGTTAAACTCCAAGGAACCTAGTTAGTAGTGGCCAAAAGGTGTACAGAAAGTAAAAAATTGAAACCCGCTATTAAACAACGTTATTGATTGTATTTCTACTGTGAACGGCTCATCGTTATTAAGAATACGGCCTTAAAAGAGTACAACTTGTCGTAAATCAAGTTTAAATACGAAGCATTGGAAAGCATTTACTAATAAAATGCTAACCGACAATAGAGTAAGCCATAGGTGGCCAGCCAGACCAGTTGTCACCAAGCCAATGACCAGATTCTTTACCACCACCAACAAAAGTTGAACGAGAAATAACCATACCTCGCTTTCCAGTTGCATTACGGCAACCCCTAAGAAATCATTACCCAGTTTTCTTCGTTAAAAGGTAGCATAAAGCTATTAATAACAGTACTTATTATAGAATAAAACGAAGTAGTAAAGCTTTCAATAGACAATAACTGTTCTAAGTGTAAAATTAGCACACAAATTTCAAGTTGCAAATATAGTAAGCTGAGCAGTTATCGAAGGTAGAAATGATAAAATCCTAATTTTGCATTGAAAACTGATTCAATAATCACAATCAAATAGGATAGACTACATCAATATTAACCACGGGAATAGAAATACAGTTTCATACTCAATGGAAAGTTAGCTATTGCCTTCGAGCTTACTCTAGAGTTGGCTGGATTTCACTATATCCATACAAGCTATGGACATCGTAATGTGTACCCCAAGCTTGTTTCCCGTCCATGCAGAGAGTTTTTTCATATAGATTGTTTCCTTTGATTCCCTCTATAAGCAATTTTCAAATAGATTGCTATGTTTAGATCTATATCTCTCATACACATCAATAGAAAAAGTGTACCAGTAGAATCCGAGAGTACAATAAATAAAAATCGAATAGGTTCAACTCAAATCATCACCATTACTTTATATCTGAGAATTTAAAATCTACTTCAGTTTATCTTTGTTTCTTACTTGGCATATATGGAGGATTATTGTATCGGTCATTTGGGCAGCCTACGACTGATCCAGGAACAAAGTTTGCAGGCTCATTCATATCCTATCATGTAGCAGCAGTCATTAGTCAATTAGGTTATATTTTCATTAGAATTTATGTGCATTTCCGATCGTTATATCGATTTACAAGGTAATCTATATATTTCTTAAACAAACTTAAATATGAAACGAAACTATAGCTTCGTCTATTTCCTCAATTTAAACCTAAATTAATGCTTTTCTGCTTAAAATTTGCCATACACTATAACAAATAAAATTATAAATGTGCTATAATCGCATCAAAGATAAGTTTCTATCCAGTTAACATAAATTGATCTACTTTTTCGTGCTGCGGGAAATAATATTGTAAAGTATGATAACTTCAGTATTCTTCCGAATGTAAATACAGACAGTGACTTACAATCCATAGACCATCGAATTTAATAGTATTATGGAAATCAACAATTAGATTTTTCCACCAAGTTCTTCCAGATTCACTAGTATAATCTGGGAATACAGCATTTCCGCGAGGCCATACCTACAAATGAAATGGATTGATTTTACATACTTGTCTTTAACTCATGTAATTGAATGAGATAGGACAGTAATCATTTCTATGTTTTAGGAACATATAGATCTATCAATTTATTACTAGAAATCTCTATAAATATTAACTACAACTAAATGTAATAAATCAGAATACTACCTTGCCAACCATAACCCTATTATCGGCATGACGGATAAAAATATCTCTTTTTGCTCCATCGTCGTAAGGAGGATAAGTTCCACTAGTTTGATTATCACTGATTGCTGGATCCTATACAACATGCAATTCAAAGAAATTATCATAAACCGATGATGCAGTTAGGCTAATTTAACAATATCAGTATAATTCACTATAGATTACTGTGCTGTCATCATTACCAGGATAATAATATATTTTTGTCCTCGACTATGGAGCTCGTCAACAAATGCGGGCAAACCATCATAACGTACAGGATCATAGGTAAAATCTAGTTGGTACTTCATATAGTCAAGATCACCGTATTGAACATCCTAAAAACGTGATGAAATCATATTTCAGTCCTAACTTTTGTAATATCAGATCAAAATTAAAATAGCAGCTCAATTTATTCATTTTTTAATTTTGATACTTTAATATTTTCAATTTTTAATTAATGGCAGATAAAATTAATCGGCATCGATCCAAATTTTATTATTATTCTACTTTTAGCGTTAAATATTTCTATTATTAATTTACCAATGGAATATCAGCTGCTCTCATATCTTCAACAACTTGTTTAACACGATCCAAACTGTTATATCCCCAACGACACAATTGGAAGCCCAAAGACCAATAGGGTGGGAAATACGGTAAACCGATAGTCTTGAATACAAATCCAATTAAATTATCAGTATGTTCGTACTTACTAGTTGTGTATTAGTAGCTTAAGGTATAGATAAATAATTTTATATGCGTACATCTAAATAGAACTTTAAGCCTACTAAAGACAGTGTAAATTGAACGTAGGTGGTGATTTAAATGAGGTTAATGATTTGTTTACTATGTAATAAAAATTTCGGTCCTGGTGATCTCATAATAACTTAGCTAAAGGATCCTTAAGCCAAAACGCATGCATTAATTATTAAATTATAGTAATATTTACTTATATATACTGCTCTAAGATACTATATCTTCATACCTAAAGATCTATTGCTAATATTATTTAAAAAAGATATAACTACTATTGATATTTCATGCTACTAGGACATATAAACGATAGTCGTTACCTTGATGTATTGGCTGACTGCATTTGCCGGAGAAGGACCAAGGAAAACATAGAAATCTAAAATACCACCAATAGTTCTCCAAGTGATACCAGGAAGAGGAGTCAAAACAGCCTCTGGATTTAAAATAGACATAATCGTCTGAGCTTGATCACATAAGCATCGTTCTATCCTATAGTACTATCATGATTTTTATGCTTTAGACTTACCCATAGCATTACTGTTGACTAAGAGAACAACATTGGAGTTACCATCAACATCTTCAACGTTTAAGTACATTGGATGTACACCATATAAATTTCTATTTGGCTGATGGAAAGATAGGTGATTTTATGTCAGTAAAGGCTTAAAATGTCAAAGGAATTAGCCCATAGGGCAGCTCAAAATCTTAAAATTGTAAGCCATATCGACTGTAATGTAGAACGAAACATTCGATACTACAATAACAAGCCGGCTTAAAGTGGAATTGATTAAGGAAAACTATTTCAAATTAGTTTCGGCGTTGTAAAAGCCGATCTTATTCGACATTGCATTGCTGTCGAATAGAATGGAACTACTTTGCTAATAGCAATAATAAGCACCTTAAGATCACCTTAGCCATACTAGTATAGTATAAATATTGAAACTATAAATTATAGCACATGGTAAAAGCCACTGGAATCTCTTTTATAACAATTTTTGGTAACCTAAGCTTAATTCTAGTATTATAAACTGTATAAGCCGGCCCTAATATCCCGTACTATCCTAATTTATTGTAGTAAATATTATTCATTAACTACTACTAGATTTCTGCTAATTATTAGTGCAGTATAGTATTCGTATTAGAACGTTGAGCACTATCGAAATGGGCTGATAACTCTTTTCATAACAATAAAGCTTGAGTTTTATACTATGACTTATCATTCTAAATTCTGCGGAATAACTAAAAGTTTTAGCTTTAAAAATGTAATCACTCTGATGACTACGGTACATTTATTATATTTTTACTACACACCAGCGATATATTAAAGTAAAGAAGAGACAGAAATAGAAGGAAACTTAAGAGACATAAATAGAAGGAAATTTTACTATCTATTCCAAACATTATGTGATCTTCAAAAGACTTCATGACTTACTCCAGGAAATTCGTCTCTAGAAAACATTCCCCAGCGGTGCCAGTTCCAATTACTATGAGCCAAAGACTGATGTTCATGTTCACCTAAGCCATAGAAATAAATGGAAGGTAATTTGGAAGAAATCTCCAAAAATTGATCTTCAAAGATGAAACCAGATACGCTAGAGTCAAAGCTACATCCAAGCAAGGTGAGCAAGAACAAGCAGAGGAATTAATTTTAAGCACTACATCAAATTTAATCTCATATCAAGAATTCGATCTGCAATAATGAACCTACATTACAACTTACATGACAGTGTTTGTTGATCGTCTTTTTATAATTATAGCAAATGGATCTGTTTTTACTTCAACTTCGTATAAACGATTTGTAGCAGCTTGATCATTTGTGTTCATGGTGGGAAAGTCAATTGGCACTTCATAGCGCTTTCTTGCGTTGTCAGTAAACTGTAACATATCGGACGAAAAAGAATATCATTATTTTCACGTAAAACTTCAGCAATTAGCTTACTTAAATTTAGCTCTACTAGTTCTAGATATTGATATAGTGACTAAATAATTCGATACAAATAAAGACTGCAGCGGCAACAGATTTAAGAATGTCGAATTTTCGTTTGCTATATCCCGTACAATAGTTTCCGATTAAAACGAAAGATTAATAATCCCCGTTCATGTCAAATAAGCAAAATCAGATATTTGCAAAACGCTCTTCATCATTTCCACAAAGATGAATGTGTTCTTATCATGGCAATATCAATAGTTTACCAATAAAATATCTAATTGGTGTTGCTAACGTCTTAATATTGGAATATCAACGATCACTACTTCAATAAGCTTCCATTAAAAGGCTTTCTAATTTCGATTAAATCGATTTCATACACCAGTTTGGGCATATACCTTATTAGCCTTCAACATGAATAGCATGCAGCGATGCCGGCGATGATATAGCTATGTATCTAATTTATCAGAAATGATTAGATTATCTTTATCCAAATAGAAATATTTATCCAAGGTAATAGTTTGGAAATATTAACCGATTTAATCCCTATGATAAATTGTTTTTCAAATCAAGCCTGTCACATGTCTATTCAATTAAGCTATCTCACGGTTGGATACTAATATAGCATCGTTAATAACTTTTTTAATTTATCGAGAAAATTTACGTGTTGTTTTGCATTTTTTTTTATAATAAACAGGAAATGGTTACTGTAATCAAACAGAACTATTCCTATTTTAATGCTAGTAATTATTGATTGATGGTTTTCTTGAAATAAGAAAGAAACCGTTGCTGCAATCAAAGAATCTATTACTTTTTAAATAGGCCTGTATATTTTTTGGCAACAATGTCATGAAATAATGCGAAAGGGGTGGTAATTATCAAGAAAATCTTATTTGATGGTCTTGCCTGCTGAATGATAGCAATACGTATGAAACACTGTACTGGAAACAATTTCTTTAAACGAAGAAATTTGTTCTGTTAGATAAAATTTTGCTGATAAATAGTAGTTTCGCTAAATGATTTCAATGCAATAATCACTCTAATCGAGCAGAACTATTTTTGGCACAAATTTCGGAGATTTTGGGGGTATTTTCATGAAATAGTGTATGGTAATGTTGCAATACTATAGCTAATATAGTAGTACCGCATGGTGATTGTAGCTATTCATAGTTCTCGGAATAATGCATATGTAAATGGTTTTTGTATTTTAATTACCGATGCTAATTCGATGGTATCCTATTTGCTACCAATTAAGGTCAATTTAGTCTTGATCGTCTCCCAGATGAAACTAAACCACTTTCTTAAATCTGATTACAGCTTTAAAGTATTGGTATGATTTTAGTACTGCAAAGTTATTTAATAAATAAAATGCGATAATAACCGAACGGTAGTATATACCGGTAATTCATTAAAATTTTACTACAATACGAAATAGTGATCATAGCTAATGATAATTATCGTAACGGATCACTAGTTAAAATCATAAAATTCATTTATAAAAGCATTCTATCAAAGCATTATCTCATTCAAATTTAACATTGTAAATTAATTACCAGATTTACAATATAGATTAGAATTAAATATTAATCTTTCCGTGGAATCAAATTATAAATAAGATTCAAAGTTTTCAAGTTTGGTCTTGCCCGTAAATAACTGAAAAAATAGTCATGAAACTACATCAATTTAGTCATGCTCAAATAGCTATTGCTAATAATGATCATGAAATTAAAAAAATATAGCAGTGCATCATTTTAAAGGATTTATATCATTTACTATGCACTTTAATTTTTCAAGAGATTGAAACTATTAGATGCTAACAAAGAAAGGGTGAAAGTATGCATCTCATCAAAATAGAGTCTAATTTCGTAAAATTATATGCCCATTTCATCTAGATAACGATTTTATGAATTGCAAAGCTAGCAAACGATTTAGCCATTAAAATATTATAGGTGATTGTTATCCAATAACCTCAGAAAGTAGTTTAGTGCCGTGTAATTTTAGTTCCTACATTAATCTAGATCATGATTGTATTAGTGCTTTCATTATTTAGATAAAAAGCCCTGAACTTTATTTTATCGAATGAAATCTAGTAGCATAATTTTCTTACTACATAATTATATCATAACTTCATGAGTCACTACGCTAGATCATGGAAATTACGTGACGCTGAAATAAAGCAAACAGTACAGCATGGAGCCGAGAGTAAAGTCATTTTAAATAATAATCCCCCAATTCCACTTAAAAACGAATGATTGGCCAAAATACCCGTTTCACATTGCAAGCCAATACATCTTCATTAAGACTTTACTGCCTAAGTGGCAGCCTAATTGCATCAGGACTTCTAATTTGTAGCTAATGATTCGGTAAACTACCAGGATATTTAGTTAAGGACCATAGCTGTCTTAGTCGTTACTGTATCGTAAGCCGACACATTTCAGTTCAACACTACAGTACCCAAATGGTAACCAAACTACAACTAGATTTATAATAATAAAGCTGATGATAACAAAAATTGAAAAGGAATTAACTATACCTTGTTATTGCAAACAGTAAGTGATTTTGTAAAGTATTCTAATCTAATCGGTAACGGTAATCTAACCACTGTATTATTAAAAGTATATTTATTGCATTTGCCACCTTTTAATCTATACCGACGAAAGGTATTATTTGTTAATAATCTCCTATAGCGATGAAATCTTGAAGGATAATGGGAATAATTGTCAATTACTTATTCTCAGCTAGAAGGTATAAATTGCATTCAGGAGATTAATAATCTATATGCCCATAATGCTATGATCATGTTTGTTTTATAAATAATTAGGACTTTGAATATAGGAGGAGCTTTCTTATTTGATGATGATGATAATCAACTCAGTCATGACGAAAACAATTGACTTTGAAAGCCTTGATCACGGCGATATTCAAACATTGAGAAATTAAATCTAATATTTAATCGTTAATTTATATTGAATAGTACAATTCTTTACCCTTATTTCTAGTTATGATCGACAGTTGGTTGAAAAACAACGCACAAAATAAACCTATGATCGTACATCCGATGGTTAACGATTTTATTTTCGTTCTTATATATTAATGTAGTTAAATTATTCTGGCCGTTAGCGTCTGTTGTATTACTAAATTATTATTCTTTCATTTTAAAATTTTGCTACTTTAAGCCAGAAAAGCAGTAACATATATCCATCATGATAAAGTAACCTGTAGAGATCTATTCTATTCTGCTGAGAATACAATCTAAACGATTTTGAACATCATTGTCTATTGCTGGTATAAATTAAAACTTATTTTCTATTGTAAGAACTTAATATTTTAAATATATTCGTACTAAAATACCTATCGCGATATTTTAAGACTTAGTAAGTTATTTCATTTCCCTTGAAAGTTATCAAATCAAACAAAACAATCCTGGTCTTCAATCCCATTGCATTGTTAAATTAGGAATCTTTCCAAGATTAGAACTTACAAATCTATATTTACGTGTAGCATAAAAATCTATCTCCATATTATCACTTGAAGAGAGCTATTTTAAGCATATCTGACTTTAGATATTAACGTAAACTAAATCATCTTGATCTTTAGTATCTGCCACTAATACAAATTGTTATCCTTTCCCCAAGGAAAATTAACTAGCCCATATCTACGTTCTACTCATATAGATTTTTCTACACCTGAATATCCTTTGATTCATTCCTGATTTTAAATTAATTCAATTTAGCACTAATGAGCTATTGAAGTTTATTTAACTATACTCTCCTGCGCCTAAACTATTCTACGAGAAGCGTAGAAAGAAATTATTTACGATTGGTTAGTAATCTAGTTTTTTGAATGTATCAGTAACATGGAATGCTAAACACTTCAGCTAATATAAAAATGTCTAGACAATTTCGACTTTAAATTCGACTAGAGGATCAAAGTTTGAAATGAGAGAAATTTTTCTTCTCGAAATTAAAATCTATCTGAGCTAATATTCGTTGTCTCATACTGTGTAAATGAATTCTGAACGAGGAAATGCTATGGTACTGAACAGTAGGAATCAATTAGCCTTTTGGTAGCCTTAGTAAAAGGAGATGGGTAACAATTAAACAGTTAATTAATTATGGCAGCTGGTAGCCTTTGTTACATACATAGCATTACTATCATCTTTTCGTCATATTACTTCAGAATGTTAAATCGCTAAATAAATGTATTAACAGCTTATGAAACTACGCTTTATACTATGATGAAAGTTAAATCAGGCTATATTCATCACTTCCATTACTAAAGTTGATGATTTTATGGCCATAAATTCGATTAACTGCCGAAATTAACGGTATCATTAAAAAAAATAATTCGTGATCCAGGTAGAGATAAATCATTGCTATAGACGATTTTCATTGTTTGTCGATTAATTAACATTATGCAAGTCCTGTTTAATTAAATTACCGACCCTTAATTAATTCAGTTTTGGAATTATAAAAAATAAACGAGTAAACAAATTACATTTTAGTATAGGTCAAGAACGGATCAATACGCATATTATGGCGTAAATTTAATTTTGGATATTAAACGTGGCGAAAAATGGGTGGAACTATTGCATGACCATAAAATATTATTTTTTCCCGATACACTATTGGCTATAATTAGCAATTAGTTTCCTGACCTGTCAATTATATTTTTTGTTTAATCTAATGATATTTTTTATGCAGGCTGAATAGCTGATTTCCTAAGTCCTCGATTTTAACATTTTTGAAAAGTTCGTGCCCCACACCTTAAAATAGCAGTCAAGACTGGCAAAACATGTGAGCCGATTTTGACCATTAGCTAAATCTTCTGAGCAACAAATGCAATTATTCAGAAATTACCTTTAATGATAGAATTTATATCGTACGTTAGTATAACATGAAGTAAAGTTGATAACCTTCCTCGAACTAATTCGTAATATCTAATTTCAATCAATCATGAGTCAGCATTAGACGAAAAGCTTTTAGCTGAAATCTATCATTCATTCCTTCGGTACAATTGCAGCTCAAACTCTTTCAAGTTTATCATAAGTATTACTCCGTAATTGGAGTCTAAGCAAACGATTGTTGCTTAATACTACATTTTAATTTACAACTACGAAGTCCCATAGATCATTGAAGCTGCCATAACGAGATTTATATAATATTTGAAATAGATACTAAAGCAACGATATAAAGAAACTGTAACAATTATGTCGCAACCTTTCAAGTCGATATGCAATTCGATTTAACACCGAACCGATCGGAAATTAAGATGAAGAATTAATTTTAGGATCAATGTATTATTTTGACTAATCATGAAATCACGTAGACGTTCGGGGATGTTGAAGAGTAAATTATCCTCACAAAATATATTTTAATATAGATATACATGGCTACTAAAATAAAGTGAAAACCATCCTAGCCCGAAATAAGATGATTCTAATACAATTTTCAACGTACATCATCAAATTAATAAAACTAGAATTTCCGTCATGAATCCATATGTATGACTATTGAATTGATATTTTTAATTTTTCAGTTTCTGAATCTTATAGATAGACGTAATCGATGTAATTATAGCAAAAGAGTATAAAATTGAAAGAGCTAGAACTTACCTTAATACGCAATCGGTTGCTAGTTTGAAATTGAATATCCAAGTTGACGGAACTGATTGGTGATCCATAATGGGCAGGCAAAACCGTGTTGCGTGTTAAGGTATATTTCTTACCATAAGGTACACTTTGCTCTGTTGCAGTATAGGTTCGATAATTAGGAGGGAAAAAGCAACTAGGAGCTCCTACAACGTTGGTAGGAATCCAACAGCATCCACGAGCTTCACAAACATCTTTGGATTGCTTATCTGTATCTGGAAAGCAATTAAAACGTTCTGAAGCCCCAACACTTGGACATGTTGGAGCATTACTGACAGGAATAGTGGTTGGAGTTGGAGATGTAGGGGCTTGTGTAGGCACTGTAGTTGTGGCTTGTTGAGTTGGCTCGGTTGCTTCGATATTTTCACGTTGACCATTAACGACCACGGTAATGGGAATAATAATGGCACACATAATAACGATAGCTACTACTACCCCAATAACAATTTTCGATCTACCGCTCATTTCTCCCATGTTGATCTAGCTAATGAATAGAGGAGATATTTCTGCACAAAAATTAAAATTGATAGTGGATCAGATGCAGCCCAATTTTTTTCGATCTGGAAGGCAATGATAACCAGCCAGTGCTACCAGATCAAAAAAGCAGAAGTAAGTTAGCGCTTATGGGGATAGTAGATTAAATAATGCTGAACGTGCACATGGAAACAATAACGCCTTAAGATTTTGACTTAATCGATCCATTCTGCTGATTATGTACTTAGTAGCAACCAATGAAATCTTATGTAAATAAGAAGATAGTTTATGACAACAACTATTCTTCTGTCTTATTTAAATTCAGTTACGTTAATAAATTCACTGAAAAGGATTGAAAGACGATTCACACTATTCTTTGCAAAGTTAGCTCGATAAATAGTATGAAAACCGTTAATTTATGGCCATGCCTATATTCTACGTACGTGTATGTTCACTTTTAGAGGAACAGAATACAGAAATTTTAATTTGCTGAAAAACTGAATACACAGTTCTGTGCTATGTTAATCAAGTCATAATTGTAGATAGCTCGTCAATACTAGATGGTGAAATGTTTAAGCTATTTTATTACTCATTTCATGACTTAACCACATTGCTGAGCTGCAAAAGAAAAGCTATGTTCGAGTGACTTGGAAATTTATTTAAACACGTTCACAGAGAGTAGCTGTGAATAAAATTTTAATAAATTTTACTTAAATAATTTCATATATTGTACGCAAAATTTAATATAGGCTATGAATGTTAGATTGTCTATACTAATGTAGATAGAATACCTCAAGTTAAAGTTATTGACGATTACGAAGTAGTTTTTTCGTTGATCAATTTAAAAGAACGAAAACAATGCTTAATAATGTGCATACACGCCTTGCATGCTCAATTATAAAGTAGATACTGTTAGGATCGTACTTTCGCAAGCATGTACTTATTTTATTTTCGTTAGATAAAATACTTCAGCATTTGTTGATAATACCGTTATCTATGACGCTATATTCAGTTTTATAGATAACAGTAAAGTTTATGATATTATCTAGGACCTGATAATTATATAATTGTTGTTATTGTTTCCCAATTACAAATTTGCCGATTTTCTACAAAAATTAGGTTCAGTTTTGTTTAATAGAGACTAATGGTTTAATATAACATCTTGAGGGTGGCGAGATAGTGTTTTTTAGAGTCGAACTATTGATAAAAATCTTAGAAGACAAACATGATTGCAGATCCGTAATGTAATAACTGTTGGTAATGTTTATTTCCTCGTTATAATTCTGATTTGTAGCGATTGAACTAGTATTTAGAGTCATTTGACGTTAATGCAGAGGAGAACAAGCCTGACAGTAGATTCACAGTGTTAGTATCTAGTAGTAGTACTCAATTTTTGCTATAGATTTCAATTTTTAATCTCCATTTTTAGATAAGAACTATTCAGTCACGTAAATCTCAACAGGATCAATTTGATGCATTACCCATACAAATGTTGAATATACTGTGGTAATAGAACAGAGTAAAAGAATAGAGAAAAGTAAATTTCTGCCAAAGAAAACAGTCTGATACTGCGCGAAGAAAATTATGTCAAGGTCACGCAAAGCATAATTGATGGTTAACAGTCGAACGGATGCTATTATTCAATAAATCGAATTTCTTCACCTTTACCTCAATTGATAAAATAGGAAAACTGTTCCATTTATCAGTGGTAATACAACATATAATTATCGTTCAATATATCCAGGTATAAATCAAAGTTTTATTGACTGAACTTCACTATCGACGGCGTGGAGTAGCTGAAGGCTACCGACAATTTTATGATGATGAGATTATTCGAGCCTAGTCCAAGTCTTCAATTGAGTGGTAATGTAATGCTATTAATAATTACATTATCAAAACACTTTAGTAGTAGTAATTCCCTCTAGTATTACTAGACTTAGTAGTTACTACTTTTCTAGATAAGCATTTGTCTCATGTTCAGTATAATAATTATTCTTCATAGCGACTTGTTATAACATTTACAGTAACTACTGTAAGCGGTGGTTATATTGATGCTCATAATCTTTCTGATACCTAGCGAAACCTGCTTTCTCAATGTTTACTAATCGTACATTACGGTTGCACAATAGTAACAACTTAAAAATAGTAACAACTAGCAAAGCCAGTGACTGCAAGATTGCAGTCACTATTTCACTATCCTGTAATGTAGGAGGTCATTATTTGTGCGCATTCCACCTTCCATCTCATCTACCTCATTTGCCAGTTGTTGGCGTAAACTAAATGAGGATCTTGTCAAGAAGTAGATGATGATGATAGTAAAATTACTTTATTGAGTAATTATTAATCTTAATACTGATGTAAATCTTGCTATTATTTTTTTACTTCTCATCTACAAGCTCCTGTTCCAATTCTTCTACTACAATTCTTGCTACAAGTACACAAAACCATACATGATTGCTATTTCTGATCTTTATAATCGATCAATATTGACAGTATCACCTTGAGAAATTGAGAAAATTAACGTGTGTGAATTTCATTTTGACTTGTGTTGGCTAGGTCCTGAATATAACTGGTATAAATGGCGCGTCATTAAATTACAACATGAATGGAAGAGGTTTCACAACAACATATAAAGAGTTCCTTTAGTTTGTTATTTGGCCTCTTTGGCATCTATCTATTCTATCATTTCATAGATCTTTAATTTGTGGTCGTTAGGGGTTAACAGTAGCTTTTTGTGCATTGCAGCATGAGCTATTTTTTGTGTTAAATGGTCTGCATTTATTAGTTGTACGTTACTTCATGTATACCAGTCATTAATTTTTGTTTACATTTAGTACGTCGTATTTAGTTTCCTTCAAGTCACCTCTTTTTGTATAGGCATCCAAATGCTTTTTGATTGCCATTTTAAATAGGCTGCAATCATTAAATGACTACTTTAGTATTGACATAGCGATGCACCTTTAATTTTCAATAAATGGATTTGTTTAAAAGTATCTAATACGACGGGCTGAAAGTGGCTACGATAAATCGGATGATCAACTTAGTCTCCACGATAACAATCCCATCTTATTTAACAGTTACATTAAGACATTACACAAAAATACCACCTTATATAGCTGCCTACAATGGCCTTATACGCACACAGTACGAATAATATAAGTACACCTTTTCATCATCATTAATCATGAAATTACCTTATAAGCATAGTCGACTATTCTACTTCTTAATGCTTACGTACTTCAACTACTATTGTAATTAGCTGAAACTACTTCAAAATTTAACTGGTGGAATTGTGTAACAGATAACAACATAATCAAATATAGATGATGCTTCCACCAAAGCAAAACATTTAAATAATATATTAGGTCTCATTATATTACTCATGTATTGTTAAGTATCAGTAAGAATAAAAATCTCTTTGATATACACATTTATAGTTTAGCTGAAGTATAAATAAAGCATACAGTACAGTACATTCTCGCCATACAGGTAATCTAATAACCTATCTAGGAGTCTACATATAGTTAATGCCACGTAGGAAGTATCTTAGCAAGATTTGAAAATTACCTACTTCTGTCACATTTTAACATCTGTAAGGTAATAACACTAATATAGCTGTAAACTGCGATAAAAGAATGACAGTAATCTGACATATACAGTATTAGAAAATTAGATGATTCTATAATATTAAATATTACTATAAAATGCAATCCTTTTGTAGCTCTCAATATCAATGTATAAGATTTATTCCTATGTAGTCATCGTGTAACCCCAAGTATGGAAGTGCAACATTTGAACTATATAAATTAGCATAGCCTAGATCATAACTATAAATATAGCGATTGGAATTCACGTATTACGATAGTATTTTATGTTATTAGCAAAAGCATATTAGCGCGAGCTGAATAATAAAATAGTCCAATTTATAAGCTACCCTCGGAATAACTATCGGATGAAGAAAATGGCACAGATACCTAATAGAACTTTATTCATTTTCCATATAAACAAATAGGAAACAAGTCAAGCATGCTGTTATTATTCGCAACGGCTACATCAGGATGATTACTATAACTGCCAAAAAATTCTCTTAATTTAATTTAATCTATGATAATTATTATAAGAGGAGTTACGATTTGTAACATTTTGTAATTTTACAAGATTATAGCCAAGAATGATGCTATCAAGAAAGGATATGACTATGTATAAACACACTCTCAAAGGTCACTGCACATAATTACAAATTCGTGCAAATAATATTAATAATTTCAAGTTTTTAAACAAAAGCGAAGCATTTCGATGTTATTAATTAACATTATCTACATAAGCAAAAATTAAGCTGTTTGGGAGCACATTTATATGCCGTTTCTAAGCAAATTCCTCCCGTAAGAATATCAACAAATACCGGAACTACTTAAATTCCCAACTGGTGAATAATGTGTCCAAGGTTAGGCCCGACCAGAAAATGATTATGACATGCAACTAATAATTTATTGAATTTGCTTTTAATTCTATAAATTGTGAATAACAACTGCATGATATATTACAGGGTATAGACATGGGCTCATTCTATGGATTTTTTTGCACAGCGTATAGATTATTGTTAAATTACATACATTTAGCATAACCTGGTTTGTTGATAATTCATTTAATAAATAATATCATCTAATACTCAGCAATACATTTTAAACTATTATTGAATGATTCATCCATTTAAATCCAGACTTTATAAATTTTAGATCGGCTGTATACTGTTTTCATACTGTAAATAGATATTGCCAGGATGAATATTCAGTTTATAATAAATAAGATCTAAGTCCTGGCAGAAAATAGCAGTTCATCAAATCGTTAAATTATTTCGTATATCATACTGAATAGCCATTGCTTCATCTTGGAGATAGTTTTGTTAAAAGAATTTATTAAACTCTGTATGTCATACTGTTTACGGTATATCCGCTGTAGTTAGCTCAGCATCATTGATGATAATTAACATGTAAACACAATTATATACCACATCATGCTAGCTATGAATTGGTATACGGAAATCATAAATTTTCTTTGATAATTACACGAGTCCAGCAGTCTGTAATAAATCGTAGTCAAATATATTTTTTACTTATATCGATACATATAATATTAGTAAGTTAATTAAGGCAGTCTCTCCTTTTAATGAAAAACTTTACATCAATATATCGTATAAGAGTTTTAACCCTGAAAGTAGTCACCTGTAACTACATTATTGGGCTAGATCTTATCGATAATTAACCTAGAAATAATAGCCATTGTCGTCACACATCGTCATGCTATTCCTGATAAATATATCATAAACTAGAGTAACGATGCTATCGAAGAAAATTAGAGTTTACAATAATTACTTTTTCATATATTATAAGCAAATACGCACATATACTTCTATGCTTAAAGTTATAAGAACAAATACGCAACAAGCTTCCAATTTGAAAGAAATATTTGGTCATAGGATATCTTACTTCTTCATTGTGAGTCCAACTTCCAAATTTAAATCATTCTGATCGTTAAAATACCGATTCTACAGCTCTGTATTCCACATCTAAGGTATTCCGTACTCAAGGATAAAATTTGTGTTCATGTCATGATCTAATTTAGTAACATTGAGTACCTAGATGGCCCAAAGCAAAGTATAGAAATTAATTATTAGTTCTGTATATTTTGTAAAAAGAAGACAATGCTTTGCAATGAATACTTGAGACTTACTTTCTTATCGTTGTCCCAATTGAAGAGCTTGTATCTGCTATTAAGTCTACAGGAGATAATTCTCGATGCTTTGATACCATAAACTGTTATAAAATCCAATCTTGGTACTATTGAATACCCTTTGACAGTGACTGAAGCCGTTACGCCAGTCTATAGAAATTAATAAGTTAAATTTTAATCTTATCAGAATAAAAAAGCTATTTATTACCCGCAGAATATGGAATAATTTTCAATTTACTCTTTGTTAAACAAAATAAAGTAAATTCTACTCGTATAACGAGTGTTCTATCTACTTACAGATGTTGCCTCATAATTGATGATGGTATATTGTTGCTTATCAATGGTATCTTAATATGTCAATAAATAGTAAAGCATCCATTTAAGCTCATTATCTATCATAAAGTTATTTTTGGGTAAAGTTTTCATTTTAAATTTAATAAGCTAGCTAACTAAAGGTCATATTAAACGAAATGCGTTATCATCTACTGGTACCACAGAAAACATTAAAAATTAACCAGAAATGGCATCATTTACAAACCAGGTTATTTACAATATAATAGCTTACAATAAATTAACTATCATCCAAGGAAAAATATATCCTAATTAATTATGAATACAAAGTCCAAGAAAATTATTTTCTACTATGTCTGTTTAATTGCTAGTTTGGAGATGAAGCAGCAATGTTATTAAGAAACATCATTTATAATTATAAAATGATTAATGTCCAGCTAATTATAATTATTGCTGTACTACACTAATAATCAACCTCATAAAAATAGCTGCAGCTAGTGCTGCTTTTCTATCTCTATTAGTGTATAATCTAACTAGACTTACCAATTGATTCTCCATCATCATAAAATGCAGTACCACTAGCTTGCTCGTTGTTATCTACAGCTATCTTTAATGAATACGGATTCTTGCGACTATTATTAAATAAATAATCGGTTATTTAAGCTTGTCTAAAGAGCGACGATACCTTTTCGTTGGGCATTTGTTAATGATAATCTAATTGAATTTGTAATCCCTTGTCTAATAACTTACGCGTAAAACGTTGTATTAGCGGGTTTTTGGTGAGGTAAAACGTAGCCACCACGAATATGCAAATTGATGTGATTTGTTGGTGCTGGTAAGTCGACAAATCTATTTACAGTATTAATTTCTTGTCCCTAAGCGTAAAAATCGTGAAACCTTAATGGAAGTTAGCATAACTACCACAAGACTATAACAAAAATTTAACATATATATGATATTACAGTGTAATAATCGAACCAACGGCCTTGAGGGAAGTAAGCCCGAACGGAATTAGCATTCTGTAAAGCAATAAACATTTAAAATTTTTTTATCCAGTTTATATCATGATCACTGACTATTATAATCTCAATTTCCTCGAACAGTAGTAATCTCGACTCATAAACTAGTGTGGTCTTATTTTTATAAGTCAAATAATTTTAGGATATTTAGAGTAATATCTAATCTATCAATAATAAATAAGTCATATTTCGTTGCTGATTATAAAATGTGTAAGTGAAACATTCTTACCTCCGTTAAAACTGGTGTTATTAACAAAGCAGGTCCCCATAAGAATTGTTTATCGATACTTCGAGCAACCTCGTCGGTAGGAAATTCAAACATTAGAGATCGCGTAACAGTATTGCCTTGTGTGTGTGCTTGGTAGAATAATGTGTACAAGTAAGGTAAAAGGGAATATCTTGTTAATAAAACTTTTTTAGCATTGGCTGCGTTTTCCGGACCCAATGCTGGTGGATGTTGGGCCTATGGAAATTTATGTAAAATTAGCAACTTAATTTCAATTAAGTAAGTTAATATTCATATTTCCGTCTTCAACTGAACTCAAAACAAGTATTTTACCCCAAAACCATAGCTGTTATGATTTCTTGAATAGGTATAAAATGCTCCTAACTGCATCCAACGATTACATAATGAGGCTGTTGCGTTACCAGAATAACCGCAAACATTCGCACCAACCTACAATTGTATCGATAAGATATTTACAGTTAATTGATATACAGTATTAAGTAACATTAGCATCAGAATTTCTTTAACTTTTAATATAATGTTTGACATTGCTTTTATTAGCGTTGGAAATTTAAGTCATATTCTCTGATAATATCTAATTAAGTATTCTATAAACTTACGTATGGAACACCAAACATGTTAAATTCAAGACTTCCTATAATGTAATACAATAATTTTATAGTAAGTTTTATCTATTAGCTTACCATGTATACATAGCTGTGATTACTTGAAATAATTAAATTACCAATAATAGAATTCGACATAGATTGCCAACCAGACCAGTTATCCCCTAAGTTGTGTCCACCAAATCTTCCCGAACCAGTAAAAGTAGAACGGGAAATAATCATTCCTCGTTGTTTAACAGCTACACGAAGGGCTCTAAAGTTATTCATTTTGATGCAAATAGTAATTAGAGTAATTGACCTTCAAATTTAAGTCTAATAGTCTATTTAATGCTTAATTCCTTACTATCATAAAAAATATCAAAGGTTACTTACTTCATAGATGGCTCCATTTGGCTGTAACCATACAAGTTATGAACATTATAGTGATCGCCCCATGTCTGCTTACCATGCATGCATAGAGTTTTATCATATATTCTATTTCCGCTTATAGCAGCTTTAAATTATCAAGAAACATCCATTAATTAAGTCAATCAATTTATAACCTTTAACTTCACTAGCCCAGCTTAAATATGGCTCTGATAATAATAATTGAAACCACTATAATGGCGGCATTTGCAAATCAACCTACCAGGCTTATATGGAGGATTATTGAAATTATTACGTGGACAACCAGAAATTGATCCAGAAACAAAGTTAGAAGGCTCATTCATGTCCTGAAGCATAATTTCAAATAACAATTTATTCTAGCAATTAGATTAGGGTATCCTGATTGAAATATTATTACATTTATCAAATTATTTTTGACGACTTTATCTACCAAGATCTATACTTATTAGTACCACGATTAGAATAGCAATTCTATTGCGATTAGAATAGCAATTCTATTGCGATTAGAATAGCAATTCTATTGCTATTAGAATATTTTAGCAATCAAATTATTACTGCAATATGTTATCATTAACATATTATATTTGTTGCATTACTACTTTTGATAATATTTTCTAATCTAATCACTCCCTCGTAATATCACATAAAAAGTTAATTTTAACGAAGTTTGAGTGCAATGCAACTTTTTACACGATGATTTTCATACTGTATCCCGATTTAACCGAATTGCTTTCGTCTATCTACTAAGATTATAGCCAAAGAATTTATAAACGATCAATGCAGTGTTGACATAATTTAAAAAAATGCTCTGATCAATTAGTCCAAGACAGCAGTCAAAATTCTACTGTTATCTATGGAGATCCATTATTTTTAAATCTCATAACTTAATTTTTAAATACTTCGTAATGCTACTAATTCCTTATATTTATCAAATGAATCTTAGTAAACTTCTCAGTTTTAAATTTATAATCAATGATATTTTATAGCTATATAAATATAAGGTAAGTAACTTACTAGCCATAATCCATCAAACGAAATGTTCTTATGGAAATTTACAATCTGATCTTGCCACCAGGAGTGAGAAAGAGAATTAGTAAAATCTGGATAGACAGAAGCAGTTTGTGGCCAAACCTATGAGCAGACGGAAACATCAGAAAGTAAATCTTTTGCAGTCCCGTAACTAAAATTTATTAAATTGTGCTGTAGGTTTAGAGCAACTTATGTATTCGAATTAACTAAGCAGCAAAATGTTAAAAAATTATACATTTATCACAACTACTTTTAATCTTATTGTGAAAAACAGAAAAGATGAAGTAATTAAAAATTAAGCTGTCTAACATATAGCATACAATTTTGAAAGCAATTAACTTATTTCAATTTATGCATTCTATCTTTTCTGTTAAATATGATCTTAACTAATACTATCTATCGATAATATCATACTTATTTCTAATCTTTTGACTTATCATTAAAGATCATAAGAATTATAAATAAGCATGATATTGATTTTTCTAATTTATCAAAATGAGCTACCTGGCCACGAATTAGCATGCCATTTTCGTCTCTAATAAAGATATTACGAGTCAGACCTTCAGAATAAGGTCTATAGAAACCAGGCCGATTACTTCGAATAGCAGGATCCTTATATAAATTTTAGCACACATATATAGATTAGAAAATAACAAGTTAAGCTGAGCAGATTGTTGGAAAATTTCTACATGCTACTTTTATTTACCAATACAATAACGTATTTTTGTCCTTCTGCATGTAGATGGCGAACAAATTCAGGTAGTCCAGAAAAGCTTTCCTTATTATACGTAAAATCCATTCGATCCTGCATGTAGTCGATATCCCCATACTGAACATCCTAGTTACACCATGAATTGAAATTATGGTTAGCATGCTATATATAGAAATTTATACTACTTTAGTTAGGCAAGCTGATATTTATCGCATTCAACGTAAGTTTGGAGTAAATTTGTTATTTTAAAATTTTATGATTTTCAATATCACAGACCTGTGGGATTCCGGCGTCTTTCATCTCTTTAACAACTTCTTTGACCCGATCTAAGCTGTTATAACCCCAGCGAGATAACTGAAAACCTAGGGCCCAATAAGGTGGAAAATATGGCAAGCCTATAGTCTTTATAGCATTCAATATCAGTCAGTACAAAATCACCAAAACCTAAAGAGAATGTACTGAGCAAAAACTGCATTTTAAATTTAGCCGTAACATAATTTTAACTATTAAATGTATGAATAAATGAAAAATAGGCATCTATGTGTACATCCAATTAATATCATCTAAGTAATAATAATAATCTTCATATTTTTAATATGCAGGTTAATTAACACTAGCGACTGCAGTATTTCAGACCTTAATATATTGATTAATGACATCTTGTGGACTTGGGCCAAGAAATACTATGAAATCGAGAATGCCTCCAATAGTTCTCCAAGTAAGACCAGGCGATGGAGTTAATACAGCCTCTATGAAAGATATCACAGAAATTGATGAATCAGATAATATACTGATCACAATTATTGGTAAATTTTGTTGTATAAGACTCATACTAAATATCTTCAAGATTCACTTATCGAAATCGGAGCTAATTTATTTAAGGTATTACTAATAAATATCCAGAACTGCAGTAAAAAATCATGGAATGGCTCTCTTACCCAAAGCATTGCTATTAATTAACAAAACGGCATGAGCATTGCCCGCATTATCTTCAATATTTAAGTACATAGGATGGACTCCATACAAATTTTGATTGGTCTTAAGGAAGATGTAATTATAAAGTTAAAATAGACTTGATCTAATTGAAGACTAATAGGCGTAAATTTCATAACTCGATTCTCACTCTAGATCTTGCAAAAGCTTAAACTGAGCAAAAACAAACTTACATCAGGCATGTTATCTGAGGCAAACATTCCCCAGCGGTGCCAATTCCAGTCTTGATGGCGATAATTTTGACGCTCATGTTCTCCTAACCCATAAAGCCATGTTGATGATAGTTTACTTGAAATTTGTAAAAACTGATCTTCGTAGATAAATCCACCAACACTTGTGTCCATACTATAAGCAAAATGATGTCATCAGTCACTGTATTCAATAGTCGTTGATCAATATTGACCATCATGATTAGTAATTGGTCCTGAATTTATACTTTGAAATAATACTATGACGAAAGTACATACAGCTCGGATTAAATGAAACCATTGCATTAATTAGTTTAAAAATATAGACATACATGACTTGACCCGTCGATTTTCTGGTAATTTTAATCGAAAATGGATTGGTATTAACTTGAACGTGATATAAAGGATTTCTATTGCCTTGATCACTTTCTTTCATATCAGGAAATTGTTGAATTGGAACCTGATATCTTGCACTATTTCTATCTGTAATCTAAAGGCAAACATAATTATTCAAGATTCATATCCTGGTTTTCAAACAAAACGAAATAGCTATACTATAGGGCAGCATTTTAAGGACTAGATTGCGTCTTGAAAATATTTATTTAGCTAACGCAATATTGGCTTCTATTGACGCTATACTACCGTAGAATTAATCCAAATCAAACTTGAAGTTTTTAAATAGCCTGCTAATAGCTATTCTAATTTGATCATTTGCTATGAATCCAGTTCCTTCCCAGGTGAAAAATGAGGAGTACACTTAAAACTTTAAATCTAATTCATGCTATACCGTACTTAAATTTCAGCTATTCAAAGAGATATGCATAATTTATATGGGCGATTATTACAAATTTATCCTTAATAGTTATTGAATAATTTTTCCCAAATTTACATTTACTGGTAGAGTAGAATATTCCGTCAGAATAATTTCTTTTACTTTTTACTAGCAGTCTATCTTAAAAGTTAACCTCTTTGCCTAATTCATACACTGGGTACAATCCTATCAGATAGCTTAGTTTTGCTTTTGAAGGTCATTTTATATCACATAAGGTAATTTCATCTGTCTTACAGTTGATTTTAAAACTTGCAGCATCGGTTACGCGTTGCTGAAATTTATGGCTTAAAATTTTATTAAATTGTTTAGTACTCAAATTAATATAGGAGACCCAATTATGGAAAGGAGAGTGAGATATTTTCTGACTATAAACTGAGGCCAAAATATCACAGTAATTAAGCTCCCTAAACCTTTTAACGCACAAAGAAATTCGTTTATAGGCGGCTAGTGCGCATAAAGTGCTAAAGCCTATTAAATATCAAGCTTGTACTAACTTTACCGTAGTATTAATGATTAGCCTAGCGAAACAAACCATTTAAACTGTGACACTTTCTAATCTCTACTTGCCAGCCAACATTGCGTTTAACAAACTACCAGTTGTAACAGAATTAAATTTAGCAGTATTAATTGAGGATATAGAAGGAATTTAATGTTATATCTTAACATTAATCAGACTAAACTATAAATAAAAAGAATCTATTTAAGCCCATTCCTAGCTATTAAGCAATTTTTAGGCTACTAACTTATCCCATTTCTACCCTAAATATCAGTACTTTCAAGGGCATATACTATACCTGCAATCCTTTAACCGGCTATAAAATCTAATCTATACAGTCTGCAACAATGACTAATCAATTCTTCACCTTTATTGATTACTAATCAGCATTTATTTTGTTCCAATAATTTTATTGACATATGCCCGATAGCCATATGATGCGACAGACAGTTTAATTCATTGCCCATAGATATGAGTAAGTTGATAAATAAATAAAGGATAAACATTAGAAAAAATCTTCCAATAAACAGTCTCTGAGTAATAAATACGATGACTTGTCCTTGTGCCGATATAAGAGCAAAATTTTAAAATTGATCGGAAAGGATCAGAAATGGTCTAGTAGAGTTTAAAGTATTCTTTAGTAATAAAGAATGCCATTTTCACTTTATAGGGATAAATGGAGAAAAATTTAAAGATTTGAATGTTTGATAAGAGAATAATTATCCTTAGCGTATATTCTACCAAATGAACTAACTGTTCCTTCAAAGAAATGATGATTTGATATGGCGTTAAATGAATTTCCAAATTTCCCTCCACTCTCAAAAATCAATTTGTTATTAGCAAATTAACTTAGTCTCTTGGGTTTAATCGAGTTCTCATGAAATTTACTGGCAAGACAAAATCATAACGTAAGACGATTGTCACTTTGTCTAGCAGTTTTAAAGTTTGTCTGGTTGTCAACTGGACTGAATATTCTGAAATTAATTTTAATCGAGATTTGAAGCAAAAATATAATCAAACATTTCAGGCATTATGCATCAACACTTGTGTAACAATAACGTAGATTTTTAATTATCATTAAACTTCTTGATAACAATGCAATTATTACCTACGAAACTAGGGAACCTAAAATAATATTTCAAGGTTTAGCTGTACTAGTACTTAACATTTTGGAAATTTAAAGCAAAACTAGAGTTGATAATTGTTAAAATCCCAAAGCAACCCAGGAAATAGACAAGTTTAGAATCCTGCTTTACTGCAGGCTGGACTGAATATTACTGTAAGAAATTTAAGAAATTAAGAGTTTAAGTAGAACAGAAATTGGTAGCTACAAAGTCCACAAGGCTATCTCTTTGATTTAATACAAAAAGTAAATTCCTAGCAGTATTGGACTGCTTAGAAATAAATGCAAAATCCTTTAAACCTAATCGAGTTATGAATATAGCTCTAGGTATATCAAGTATCCTAATAGACGAAAGGTATTTCATTGCAATGAGGGGCAAGTAACGTCGCCCGTGAGAGCCTGTGACCTTCGAATGTTCGATCAATAATATTACTAACGTTTGGTTTAACAACCACAATTTCTTAAGATTTTAAGACGCAATTTATTTAGGTATGAATTACGCATGGTAGAGCACTCTTGGTTCTTAAGTAGAATCATAAAGAAGAATAACCATCCGAGAAATAACTTGATGATTCCAACTCATCATTATAATTTAAGAAGTTCAATCATCATTTATAAGCTCTCCACAAATCATTCGAAGCCATCTAGCCTTACAAATACGCATATTCTGCCCTACTATATTAATTATTTCTGATGTTATTAAAGCATAAGCTATGTGCACGTATCTTACCTTAATTCGCAACCGAGAGGCTGTTTGATGCTGAATATCTACTCGCAGAGATATGGCAGGTGAATGATAGAGAGCTGGCTGATCTAAACGACGATTAACAATCACTCGCTGACCAAAAGAGACATTTTGAACTTGTTGGCCATAATAGGTAGTATAATTAGGTGGGTAATAACATGAAGGAGCATTTTTGGGCTCAGAAATGGGATTCCAACAGCAACCACGAGCTATGCATCCACTTTGCGATCGTTTAACAACATCAGGAAAGCAATCAAATCGTTGATAACCAGCGATTTGATTGCATGTAGATGGCTGTGTTGGATCGCCAACCGTTGGTTCTCTAGTCGTTGATATTATTATTGGTGGACGACTGGTTGGACTATTAGTACTAACTACTGGAATACCACTAGTTGTACGTGTAGTTGTTGCTGATATGGTCGAAGCAAATGTTGAATTTTCTGTACGTAAAGGATTATCAGTACTTTGGCCCAGTCCTGATTGCTCACCTGGGCTTTCATTTCGATAGGCCATTATGGTGATAGGAATAACGGCGATAATTAAAGCCAGTCCTGTGATAATAAGACCGATAAATAACTTCCGATGAGTTGTATTTCTTTTGACTTCGACAACAGCTTCTTGATCTTTTGAAGGCGATGTTTGCTCGTTTTTGAACGATTTAATGTCTTCTTCACTTGCCATGGTGATGATACGGCCAAATTTTCTTTTCTCTAACTGAAATCAATCTTAAGGTAGAAAATATCAGCCTGTGTTGGCAATTACTAGACCATGGACTAAGTTACTGCAGAAGATTGAGGTGAATGATATCTAAGCCGCATAGGACTTTAGATTTATACTGAATTTGTTATTCATCAACTATATAAATAATCGAAAGTCTAGGTTGCATCTATTTATTTATAAGCCCATACCAAAGATGCTATCCAATAATATTGCATGCAATTGTTGGTATTGTCTTGATATCTTCATGCTTCAATATGGAATGTTACCTACCAAGCAGATGGTTTGTACTGAAGGCGTTTCACATCCATCTAATAAATTTTCGTAAAAATAGACTGTTGACTAATTATTGATATCAAGCCGTCTAGTATTGACTTTGACTTTGCATTCATTAATGGAATAGATTGATTAACGTCAGTTTAATTAAAAACTTTTGAACATGTCAGCAATTACAATTATTTGTCTTCTCGTCGATAGTAATCGTTTTTAAATTATCTGTATAGTAGGTATCCTATAATGTCAGTGGATAGAGTTTGGCACTATAACTTACTCAAAGACTTATTCGTAACTGATTATATACTGTAAATAATTATTATCTGGTGACACATAAAATGCTGTAACGTAGGCCATGTTATTTCCTTTTTACTAGCATAATTTCGGATATCTATAATTTTCAAACTTGAAGGAAATACATTTGTCGATCATGTCTGTAACTTGATTTTGTTTATACTATTTTATAAGCATTCCATCTAATAGACAGCCTTGGGAATAGTTTCAAAAATATTATCTCTATTCCTTATATAGTTATGCTCACTTATAGCTAAGCAATCATCAATATGCCGAAGCAAGCTCAGAATTTTTATAAAATAATTAAGGATCGATTAAAACTTAGGACGTATACCATACGTTGAGGTAGATTTTGCAATGGGACTAGCATAATTGTATTCCTAAATTCAATTTAATCAGGTTGTAAATAAGTTTTACCAACCAGATAGATATTGTGTCAACTGTGGTGTGCAAATGCTACAGCACCAATTTCTAAATCAAAATTATAGACGCAAATGAGAAAGCAAAACTTCGACATCGCTAATATGGATAATCATGTGAGCATAGCAATAATACTAAGCATCCTTCTATATACACAAAACCTCAAATTATGTTTGCCTATTATAAGCAAACATGATTTAACCAATATTCAATAGCAATAAGTCTCTTTAAATCGAATTAAAATAGAGTGATACAATATCATATGCTAAATTAGAATAAATTCTAGAATTGACTCAAGATAGCTGTAAATTCTAAATCGACTTTCATGAAACTTGATATTAAGGTGAAATTCGAATATGCCTATCGGGCTCTAAGTCTAGGCTTTTTAAACTGTTCTCGTCAGATAATGCCAAATTAAACATATTTGCGTAATATTCTATATCTATTTTACATGAATCAAATTGAGCTATTGTAAACTGACATAGTAGAAAGCCACAAATCTATTCAATGTAAAAATATATGTTATCTCTATGATATGTGGTAATCCTGACAAGAGCATGAAAATATGTTCATGTTTTCAGTGATCAAGTAAGTTCTAGATTACCATTTGATCTAAGTCTATCAAACCTGGTTTTAACTGTGGCATTTTGCATGTTTTACTCTAATAGAATTAATATTACAGTATTTTATTAGGATGTACAACAGGTCAAAATTTATTATTAAATTTTTTTTTATAATGCCAGAGCAGATGAACATTCTGTATAAAATATGCTATATAAATAAATCAACATCAGCTACAAAAGCAAATAGTTAAACAGTGGTACCACCACAGACACCAGATTGAAAATAAATATTTCTACCGGTAATGATTTGTTAATGTAAGACTACTTATAACTAGTGGGAAAAAACTACCCTAATAGCACTAACCAAATATCCCATAACTGTATATAACAAGGCTTAGAACAAGAAAGTGAGTTATAACGTTAACAAGCTCTTTATACACAACTCTTTTATTAAAAATAATCATGATTATCAAGAACATATTCGTGCATGCCTTTCCAGGAATGCTATCTTGCTATTACATTAGAATTACTTTATTAGTGTGAACATCTCTCTAGCCCATTATATTTACATTTCAAAGTGTACATTGGATTGATAAAATACATTAAATGTAGACAAATGTCTGCTCTAAGCTCCATGAACTTATGCTATAGAATAGTTTGTAATATATATGCATAACCGTATGCAACCTAACATGAATTACAGGCATAATTTGCATTATTGACATACCGGTATCTGTCGAGAGTTTGAGATATTTTATTTTTGAATCAAATACCTCCCTGTTATAGAAAAATAAGGAGGTTATAGCCAAACCCCACTCAAAACTATAGCTAGAAAGGAAATATTCATTATTTTGAAAGTTACGTTCTACGCGCATTCAGCACGTGGTACATTCTTGTCAGGGCTATAAATTCATGAGCGACAAGCTTCATAGAAAATCTATTAAAAATTAGTTGAGTCCTTTTTCTTTATATCTATAGCTTATTTTAGTGATTACATCTAATTTCTCGACTGCAAATAAGTCTAAGAGACTATAAAACAGCATAAGTCATTCTTCAAGAAATATCTTAAACTGTCATTACGAAGCCTATTACCGGTAATGGTTGATAATTCGATTTCGTCCAGTTAAGTAATTTTGGGACCGCAAAAATGAATGTATCAGCAATAACAACTCAAATGTCATGCTAATAATACTTGCTGTAATGAAAAAAAATGTATAAAGACAATAACGTAGATTTAAACGATACTAGAAACACATCTAATGCAACTATTTTTCAATCATAAAGTAAAATTGTTGAAGAAGGGGCACCTAGTCATGTTAGCTTTAAATTATAGTATATGCACCGAGCTATCATAGCTAGTCTATATATGCAGTTTGGGTTTGAGTAATGGGACAACTCTAATACAATTATGTAGTTTATAAGAATAATATAAATGTCCATGGAGTCAAGATTTACTTTAGATCAGTAGTTGTTATGAACTAAATATTATAGACAAATAAAATGAAAGCATTGAACTTCGAAGTATCTTCTTGGTCACCAATTCATTAATAGCTTTCAAATAATTATCCAATTAAAATACTAGTTTTGAGTCGGAGCTCACTCGCTATGCTCACAGTCAATTAATTTTAAAGTTCAAATAATAATAAATCGCTTAGTTGCACTTAGTAGAATAATATTATATTTTAGTAATCATGTTCATCAGTATATTGGATTTGAATATTAATTTACTTGATATGGACGTTAAATTTCATACATAATCAATTTTTCACTTATAGGGCACTATGTTTTAAACGTTCTTAATGCAGTGGTATTATTATAGAATGTTCTATTAACTTTTACATACTATAAACTACTTAGAAGCAAGTTGCAAATCGGCAAGACTTTACAACAATAATAAATTGCAGAGCAACCAAATCAAATTTTTCACTAAAAGAACGGCATGTTATTACACTAATTATGATTTAGAGCGACCCTATATCGCTCTTATGTAATTTATTTTGGCTTAAAAATTTTAAATGATAATACCATATATTCATGATCAGGGAACGCATCTGATCTTAAATCTACTATGGAATGCAAGCCCACTACAGTTGGCGTTATCTGATAGTCTTATCCATTTATTCATTATGTTAATTTCAATTAGGATATACTATTAGTAAATTTAAGGCTACTATTTTTGGCTAGTTTACATTCCCCATGTTCTATTTTTATAATCTATAAAAAAATAGCAGCAAAATTGACCTAAAGGCCGTAGTCCGATACTTTATTAGGATTAAAGGTAAGGATTAGATATTCTTTTGACTACCATATTGATATTTATTCCACGTTTAACCTATATTAAATGGATGATGTTAAGGGTATAATAATATAGCCTGTATAATGACGAATACAAAGTGTACAAAATTTTCATGCACTCTATAATATTTAACTGGCGAAAGAACAGACCAAAGGAAAAGTAAGAGAAATAAAAGCTGATTTTTCTTTTCCTTTTTCGGTTTTCAGTGTTCTTTTACTTGGTGCTGTTTGAGGCTTTTCAATTTATGATCTGCTAGATCTATTTTTAAAGATTTCTACCTACTAAATCTTTTACAGTCTCATATTTAAAAGCCACCAGCAATTTACGAACTTTTATGCTGCTTGCCAGGTAGTGCTACTACAGTAAACTGCTATTCATCCAACCCGGAATCATGCCTGTTGATTGGTCTTGAAAAAAGCTGATCACAGTGTTAATTACAATAATGCTAATTCCACAGCTATTGAAATCGAGACATCTATTCCTTATCATTATCAGTATCCTATGTTGTCCATGTCGTTATCATTATGAATTTTACTAGACCTCAAATATATTCATCAATTAGTTATGTTACCCGTACATGAATATGAGTGCGTATAATCTGCAAGAACGTTTTAAAAATAATTCAGCCTCAATTATATTATTGCAATTGAAAGACCATTAGCTATTCTAATACTTAGGTATTTATTTAAACGAAGGCAAGTCTATCTAAAATGGTTATTTAACAATAATAATCCAAATCCAACTTTAGTTATAAAACGATTGGGTAGGGATTCAATACTTGGTGCAAAATTTTCTCGTGAGATGCTTTCAGACAAACTCTACTTGTTAGACAACTTCAGATAAATCCATTTATTGTAAATTACTTATCGTTAGCAATTTTAACATTTAGGTATTTATTTAAACAATTGCAATTCTATCTGAAGTGACAATAAAAAGCATTTGAATGCTATTGAAAAAGTGATAACTTTAAGAAGGCTAGAATAGGTTAAACTAAATTTTAATCAGGATTGAATATACGACAGCATACATGATGTTAACAAGAATTAATTAAAACGAGATTAAAAAATTTTCAGTATATAAAATAAAGATACGCTGAAATAGATAAGTTTCTGTTAAATTGTTATAGCTATGGATTAAAAATCTATGAAATCATAGAATATATAGGATGCATAGAGCTAAATAGCAATTTATAGGAATTCTTTATAGGTCACAGTAAAACCTCCACCATTCATGTTGTAGTCTAATGAGGCACCGTTTATACCATATATATCCTAGACCTAACCAATAAAAGTAAAATAGAACTCATGCTTGTTAATATCCCAACTTTTACAAGAAAACTATCCATGTCTATTAGCTACAATGAAACCCATCGAATGGAGTAAGCAAATGAATCCTGAGCTAACGCATTAATATAATCATTAGCGAAATTACCCTAGTATTAGAATTAAATACATGATTCTTAAATTCGCCACCCACGGTTACCGATACAATATAGGGAACTGTTATACCGTAAACCAAAATATTGCTTACAGTTGGTTCAATGGCATAATCATTCTTCACCATGTTGACAGTTAAAGTATCCTATAAAAATAGAAGAAGAATCCAGATTAAGAGTTAATACCTTCATATTGGCAATATTGATTATGTCAATATCGTCTCATCGTAGGCATGTCTAGATAAACGATTATAATTCTAATCCATTTTAAATTTATATCTATACGTATAAAATCGCAAATCTTCTCCATTTTAAATTTATATCTATACGTATAGAATCGCAAATCTTCTCCATTTTCTATCTAAATAGCATCGCAGAGCATAACATTGACAGGCTTTCGGTTGCTTTGTTCATGTGATTGTCTACAATACTTTCAACCTTGAGCATTAGCCTATTTGCAACAGTATATCATAAAATACCTTAGTAGCCTTCATAGTCATGTAGGTATATTGATTATTCTTAATAGTATCTAGAAAAATAAGAGCTTAGTAAATAAACAACAAATAATATCACCAGATGATCTTCAAGACAATGCTAATGCCGACATGGGCAAAGATTTATTTTAATAAGCAGAAATAAAATGCATGATTAATACCGAGACTTAGAATTTGTAAGAGTGTCATTGATACTAGAGATCTAGACTATACTTTCTACTTTAAAGTAATTAAAAAATTCTTGATATTGTATTTTGGAAAGAATAAAAGCTTGAAATCGCACGATATATAGCTACAAAATAAACTGGTTATCCGATCATCAATACTTTTAAAACACTTGCTAGACGTTGCAGCTAGTACGATGCCGAAATAGAAGTACTAATAACGTCTTCTATCAAGGTATAAATTTACTTGGCATCGACGATTGATATAAAGCAATAGTTTATGGGGAAAATGCCAAAATCAGTATTTTATAAAGTAATGTGTTCTTAATGCTATTGGAATATTAATAAAAGATTTATTTAGTTACAGATTATCAATTTTAAAGTTATATCGATGATCACCAAATATTTATCATTGATTATATTAATTATAACGGCAGTAATTCATTATTCTTAAGATTACCTATGCTCTCCCCATCATCCCAAAAGAAGGACCCTTCTGCATAGTTGTTAGCACTGATAGCAATAATAATAGTAAATTTATTTTTTCGTCTGAAATGTAGAATAATATTACGTTAGAATAGTGTCAAATCGCATTTTAATCTTAATTTTTACTCATAGATACCATAAAGTACCTCAGAAGATTATTTTACGAGCATACGAACATGATAATCATATACGAGTTAGGACCAAGATTACGATTAAACCATAAGGAATCATACATAATAAGATAATCTAGCTGTTAATTTTCTTTTAATATATTGCTTCGTGCAAAATATGTTTCCGTTCATTTGAACGGGTAACTGATTAGCAAGTCTATTATTATTAATATAAAGGTAAACTGATAAAATTAGGTCAAAAATTAATTTCATTCATACGTAGTCTTAGCGACATGAGGTATCGTAGGCAGATACATTTCCTATCTACGTTACAACTAAGATGATAAAATATGTTTAAAGTAACAGCGATGTTTGCAAATACAGAGGGATGAAATATAGCCACCAAACCAAAATAATCATGTAACTGATTCTATGCCACTATTGAATGCTATCTTCAAAGTTTAATAGAGCATTAAAAATAAATTTAGGATAGTTTACTTGGCTAGGACTACGATGACAACTAAATGACCTAGTAGAAGACCTTGATGATATGAACTTACGAGTAAACTGTAGTATTAGCCGGTTCTTGTACGACCATGATGCTTCCCCCACGCATATGAAGAGGAATATAATCTGCAGGAGCATTCAACGAAACATTACCTTTAGTTTTTAATTCTACACCCTATTGAAATCAGATTAATGCATGGAAAGTAGATATGACTAGCTCAAAGCTTAACATCTATTTATCATGTAAGTAGCATAAGTTCTCTATTTTTTTATACTATCCCTCTTTAATATCATAAGGCAACCGTAGTAATGATATACTTACGGTATAATAGTCGAACCAACGCCCACTTGGAAAATAACCATAGACACTATTTGCATTCTATTTAATTGGAGAATGATGTTTAATTGATTCGTCAATTAATATCAACATTTAGCTTCTGACATGTAAGAATCGTCAAAGAGTGGAATTATGATGGAATAATAAGAGGAGGATGATATTTAATTGATTCATCAATTAATATCAAACATTTAGTTCTCAACATTTAAGACTGATGAAAGAGTAAAACCATGGTAGAATATTTGATAGCAGAATGCTATCATTAAATTGCTTCATCAATTAATATTCAACATTTAGTTCTTAACGTTTAGATTGGATAAAAGTGGGACTATGGTTGAGTATTTAATATGCGAATAATGTTATTCAATTGATTCATCAATTAATATCTAACATTTAGGTTCTTAAGATTTACGATTGGTCAAAGAGTGAAGTTATGAATAAAAATTGAAATTGAAATATAGGCAATTTTATCTTCAAATTCGAATTCATTAGACAATAGTTCATTATTTATAGCAAGAAAACAAGTTTGTAACTTACATCTTCCAAAATCGGAGTAATCAACAGTGCAGATCCCCACATAAATTGTTTATAAATGGAACACGTGATTAAATCTGTTGGAAACTCCATCATTAACGAGCGCATAACGGTCTTTCCTTCTGTAGCTGCTTCATAAAATAAGGTATACAGATAAGGTAGCAATCTATAACGTATGAGCAGAACTTTCCTAGCATTTACTGCATTTTGAGTATCAAATGCTGTTGAATGTTGAGGCTACAAAGGAAAATAAAGTAATTTTATACCATTAGAATTTTTCTTCTTCTATCCTAAAATATCAAACATTGATCTTTGTCTTAGGCTTGAAAAAGTATGTATACCGAGTTTCCTCTGGTATTATGATTTCGAGCAAAAGGATAGAAAGCTCCCAATTGCATCCAACGATTACAAAGCGAAGCGGTTGCATTTCCAAAAAGTCCGCAGATATCTGCGCCAACCTGCGCATTAAATAATATATGGTGCATATAACAGTTGATAAGACTGGATAAAACATTAATTCTTTATGATTTACAATAGCATTGCAAATTACTGTACTACGCTTAAATCTGAAAATTTACAAATTTCAAACATACAAATGGTATGCCAAATAGGTTAAACTCCAAGGAACCTGTTCAAAAGCGAACAAATGGTAGGAATTTATAAAGCCAATTATGATTAAAATTAGCTGAAAAAATTGTATCGATTTTATTCTATAATCAGGCTGTAGCCATTTGTGAATATTGATATCTCCTTTGAAGCAATGTAGAGTATATCCTAATAAAATGTTAACCGATAATAGAATAAGCCATGGATGGCCATTCAGATAGATTGTCGCCAAGCCAATGGCCACCATATTTACCACTACCAGCAAAAGTCGAGCGACTAATCATGATACTTCGCTTTCCCGTCGCTGTATTGCAACCCCTAAGAAATTATTCGCAAGTTCTGCTCATAAGTAGGTATCGTAAGATTAAAACTATTTATATCAGCACTTGAATATACCATGAATGCTAATTAGTTTGATTTAAAGATATAATATAGACGCAAATACTACAAAATGCCATAAAATTGCAAAGTTATCGACGGCAGAAGAGATTCAATCTCAATTATAATAATACATTGAAAAATTGACTTAACACATATAATTAAATAGGATATACTATGATAATACCAGCTATGAAAATAAAATATAAAATTAAACTCTATTCAACTCTCTTTACTGTATTTGCAGCTTACTGTAAAGATGGCTCTATTTCACTATATCCATATAAACTGTGGGTGTTATAATGACTTCCCCAAGCCTGCTTGCCATCCATACAGATAGTTTGATTAAACAAAGTCTTTCCAATGATTGCCTCTACAAGCAGTTTTTAATTACTCAATTGCGTAATTAAATCAATACCTGTTTATATTTATATCTATAGAACTTAAAAGCAATATCTGAGGATAAAATAAATTAAAGTCTAAAAATTTAAACCACGTTGCCGTACAATTGGATCGATATCTGCTAAACGCGTATTAATATATTACATGTACAGGTAATATCTGACGATAAAGTATTTATAATTACTAAAGTCTAAAAATTTAAATAAGACTGTTTTACAATTAGATCAATACCGGCTGTATTAAATTAATATGTAAAATCTACAGGCAATATCTGACGATAAAATAATAACAATTACTAAAGTTTAAAAGTTTAGATTGTAAAGTCGTACAATTAGATCAATACCTACCATATTAATATATAGAATGTACTGGCAATATCTGACCATAAAATAATTGCAATAACTAAAGTCTAAAAATTTAAACTATATTGCCGCATAATTTAATCCATACCTCCTATATTAATACGTTAAATGTGCAGGCAATATCTGACCATAAAATAATTATTACAGTCTAAAAATTTAAGCCATACTACCGTGCAGTTATATCAATGCCTGCTATGTTGATGTACAGGCATTATCCGATGATGAAATAAATCAATGTCTAAAAATTAAAACTCCTAATCATTGCCACTAAACTATGACTCAAATTTTAAGATTTTACACAAATTAATTTCTTCATTACTTGGTTTATATGGAGGATAGTTGTATTGATTGTTAATACAACCGACAATCAATCCAGGGACAAAGTTTGCCGGTTCATTCATGTCCTAACATCATGGGATAACAGTTATTTAGATTATTTGTCTCATGAAATTTTGTCTCTGATCACTACATCGAAAGCCAAAGGGCCTTACACCCGCTCAAACGATCCAATACAGCAGTTAATAGAATAGTTTAATTTTAAGATTTAATGTAGCTACATTAAATACCAATCCTTATCCTATAAAGAGAAATTTTCATCTTATCTGCTCAAAAATTGCCATCTAATACTAGAAATGATTTATACATTATTTTTTAAGACAATGGAACTTCTCAAACGCAGCAATCGATAGCAACTTACGAGCCATAGACCATCAAATGGAATGGTTCTACGGAAATCAACAATCATATTTCTCCACCAAGTTTTTGTCGAGTCACTAGTAAAATCCGGAAACACGCTAGTTCCACGAGGCCATACCTACAAGCGAAAATAAGCGGCATATATGTGTCTTTAGTACATATAGAATTGACTAATTTATCGTAGCTTATAGGGTGTCCTTTTTAGAAGCAGGCTTCTTAATATCTTACTGGATATTTTGCTAAAAACTGGATTCCAGATTCGAATAATAATCATAATATTACCTTGCCAACAATCATTCTATCATCGCTATGACGAATAAAGATATTTCTTTGCATTCCTTCATCGTAGGGAGGATATGTGCCATTAGTTTCATTATTGCCGATCTGTGCATCCTAGTTGATGCAATAGAACAAGTGTCGAGCAATCGTAATTAATAGATGTTGTAAATAATTTAGCTGCTAGAAATACGAGTATAGAATATACTCGAGATTAATGCCATCATTACAAGTTTAATAATATATTTTTGGCCACGATTATGAAGATCGTCGATAAATTCGGGTAAACCACCGTAATTGACTGAATCATAGGTAAAACTTAGATGGTACTTGGTAAAGTCAAGATCATTAAATTGGACGTCCTAAAAATAACTGAAATTCTATTTTCAGCCATCATCATTAAACTATCAGATCAAAATCATGCTGACAAACCTATTGGCGTTAAATACTTAATAGCATCAATAATATATATGCCGCTTATTTACCATTGGAATATCAGCTGTTCTCATTTCTTCCAGAACTTGCTGAACATGATCCAAATTTTGGTATCCCCAACGACTTAGTTGGAAACCCAAGGATTAATAAGGTGGCAAATAAGGTAATCCAATAGCCTTCAATATCAAGCCAATGGGGTTATTAGTAAATTATTGGTACATAAGTATTGTAGGAAGCAGACTGGCGAGTTTCAAACAGCTGATTATGATTATAGGCCTAGCCTAGCTAGTCAAAATTTAATTAAACGATTCATTAACTATGTTATAAGATTTTTAGTTTGGTCTAATACAATAATTAACTCAGCAGAAATTTAAAGCCAAGATATTTACATTTAATGTGATATTACAATATATTTGTCGTAGTTGCAGTTAGTAAAGCTCTAAGCCACTATGTTTACGTACAAGATCTACTGATGGATAGCGTAAACCTTGATGTATTGGCTGACTGCATCTGCCGGAGAAGGACCAAGAAAAATATAGAAATCTAATATGCCGCCGATAGTTCTCCATGTGATACCAGGAAGAGGCGTTAAAACTACCTCTAGGTTTTCAAAGGAACAAGATCAATCGAGTTTGATGGTATAAATATCATTGTATCCAATTATATTGTTATAATCTTGTAGCTTTTAGACATACCCATAGCATTGCTATTGGCTAAGAGAACAACGTTAGAGTTACCAGCATTATCTTCGATGTTTAAGTACATAGGATGTGTACTATACAAATTTTTATCAGGCTGATTAAAACAAGGATAATTTCATATCAGTATAGACTTTAAAAGTTAAAGAAATTCTAAGATGGCACAAAATCCTAATGCTTCAGCCAATATACTATACGCTATATACATAAGTAACTATATACTATTACTCCTAAAGTTTCAAATAAGTCTACTTAAACCGAGTTAAGGATAAAACAATTATTTCAAAAATTTGTTTAGCCGTTGTAAAAGTTGATCGTATACGAAATCGCAACGGCAACAAATTATTGACTATTCAAGGCTATAATACTTTGTTGTAATCCACGAAAAATATTAATACTATCAATTATAGCGGATCATGGAAAGCAGCAAGAACTTGTCTTATAACCGTAATTTAGCAGTGTGAGCTTAATTCTACTGTTCATAACTATGAAACATCAATGCAGTAATTACAAGTGTATAATATCTAAAGCAATTTATTATCACAACTAGCTTTACCGGCCACTACCCGATTTTTATTTATTTTTTATAATATATTCTTAATATAGTAGTAATCATTGCCAAAAAGTCAATAACACATTTTCTAGTCAGAAAGCAATAGCTGTAGCTTGATTCTAAATCTCTAAACTATTATCTGTCGGTCTAATATTAAGTAGATAACTAAATATTTCAGCTTTAAACTATAACAGCTGCCGAGATGAGTGTAAACTTTCTGCTACTAGTTACTAAACACTTTATAAAAGCGAAGAGATAGAAGTAAAAGTCAATCACTCTGATTTATAGCTATCAAGTCTATTGCAATATCTACTGTAGAGAGTAAACTTAATAAACTATTCAATATACCCCAAGAAATTCGTCTCTAGCAAACATTCCCCAACGTTTCCAGTCCCAGTTTTTATGGACGAAGGACCGATGTTCATGTTCACCTAAGCCATAGAAATACTTGGATGGCAATTTGGAAGAAATCTCCAAAAATTGATCTTCATAGATGAAGCCAGATACGCTGGAATCAAAACTATATCCAAATAAGAGATGTAAACATTAACAGCAATTAATTTTAAACGTTCTAGCTAACTCAATTTCTTGAAATGAAATTCCATTTCTAGTGTATCACAGAACTTACATGATAGTATTTGTCGATCGCCTTTTAACAACTATAGCAAAAGGATCCGTTTTTACTTCAACATCGTATAGACGATTTGCAGCTGTTTGATCATTTGCATTCATAGTAGGAAATTTGATTGGCACTTCATAGCGGGCTGTAGCGTTGTCCGTAAACTATAAATACGTAATGGACGTGTCAGTATTTCAGGTTAAACATGACAATAAATATTTCTCTAACTTAGCTCCACTCATTCTAGGTATCGATACTGTAATTAAACATTCAAACAGAATAAACGCTAATTCATGACATGGTGTTTAAAATATTACCCAATTTATAACTAGTAACCTCAGAATATTATTACTAATAACCGTAATAGCTGAAACGAATTTGGAATCCCTTAGCTATGTCGTAATCTCAGTACTACCGTAAATAGTGACAAGATACGCAAGTTATACTAATCTATTCGATCATATTAGATTGTTGTAGTTATAATGGTATAATTGTTAATTCGAGATTACTTTGTATAATTATTGGCTCAGAAAACTTGACCTAGCATCATAATTACTTTAGCAATGTTGAATCGATGCAGGCACTAAAGAAAATTCTTGGATAATAACGATCTTAACTTAATAAACGATAAATGCTTAGGAATAACGAATAATTCGTTATCAATGACGAATTTTTAGCTAATTGATATCAATTTCCTTTAGCAGATTGTTACGGAGCAAAGCACCGTACATGTTAACTTAATTAAGTAGATTTCATTACGTAGCTATACGCGGTAAACAGTGATTATAAATATTAATCGTGCATAGTTTTGTTAGACTACCTAGATGTACTGTAAGCGTGTTCTGAAATCTATTAGTATAATCTTTATAGATACTAATATTGGCATGGCCTTAGCACCCGCCGCGAAGTGCGAGTAGCTTACTGAGCATCGCTCGTTTAATTGGCTATTTATTAGTTATTGCCAATTAAAGTTTTTTACTAATTGTATCTATAGTAAACTATATAGTTTATTGAGGGTTGTTTTCTTATAAGAACCCTGTAAATGTTATGTTGCTTAATTACTATGTGTGCACCTCAAGTTTGGCGGTAGAGTATAAAAGGAGGATCAAATGCTCAGCTCCTCAGTTCGTTCGTGATTAGAAAGCATTTCGGCTACTCTACCAATAAAACTATACTAAATTCTTAGAACAGTCTTACCCCTGTGTGACTGTAAGTAAAACAGGACTACCACACAGTAGACCTAAGTGTAGTGGAGATAGGAATAAGTAATCTATTATTTTAGGGTAGTAGTTCGCAAAACAAGTTTATTACACAGATAAATAATTACAATCATTTGATTTATAATACCACTACCATATTTGTATTTGTTTTATAAATAATAGGAACCATTACAAGGGAGGAGTTTTGCTATATGATAATGGTAATCAATTTAGCGATAGCGATGATAATCAACGTAGTTGTGATCATGATAATCAATTTAAAAATAATGATGTAATCAACATAGCCTTGATAATGACAATTGATTTAATCATGAAGATGATAATTGGCTTTGAAAACTTCGATTGTAGCCATCATTAGAAAGAAAGTTATTTTTATCTAATGTTTGTTCGTTATTTCATATTCAACATTACCGTTCATCTCCTTAATCGCCAGCAATGATGGACGGTTGGTAGAAAAAGAACGTGGTATGTTTTCTTTTCCTGATAGGTATTAACTTAACTATTCTATTTTCCTGTATCACATTTAACTACTTTCTACTTGAGCTAATTATAAACATATTCTGATATTTCCGACTCTAATTCTGTCATGAGTATAAAAATTCAAAGTGAGATATACTTCTTCCTCAATTTCAATTATTTACTATTTTATTCTTAACTACATCGAGTGATAGATATTCTTTGCTGTAAGTTAATCTAATTTTTTAACTGGATAGGAATAAGAACTACTAAATGCTACAACTAGTGAAATAAAAAATAAGAAATTTCATTCATGAAATCAATACTGTTGGCACTTTTAATCGTAATTTCATCATGTATCAATTAATCCGTCTTTAGCCACGATTAAAGGAGGAAATGGATGATTATTAAATCATTTATCATTAGATAGTCTTTGTTCTATCTGTCACTTACTATCGTCCCTCATTATAATACTCGATCATCTTATAACATAGAGTAAATCCATTCGAAGCTCATAAAGCTCTATTTTACATCACAATATAACCTATTTCTCTATGTAATTATTTCACCTATTTTTTACGAAAGACAGCAATTTTAATGTCCTAAATTCTGTTCGTGGACAACCTACACGCCATCATATCGTTTGCGGTACTTGGTAGAGATAAATCTGGATCATAGTCAACACAGATTAATTTACCCGTATTATTTGCCGATAAATTAATGTTATGCAAATTCGGCTTTTATTAAAGTTACCAGCCCCTAACCCATTTTATTTTTATATTATAACATAGTCCTAAATCGTATAATACAGTTTTAAGCAAGCGTGTGTGTATTATAATAGCTTAAGTTTGCTACTCTATTATAATTTCAAATATGGAACGGAACTCTCTTTTGATATTCCCTTCTATTTCTTTCATCTTTCTATATTATTAAATATTACAATTTACTCTTTACTATTAAGGATGTTACTCTTACCTCATTAAATGAAAGGTGAGCTAGTAAATGGATACAAATTAGCATTTTAGTCTAGATATAAATTGAATTAATAGGCTGTAGCTATTGCAAATTCAAATAAAATATTAAACTGAGGAGAAATGCGTGTAATCATAACTTTATCATGGAATGTTTCTTAGATAGGCCATTAGTCATATTAAGTAATTAATATTACAGGTTACTGATTCTAGTTTTATTTGATCTAATATTCAGTTTGGCCATAACGGCTGGTTTTCTAACAGCTCCATTTAGATATTTTTTTGGAAAAGTGAGTTCATACAGGGTAAACTGTGGTAGAAACGCATAAAAAAATTAGAAATGATTTTAACTGCATGTTAGTCTACTTATCAACTACAACAACATGAACGCTCAGAATTAATCCTTTCTAGTCCAGAAATTCCTATTCAATCCTAATTGTTCCGCTACAAAATGTATAATAAAATCAATCATCTTTCACCTTTCCGTCAGGAATGTGTCGTAAGATTTTGAATTATTATAAGTCAGCGATAAGTAAACGCAATTTTTTGGCGCTAAAAGTGAGGCTGTTGAGAATCTTAATAGCAGTAAAACAGAATTAAAATCATCCTATTCTAAAATCAAGATCTAGACATCTAACTCTTTCTAGTTTGTCATGAGAGCAACGATGTAGCTCCATTCAAGCAAAATATTATCACTTAGTACTTTAGTCCACTAGGAGTAGAGTCTTGTAGACTACAGAATGAAAGATGTTTAAAAATAGGTTCAAGGATAAAACGCTATTCTAATATTGAAACATGTTGCCATTAATCTCACGAATTTTCCAATTGCCATCAAAATAATTTTTATCACGAAATCGATCTGAAGTTGAAATAAACGAATATAGGAAGGGCACTTTATTTCGGTTAGTCACTCAGTAGGATAGACAGTCGAGGGAGTAGAAAATTGAATCAGTACCTCTATATTCAATTTTCAAACTGACATATATTGCAACAAAATTCGAATAGAAAACATCTTAGGCTGAAATAAATGATTGCCCAGGAATTCTTCAACGTATAAAATAAAATGGATACAGGACTTAAAATTGTTCATTTCCAGTCCATTTGGACAACTATCGTATAGAGTATGACTTGAATCTGTAGTTCAATTTTACTAATGGATGTAAAGGACATACGCGTATTTCCAGCTCGAAAGTGCTCATGCTATTAGTGCAAAAATGCTTACCTTGATACGCAATCGATTGCTAGCTTGAAATTGAATATCTAATTTGATCGTATTGCTTGGCGATCCATAATGGGTAGGCAAGACTGGATTGCGCTCTAAGATATATTTCTTACCATAAGGTACGGCTTGTTCTGTTGCTGTATAGGATCGGTATTGAGGAGGATAAAAGCAACTTGGAGCTCTAGCGACATTGATAGGAATCCAACTACATCCTCGAGCTTGACAGACACCTTTGGATTGCTTATCCGTATCTGGAAAGCAATCAAAACGCTGTAAAGCCTGAACACTTGGACGTGTTGGGGAATTACTGACAATTAAAGTTGTTGGAGTAGGCGATGTGAGGCCTTGTGTAGTCGCTATGGTTGCTGGCTCAGTAGCTCCAATATTTTCACGTTGGCCATTAGCGACCAAGACAACAGGAATAATAATGGCACACATAATAACGATGGCTACAGGGACTCCAATAACAATTTTTAATCTATTACTCATTTCTCTCATGATGAGATAATTGATCTAATCGATACTGACAGGGAAAAAGTTGTTAAAGAATTGGATGTCGATAGCAGATCAGCTAGAGTTGCAATTCCTTTGGATCTGGAAGGCAGTAAGAGCCAGTCAGTACCGTACTACCACATTGAAACAGCAGAAATTATAAAGTGCTTACGGAATGACTAATTAAATAATGCTCTACATGCATACATATGGAATCGCTCCAACATGTCGATTTAATGTTCTCATTCTGCCTATTATATACTTAGGACTAGCCAATTAAATTGTATGTCAATAGTAATATCGATTATAATAGACAGCACTCTTCTTCTCAGTTCAATTTGCTTAATTAATTGATCCTTTAATTAGAAAGACTCATAGATAATTCATGCTATTCATCACTTGATCGGTTTGATATCGTATCAAAGCTATTCCTTGATGACCTTGTATACTTTCTATGCCCATCCATGTTAAGAGGAAAAGCATGCAAGAATTTTTAATTTTCTACTAGACAGGATAAATGTTTTTTACTATGTTAATCAAGTCATGGTTGCTAATAGCTCGAAATTCCACTATCCCATTACTTATTTTTTAAAATGAATTGCGTTGCCATATTGGATAAAATTACAAATAAAAACTGAACATAAAACCGCAGCATACTGGGCCCAGATTATATGACATGGGCAAAAGTCAATTTGTAAACTTGGGCAAATCTAATTTTTGGTCTTACTTTTATAATTAATCGATAATTTCACGTGACTTTGATAACAGGTATGGTCATATGGGAACTACTTTTAGGGCACGTGTAAATAGCTGCTAAAGTTATTTTACCTAAATATAATGAATTCATTGCATAAAAAATCGACTTAACTAAGCGTATAATAAAAGGTTTATAGATTTCAAAATACAGGAAATTTTATTAATATTTAAGTTGATACACTTTAGTAAATTGCTTCAGTTGTATGCAGTAAAAATTGTTTTTAAAATCTCGTATTTTTCTTGATAATAATAATAAAAATGTGGTTCACTATATTTAAGTTGTTAAATAATTATAATTTAGTGATTGCGTCGTTTACAAGAGTACCTAAATATTTGCCTGCTTTGCCCGAATTCGTAATATTTACGAACTTGTATATGTTACAATGTATATTCTTTACGGTATAATATGCCTAAAATAAATCGAAAGAGATATATTTTCTAATTCAGTGTAACCATGGAATATCAATTTTTCAAACATTTATCGTCTGTTAAACACTAATATTTCTAGTTCTGAAATAAGTTGGAGTCCAAATATGTATACTAGTTTGACGATAATAGTTCATATTATTGTCTACAATTTAAATTTACTTAATAACCCATGGACTATTAGTTTTTCCTAGGCTACAAGTAACCCTATCTAGATCATCGTATAAATCAGATCAACCATCATTCACCGTATGCTATATCTACAACGAACTAGGCCTTGCTTTAACTCAATTCTTAGCACCAACAAGCAATACCAATTCGTTATTATCCGTCATTCCACTAAATATGAAGATCTAAAATTTTAAAGCATACTTTAATATTAAAATAAATGTAAATTAATTATCTAACGTATCTTAATCGATCATCTTCTCATAACCAAACATGTAGATACGATATCTCAATTAGTAAAACCACTTATAAAGTCAGCATTCGAGACAATTTCATTTATTACGTTTAGCATCATTACGGAAACTTTCAAAATACATCAGAATGGATAATAGACAATAAGATGTTCCTTAATTTAAGTCAAACAATATTCCATAAATTCTTTTCGATTGTACTACGGAATTATAATTATCAACTCAAGCTTGATCTATTCTATCAAGACTAAATGATTTATCATAACAAATCAGCTTACAATAATCTATCAAATCAATGGAACGATAGCTAATGGAATAATTATAGCTCAATTTCCAAAGCCAGTCCCATTACATCTAGCTGAAAATAAAGTACCCTACTCTATCAATTTGTTTTCGTCTCAAAAATTGGGTAGCGATCAGGCATTAAATTAAAAATTCAATTTCCATAATGAGTACACAACATTTACCTAAAACACCACTTCTCCTCCCTATCAATTTAACGTTATCTTAGAAACTGATGACGAAAAGCAGAGTCATTTACGCCATAGCTCTATTTCTAAAGCGAACAAATTACATCTAATTGCGAGTCACTATCTCCTAACGAGTTATCATAATCTTAATACAGACAACAAAAATGCAACATTTCGGATGTACCTGCAATGAATAATACTATAACTGGATCAAAATAGGCATAAAATATGACTAGTTTTTCGGCTATTGCTACGGAAAGACTTCTGGTATACATTAATTTAGCCTGAAAAAGTTGCTAAAGCTATCCAAGGCGCTTTGCAAGTACAAACTAACTCTTGACAATGGCATTAAAATTTGATTAACAGGTAAACACAAGTAGAAGATAATTTTAAATGCATAAGCTGAACTAGCAGCTTTGCTACCAAAATTAAGTATGGTAGCCGGTAAAGTTAAAATTATTCTATGGCTATTTGGATAACTCTAGGTTGCTGTTGCCATAACCTTACAGATTTGCTTGGTATTTAACGACAATTCTTTGATTCATATTATGATTCAGTCCAGTAATATTGAGCACCTAAATATTGACGTTGAAATTAACCGTTACCACACAGTCGATCCTTGTCCATTTACACCTCTACACAAGTTACATCGGAAACTCTAGTATCCGTACTTGTTTAACTTAATCTGATAGCATTTATGGCGTTGATGGACTACCGTAATTTAATTCATTTAAACGATACAAACATATAATCTCTATTTATCTGGCAAGCTGCAAATAAAAAAATAATTTAATCCTATTGAGAGCAATATCAAATTAGCTAATAGGCACAATGATGTTTCCTTAATAATTCCAGTCTGAATTACAGGATGATTATTTAGTTTTATTTGGGTAGATAAACGAACAGGTAAGCGCTACAGTAGTTCCTTAACTATTTCAGCCTAGATTATAGAATGATTATTTAATGCTATTTGAGTACCCCAGTGAGACTATAGTGTTTCCTTCAACAATTTTATCCTAGAACATAGAATGATTATTCAACTATATTCCGAGCAACATCAGCTAGAAAATGAGGACTATGGTGTTTCTGTAATAATTCGTTCTAGATTATAGCATCATTATTTCACCCTATTTGGATTGTAAATTAGCTAATGGAAACTACCAAGTTGTCATAGCAATTTTAGCCTAGGTTATAGAATGATTTTTTAATTTTGTTGGGAGCAACATCAATCAAATAATGGACTATAGAACGATTTTTTAATTTTTGGGGGAGAAGCATCAATCAAATAATGGACAATTGTACATTATATTGTTTCTTCAATAATTTCACTATTTTTATAAAATGAGTAATATCGTGGATAATGGTATAATCCATCACAGTAACCCTGTATTTTAAGTAGCTTACCTTTGTAGAATCATCCCAGTTATGAGCACAAAATGCCCCATTGATGGTAGTAGAAACAATGTTAGGTACATTAACACCGTAAATGGTTATATAATCTAAAGTTGGTCCTATGCTATAGCCATTGGTTGCCACTGTTGCAGTTAAAGTGTCCTATAAACGAAAAGTAGACCATTTAATTTATTAGCATAGGCAAGATAATAACATTGGCTTGAATCTACAATGCTCGATTTCGTAGAAGATTATGCTAGTGCTAAAGAAATATAAAATTGAAATCATCCAATGAAGAATGATGACAACGACAACGAAGCCTTACCTTCGTTGCATTATAGTGAATTAAAGTATGCTTATCGTTAGTCATGGTATCTGCAATAAAATCATAGATTAAGAGTTTCAGTTACAATCTTTCTGACCATGGATTAATTTTATCTACTCATTTATTTGTACATTCAGAATAACATGGCAATCAAGTCATTTATACAATTAACATCTCACCGGTACTTTCTCCATCGTCCCAAAATAATGATCCTTCTGCATAATTCTCTTTAGTTAAGGCCACCATTAATGCAAATTGATTTTGACGACTGATTTATATGTAGATAAAGCAAAATGCGATAAAATTAAGGTCTTTCTTACTCTATTTGAATTGACGTCTCAGTAATCCATTCAATAAATGGGGTAAATTAAAATTTTATTACTGCAAATCGACTTCATTAAGCTAGTAAAACAAGAAAATCAATACTGCTATTGACATAGCCATATGCATTTTAATTCTATTTCTAAAGGATATTACTACAGGACCTTATCATTTACAGTAGATTAAAAGATCCTCAATCTATTCGCTATAACTCAATAACAAGAAATAGAATAGACTTACGAATAGACTGTCGTATTGGCAGGGTGCTGTATCGGCAATATATGTCCACCACGGATATGGAGTGGGATAAAATCTGTGGGAGCACTAAGCGATACATTGACTGATGCGCCTCCACTACCACCTTGCATTTCTACACCCTGTATTGATAAATGGATTGATTCAATGCGATAGCGAGTAATAGTATTATCATATTCGCAATGGAGGAAAAATATCCTTACAGTATAAAAATCAAACCAACGATCATTGGGGAAATATCCACGAACAGAAGTAGCGTTCTAAAAATGGAAAATCGATAAATCGTATTTTGTCTGTCTCACACATGATTAATATTTTAAGGAGAGTAAATCTAAAATGACTTTTATGGACACAGAATAATTAATAGGCTTGATAAACAATAAAAATCCACAGCATTCTTATCATTTATTAATATGAATTTATTTTTTATAGGAGTAGACTTCTCCATCATCCTATTGAAGATATTGTGACTGTGATTTGAGTCACACGATAAGCATCACTTGTACATATAGTTTTAATGCTAAGCTTTAAATTACTCACCGTCTAAAAATTCACTCACCTCTACAAGAACAGGAGTAATGAGCAAGCCTGATCCCCACATAAATTGCTTGGATACAGTTCGTGCAATTTTATCCTTAGGGAATTCCATCATTAAGGATCGCATCACGGTTAAGCCTTGTGTATTTGCATGGTAGAATAACGTATACAAGTAGGGAAGCAGCTTGTAACGAATAAGTAATACTGATCTAGCATTAGCAGCATTCTTAGCACCAAATGCAGGTGGATGTTGAGGCTATAATGATAAAATTAAGACTTTTAATAGGAAAAAATGATACAAGGTAGCTTAAAATACTTTCTAAAATGAAATCCAAGTAAACTTAAAATCAAATCGTGATGTAAGGTAGAATAACATTTATTCTAATATTCATCAGCTACCTAATATATATGTTAGAATTAAAACTGCAGCACTTGTTATTACTGTACGTTGAAATAAAATTAAGAAAGAACTTCTTGAGTTCACAAATGATATAAGGCAGATGAATATTCGGTCGAATGATTGTTCCTAATAATTATTCTCAACGATCCAATATATTTTAAGCATTTCGAATATTCTGCCTTTTCTGAATGGATTGAAATCCAGATATAAATTTTAAATTGGCGTAATGCTGTAAAGTAAATGAATACTCCTCCCAACACTCATTTAATCGTCTAGTATGCAATAAATATATTAAGATTCTAAAATTATAGCACGTGTTATTAACCTTAAATCCGTATCCGTTATGGTTGCGAGAGAAGGTATAGAAAGCTCCCAATTGCATCCAACGATTGCACAGTGATGCTGTAGAATTATCGAAAAAGCCACAAATATCGGCACCAATCTAAGTGCATTAATGGATAATTGTATAGGAATTTTGGCGTGCATAAAGTCTTATTTTAATAACATATGGAGAGTAAAAACTATCTTGATTTGGCTTGATGAAAGTATTCCATATCATTTGAAATATTAATAGTAATTTAAGAACGTAAAAGCTAATGCTACGCATAAATTTAAGGGCCGTGCTAATTTTGCTTGCTATTACATGAGGTCAAATATAAAGAAATACAGCAATTCATTAACATGTCACTATCATATCCCATACATTTAGTTTACAATTGCGTAAATAGCTGATATACGCGTATAGATGTAATTGCATCATTGAGGATGATTAAATTTATAATAAATATACTACGGCACAGTTTAATGAGCACTTTTCTTCAACATACGAAAGAACTTACATATGGAATTCCAAACATGTTAAATTCAAGAGCACCTACATGAATAAAAATTGTGAATATAGTTATTTTATGCTGCTGATATGAAATTAATCTGCAGTAAAAACTTTACCAATGATCGAATTAGTCATCGATTTCCAGCCAGAATAATTATCACCCAACCAATGCCCTCCAAATCGACCACCACTAACATAAGTTGATCGTGAAATGACTATACCCCGTTTTCCTGTTGCTGCTCGGCATGCTCTAACAAGTTATACAAAATTATAGACACAGGTGAAAACATCATAAAAAGACGGACCAGATTGCAATTTTACATACTTTAGAGTGGGCTCCATCTCGCTAAAGCCATACAAGCTGTGAACATTATAGTGTACACCCCAAGCTTGTTTGCCATCCATGCATAGCGTCTTGTTGTACAATTTATCTCCAAAAAGGGCAGCTAAAATGCAATAGATTATCCTATTTACTTCAAGAATTTAATAATAAAAAGGCCCTATTTTTCCGAATCGGATGGTAGAAATATTCAGCAATTAAAGTAAAATTATCTTTCCATGCTTGCCTGGTTTGTAGGGTGGATTATTGTATTGATTATTTGTGCATCCCTCAACCGATCCTTGTACAAAATTGGCTGGCTCATTCATATCCTAGCCGAAATTTTAAAGTTTTTATTATCATCATAACCTCAATACTATTGCATTATAGGTATTAAGAAAGATTTCTTATTTCATCAATTAAAACTGTATGACGTAATATCATTACATCGAAATGCTTTATAAATCATTGACATTCTAATATTATCAAGGATATTAACTAAAAATACTAAACTTTTCAGTCTATAATATAGACTTACAATCCATAAGCCATCAAATGAAACATTACGATGAAAATCGACAATATGATTTTGCCACCATGTATGAGTAGTAGTGTTGGTATAGTCAGGGAATGCAGCGTTGCCAGGAGGCCATACCTAATTAAAAATAGGCAAACTGTACCAGTACTTTACTCAAAGTAGATTTATTAAGATATCCAATTCTATAAAGAATGCTATTCATTCAAATACCTTGCCAAGCATTGGGCGACCATCACCGTGGCGAATAAAAATATCCTTAGCTTTGCCATCTTCGTATGGAGGATAACTTCCAGCTGGCTGGCTAGCGCCAATAGCAGGATCCTGTTTAATCAGTAGCGTTATTTTTAAGCAACGTGATAAATTTCATTTCAAAAGGATAGATTAAATTGATCTTATTTATCATGACTATAGCATATAATTATCTCAGTTTATACGAGAATGCAGACTAGAAATCCAGATATTAATTAGGATTGATTCATGCTACAAACTGATCAGAATTGGTGTTTGGTAGTACAGCAAATAGTGGTCGCAGTAGCGGAGATCAGGTAAATATATCAATACTGAAACTTGAAACGAGAACTAATAACACTAATTACCACTGTATACCAAAATTATCGCAAGCAGATATTCATCGCACCTTTAACAGTCAACGTATAAATGACTTTATGGCAAATGAATTAAAATAATGGTAAACTCAACCATACCTCACCGTTGACTAAAAATTAGAGGCTTAACATTTTATCGTTATCCTATCATACTAGAGTCTACAACTATACAGTATACAGCATAAATCTAATACCATCTTCTGTTTTTATTACCTACCAATATTATAATGTAATGTTGTCCATGCTGATGTAAGTCTTGAACAAATTCCGGTAAACCAGCATAGGAAGTCTTATTCCATGTGAAATCTAATTGATCGCTCATGTAGTCGATATCACCATATTGGATATCCTAATATTATCCATTACAAAATTGCAAAATTTTAGTAATTGAAATCCACCAGCGAATCCTTTGGTATTACTTCGATGAAAATCATTTGAGAATGATTAAACACCAATACTTTTAAATCATTTCTTAATCTGATCGAGAAATATTTCATTCCATGAGAAAATGGAAAATAAATACAGTAATAATGCCATATTGTGATTAACAATACATTGAGTTTGAAATCGCTTTATAAAAACCATTCAAATGGACTAAATATCAACAATTTCAAGTCATATCTTGACTTGAAAATGTAATATTTCTGATAAAGTGGAAAATTAATGCGACATAGGTGCAATATACTGAGACTGATATTAATTTGATCAAAATTATTCAAAAAGGACTAAATATCAACAGTTTCAAACAGTTTCTAAATCTAATTGTGAATATTTAGTTAGAATGGATGAATTATTACCGCGTTAGTGTAACACATAGAGCTTAATACTATTCAAAATATATTTTAGATAATTTACTGATGCTACAGAAGAACAAATAAAAATTTGTTACACTAAGCATTCATTTAAGACATTTCTATGCTCCAGTTTTACTAAGCAAAAGGCAAATTTTAACATACACACTTAACTAGATATAGAGGCAATACCTATAGATATCGATTTTGAAGTACGATGATATGATAGTGAAAACAGAAACTACTTACTTGTGGAATATCTGCATTCCGCATATCATCAACTACTTGTTTAACTCGATCTAAGCTGTTATAACCCCATCGACATAATTGAAATCCTAGAGCCCAATACGGAGGAAAGTACGGCAATCCAATCGCCTATCGAAACGTTTGCAGAAACTATCAGTAAAATAACATACATAACTTAATATTTTAGATGCTCGATCACGTATTTCCTTTGATGAAATTATTAACCTTAGGTTTATATTTGTAATCATTTGTTACCGTAAGTTGCATTTTTCATTGTAAGAAATACAGAAATTTAAACTATGCCATGATCAATTCTAAAGTTTTTCTTTAATTATGGTTTGTATAGCTATTAGTATCGTCAGTGCCAGATTTTCTTAGCAAAGACCTAATACCTTACGTAGCGTAATAAGGCATTTCTGCTACCCCTAGTTCCATTTCTGTTATCATAGGCAATGTCAAAATTTCGTTATTTAGAGCTTATTAACTGAATACTATATGCCTACATCATATCCTGCTATTACTAGTAGCATTGAAGCTAGAATATTTGATTTTAGAACATGTATACTCAGGACGAAAAACACTAGCTAAAGATTAGTAGTATAAATATCATTATTTGTACTTTATTCACTAGAGCTAATGCTAGAACTACCTTAGCATAATCTTATCAGCGAAAAATTCGTCTTATGGGTATATAGAGATAGGAAAGCTTTTCTATTAATTTACCTCCATATCAAAATTTCCTTACTATAGGTGTGATATTTCAAGAATATGCTCCAAACTATCGGATATCTAATATTTATTTTATGTTGCATTATCAAGGTTGCTAATTTTATTGCATCTATCTTGACATTTACTACATTGGTTTCATAAGACTGATTGCGATATGAAAGATCATTTTTCCAACATTTATGTGCACAAGCTTTGATCTTTACAGTACTTGATTTTACTATGTTATCTTTTCCGTAGGAAGAATTTTAATTACAAACGTATGAAATTAGACGAAGTATTGGAGTAGTTTGTCTTAATTTATACGATAAAAGTTACCTCTGCTTTAAGTTATACAGCCTGGAAAAGGATTAAAACCTACATTGATATACTGGCTAACTGCTTCTGATGGCGTCGACCCAAGAAAGACATAAAAGTCCAGTACTCCGCCGATGGTACGCCAAGTAATGCCAGGCATAGGGGTTAAAACCGCCTCTAAAATCAATAATGATAGATAAATGTTTCTTAGGGAAAAACTCTCTTCACGATTATATTCAAAAAGAACTAGCAGTACATCTTATAATAGCTTCTCCAGTTAAGCTATATTACTTATACAGATTAGTCATTTTTAGCCTAAGAGTATCTTTCACGATAATGTTCAAGCACAACTACCCGCACGTCGTATAATTGCTTGCTTTAAGCTATATTATTCGTATGGATAAATCATTTTTAGTTAAAATTTAAGAGTATCTCTCTCAATAAGATTTAAGAATAACTATCTGTATGTCTTATAATTGCTTATTTAAGCTACATTACCCATAGCATTGCTGTTTAATAAAAGTATAGCATGAGAATTTGCAGCATCATCTTCAATATTTAAGTACATAGGATGGACGCCATATAAATTTCTGTTTGGCTGTTCGAAGCAAAATGTACTTATTAAGATAACCTCTTAAGAAGCAATGTTAAGACTTATAAACTATTGTAGAATTCAGAGTAAACATGATTTTAAAGTATTAAGATTACATTAATTTTAAAATTAATGTTCAATTTTATTAGATTTATAAATGAATTATAAGATTACATATTCTATTATAAAGCATTAAGACTATGTATGACTTACGCCAGGAAATTCATCCCTTGAAAACATTCCCCAACGATGCCAATTCCAATTTTGATGAAGAAGAGACTCATGTTCATGCTCGCCTAAACCATAGAGGTATTTAGACGGAACAGATGATGAAATTTGTAGCAGCTGGTCTTCAAAGATGAAACCGCCATGACTTATGTCCAAGCTGTAATGATCAAGATAATGATTAATATCAATTATAAATTACAGAGTACAGTAGATGCATTGGTCGATTTTCATGTCCTTATTGGCAAAGTCAACGCAACCACTTACATTACTGTATCTGTTGATTTTCGCTTTACCACAAGTGAAAAAGGATCCATATTCACTTCAACGCTGTAAATTGGATCTTTTGCAGCTTGATCTTGTAAGTTCATTTTTGGCAGAGGAATAGGAACTTCATATCTGGTTGAATCAGCATCGGAAAACTGCAACATATACATATAAAAATATAAACATGATGATTCACAAGCAGAGCAACTTTTAAAAGAAAATGCCGTATTATAGAATTATAAATTAAAGATTTATCCTGACGATCATTGAGATCTCAATTCTACAATAGTAAAAGAGAGAAACGATTAAAACTGCCATGGATTAAATTCTAACCTTCTATTTGATGATTTTATGGCGTATAATTCACTCATTTAATTATTGCTGTAATCTTTTAAAGTAGCTAAAATTTCATTGTTTTGGTTTAGAAATATTAAAGGAACCTTATTGAGCTACTAGAACGATTAAATGCGTTTTCTACGAGTTATAAATTTAAACTAAGCATTTCATACCCATAATTTAAGTCTATACCTGCTCCACGTATCGACTAGCATATTTATCTAGTAGCCAAACTACAAGTCTATGGCAGAGGATCTACTAAAATTCTAGAACGTCTAACAGGGTTAGCGTACTCAGGAAACTGCTAGTTTGTGAATAATTTCAAGCAGCAAGCCATGACTCATAAATCAATTCAATTTTCGAAATACGACTTTGAGAAAGAGTTTTAGATCATATATAGTTTCGCTATGACTAAAAGTTGACTCCAAGTTTCCCAATACCATATCTACTTATTAAAATTGCAAATTTCGGTATAGCAGACGAGCTCTTTTTAATGAATTACTGACTAATTGATCTAAGATTGCCAAGTCTAGTCGCTAACTCTATTACATAAATTGCTAAATGATAATACCATCAACATGGCTATTTTCTCCCTTCCATCTAGCATATAGCATCCACGCAGGATTTCGATTGAAAATAGAACCATCCTCACACTATTTAGAACATGATTCCATATTATGGTATCAAAATACTCCTCTACAAAACTGTTTATATCACTGAAATCCAATCGATATCATAAACCCTGTAAGTCTTCACTTTCATTGTCATTTCCTGCCATTTACTAGTATATCATAGCATCGTATCTCAAGTGCAGCAGGTTAAGAGGATGAAAGAGCTCTGATGAACTCTTATCTTGTTACTCGTTGATTACATATCGGTTTAAGGTCAAGATATTTCAAATGTGGTTGTTATAGAGTGTCATTAATCTAAATTAGCTATTTATACCTGTGTATTAGTAGCTACTTCATAAATAAATAGTCTATAAGGGCTGTGAAGACTTCAAGAAGTAGATTGGGAAGATCGAAGGATTTTGATGAGTTTTGATGTTGTCGCTAATTGGTTAGCCTATCGATTTAGGATTCGTTTTTATATGCTATTATCAGTTGATAACATGGAATTTCCCCTCAGTAAACAAATTGGATAAATGGATAGACATACAAATCTTGTCATTCATTTCTACTATTCAATCTAAAGGATCAACTGTAATTTCCCCGATCTAGGGTTCAAACAAGATCATAACCATTTTGTTCATGTTGTGGAACGAAAGCTACTTGTAATCGCCTTGTTGGCAACAGTAGTTATTATTCAGTTCATAAATCAACTATTAAGTAGAGAATTTTATCATCAAGATGGATAGAGTAAGAGTATAACATAGAAATATTCTTCTTTAATAAGGATTACTAACCACGTGGGCCTTTCTTAAGTAAATAACTTAATCAAATAGATCCATTTATTCACATCTCATGGTGAGAATTTACACAAAAATTAGCAACCTTGGTTGATTAGAACAACCTGATATATAGACGATACGTATAGACCGCCTGCTCGGTTATGGAGTTCGAAGACAATAATGGCACTTAATCAAGCAGATCCATTTCTCCAAGTCTTATACGGAGAATGGATTCATAATTTGAAAATTTTAGTAGATTAGTATAATTAGATTTTACTGACAATAAACCGTCTGGTTTAATGACGGTGTCCTCAGGTAAAACTATTACAAGTAGATCTATTCCTTCCTATTTTATACTAAGAAAGAATACAGAATTTCAAAAATACTTGCGTACCAGAATAATCAAATTTTGCTAACAATAAACCGCCTGATTCAACTATGATATCCTAAAATAAAAATAAAGGTACAAATAGATCTATTCCTTCATATCTTATACTGAGCATGAATACAAAATTGAGTAATTTCGGTATATTAGTATAATCAAATTTACTGACAATAAACGGCCTGGTTCAATGACGGCATTTCACGGTAAAAATAGAATTTTGAAATTGCCATCGATCTTAGATCAAGGGGGAAAAAGACAGAGTACGATTAATGATTAATATTATTAACAATCGTAGTCCTAAAATGGTCATGTCCTATCAAGGCAATAAATAGTTTCTAAGTAAGAAATGGAATACGTTTATATTTCTTCCATCTCATGACTAATTTATAGAGATAATCGTCTTGATCTTTGTTGACTTTCTTCTCTATCAACAGTAACAGCTGTATTTTGTTTATTGACATTACACCTTGGAAGCTATTCAAGGAAAACTACATTTTCTTCCATCCGATAGTGTCAAGATACAATCCATGAGATCCAATTTTTCTATTGCTGTTCTATCTAGGCGAGAACTAACTTTAGGATTATAATCAACGGTAGAATACTGGCAAATAGGGTTGATTCTCCTTACTTCTAGATCGTTCTATGTATTATCATGTTTCTTTTGAATACAGACATGATCATTATCAATTCTTTCTGGACCAAATGATCTCAATCCTTATTAGTCCGCTCAGTAATCTTCTATAGTCTGGCAATCATGTTTACATTAGCAATTGAATGGATCGTAACTTTCTTCATCTTATCATACGATCTTCATCCATCTGCAAAGCAATGTAGGGCCTATTGATGATAATCTTAATGCTATAGGCGTATTTTCAAATCCACTTAGGCCTTCTGTTGCTAGTTTATTTATTTCATCAGTCTGCATGTTATTTTAACTTCTTTGAATAATGAAAAGAGTTTTTAGGATTTCATCTTTTATTTATAATTTACGTCCTGCATACGAAGCGAAATTAATCAATTCTTACTGAGATCAAATTTGTACTTTCGATCGGGTTAATGTAGTGGAATCGAAAACATAAACCTGAATTCCTAAATAGTCTATACTGCAGTATATCTGATCGAACTGCAAGAAATAGATCGGTGTTCAGTCTTTACGAGCAGGATAGGCCACTAAGCTCTACGAATATTGCTTTACATTTATCCATATGGAACTAGAAGAATTAGATCAGTATTCAGTCTTCTTACAAGTAGAGTAGGGCTGCTTAATATCCTACGAATTATATTGTATGATTATTCGTAACTAACTAGAAGATATAGATCGTCATTTAGTCCCTTTACAAACTATATAGAACCACTTGAAGATCAACGAATGACATTTTATAATTATCCGTATGCAAGTGGAAGAAATAGATCGGTACTCAGTTCTTTTAGAAGCAGGACAGGGGTACTTAAAGCCCTAAAAATGTTACAAAACTATCCATATCTAACTAGAAGAAATAGATCTGTACTCAATCTCTTTGCAAGCAGGATAGGGTTGCTTGATATTTACAATTATCTACATCGAGCTACAAGAAATAGATCAAAATTCTGTCCCTTTACAAGTAGAGCAGGCCTACTTAAAACTCTATCCCTTGATAATTCGTATCTGCTTAAAACTTTACAAATGATATGGATGCAGCTGTTGATATAAATTTGATCATGTAGATTCATATTAGAGTCATAAAGTATTCCTGAACGTGCAGCCCGAATACTTTAAGCTTTACTTCGTCCAATCGAAAGCATTCGATCTAAATGAATACAACCAAATCTCTGTAAAACCAAGCTAAAATTTCCAAGAGGTAGAGTGTGAATATCTAGTATCGTATTTATCCATGCTAATTTGAACTACTGGAAGCATTTCATTCAGTACTAATGCGTTTTATTGTGTATTAGCTAAGAAAAATTGTAAATAATAACGAAGATTTCTTACTGTGATAAAATATTCTCCATACATCATTTTAGCTGCGGTAACCATAGTTAATAAAACTAGAGGCTTGGTGTAAAAATACGAAAACCTGACATCTCTTTAGCTAGAAAAGATTAACGTTAAATTGACTATTTAATGTTGATAACTACGACCCAGCATTCTATATAAAGGAAAGGATTTCAACTAACGTCTACCTACATATCATCCATTGAATGTACTTAAATCTCCCGCAGAATATAAATATAATAGATGATCATCTCCGGCAATTGCTGAGCTGGAAAATTTGATATCGCCATCACAGCTATCAAAAGTTTCCGTAAGAAGACTTCAATTGGATAGTGAAATAATTTCATAATTTTTTTACGATTTTGTTAGTCTAAATTCGATTTAAATCATGCCAATGAAATATTGAAATTGAATAACAGGGCTTAAATTAGCGTACCAATACGGGAAGATTTTCATGGAATTTTAGTCTCTTAGTAATTTTATAGACTAGTTTAAAACTCCGTACGGTTAAAGTAATGAAATATTGAAATTTAACAAGACTAAAATTAAAACTAAAGCTTTGCATTCATGAAATTAATTTAACCTTCGTAACTTGGATCATTTCATATACTAGTCTTCAATTCGATTTCAAATCGTCAAAAAAAGCTTTTTATGTGTTCTTGGTAACTTGATCATTTTATATATCAGTTTTAATCCGATTTATGTCGTATTAGCGAAATATTGAAATCGAAAAATGGATTCAGTTTGTATTCTATGTCCATTTGGAAGAATGATTGATTAATAGTTTGTCATTTCTAATTTATTTTTTAGTATCTGGAATAAAATGTTATAAGGTAAAGAAATTTTGCCTTTAAAGTAATATAATTAATCAGCAAGATTATTGTCTCGGCCATTCTAATCCTTCTATCCTTGCCAACCTTTTCAGAAATACAATTCTACAGTAGCAAATTAAGCTGCAGCAATAATAGGGATTATACATCACAGTACAATCACATCAGTATGGATCGACAGCCGAATAGAATTTCATATTTGTACTACAGAGTTTCGGAATGGCTGTTATTTGACTGCTGGCTATTACAAGACTTACCTTAATTCGAAGTCGGTTAGCAGTTTGATACTGAATCTGTAAACGAAGACGATTTACTGGTGAGCCGTAATGTGTAGTCATGGAGGAATGCCTTGTTAAAAGGAAACTCCTGCCATAGGTTGCATTTTGCTCTACCGCAGTAAAGGACTGATAGTTAGGAGGGAAAAAACAGGATGGTGCCATTGGTGTATTGGTTGGGATCCAGCAACAACCTCGCGCTTGGCATAAATTTCTACTGGCTTTAGCACTGTCTGGAAAGCAATCAAATCGTTGATTATCTTGAACACTTGCACAAGTAGGGGCATTGGTTAATGGTGGCGTTGTTGGCTGCGTTGTAGCAACGCTACTAGTAGTGGTGGATGGTGCTGTAGCATTGCTATTTTGCGGTAGATTAGCTTGACTAGTCACTGCAAATGGAATAACTATTGCACATAATACGACGATGGCTACAATAACGCCAATAATAATTTTCTTACGGGCTGTTTTAACAAATCGAACGTCTGCCTCAGCCATTGCTTTTAAGGAATAGGTTTGATTTCTCCAAGATACTAGAATTGGCTATCGGTTGTAGCGATATCAACTCTGAATATTTTAATTTCCTTTCCAATAGGGTTGCTATAATGATCTGAAGCTAAGCCAAAGAAAACTGGAAGTATGACAATAACAAAGCGAAGGCTCGACGTCCTTTATTAAGATAGGTATATTATGACCAATATCCAGCTTGAAACAGTTTATTTATTTTAGTTGCCTACAAGAATGGGAATGATCAATTTTTTAATCGTGCACCCTCTCATTGCTAGATTGTGTAGATAGAAGAAGCTTGTATCCAATCACAATTTAATAATTGCTTCTATTATTATCATGTCAATTATAATGCTATAGCAGATGGCCACAATGTTGAGACAGCAAATTTCTCTTAATGTTTTAATTAAAAACCATTACAATCCAATGAACTGTCGTTCTATCATTTTCAATGTTGAATATATTTTCGCCTTTTCAAAGAGATTATCACATTATATCATTATTAATATATAGAATAATCATCAATGAGTACAGTAGACAATAAAATGCACCACTATAACTACTCTACATACTTGAGCTATTGTAGCAATCATTTTAGGGGCATAATTTCAGCTTCTATCTTGCTGCTATGGGATAAAAACAAGCTCACTTTCATATCAACAAGGCTGAAATTACTAAAGTATCTCGTCGTGCTGATAGATCGGAGCTCATTATAACGCCTTCACTTTTAAGTAAATAGTGTGACTGCAGTAAAATTTAAAATTGTGCACAGAAGCTCATGATCTATTGTAGAAAAATATGTTTAGCATTTAAAAGTAAACAGTACAGTAGCAGTGATGTCTCTTTGCTAGCACCGGGCAATGCAAAGGGATGAGATAAATGAAAGATAATTCTCTATATCATTGCCCCTTGGAGTGACAAAGTAGCTATTATATACTCAACTAAGATACTAACTGCATCATGACCTATTACCTTTCAACGAATTCTAAATAGATGGACAGTGAAACTATTTTGCTTTATCAGCATAAATAGAAAATCTAGTTAAAATGGTATTATGAATTCAAATCACTAATGCTAACCGCTGAATCAATAGATTATGAATTTCAAAATAGAATTATCGGTACACTACTATATTAAACTAGTCAAGTTACTACGACTCGTAGAATACCGCAATACTTTCTTAATTTATCACTATTTTGAGCTTACAGATGGTTATTGAATGAATGAGCGAAGGTATTTATTAATTTAAATTTAGCATGCAAATCCTGTACTGTATATTATATAAAAATACTGGATAAACGTCGAAACGATAACTTTGAAATTCCAATTTTACATTCCAAATCAGAACCATAATAGGATAATAACAAACAAAGCATGCAATCAGCTAAGGTATACACAAACTATTAAATGCCACTTAAAACATATTACTGACCAAGAATATTCATGCGTCTTATTCATGTCGACATAAGCATTTTTAGCATCAAAGAATAACATATTATTCAATACATTACATTGTCCTATCGCAATAGCACTTGCATACTTTATGCCTATTTGATACAAACTAATTATTAATCGTGATGGTATGAAAATCGGTAAAAAGCGAGAGCTATCGTGCAAGTATGAGTATTCTAGCAATGAAGTAAGGTCCAAAGAGCATAAGGATCGTCTTGTTATAGAAATCACTATTAGTATTTAAATTGGGCCTAGTATAGACTGAATATCCACAGCAATACCATAACTCAACTAATTGAGCTAGCCAATACGAATTTAGCCATTGAAAAGGGTGTAGAATCTGAAAGTATGTGACCTTAATGCAATAGCTAAGGCATTGGACGTGTACACTGTACGTGGTATATTAGGCACTGCAGGAAGTAGCACAAATCTGAGACAAACTGGTCAATCTTTACACTAATGCAAGGTAAAGCGATCTTGAGCTGTTTACTATCCGCGTATGTCTGCTACTAACAGATGATGACTTCCATGCCACCACCCACATACTTCAAGGGGATCTACATGCGAGCAAATTAATTATTAATTCCAATTCCAAGAAACGTCTCACCTGCGAGAGAGGGTATTTGCGATGAAAGAGTACGTGGAAAGTCAATTCCAGACTCTAGTCTGCATCTTTATAGTCGGCAGAATTTGTTATAAAGCATAAAAAAATTTACTGAATTGATGACTTATCAGCTGGACATTTGTTGCAGCCATGCTTATACTGTATAGCGGAGTGTATACAGATATGAACCTTACATCTGTTCAATGGGTTCATCTTATACATAATCTTACTCATCTGGTTAATAAAAATAGCATTAACAATATGATCCGCTGATAACGGACTCTTTAATAGTCCGCTAGAAGACAGAAATAGACCAAGATTTACAAGTTAATAATTAGATGATAAGTCATTCACTTTAGTGCTGCATATATTCATCGATCGAAAAACTCTTGCAAAAATTCAGCTGCTACGCAAGCTGAGTTATCTGGGCCACCAATATCTTTTAATAATTTGCGCTTCAGTTCACAAACATTGCCATATTAAACGTGTAAATAGCTAACGACAGATTTTGATGGCACCTTTCTAACAGATGTGCAAAGATTGAAATTCAATTCACTAATTACCAAACGCGACATTATTATACTCGCATGTACATACTGTGCAAAACTGACTGCGCATAGTCAATTATCTGTGAAGATAAGACGATAAAAATTACCGTTAATATAAACAACAAATGTGATGTAATCATCCAAGGTAAGCCAAATAAAATCTGGTAGGTTGAAACGATAGTATAGTATTCATTACATATTTAAATCGTAAAAGGAATTTTTAAGGTTAATGCACTCTTTAGAAACTCCTACGACTCAACCAATACTTCCTTACTTAATATCATTATATTTACAAAGATAATTTTTAAGTAACATATTGCAACCAAGAAATAAAAACATTCGCAATAAAAAAGCTAATCTTTAGCGCAAATAATGGTGAAAATGGCGTGATTGTTGTCGATTACTATCAATACGCTTGTGAGCTAATCCACAGTTAACAATGCTTACTATATTGCTATTTTGCATGGAACTACTTAGCATTAATAAAACCTTTACGAACTATACATAGTACCAAAACATAAGTAGTCTGTTTCAATTACAGTCTATTAACAAATACAATTATGCCAGCCTTTCAGTTGCGACAAGTGGAGCGGATGTAATCGGTTCTGTTAGGTGGCACATTCTATGTGCATACCCACACTTTAAAATATGACTAACCGGAAAAAATTTGCATTACGCTTACAATTTTTATTAAGTAAATGTACTAGACATACATTGCTAAGTTCAATATATCCTATCAAAGTAGAAAATAAGACTATTTACTAAAAGGTATAATAATTGCAAAATTCGAACGATTTATCACAGCCTATCTAAACATAATTTAGCGAGGCAGATCAATCGTATAGTAATCTTATTAACACCAGATATATTTTTGTATTGATATTAAAGTAAAGTAGTATTCACTTAATTGAGTGAAAACTACCTCAAAAGAGCGCTGTATCTTATGAGAGCTTTGCAGCTATTGTACAAACTGCATCGCAAAGTCTTTCGTAATCTGATAGATCATTATATAAGTGACCCGATATTCTGACGTAGAGACTGTTACAGTGGGCTTTAATAGGAACCTAATGAGCATAATCGAAATTTAAGTAATCCTTATTCGCCTGATAAATACAAATATTAGAGCAAAATGCAAAAGTAATATTTTAATTACCTCTATTTTAAAATCACGGTAAAGTACGTTTTGCACAATCTCTGCTTGCTCATACGTTACTTTATTATCCTGTGATAAATTCTTAGAGATACATTCAGGTAACTGAATTAAACACATCGAACCTGAAATATTAATTAGGAAAACGCTAATGTCACACTTGTGATATCATCGACACTTTCAATATTCTATTACAACTGAGTACAGCACCAACCAAACATATCTTTGGAAGCTGCTAATTTTGTATCCCACTTTGTTGCCAACATTTGACCTATAGATTGAAATAAGGAGTTAGCCATAACAAATATTGATAACTAGCCATATTCTTGGCTGTTTGAAAAATTCAATCTGACATTAAAAGCAACCTTCAATACGACTTACTAGCTTCAGCTACTAATCCGTAGATGTATTTCCGAATAGAATCTGGGTTATGCAATGACCAAAAATCTAATACTGTCATATTCGAAGCAGCTGGTGATCAGTACATGAATTAAAACTACAGTGCAACAATGATATCATTCAAAAATAAACCTGTATGTAGTGATAGCAAAGGACTAAAATCTCTTAACCCTGTCAGTATTTGTGGAATAATGAAGATACGTATACATTGTTAGATTAGAGTGATAATTTTATCTGCCTTGAAAGCACGACCTAGAGTAAGTCTTAAATATGATTTGAAAACATAAGCTGCAAGTTTAATTCTTTAATACACATTTATCAGACCTGTCCAAATAAATTCAGAATTAAACCCTGATCCAAAGCCATGAGATACAGTTTGCGAACGAATTTTTTTTTGCCAGCAACGCTTTATGTATAAAAATGCGCACCCCTAAATTTAAAATCAATTCAATACCCTAATTGAATGCATTGCAATTACTTAATAATCGAAATGATTCACATTACCTTTGCAGAACAAAACCATTTATGAGCATTCGATACGTAAAAATCAGCATCGATATCGCTATTGATAGAGAAGGATTCGTTACACAAATTTACGCTACGACTGGTATCAAGGCTATTAACATGTTTGAACCGAGCATTACGTTATCAATTGGTTGCAATAACATACACCATACGTTACGTACAATACCTTAACTTAATTGGTAAAGATCCTAATGCGTGTGCACCATCGATAAATACCGGAATATTCCTAATAATGATATAAATGATTGGACATTTAAAGCATAACCAATCTATCTATAGTGATTGTATCTCTTACAAATAATTATATAAGACCGGATAAAGAAGCAACACAACAATACCTCTCTTTACAAACTTTAACAATCTCCTAAAAATGTGGACATGGGCACAATTTAGTATTTGAGATAGTATTGCGTAATAGTAAACAACACAAGATAGACAGTACCTACCTTAATCGGCATAATGATAGGAAAGTTACTAGGAATATGATCAAATACAGCAAAGGTACATTCTTGGCTATGGTGTAGCAAATACAATCAAGAATTATAATCTTTTACAGACATTTATCACCTAAATGTTACTACAGAAAAAACAAAATTTTCAGTAGAAGACAACCTTAAGGTTGATCTGACAAGATCAATTATCTGAAATTAGTCAAGGTGAATGTGTATTAGTAAGAAACGAATGCTAATTTGTTTTAAACATCAATATTAATCATTAAAGTGTTACTTGTTGTTGGTTCTCTACAAATGAAGGTATTTTAATCTCCTTAAGGCTACAACCATTCTCGCTACTTATAAATTTTAGGAGCTTTTTCACAGCACCTATAAAATAATTAGAGTAGCTTTTATGTCTCACTCAAGGAGGCAAACCAATTTTGGAATAGAATATTGTAGACTTCTTCCATCAATTTTATCTTAATTTTGACAGTTTTCACGATATTTACCATATGTACAGTCCAGATAATAAATGGTATCACTAGAACTGAATTTCATGGACTTTAACACAGCATTAGTGCCAGTGGTAGCATTCTCTATCAGCGCTATATCGGTTGGTGTACAACCTAATTCCCAATTATAAAAAAATAAGTAGTATTAAATTACTAGCAAGATGCGCTGGAGATTAATAATAAATCCTCGCTTTTATCTACCACTAATGTCAATTAGAACAAGAGCAATGATTATATAAATTGTTATCGATTTTGCTTTGTTGCCTTATCTTATAAGCATTCGAGCATTGATCTTTGTAAAGACTACATGTTGGTGATCCTAATAATACTGCTGTCACTTAATTCTTACCAATAAAATTGCACAGCCTTCGTGAAACATGAACGAGCTGAGGGAATAATTCCCTGTCCAGAAATTTTAACGGTTGTGCTTCCGTATACCGCTGCCATGCCTACAATAAACGAAATTGTAAGATCGTATAAACGTTCTTCTACCTAACAGCCACGTTAGAAAAGACTACAAGATAAAACCTGTACAGCATCCAACGCTTCTTTCAATACTGAACCGAAGGCACCATGGTTTAGAAATGTATATTCATCCTAAATTAAAATAGTTCAATTTGAAAAAGTTGTTAATAAATCTGGAAGTTATTCCTCTATTCATGATAGAATAGTGGCAAATATAGTTTATATTAATGCATAAGACAGTATCCCATAAGATTTGTTACGTACCCCCAGCAAAAAGTGCTTGCCTTTAATGTCTTTACCATAAGCACCTCTGTCGTCAGCATCAAACTTTGGTAGATCTATAGGAATATCTGGAGGTTGATATAGGTCCTATAAGATGATTAACAAATGAGCTGTTTTTTAAGAAAAGTAATTTAGGTTTATGGGATTGGATTGTGTGCCATCCATTTTAGGCTGTGCATTTTAATAATGACGATCTAGATATACATTGGTAAAAGTTATTTACATCAGCTCCAGGTATCAATAATTTAATAAATATAGCAGTTGAAGTATGCTTTGTACAGAACATTATTTGTGTTTTATAGCGTATTATGATCGATCAACATTGATTTTGAAGAGCAACACTGTCCGGCAACGCTGTCTGTTTAATCTTGCAAACTCAAATGATTGTTACATATACCATTATACACTATCTATCGTACTGCGTACACGAATGCGTAAAACAATAACACTAGAGGTTATGACGAGAGAAAGTTCGTAAAGTTTTCCTTCCTACCAACCTCTGTTAAGCTTAGTAGTTCTTGCACATTGGATGAATGAAATGATCCAAAATCTCGGCGTGAAACTGTTGAACGAGCAAATGCAAACTAGTTTTAATACATAGTAAAATGAGATTTTACGATTAATGGGTTACTATCAATTTATTCAATTCGTCCTACGCCATTGGACATGATAATCAAAACAATCATCACCGCTAAAATAACCATTTTTATTATACCTTGCTGCTATCGCTACTGTATGAGATATCAATGACTAATCCTTTTTTTTTTTATTAATACATTAGCTTCAGTAATTATAGTGAGCATCACTGTACCCTGATCAAGAGTGGTATTAGCTGAATTTTCCGCCATAACTTATTGGTGGTGTTCAATATCAACTTGAGCCTGAGCTGCAATTCGCAGTATGTGGACGAGTACCTCCAAGATAGCTCAAAACCCTAACGTAGAACTTATCATTCCACCATGAGTAAGTTATTAGTACAGTATAAAGGAAATTTTACCAACTTATCATTTGCTGTAATTTATACCTGGAAACAACACAATCTCAATAATGTTCACTCGTTATGGGAGATTGCTTTGAGATTTAAAAGCTGAGCGTGCTTCCAAATTCTTGTATAGAAATACTCTGACTGCACCCGCTGAGGTAGCACTCCTGCAGTTCTACACCGTAGAGTCCTCGAAGGAAGATTCCAACCACTTACTATGCATCAGTGTCAACTAAGACCTAATACTAGCGTAATGTACGACACCAATGGTTAGTGCACTTCTGCTGTAGCAGTAGGGATACTTGAATGCTTTGGTTTTTTCTTGCTACTTTAGCGACGTGATTAAAATATCTTTGACTTTTACAACACCTACTATTGCATGTACAGTACAATACATATCTGCTACTGTTAGATGGATACCATATATCCCTTTTACTTGTCTTCTAAACTCAATATTGTCGAGTTTAAATGTCCCTAATTAATCTACTCTATCACCAACGAGTCGATATACACTCATATTTCTTGATCCATAGTTATAGTACATTTTCTACCCTGTTTATCACTACAGTACATTGCACACCCAGTGGATATCTGTCAAGATTAGGCGTGGATGAGCTGATGATTAGCTGAAAATGAGCTCAATTATCTCCCTAATGTCTCACATCGCTAATCACTAGCAGAGTTTGACATGCACGATGAGGATTTCGAATGCCCGCAAATCAGGCAGTCTATTGCCAGGATTCAGCTTCAACGAGCTATCTACCAAATGTCTCATCTCGAAGTCTCTCTAATTCTATATCATCATCCATCGATCAACTTTGTCACTAACGAGTTGATAGCGTTCTTGCTACATGTCTACTTTAGCTCACACTTCAATGTCTCCAATCATTTATTCAATATCGAACTCTGCTCTCCATCATTGCCACTCGAATGCCTTCCGGTACCACTCGGTCTACAAGCGGTAGGATAGCAAGCTTGAGGCTGGATACTGTACACTGTACACTGTACACTGTAATGTAGTATTGTAATGTAGCGGGACTAGAGACTGTCCTCGGATGGATGGACTTCTCATACATGACAAGGCCGAAAAATAGTTGCTCACTATGAATCTTCGGTGTCTGTTTTCGAAATCACTTGTATTCATTTCAATAACATTGATAATCTAAAGTTACCGCTTCCAAGCAGCACTTAGCAACAGGCAATAGAATACAATGTAATATTATTTAATTTGTCGAAAAAATTAGTCCATTCAGAATCGACTGTCTGCATACCAAAAATTCAATCGTCGTGAAGTGTTGACGAAATTAGGCCTAACGTTTGTCCGTCCAATGAGCGGTCTGTCCGTCGGAAGGAGTGTTCGGTCCGTCCAGCCCAGGTGTTGGTGGTCCATGACTCAGTCCACTTGGATGCACTCTAGTAACAACCGAGCTCACAGAGTTTTACCATATACAGTAGTTTACGGTATTACCAGACTGGGACGCAGAATACTCCACAGTGCTGCGGATAGGATAGTACTGTACACTACCTTGGCAATTACTCCCGAATTCAAGGAGAGAAAGACGACATGGCTTCTAGAGCAATGCCGTCATGATCATATCTTGCTTACCTTCGCTCAGTGTCTACGACTAAATCAACACATTCTACCTAATTGATAGGCTAAACTGGTGTTGAAGACGTGATCGAAGTGAAATCCATCCATCAGAGATGAGTTGGTACTCATTGGTACAAGCTGATTGATGAAGGAAAATAAATATGACAGCCATGAATATTTATAGATTACTAGGCGATGGAAGTCATCTCATCGCCATGATTTACTTATTACTTTGGATAATTAAACGAAAATCATGCAGTGGCATCTCTGGTAAAACTCAATTTGTACATTGTATCGTTTTTACCTTACGCTATCTTGATCTATTCAAGTATTTCATTTCTTATTATAACACACTGATAAAATTGATATTTCTAACCATCACTTATGCAACCACTGGACTCATTGCGATTGGATATAATGGAACTTATGAAATGGAAGAAGATAATTTAAAATTAAGCTATATATTGATACCATCATTTATTCTTGGTATGCTATTTACCTACACCTATGATATTTTAGAAATTTGTTGGAGTATGTCACTCTTTTTAGAAGCGTTGGCGATCTTGCCACAATTGATCATGTCTCATAACCGTGGAGAATCCCTTGGTGTTATACGCCATTACATGTTAATGCTAGCTTTCTACAAAACAATGTATTGCTTTAATTGGGTATATCGAAAATTATGTATGGATTATTTTTCATTAACGTCTGTCATTGCTGGTACTGGACAAACACTAGTATATTATGCAGCTGTCAAGATGTTGTATAGCGATCAAGTTGTATTCTATGATCGTGATATATTCTTACAGTATAAGACTTTGTTAACTGAATCGAGTCACGCGCAAAACCGTCGTCTAAATCAAAATTCCGGGTAAAATACAAGATTGGAACATTTTAAAAAAGGTCAACGTTGATTTTCGATATTATTTATCATACCACCATATCTATTAGTTAATAAACAACGACTGAATGTGAAATCTGCTTCACTACCAAATGGCATTCAACATGCATAAATTACGTGTCAAGTGAAGAAAATCTGTAGATATTATTAGCTATAGCAAGCAGGAGATTGACCTAAGTAAAAAAAATTGGAAAGGCAATAGATATCATACGTATTGAATAATGTTATTAATATTGATTCATTTTTTCTAAATTACCAACAAAGAGCATCGGTGATGCCTTTAGAAGAATCCGCAGTATTTATAAATAATTACTTATATCATGCATGTCGTTAACTTGTTTACAATCGATAAGTTTATAGTAAAAATGGCCAATATTTATAATCTACTGTTGAAATATCGGTTTTATCTATTTAACAGCTATTCTAGACTTTAAATTACATCAATTCCATTATGTACAATGTCTTATATAAATACATTGTGATTGCTGGATTAATTGCAAGTAAATAATTTGAAAGGAGTTAACAATTGTTCTATTTTTAACGCTTACAGGGTGCACTGTAATATACAGCAATGATACTCTAAATCTTCGATCATGCTATTCCTAGTCGAATAACATTTTTGATTGACTGATATTCTCAAATTAATTTATTATAATATCGACATCATTTTTGTTTTACATCATTATGATAGAAAAAGTTTATCGAGGATAAAGCCTCAACTTGTTTGCTTATAAGAAACATATGAACTTAATGAAATATAATTTTCAATCGAGTCTATTAAGATTTATTGTTACGTAACATTCATTCTCGAGGTTATACTTGTACTATCGGTAATTAAGCAAAGCTAATCATTAACTTACTCAATTTAATACAGCTTTACAATCCTTAATGTATATAGATAATTGTTACAGCAGGGTAACCATATAGCAATCAACTTTGTACAGTTTGAAATGATCAATTTTTAATGACAAATCATTCCAGTCTAAGACTTATTATTCGTACAACAAAGAGCTGATTGTACTAATCCTATATATAATGTCGACTACAAATGCGATGAATAAATGAAGTTTAAAATACTGCATCCTCAATCTTAAATATAGTATACAGTATTATCAATTTTTTTCACTTTTCATCGATAGGGCAAAGATTGTCTTAATATCATTATTTAAAGAATGACTTTGAAATAGGTAAGACGTAATCAATCCATAAACTTATTCGCATAGATAGCCGTCATTATAGCAGTACAGCAATATAGCAATTAATCCTGTATAGTTAGAAAAGATCAATTTTACGATAAATTATTTAAATTCTAAGAATTAGTATATTAGCACAATATGGAGCTTGCTATACTAATCCTCCATGAAATATCGACTGCAATTACAATTAATACATAGAGTTTATGATACTGTATCCTCAAGCTTAAATAGAGAATACAGTATTGTCGGTCATTACTTTTTTGTCTATATAGTTAGACTAATTTCAAAATCATCATGCAAGGTATGCACTTGAAATTAGCAAGAAATGATCAATTTTTTGATCAATTATTGTTTACTATTCATTAATTACTCTATATTAAAACTGTAGTTTTTTATTATTACACCAGCTACTATTTGATCCTTATTCTCACGAGTAGAATTATCGTTATATCACTGCAACCGCTTAGCCATAAACTTATAAGTAAAATAGTCACCATCATGGTAAAACATTTATTCTGTATTATTTTAAAATCACAACATAGAATATGCCACACTCTTGGCACTTAGATTATCGAATGTGTTTATAATTTACGCAAGAAATAGAGCTGCAAGTCATGTTACATGTTCGGTTAATGTCTCATGGATCGAGTCATTATTACTCTAATATAATCGTACACCAATAGCTTTTAGCTTAAAACAGGTAAAAAAGATTTATATAGAGAATCATTCTATTTTTAAACCTCCAAATATCCCAACCCCGTAGGAACTCTCTCATACCCTACTTTTGTATATCAATAGGATGCTTGCTCATTCTCCCCTGCCTATAAACAGAATTAGTTTGAAATAAGTACGAGATGATATTTAAGGGAAATATCATATTTTAAAACCTCAGAGTATCTGAACCTAATAAAAGCTATCTCATGTACTCTTTACTCTTAATTAGCTACATAAGCCATTATTTTATGCTTGAAATAGGTTAGAAATATTCTTTAAGGAAGTGGCTCTAATTTAAAGCCTCTGAGTATCCCAACTAAAATCTATCTCATGTAATATACTTTGTATACCAATTCAAATACATACTTGTTTCGCCTTTATAGAGAAATAAAATCTCATGGATCTCATACGTAGAGTTATCATACTCCAATCTACTGCGGATTTTAGCTTAAAGCAAGCAAGAATTAATTTTTATTAGGTGGGTTCTATCTCAAACCTCCAAATATCCTGACGCAGTAAATGCTATCTCATACAGTTCTTTTGTATACTAATAGGAAGCTTGCTTATTATCCTTTGTGGATAAATAAATCTTTTTAGCATGAAATAGACAACAGAGATTAGTAAGGGGAATTGTCTTATTTTAATTAATTAAAGCTTCCGAGCATCCTAACCCTATCGAAAATATCTGCACTATTTCCTACAGTACCCTTTATGAGCTACTGGTATATGGGAAGGAAGAAAAATCAAGAAAGGTTTGTATATCCACAGTAGGGAAGACTTATAATCTATTATGGTATCCTTAATCAAGGCATCATTTCTCTTGCATACGCTACTTCTGAAAATAGAGCGAAGTTGATAATCTGCCAGTATGAAATAAATCAATAAAATGATATTGCTCTGATATTTAGTATTTAGAACTCTCAAATATCAGGCGACGTCTCGTATATCCACTTTAAGAGGAAATGATAAGGTATTTCTTCCGCGTTATTTACTGTATTCCTAGAAACGGGTCAGCAGAGAAAAAATCGCCATATTAAATCAATTTATAACGTTCCACTCGGCATCATTAAGAGCTATAGGAAGGAAGAAATCAGGCTAAGGTCTATCTCCACATTAAGAATGTAGAGAAGACTAGAATCAAAGCATTTCTTCTACGTTATATTGAGTTCAGAGTACTCGAGATTAGATTCTTATAATAATTGATTATGGTTCTGCTATTCTTAAACTTTGTAATAAAAGCCTTTTAGAAAATTTCATTTGACTAGGACAGTTATTTGTGAAATACTTTTATGACACTCAGATATGGAGTAGAAAGCATTTCTTCTCTACATTACTTTACTTTCAGATACAGGACGGTATTAAAATTGTGGCAGGACTAAAAGAAAATCAAACGAGATTTATATCCACTATTAGGAAGACTAAAATCAAACGATTTCCTCTCCTTTCCATGGCATTGATAGAAACAGGGCAGTGTTCAATGTGTCAGCAAATTATTCCATTGATTGCTTAGAATATGAGTAAATCCAAACAGCCCAGATATTGACTATGGTATTCATCATACAAGTTGATGGTATGACCTATTTACAGCCCTAGAAGAAAAATACATGTCGACCATATGTTTGCCCAGATGATTGTATTCTCGTTATGAAAGACATGATTGATTACTCATTAAATCAATCACTATGTGACAAGTCTATCATTAGTTTTAATCACGTTATAGGCAGAGGATTTTGGCCTTGGACAAGTAATAAATACTTTAGCCTATGCCTTTGTCTCCAACTTGTCTATTTGCTTGATGATTTATTCTTGAGCCAATGAGGCATAACGCAATCCCCGTTAATCAATAGGCGTAGACCATGTATCTAAAGATAGAAGGTGTAGTCAATCTTGCCTAATCTTGAAGAAAATTGGTAGGATAACAACAGATGCAGAAATCCAATTTAGTAGAGGAGAAAAGCAATCACCTAAAAGCCTGAAGCTTCTTGGTAATACAAGTATCATTTTTGCATATTTATGCACGCCATTTTTGGTGTAGATGAATAGAATTGATTAACGAATAGAGAGACTGCAATTAGCTGAAGTAAACGAATCAACATATCTTCCTTGACGGCCTTTTTGTCCAGTTATTCATCGTCCAATTGAAATATCTCCAATGATACCCTCTGCTTTCTTAGCTAACCTAATCCAGTAAATAACTTTACATTTAAAGAATTTTTAACCATTGCTCACTTCCTCCATCGTGTCTATCTTTGTTTCATTAAGTAGCAATATTAGTATCCAATTTTTTTCTATCCTTATTATATTCGCTGCTACAATATGGATTTATCCTATTTTGCTTCCATCTCGTAACAACAGAGTGACGGCTTTATTGAGAACGATAACACTATCTTCTATGCGATCTTATTCAGAACTTCGTAAAAAATTAACTTAGCATTCATTCTTGATACCATAACCAGTTTAGCCATGCTACCTATTAACCCGTATCTCTGTATTGGCGATATTATTCACACGATTGCCATTTTATACCTCGTTGTAGCGATCAATTGGTGGGAAAGTTGCAGTAGTATCTCATTAAAATGTCAATTATTGCAATGTACCGCTTTGGTATTACGCTATTTAGATATTTGGTTTATATCATACACATCACTTTATCTTGCAATCGTCAATATGTCCATCTTATTGCTCAGCTTAGCGACATCATTTTCAATCGCTGCACGCTATCCAGTAGGCTATGATGTAGGCGAAGATGATTTTCCAGCAAGTTATTTACTTCTAATTTCCATTATACTTGGTTTTGCTTTAACACGTTATATCGATGTAGTAGAAATATGCTATTCTATTTCACATATATTAGAAGCTATCGCCATTTTACCACAATTACGGATATGTCGTAATCGTGGTGAATCCAAAGCTGTTATTCGCCACTATTTAATATTACTTGCCTTTTACAAGACCATGTATGTCTTAAATTGGCTGTATAAATATATTCAATGGCATGATTATTATATCACTAAAAATATTGCCGGCTTTGTACAAATTGCAATCTATTATTATGGTATAAAAATGTTGTATAGTGATGAGGTTGTCTTTTACGATCGATGGAATATCTCCCAATGGACAAGTAAGCTAACATGTAGGCTCCATCTTCGACGAAAATCAACTTTGATCAACAAAGCTGAAAAGGCTTAATAGACTTATAACTACTCGGCTACGACAATTTTAGATTAAAATAGAAAGGCTGCTGTACAAATATCCAACGTGGTTTATTTCCTTAGTCCTTCCTTATTGATGCAATGGAGGTACCACAGATCAATTTTTCCCTGATAGGTTGAATTCAGGCCAAAATTCTGCAAGTTAGATGTCATTGGTTGGATAAAGAGAGTATTTTTTTCAAGAGTAGATTGGCCAATTAAAAGCTCGATCAAGATCGTGGATCGCTAGCGTATACTGTTAAGATTAAGTTTTTGTAATACTACTACTAGTCTTTATACTACAGTTGGTCTTATCCAAGCAACTAATTTTATGTGGGAAATCGAGATAAAGCCAATCGTCCTCATATTACTTGAATTAAAGTAGCCAAAGCTATCAAAATATGGATAATCGTTTTGCAATTTCGATATCACAATGATGGCGAATCATCTCAACAAAGCGTTGAACTACAGGTTCTACAAAATCACCTGGTCAAAGTTTTCTAAAATAAATCCTTGATTCTATTCCACAGAGGATTCTTCTTCGCATCAGCAGCTTCATTTGAAAACTCTTACTCTTATCATTGCCTGTATTAAGTGCAGTTAATGCTAAGCTAGTTGGCTAAAGATATCTAAAATGATAACTGTCTTCTTTCTTGAGGTGGTTAATTAGTTTCAATTGAAATCTATTGAAGATACCTAAATCTTCTTGTATATACTATCTGAAAATACTGCTAAAAAAGCATTCAAGAGCACATCATTCTTTCTTTATGTCTTGACTGCTGATTCAGTGACTTTTTATTTTTAGTCATTCTATTTTTATATTTGCTGGTTACTTATTGCTATTTCAAATTTAGAACTACGATAGGATATTACTCTATCAGTAAATCAATTCTTATGCTAATAAAATAAACGGTACAAAATGGAATGGCATTATGTTCATAATTTTTCAGTTACGGTTTATGTCTGAGGAAGAGTAAGAAAACTTTTACACAACTTTAAATTTAATCAAGTTGTCGTAAATGGATTTAACGAAATGTATATAAGAACTAAAGGGATGAGCTCACGAAAGGGAAAAGAGACTTCTCTTCGCTTGGAGCTCGGAATACTTTAGATTTTAGACCAGATTCTTGCAGTAATTAATTATTGCTCTACTATTCCTGAAACCTTGTAATAAAAGCCTTATAGAAAATGCCATTGACTAAGATAGTTATTGTGGGGCACTTTTATTACAGATTCGTCTTCCATCATGCCATAATACCAGTACGAGATTTGACAATGTCGTTAGCAAAAGGCATGCAAGAACAGGGGTTCCTGATGAAATGATAATACTATCGTGATAATTAGACGGTTTACATGCTCAGGCAAGAAACTGAAGGAGCTGTACTAAATGATTTGTCTTCGATCATGCTATAATATATGATTTGACAACGTCATTAGCAAAAGGTAATCAAGGATAGGGATTCCTATTGAATTGATAATTAATAATAAAATATCATACTTAGGCAGTTTACATGCTCAAGCAAGAAATTAAAGAAGCCGCACGAAACGATTTTTCTTCCGTCATGCTATAATACATGATTAGATAATATTGTTAGTAATGGGCAATCACGGACAGGGATTACTATTGAAATGATCACAGTTACAGATTACATGCTCAAGCTAGAAATTGAAGAAGCCGCACTAAACGACTCGTCTTCCATCATGCTATAATACATGATTGGATAATGTCTTTAGCTAAAGGTAATTACGGACAGGGATTCCTATTGAAATGCTCATAGTTTGGCAGGTTACCTGCTCAAGCAAGAAATTGAAGAAGCTACACTAAATGATTCGTCTTGTATCATGCTATAATACATGAGTTAACAATATCTTTAGCAAAGAGTAATCATGGACAGGGATTCCTATTAAAAGGGTCATAGTTAGGCGGATTACATTGCTCCATCGATGGTATTATGGTCAAAATCGCCTTGCTATCGTTAGCAAAATAGGCAAAGCTACTTGTTGTATATATCTGTCAGATGAATACAAATTTAGCAACAGACTTACTGTACTTAGCGATATTACAAAACTAATGGTGAAGTAAACAGGATACAATTTATTCTAGTCCAAAATAATCCTATGGAATAATAACCAAGATCACTTTATGATCATCAAATCAAACATAAAACGTTAATTAGAAATAAATCTTGACAATTGATCTTGAAACAACATACTGTACATAGCGTACGATTGACTGACCGTTTATGGCTACACAAAATAATTCAGAGTCCAGTTATCGTTACTTGTTGTTGCAATAGAGATCCGAAGTTATCAGGTAGGTAAAATCAACCTGTAAAACTGTACTGCTGAGTTATGATGTAGATTGTAGTGATATGACGATATAAATATAAATATTCTATTAGTGTACCATACAAATTAGCAAGAACAAGATCATCAAATGATTAATTTTTAGTACGATAAAAGTTTTAAACATCATATAGCGCCACAGCTTTCAGTATTTACGACTGTTGACAAGTATTGTCTTGTCAACTGATGTTATTTAAAACTAGAGGCTTTTCTGTCAACAAATACGCTCCCTAAAAGTTCGATGTAATCATATGACACCAAGCATACTTCATCAGTACCTACACTACCAGTCGTAACTGTGCCATTCAAAAAGGACTAGCTCTAATCGCATAGGACTTAAGAACATAAATTCGATACTATATCAAAGCTACTTTATAAATAACTATATGGTTTAAAGGCCTAAATAATCGTGTCAGCCGTGATTAAGATGACATGAATAAACAGTTAAATGATACTTATTAAGACATTATGATTTTAAAAGCATTATTACATCAATTTTAATGACGGTGACTGTAGGGTATAACATATCCTTCAGTTTTTCGTATTTGGGTCCAATCTGCTATTATTGTGCCAAAGTGCGTTGTACTTAAGAACTTGCATTAGGCCATTGATGGGGAGGATATTCAGCAATGCTACTTTTCGGGTTATCTTTATATGACGAATATGGGCAAAGGGTGGGATAAATATTATTTGCATATAAACATAGATTAACTACAGAACTGAAAGGATATCAGAAAGACCAAATAACATACCAACAAAATATTGGAGCGAAGGTATGCAAAAATCAGCATATTTTTTAATTCCATTAGCCCAAAATGTATTCCATTCACACGTTCGAATACTGTCCAAATTATCATCCGAGTCTGACGTACAATTAGGTGAGTCATAGAAGAATGATCCCCATCGTTTTGAACTGACAACTTTCTTTCGACTTTCATCCTATGACAGTCATTGCGGTCGTAAGAGTTTACTATCAACAAAGCTACTTACTGAACCATATTCACTAGAATTTAAATGTCTCAGAAAGTACAATCAATTATTTCTCAGATATATATTGAGTATTCATTGAACCTGAGAATCTGGAAATGCTACTGGTCCAAGTTCGTCAATAATAGCTCCACATGTCCAATTTAAGAATTTTTTGGGACCAACTATGTCGGATCGAATGCTATCGCCAAAATACATGACCTAACGTAGGGCAATTATATTACTTTGAAATAACTGAACCGATGAATAATAATCGACACAGCGAAAAATGTGTGACTTTGCAAGTTACTTGGTCACTGTATTTGCAACTCACATTAGGGTTTTCTTCTCCTGTAGATGAGGATAAGAATTCAAGTAATCGACTACAATGTCCCCCAATGTATACGCCATGCTCACTCCATTTTTCGTTAAAAGGGATCTTTTCATCTTTATCATTATCTTTTAAAAATACAAGACAGATTTCAAGAACAAATTACTAATCATTTTTCCACCATTCTGTAACATAGTCAACTATTATAGCAATGATAAGCACTGTATGAATTTTCATAAAGTAAGAAAATCATAGAACATGGTGACCTAGATTTCATCTAGTTAACCTAAAGCATAAATGACTATTATTAATCGCCTACTAAAATATTTTTTCTACATATGGTGTAATGTGTAACTGTACAAGCATAACAATGACGCAATATTATTAAGAAAAGCTTGCCAAAGTACATAAAGTTGTACATACTGATGAAACACTGGTGTTCGGCTTTTTTCTTTGGATCAAAAAAGGCTAAATAGTAGCGATGATGATATAAATAGACTCATTTATTAATCGTTGTAACAAACTGTTACGGAATGTATATCACCAAACTTGAAGAAGATTGACAGTTAATGTGTCCATGGATAACATTGAAAGTATCCCAGTTTTCTTACCTGGCTTTTTTGCATCCACAACAACAATATCAAATAATTCACGCCACGTATCGGGACTACATGTCGGCGAATAAGTAATTAAAAATAATGAAATCAATATTATTACAGTATTTAAAAATGCAATTGTTACGAAATAGTTTACCCCAAAATATAATCCAACATTAGAGTGGCAGTTTCTACGGTCGAATAAGTGATGATAAATAGTTTCTTGCCACGTTGTTTTAAAGACTTCAAATAATTTACTAGTTTATCAGAGCAACGTTCTGCGTACTTTTCAGGCTCAGTAAATAATAACTTAAAAAACCTGCAGGTATGTTCTAAAAGAAAGAGCAAGAAATACTATACAGTTATATGTAGGGTTTATAAAAGATTTATAAACATGAAGCTTAAATCTACGAGTGAACTATTGCATGCTTTCATTCAACGTTACTATTTCATATACAGTGAATTATAGTACGAGTAAATTGGTCCTACTTCAACTTAAAATTCTATTGGCAGTTATATATTTAACAAACATAGAAAGCGGTCAAGATCTACGAACCTTTAAAATTCTTGTAGAAAAAGACCTTAAAGACTGAATTTTGAATATTACCCCAGATCTTATATGGAGCCTTTCTTTCTTTCTAACAGGCAGAAAAAAAGTAGCTTCATCAAAGGCGTTATTCGAACTACTTTGACATATGAAATAAGCGTAGATACAAATTGTTAATAATAAATGCCATTGTAGGTATTAAAATTACTTAAGACAACCTATACTGTAGACATCATCAGTGCATAACGTCAAAAGTCATTTGATAGATCAATTGGTTATTCTCATGCTGTCAATGATCTACCTTTGCATCTACGAAATCGATTAATCGAGCTGCAATAGCAGAAGTTGGAATTTCATAATATCCATCGAAAAAGTAGCACATATCTATAATTATAATCAAGTCCAATAGAAATCAACAAAGCTTTCTTATACTCTTCCTGGCATATTACAGCATAATACTGCATTATCGTCCTGTATTTTATATTCTGAAGAGTAGTTGTACTTTTATTAAACTAAAGATTAGAAGAGGAAAGTTTTTTAGGTTAGGTTAAGAATATCTTTATACAGTAATTCTACAGTCTATCGGTTACTCGATAATAAATTGATTGCCGATGATGATTAATACCCAAGTATTGAAAAATATAGTAATGTTATCATGGTCAATCTCTTAATATAATTCTAAGCAAAATAGGACGCAGTCATAAGAACAATATGGCTAGTTTTGAAAATTGCACATAGGGTAATTACCCTAGTGAAATTAGCAGACTTACTACTGTAATCATAGGTATCCTTGACATCTGCAAAGTAGGGAAATATTCTTTCCTTTCCATAAGTAGTAGCCAGCTCATCATCGCTCATTAGCTTACTACCATGACATGCTCTATGTTAAGGAACATGAAAGAGTTTATAGCTCGAAACTACAACAGTAGGTTGGCTATTTTATTCAACTTGACATAGCATGTACTGTACAGAGTATATTCAAAATTACCTGATTATATAACCATTGTCTGCTACTTTTAGAAAGTTACCCCGATTTCGATCGAGAAAGTTGCCCTTAAAACTGATGATAATGAGTACCTTTAGCATTGAAGATTACTATCGTACTACAAGTTTAACCATCGTCAATAGCCAACAAGGATACTACAAGGATAACTGTACATACCAAAAATCCATTAAATCGTCATCAAATTGAAGTAATCGTTCGTCATAGCCAAAATCATGAACCATATGAAGTGCTATCGATTCATAAATCATCTAGATAGAATGTTGAAGAAAGCAATGGTAGCAATATCATTAGCGTAGCAACAGTCGATGAAATCATTCAAGATTTTATTGCAACTAGCATTACTATATTCGATATTCGCCTATACAAACTTAATGATGTAAAAGATGGAATCTTAGCCTATCACTGGTCTTGTTAATGGTAATACTGTAAGTTGCAATTTATGTGTAAGTGTTACGGCACTATGTTGCCTAAATCATAAGAGTTTAAGAAAGTATTAGAATATAAAGCTATTTTTTAGATTATGGTACGGTGCGTCTACTGATTGTCAGCCTTTTAGAAGGATAGCTCTTTGGCGTAATAGTGGCAGCATGATTACTAGATCTTTGGATAGATTAGTATAATAATCTTTAGAAGCAACACAAAAAGTAAGTGCTTTACGTATTACTAGATCTCTGGATAGATTAGGATAATAATCTGTAGAAGCAACTTCAAAAAGTAAGAGCTTTACGTTAGACTAGTAAACTTGTTTGCACGTAGTCTATGACAGTATGATAAGGTAGATCAAGGGGTCTATAGCCGATGCTGCTGCATGTTATATAATCTAGATTGCTAGAGTGTCCTATTGGAACTCTGTAGCACCGTAATTAATTATTCTAAGTAAATCATCGTAGCCTAGGACTGTGGCGAAAAGTAAATTGCGCCAATTAATCCTCTTGCTAAGGTTAAAGTGCTGAAAAACAGATTAAACAGTCCATTTCCTTCTGCCTGTGATTCTACAACTATGCGAATCCATACTATAGTGCATTAGGAGAAGAGGCAATCATATAGATGCACTGACCTATCGACGATACAGAAAAAATGGCAAATATCCATGATTCGAGAGCCTTAAAGACAGCTGCATTTTACACTATTGAACTGTTTTAGGGTTGGCTTTTATAGCCGATGATTTGATACCTTTTAGACTATGACTAGAGCCGTACACGATGAGTAAAAGTATAGTCAATTAAAGAATTTCAAAGTCAGTATGTATGGATTACTAATCAATTCTACCGTAGTGAATTATTTACAGTTATGGCTTCTCATGTCAGTGTTGAACATTAGCATGTTATTCAAGCCACAACACGCAATCGCTAGTATAATCATTACACTCTATGATTAGCTATCCCTTACCTTCATAAATGGTTCTAATTTGTATCGAATTAGAGTATGATCTAAATCGAATCCAATAGCATGAAGTGGATCCTCCAGCGTCGCCATTCTACTCGGACTAGGTTGAACTGGATCGTACTAAAAATAAGACAAGCACTTGAATGAATGCTTCTACCCGACTGATTAAGGGGAGTTGGCTGTCAACATTTCAAAGATGTAAACATAAACGATTTGCTATAGAGGGATAGATAGAATTTGTTTTTCCTGACTACGGCTACCACATCAGGAGTTGTCTAGGGTAAATGGATGTCTGCTGTAGACGATGCTGCACTCGATTCCGCCATAGGAAATAGGCACAGGCTGGTTTCTTTATCACTATGTTATACAATATATATGATGTCCAAGTTGTAAAGGATTAAACTATGGACTGAACTTCTTCTACAGGATTGTATTTTATTTATTTACTCAAAACTGCATACAACCATTAGTTTTAGTGATATTGCATGGCGGAAATAGTCAAGGAGATGCCAATATAAATATCAATCTATTTAAACTAGTCTGGCAGCTGGTTAGTACACCGTTTTAAAGAGGTGATGATAGTCAACATGTCGAGGAGCTATCCAATGTAATGCTGACTTTTTTGCGACAAGCTGCTAGTAGAAATTCAAATTAGGTTCACTACCAGTTCGTCAACACTACTTTCATGGAAGATGGTCAAAGCTAGGATGCAATGCCATATTGAAGTATCTAACTCCATGCTGATCGTCACATACTGGTTTTAAAAGAAGTCGATCAAAATAGGGTTGCAAGGCCACCTTGAGTATAGTATGTACAAATTCGAGATGGAATGACTCCAAGTTCTTACTAAATCCAGTTGAGCATTTCTTGCATCAATAAGGCTTAAAGTAGCGAACTCCACGCTAATCGTTATACACTGGTTTTAAAAGAAGACGATCAAAATAGGGATGTAAGGCTACAGTAGCTAACTCCATGCTGATCGCTATATACTGGTTTTAAAAGAAGACGATCAAAATAGGGATGCAAGGCTACAGTAGCTAACTCCATGCTGATCGCTATATACTGGTTTTAAAAGAAGACGATCAAAATAGGGATGCAAGGCTACAGTAGCTAACTCCATGCTGATCGCTATATACTGGTTTTAAAAGAAGACGATCAAAATAGAGATGCAAGGCTACAGTAGCTAACTCCATGCTGATCGCTATATACTGGTTTTAAAAGAAGACGATCAAAATAGAGATGCAAGGCTACAGTAGCTAACTCCATGCTGATCGCTATATACTGGTTTTAAAAGAAGACGATTGAAATAGGGATGCAAGGCCATATTGAAATATGTACAAATCCGAGATGGAATGAATAGTCTCCAAGCTCTAACTAAATGACAACTGGTTGAGCATTTCTTGCCTATCGTTGCATTGAGACCGGATGAATATATGCAAACATTAAAGCCGTTATTACATTACTTAACTAGTCGATCATCTCTTGTACATTATTATACTTATTATTATCGTTGCAATGGTAACGCTATAATACTTTATGCAAAGTTACCTATCCTCTGAGAACGAATGAATGCACTTTATAGACCTTATTCGATTACTCCATTAATCGAGCCTATCTTGCCCATCTAAAAGGTAACGAAGGAGCTCGAGTCGATACTATTTGAAAAGTAGATCATGAAAATAGAACTCCTGCAATATAACATTCATCTTTCAATCAGAAATTGGATGAATGTACTTCGAGACCTTGCAGCCTTACTGCATTAATCGAGCATCTCTTGTATATTGTTGCAAAGGCAACACGCTATACGTCGATGTTCGATGAACGAATTATTGCAGTTCTATCCACACTGTTTTTAGCAATCTGAGATTAGCTGAATGTACTTGAAGTCATTGCAGCATTACTCAACTCGTCAAGTATTGCTTGCAGAGGTAATCCTGCATGTATACTTAGGTGCTGGATAACTAGTGATGTAGTAGACTGTTTAAAAGTAGAACTGCTGCAATGCAATGTTCATCCATCCATCTGAGATTGGATGGATGTACTTCAAGCCATGACAGCATTACTCAACTTGTCGAGCATCTCTTTTTACATGCTGCGATAGGTGGTCGAGGCTTCTAGGCTCGTTCTAGCCATACAAGTAGAGTAGTACACTGTTTTCAAAAGCAGATACCATAATGCTATGTCTATGTCCAAATCCGAGATGGAAATGAACCTACTTTAGCTCATGACAGCATTCGATTATATCACTACTTCAAAACATTTCTAGCATACCGTTGTACAAGTGATACTAAAAGGAGAGCCAGCATTCAGAAGCGCCATCTTGCTAGTATGAATGGCGCGATGAAAGTTTCCTCGTAGCAGACTACTACTGGAAATAGTCCTGTATGTTGTCGCTGTATAAATCTCTCTGATCAAGCAGCAAAAAACCAATTTAGCCATGCAATCAATCAGAGCGAAAGCTTTTTCTTGACTCGTATTAAACAGACGCAAGGGATTTTATTTCATCTACTGTATAACACAAGGCTCATCATCCAAATTATGCCACCCAATTACTGAAGTGGATAGGGCAAACGTCTTGTCTATCTACGCATACAAATATAGGAATAAGCCTGTCACGATGTAGAGTAAATTAGCCATGTAACAACGATCTAAAATAAAAGATATTCCATCGTCACTTTTGGTGAATACATGGTCGAAATGGCTACAGCACGACTAGTCCATGATCCTTTTTTACTACTTTAATCCGTTCTTACACCGCTATCAACACACATCTTCATTCTCAATCTACCACAGTAAAAATTATTATTGAACAACGACATCTCGACTATCTGACCTTGTCAATTTCAGATGAGCACAAATAGGATAGAAAATTGGCCAATTTTAGGGCTAATCACTCCAGGAGTGGAGGGAATTGATGGAGAGATTTTCCAGCAGGGTGGAAAAAAGCGACTGGATGTTGATCCTCCTCTCGCATATACGTCGCTAGTCATGTACCGAATCATGACCTATAAGAATTGTAGACAGACAGACTGGAAAGCATAATTTTTTCTCTACTAGTTGGAAATTCGTTGCTTGCCTATCTATCACTTTGCCCCTTCTTATTGCAAAAATCATGCATCGAATCCAATTAGCTATGTCTTTCTTGGCTATTTTACTAGCAGCGACGATAGCAATCGCTGACAAGGGCTATGATGATCCATTGGATGTCTCTATCATGGCATCGACAAAAGAGGACGATGATCCCAATCAAGGAATGGATTTACTACAACAGCAAAATGGAGAAAATCAAAATTTATCCTTATGCTTACAACGATTACATCAATATTCAGTACACCATAGCCAATTTATCCAATGTGCCCTTGATAGTGGCAGTATACTCTTTCGAATGTGTCGCAATTGTGCTATCTACTATAGCCGCTTGTCACAAAGTTATACGCAAATTATGGAGGAGAATACAACCATTAATCAACACTTTGGTCTACTGAATGGATTAAAATGTTCACAAGACTTGAAGTATTCATTTCACGTTCAAGTCCTTCTTCAGACTCATAAGCATGCCGTAGGATTATGGAAATCTTGCTCTTGCAATGGTAAACTATATCTTGATCATGTCTATTTCTATCGACTCTTGACCAGCCGTAACTTTTTTTGTCAGTACTTCGACCATTTCCCGTCTCCTGATATCCATCGTAAAATCAAGGAGTAGAAGAGTTGTTTGAAACTTACGGATATTAAGGAGAATATTCTAGTCCAGTTAAGAGTTGTACAGTCGTGTATACTGTATATATATATATATATATATATATATAACAGATATATAATCGGCAGATTCTGCACTTTTTTTAACGCTAAATTGCACGATAGTTCGTTAAGAAATCACAATCGATATTATCACCTTATCCTGTAGGATATTTTCACTTTCATTCCTTCTCCATCGTACTTTTCAGCAGGAAATACTCTAGTCAAGCGAACTATGGCGTATACAGTAACTCGTAGATTCTACAACAGACATGATTTTAAGGCCAAATTAATCGTACAGTCCCCTAAATGATCACAATCGTAATCCTATATATGTTGTTAGGAGAAATTTTCCAATTTCGAATAATTCTTCATATTCTATCTGGTATTTTAGAATGCTTCCTTCAACGCCACCATCAAAGTGATGAATGGCATCTACACGAGAATGTTACCGAATTTTTTTTGGTTCTGATCGAAACGCGAAAGTGTTTCCTCCATTTCTTTGTAAGTCCTGTATGATCGATAGATTGAAGACGCTTTCAGTATCCAATATCCTTTTCGCCATGTTGTTTTCGTCTACTTTCCTTCTCCATTACGTCATCACTAGGGTAGTACTCTTTTGCAATAAAATACAACCACTTAATCAAATAGAAATGCTTCTACTTTACTTTCAGAAATATTTATATCGCTTTAATTTATATTTAGTTACGAAGGAATAGATAGAATGGAATGGTAATTTTCTGTATATGCTATTTCCTGATAAATAAGCAAACTACCGCTGCTGGATAGGCGTATACAGAGATTGTGTTTATTATAGTGAATCAAATTGCTTCATTACTATTAATGAAAAGATACAAGTAGAAAACATTGCTATTCTGAGTGGACTATGTAATCATTTCTTCGATCTTGACTATGTACCGTATATGTTGTAGGATAGTAGACAGTTAGGCTATCATCGCTAGAGTATGGATTGCCGTTTATGGATGTAATCATCTGTTTGATCTTGACGATGTACCGTTAATGTTGTAGAATAGTAGACAGTTAGGCTATCATCGCTAGAGTATGGATTACCCTTTATGGATGTAATCATCTGTTTGATCTTGACGATGTACTGTCAATGTTGTAGAATAGTAGACATTAGGCTATCATCGTTAGAATATGCGATGTAATCATCAATTCAATCTTGACCATGTACCGTATATATTGTTGAATAATAGACAGTTAGGCTATCATCGCTAGAGTATGGATTGCCGTTTATGGATGTAATCATCTGTTTGATCTTGACGATGTACCGTTAATGTTGTAGAATAGTAGACACTTAGGCTATCATCGTTAGAATATGCGACGTAATCATCAATTCAATCTTGATCATGTATATATATTGTTGAATAATAGACAGTTAGATTATCATCGCTAAAGTATGGAATTGCCGTTATGGATGTAATCATCTGTTTGATCTTGACGATATACCGTAAATATTGTAGAATAGTACAAACTTAAGCTATCATACAGAATTGCTCTTTCTATGGAATCATCAATTTAATCTTAACAATGTATATATATTGTAGAATAATTGATACTTCGACTATCATCGTTAGAATATAGAATTGCAGTTACTGTATTCATGCTACCATCAATGTATCTCCACTATTGTAGAATAATTGATACTTAAACTACAATCATTAGAATATGAAATTGCAGTTGCTGTATCCATGCCACCATCTATTGATCTCGACTACTGTAGAATAATTGATACTTGGACTACGATCGTCAGAATATGGAATTGCAGTTGCCGTACTGATATACGAGTTTTATAGAATAATAGACACTTTTAGGCTAATTTAGGCTCATCGCTAGAGTATGGAATGGCTGGTATCAATATAATCTATTTGATCTTGAGTATGTACATACTGTATATGTTTTAGAATAGTGAGACACTTGGGCTATCATCGTTAGAATATGAAATTGCTGTTACAATGGAATCATCAATTTAACCTTAACAGTGTGTATGTTGTAGAACAATTGATAGTTAGATAATTATCATCATTAGAATATGGAATTGCGGTTACTGTATCCATATCATCATCAATTGGATCTCGACCATGTCTCGATTCTGTATATGTTGCAGAATAATACACACTCTTAGGCTATCACCTGTAATTAATTATTGAAATGTAATCATCAATCTGATCTCGACTATGTATATGTTATAGAATAATAGACACTTTTAGGCTATTATCAATTATTGAAATGGAATCATGAATAATCTGATTTTGACTATGTATGTGTTGAATGTTGCAGAATAAGACCGGGCACGTTAATGTGAATACAAGTGAACAATTGTTATCCAAAGCTCAAAGTAATAATTCAATCTGTGTACAGTGTCGAGAGGCTTATAATCATTTAACTGCAACCTACGCCATGTTAACTCCTCGCGTAGCTCTATGTGGAGATATCGTCTACATGGTAATGACTCAATAGAATATTATAAAATAACGGATGCTCGTTTTTCTCGAACTGTAAACTTTTATCTCCTAATTTCTCAATCATTCCATGTATAATCTTCACTTAATGGCGCGTCTCTATTTTGCAGATCAATATTACCAGGACGAAATGGATCAATGAATGGAAATGCAACGCCAAATCAGATGATCTCACTTGGCTGGTTATCATATCAACGTTAGCTTTTTTATCTCCAGTAATCTTTTACGGCTATACCACTATAAACGGAAGAAAAAAGGATAAAGCGGAAACTTTAAACACCACTTGTGCAAGTAATCATAATCCTGGTGAAAAAGAACCACCTGTAGTTGATGCTGTACAATCATAGCTATATTCTTAACTTAGCATTGCAATACAATTTGCCCAAATTATTTTCCTATCAGTGTATTTTCCTGTATACTTGATCTTTTATCAGAAATTTCTTACTAGTGAGTTTTAAAGATTAATGCTATTTTTGTCACCAATTTTTTTAAATATTTAGAAATACCAGCTGCTGATGATGCGTAAAATGATTTTGTTTCGAATTTTAATACATGACTCATAAATGTTTGCAGACGCCTTAAGAGATTCTGTTTTAACGTTTTAATAGCACTTGACGAAAACAACGCTTCCATTCAAAATATATAATAGCAGCATTGGTCACGCTGCAATCATTTCAAGTAAATACCGTCTTATAGGTGTGACGTAGAAAGAAAAGCTTTACTACTATTCAAGTAAAAATGATATATTATGAGCAAATTGTGATTACTATCACTGGCATCAGCATGACTATGACCAACAGATAGATATTCAACCTTGTAACTAAGAAATCTTGTGCGTTATAGGAATGACTGGTAACTTTTTCTATTATTGTATAACGAATCGAAATCTATGTTTCTAACGATAAGAAATATTCGGTCGATTCTAAAGGCTGATTTTAAAGTTTACCACTAAACTGAAATTGTAATGACAACGTTGTTAAAACTATATTTATATACATACATGCATACAATATATATATATGTTATATATATGTATAGGTACTTACAAGTCTAAAATGCTATTACCATGATACGAATTACTACTTCTTTACAATTAGCAAGATGAACGCGAGATATCTAAAGTTCATTTAAATATAATATAATCTCTAATCAATTTTTTATTAGCAATCTATCAATAAAACATTTGTAAGCCATTATCATTATGTACAGATTATCCTTTGATGTAACATTATAGCGTGACTACTGAAAATATCAGAAATCAATCCGAGATCATTTTTCGGTGGCTCTCGGTGTAAATATCTTCCAAGAAAAGCAAAATAGTAACATACTATTTTAAGGATAACAATGTTCTTGCAATAAGAAACAAATAATTTATAACTTTTAGATTGCAATAAATAGTCTTTGTAACCTGTATAGCTCCATTAAAAAATAGACAACATTAAAAAAGGTTGATACGTACTTTAAAGAAAAATAATTTGCTTGCCAATTATGCTGTGTCAATTCACAAGAAATCCTTTAAAATTAGACTGCATCAATTCTTAGGATGTAATGATACAATAAAGCTGAAGAGCATCGATTATTTGCTTTCAAAATTTCTCTCCGCAATGCATGCTTCCCAATATTGTTCCGATTGCATTTCAATTAGACGAGAAATAACACGTTCAAATGCAAAAATCTCTTCTTCTGCAGTAAAAATACTAGCATTGGCATCTTTATCAAACTATGAATGATCATAAAAAACAGAAATTACATCAGTATCGGTGAATACATGTATAATAGAACCGTACTCTACCCATAGAAAATACAAACTAGTTTTGTCGAAAATACATTAACATTACCTCGGAAATTCCCAGATCGTCCATTAACATTCGCTTCGCATCCGTTACCTTTTTTGATGATTTGGTACTAAATAAATCTTCCGCTATTTTTTCAGCTGAGCAAACCACCCTCACCTAATAATTAATGACCATGAAATAGTAATGTTCTTATTAAAGTATTGTAGTATGAATAAATAAGCAGTAACTTGAATTAGTTGAATTACTTTATTATCATATAATGTATCAATTAGGACGATAAATCTTCTGGCTTCTGTCCTCAAAGCAAGATTGAGAATCGGTATATTTCTTATCAATAAAACATCAAAATGGCGGCATATTTCCAAGTAATCAGCTGCACTAACAGGCTGTAGGAAATGAATAGAAAAGGTGTAAGAATTAAATTAAAAATCAGATAATTTTCTATAATTGGTTCATATACAAGTCTTCAAAACTCTTATTAACAATAAAAGCAACAGTGCTTAAATGATCGAACATGTAGTTTCAAGTAAGCACCATATATGCACTCTCTGGCATAAGCGCACTAATACAAGAATAGTAATAATTAATGTACCTGGGCGCACAACTGCTCAAATGTAAAATCGGCAATCCTCCCACATGCTATAGGGATTTCGAGATCGCGACCAAGATGACGCAATACTCTCTTACCGGTCTCTGTTGGAATAAAATTGAAAGCATAGCTACAATTAATATTAACCATAGAAATCAATCGATTATTGAGAATTTATTTTCCTACTACCATACCTTGACCTTCTTTAGCGGCTAATTGTGCAAATATCTTATTTAATTCATTTTCTGCATCTGATTCACTAGACCTAAAATTAATCGTAAAGTTAATATACGAGTTTAATTATTGCATGATTAGTACTAGTAACAACTTGAAATTATAAAGAAAATTTTACACAAAGTAAACTTGTCCTCCACTCGGTAGTACTCTTGAAGCTGAATGAAATGGCATAAAATTTTTTTAATACGATAAAGTATCTGGTAGACACTGAAGTTCAATATAACTACCTGATCGTCGATAATCAATGCCAGAATCTAGCGGTACTATATGGCAATTACTCTATAATAGAGTAAAAGAATAAATTGAGCTTAAAACAATCAGAAAAATGATTCAACAACGGTGCCAATGACCTTCAATATAGGTATGAAAGGCAAGAAATTGCTTCTCTGTAATCCGTTTTTATATAAATCTGTTGGCCAAAAAAATGCACACGTTATATCTTTCAATTTGGTAATGTAAAGATTACACTTATGTAACGAATGCCATAACAAGCAGCCTAAGCATTTATACCGTCCGGTATTCTGTTTGAAGTAGCAATAATGACAACTCCGTAATCAAATAAGGTTGTAAATAGCCGTTTCAGTATCATAGCGTCAGCGATATCTGTAACCTAACAAACGAACATTGTATTTTAAATCTCCATTTAAATGCTATAGTATATTATAAAGAGACCATTACTTTATATTCTTAACAGTACAGTATTCAATGCTTTACCTGGAATTCATCAAAGCAAAGCAGCCATGTATCCTCTGCGATATCGCTAGCAACAGGTGGAATGGGATCGTACTTGTGAGGTTTTTCTCGTCCAGCTTGGAAGGGAATATTTGTCTTGAATTGATGTATTCCTACGATATTCAACAGTAAGTAGATATAATTTTAGACTACTATTAACTCTGAAGAGCACCTTTCATTGCAGTATTAATCATATCCATAAGGGAATACATACGTGCGTGGACATCTAGCATAAAGGCATTAAAATGTACGCGTTGTTTCTTTTCAATTGGAATGTTATTGTAAAATAAATCCATCAACATTGTTTTTCCTGAACCTAAAAATGAAGATTGTAACCATTAGATCAAAAGTATAGTAGCTAACTGATATTTTTTGCCATGTGTTTCAACTTTCAAGTCATCAACCTTCATAGAGCCTCTAATTATGATGATGTCATCTCTTGGTTGTGAGCATTGATATATTACTCTATCACTTAGTGTACCTCAATTCATGGTATATTCAATAGACACTATGGCTACGATGTATGCAACCTACCGACACTGCCATACATGTAAATTCCTTTTGGTCTTTTTACACGGTTGCCACCAAAACCAAACATCTATTGATGCAGAATGAAATCAACACAGTACAGTCATGAGTATAATTTTTTGGGACGCTATACAATCTGTTACTTTCTACAACATTAACATGAGTCGTTTAACAGAAAGTTTATGTGATCACTACCACGAATGATGATTTTCCATTAGTACAGTACACGTAAAATGGACTGGGACTTTTAGTCGAACGCAACGACTTAATTATTATAAGATCCTTAACACGGGGTGTCATTCATTACAAGCTAGTCATTCACAATTTTGGACATACCTTGCTGAATAATCCAGGCCTTTCAGGTTGATAATGAAGTAGTCCATCGTAAACATGGTTTAACTCTTTGATAATTTGCATTTGATGTGAATCCAACGTTAGGCTTCCATCTTGGACAAGCTGATGATACTTTTGGATTAATTGGCCATCGTGGGCATTGTTTGTTTGAGGATTTCCTACAAGCAATCAAACATATCCAAATCATGTTGAATTGAATTGAATACCCTAAATCCATGACATCCAAGGCAAATCTCTACTATACAATTGTCTATAAAATAAGTAGTCGATTAAAGATTAAGCTATTTGTGCGTCTATCTCCAACAGATCATTTATTCAACGTTGGGATTAACCAATTCATTCATTGGCCATGATGAATTTCCTGACTCTCTCAACAGTATACCGTACTCAACACTAGTATACAGTATTGAAATTATACCGACATCATGGTCATTGTTAGTCCTTCCTTATCATTCCTAGTCCATGTCGCACAACAGACGTCGCTACGGGCAATTCAAATGAAAACATGCTAACCAATATAAAATAAAATCACTTACCTTGAATAAGAGTTCGTCTAGCAAAGTAAAGGAGTGAATTTGAAGGAAAGAAGGAGTTGTTAGAAGAAGGAAAAAGGCGATAACGACAGCAACGTAGGGCCAAGGTCGCCATGCCGGCTCGTCGCCGCAATTTGGAGTGGGAAGTGGCCCGATCGGGTACAGTACCGTACAGTACATTCTCTACAGTCTATATACTATGAGTTATAGTATACTGTACACTGTACACTGTACAGTACTGTGTGGTTTGATGGCTCTTAAGGACATGAGAACTGCGCATTTATTTGGTGTAGAACAGTAAGTTATAACCAAAATAAATGTCACCCATGGCGATTATTTGGCATTATGCGTAGTTGATGTCGACATGTATATTGTCATATATAAGATGACATATATACCAAACATGCGTATGTCGGTAGGAAGCTAAGGGGAGAGTGTAGAAAATATGTGTCGTTACATTCACATACAGTATATACGTCTTAAGTAGTGAATTTGGCGGAAAGAAGGAGTTGTTAGAAGAAAGAAAAAGGCGATAGCGACATTCGAACTGCACTATTATCCGTCTAATGTACGGGATAACCAAAATAAGTGTCACCCGTGGCGATTATTTCGCATAATAGATTGCATGTGCTATACTAAACAACGTGTATATCCGTAGGAAGGCCTGCGGAGGTGTGTAAAATACGTGTCGTTACATTGACATACATCACAGCTGACTGTCCGTCTGAGGTGCATCGAGTAGTGTAATGCGGTAGAGTCATTCAGGCATAGGTTTTATACTGGACTCCAACTGGTATTCCGTACAGTATACTGTAGTCCTGAATACCGTCCGGCTGTTACGCCCCGCCCTTTCTTTGGCAAAGGAGAACGAAACGTCAACTGGAAGGACTTCTGGACCGGGTTTGCCTTTGTTGGCTTTACTCTATACAAATGTAGTAGTATTGGCCATACAGCATTGCTTGTATAAGGTTTCACAGAGGATCACTGTCTCGCTTGGGAATGCTGTATGGATGCTAGTATTTCTATGGTTGGTTTTAGCTCACCCTATGCTATAGTATAGAAAAAGGTCGGCGATTTCATACTAAAGACAGTATAGTGATCTAAACTATAGCAATGACCCATACTGTACTACAATACTTTCAGTGCGCTAGGATTTTAGCCGATCATCCATCATCTTGATCAAGAAGGACAAGCAAATTGCTTCCAGGCTTTGCATTTTCTGCAGCATCGATTCCAATCCACTCGCTCATTTCTAGCCATGGCTGCTCAATTTAGGAAATTTTTTCAAGCACTAGGCAGTAAAGAGTTTCGAAATTATTTAATGAGGTAAATGATGATGTAGAATAAGCCTAGAATGGATTAAGATTGGATCGGGTTAGGTTCAATAATTGTGCAGTAGTCTACTGGTGGTAGCTAAATGGTTTTGCCTAGTGCAAGATCAATCGAGAAGCTTTGATAACCAGCAGTACCCGTAGTCCAACTCCTAGTCTTTAAAATGGAGAGGAATCCATGTTATTTTGACACTAACTTGTCTATCTTGATGTATCAATTTGCAAAAGTAAGGTAGATAGTGATTCGTACTACTTTGCTAAACTCTAATATCTTTAATCTGGGTATTGTCTCTATCGCATGATTGACCGTTTCTCCTTGCATCATTTGCCTTCCAGCACGGTAAGTTTGATTAGTATAATTTTACAATCATGATACTAGTCAATATTCAGTTCCAGCTACGATTCTGCTTGCATAGCAGACACGTGTATCTTATTCCTCTCTTCCAATGACATGTTTACTAATGTTTTCCTTTATCTATACTGGATTCCTGAACGCTCGATGCCACCACAGCATTTTTGGGGGCCAGGTTAGCTGAGTGAAATAAAATAACATACTCGTACTCGTGAGATATTGGACGGCAATAAAGTGATAACCATTTTCAGCAACTAGTCCTCAATCAGTAGTAGCTAAGAATAGCTATACTGTTCTTATACTGGTGTAGTAATTTATTGATAGAGACTATTCTAACAATTTTTCTTCAACAGATTAGTTTATATACTAGTAATTAGCGGTGATTTAGTACAATAACCTTTTCGCCAATTTGCTACCACAATACTCGTAGAATCATCGCTATAGCCACTTAATTAATTGCTACAGAACACGTAAACATCATTGGTACTATAAATAGTAAAGTAAAGAAGCTTCAAGTCCACAATATATTCAATCTGTGTATCCCTACCCGTAAAAATAATCTTTTACATACAATATGTTGCTACTGTAGTACACATGTCGATAACGATCAAATCCATGCTGATCGAATGTTCCTTAGGTGCAGTGAAATTAGTACATTCTTACTTACATGGTAGTTAGAAATACTCCACAGATTTGTCATGAAAACATCGCCTAAGATATCGAATGCTTCTTAGGTGTAGTGGAATAGGTACATTCTTACTTACGTAATAGTTAGAAATACTCCGTAGAACTTGTCATGAAAACATCGCCTAAGATACGAGATAGCTCACTACAATATCAGATATATATGAACTAGTTCAATAGTGAAGGTATATTAAATGAATAATAAATGGCTATCAATACGCCTTTAACCGTTAGGCTACATCGCTATGCCGTTCGGATCAAAGTAGCCCAACGCACGTTGATCTGGAAGTCAACATCGTTTGACTACCCTAGTATTACTTTTCTATCTAGTAGAAGAAATACAGTTGTGAAAACGTCAATGTAGAAACTGTATTTTAATTTATGATCAGCAAATATGAGCGTACAATAATACACTATTGATATATGCGTTGTATACAGTAATACAATATATATAATGCCGAACGTTAATATTATCCTTGTCAATAAAGGTGCATGTTTCTTTTACAGTGGCTAACTGGGGAATTCCAATTGCTGCGATTATTGATATGAAGAAAGATCCCGAAATTATCAGTGGCAAAATGACAACAGGTATATACTTAGATTTCTAACCACTGTATAGGCTAAACCTCAGTTCTGTAACATTATTTACTCATACAAAGTATGTCGATATCATAAAGATGAAAGCCGTATAGGCGTATAGAAATATACTCGTAGATTTGGCCTAGTGAAGCAACATAAATTATCGGTTGGTTAACCACGTATATCTTTTTCTGTCGTCAATTACAGCTTTATGCGTTTACTCAGCCGTGTTTATGAGATTCGCATGGATGGTCCAGCCTCGTAATTATTTATTATTTGCTTGCCATATAACCAACGAAGGTGCTCAACTGATCCAAGGAGGCCGTTTAATACGCTACACGTTAGTACTAACAAGAAGAGTATTTATTCCATTCGTTGTTGAATTGCAAATCATTTAACGTAAAATAATCAATGTATTCTTATTCACCAAATCTGATCAAACTCTGCTAATCTTTGATTTTAAAAGGCTTACCGGAGAGAAGTAAAGTACCCTTGTTCAATGACTTAAAATCCCGTATGATCTCCTTATAGGCTATATAACATGCAATTCAGAATGTTACAGGGGTAAATTGTGTACGCGAATTTTCGAAAAATATTCAACTTCAATGGATCGTTTATGATTGGCTCTGCAAAACAATCCATCTGCCTATATAATTAGAGAAGACTTTGATATTGTCAAGTTTTCGTGCCTACAGATATTAACGATATTAAACCTTGCTATCACTACCAGTATTATTAACATAGAATTGGATATGATCAATTTGCAAACCATTTTTACGGAAAAATTATAGTGAGGCTATCAAATTTAAATTAGTTTATTCTAAATTAAAAATTTTTTATCTTTAAATTGCCATTGGTCCATTTTGCGGTATGTTGAAATTGCAATATCAACAGTAAATCAGTAAGCTTGTATAATTATCTGTCAAGAGACCTTGACAGGAACTTTTCAAGACGACCATTGTCAAATATCGCATTTGAAGTCACTGTGCGGTCAAATCCTAGCGTGTCTTATTTTATAAATTTCTTTTATTCAACAAGATCAATAGAAATAAATGTAATTTTGTTTGACAAATTTTGATACACATATTCCTTTACAAAGCAATTACATTTCGTCCTTTCGATGTCTTTTGAATCTTATTTAAAACTTCTAAACAGTGAATGTCAAGCTGTAGTGCCATGTAATCTGAAACGCGAAATGATGCATCTTCTTGCGAAACTTCTGATGATCGAAGTCTGCAATGAGGTGTTTACTATAGTCAATAATTGCTGAAGCATATTTATTAAACTTAAAAGTATTTATACAATATTTCCAATATCAAAAGACTTACAACATTAATTTATCTCGAAGTTCAGTATTGCTTCTTTCTTCATCATCTTCAACGTTTGTAGCCACTTTTCTATACTTTAACCAACTGAAACAAGCATCACGCTGTCTTTCAAGCATAAATAGTAAGATCGTACAGTTATAAGCTGCTTCTCGGTTTGCTATACGTGAAAGAAACTGAAATTTTAGTTCGTGCGACGCGATTATTGTAAGATGAAAACTGTAATGGAACTTAAAAGTAAGATGACGCCTTATTAAGTCACACCTTCATTAAAATGGAAACTATCTTGTAGCAATTTCAAGCCATCACTTAATTTTCCTTGGTTGATTTTAATCAAGGCGATATTATTCAATATTCTCGACTACGGCAAAGCATATTTTATGACAATATTAAGAGAAAATTCAATCAGATTTGCGAAAGCGATATGGCCGGTAATTATAACAGTAAAAGGGTAGCTATAAGCATAGCAGAAAACTGTATCAACATTTAAAGAAACTGTAAATAACTTGTGTCTTTAAGTTACTTTAATTTTGGCAATAGATGCGAAATAGCCATTAGGATCACCAACAACTAGGTCGTCTTGCATATGTAAACGATAAGACATTGGTAAAACCTTATTCACAATTTGGAGTGCCCTACAAATTATACAACCAAGCATATACAATATTACATTATTTCTATAGCTGCATACAAAGAAATTGATACTTCTGAAAAACATAGTAAATCAGGACATCATGTCGTAGAATATAAATCAGAAACATTTAAATTACTTCGTAAATAACTGGCTGGCTTCCTCAAATTGCTTTTGATGATAAAGAGCATCCGCTTTCATCAGTAAAACTTGCAGAAATAACCTTATATTATTATTAGTCGATAAACTCTCCTTTGTCACTTTCCTCTTTTTTGAAGGATTAGCATCACTGGTAACCGGCATGTAACTACTGGAACTTCGTAATTTTTCAATTTCATCTTCAATATGTCCTACTACAATACGTAAAAATGCTTGATGAAACTACAGTGCAATTAATCAGCGGAAATTCTTTTAAACATTTAACATGTACGATAGTAATTAGCAATACAAACCTTTCTCTTCCATTATGGATACAAGATAGTTACATATGATTAATGCATCATCATATTGACAATTGCAAAGTAACGATGTTATCGCAAGACGGTAAATAATAGAAATATCCGGTGCTACAGATAAATGCAATACCTAGAAAGTTAGAAAGTTGGATAGGATATAAGAAACTTACAAGTACAATTGCCCTTGACAGTAACCATATTCAAAAATACCTCAAAATTCCATTTTGTGTTAATAATCGATAAGCAGTTTAAGTAAAGTTTGCTGGCAAAAGAATATCTATAAAACCCGCTTAGTTAGTATAGTATAAATATGAGCGCTCGCGTAGTGGATGATTGGTAGCAGTGTAAACGTCCAAATTTATCATAAAACACACAGTTCAATTTTACCTCTGTGCGCGAAGGAATCGAGATGCTACCTCACTACAGAGAAGTACAGGATTCATACAATTACTATCCACAGTAGATGCAAACCGAAATCGGCCAGAAACATCCATAGAAGTCAAATCACCATGATTATCATACATCAACCTGCAGTTTTTAATGCGGTGATTTGCAGAAGTAACAGCCATAGCCAGATTCTGAATAATCTATACGTAAATGTAAGTTTAGCTTTCTAAAATAAGTACCATATGATATTATGACTGACTGTCTAGACTGATTACTCTATGCTGTATTGATCTTTTAGTATACGTAGTATGCAGTTACATCTGCTAGATATTGTAGCATTTGAACTTCCTTCTCTTTGGCACCCGTAACTCTAAATATTTTGGCTATGTTAAGTAGTGGCTCCACGTTATCAATACTTATTGAAAGGGCTTCTTTATAGTTTAGCAATGCTGTTATATATTTTTTCTAGAGAAAAAATACATTTTTTTAGTCTTATTAATACGCGTATGTCGACGCTAGCAATGCTGTACTTCTATACCTGCGATGCAAAGCAACATCCAATCATGTTAAATGCGGTTGCTTTGTAGACCTCATTGGGTTGTGAACAAACAACTTTGAAGTAGTCGAGAGCTTGATCGATACGGTTTAATTTGTAGCTATTAAAACCTGCAAAAAATATAATTATGTAAGCTTAGAAATGTGGAAACATATGAAAAAGTAATAAGTATAATACAGTAAAACAAAGCGTACCTTGCAGTACATGAACTACAGTAGGATCGCTAATCTCTTGTGTCAGTTGTTGAAGACTGACATCATAACATTTTTGATGAAAGGATATCAAGGCTACCATAATATTTCTTTGTAAAAGAAGTTTATTTCCTTGAATTAAAAGGTAAAATACCTACAATTAATTGCTGCAAACCTCACATGCGAGCCATTTAATAGCTGTATAAACATCTCTTTTACTTTCCAACATTTCAGTTGAATCCTAGATGTTAAATAATTGAACATCTCATCAATAAGGACATACTAGAACTAATAATTACATCTCATTAAATCGATTAATACTTACCAAATAGCTCGGCTGAAGTAGATCCAACAATTTACTAGCCGTATCGTCTACAATAAAGTCAAAAGAAAGTAGTAAATACGATATGTAAATTCATCTTTACTGACAGAGCTACTAAGACATACATTTATCTTTAATGAGTAGCAGAGCCGACATAATGCAATATGCATTCCATAAATCTGGTACAAGTTCGATCATGAGATCTGGGAGAGTAAGAAGGTATGATATTTAGATAAATAAATAAAAACTCGCATTGAATCCCTTTAAATCAACACAGATTACCTCCGTTGCCAGAAACCCAGCTAAAGATGTTCTTTGCAACAAGGCCAATATCATCATCTGCATTGTCTGTCTTAATATCCTGCTCAGTTAAGACTAGTGCAACTATAATGCAAAATGACACATAAACATATTAGCTAAATAATTAATTGCAGAAATTTTACTTTTTATATCATCTCATTTGAATATCATCTTCCATCTTACTAGATCTTAAGCAGTTCGTAAGTTCTGTCACTAATTCATCAATGGGAGTAACAGATTGGCATTGCAAGTGGAGAATACATCTGTTAATAGTAGCGGATAACGAGCATCTCATAATCATAACATTTTTGAGAGGTAATCCTGCATTACAGATTAAGATAAATTATGTTATATTCGTCCTCTATAAATTATAAGTATTATACATATAAGCACATACAACAGTTTCCATTTATAATTTAGCCCAATTTTGAACACATAACAGCATCTGAGCGGTATCATATTCAATAACTTACCTGAAATAATCTCTATTAGCTTCGATAGATCCTGTAATATATCAGTAGCATTTTGATCATCTTGACCTAAGAGAAAACTCTAGCCAAATGGAAAAAAATTGTCAAGAATCTTCATATCTAACCTGGCGTATTATTTCTTAATTCATTTAACCTTAATATTTTGCATCATTTACGATTGATACAAATCTTTGCATTGACGTCTTTGATTTTAACATCATAAGCTATGTCAACGTACGTACACTGTCCTTCAAATGGATATGATTTTAATACTATATAGGACAGCTAGTACTTCATTGTGTCTTGCTCAAAGATTATGTAGTGATTGTAATTAATCTACAATCACTCGTCTAGAGCAACTTCAAATTTCCTTTATAGCAAACCTGAGCTCTGCAAGCAAGTTTATTGTTCTGGACTTTAATTTCTTCAGAGTCAAATGTAGGGAAATGAACTGATGAATGAGCAAATAAATGGGTTAGTAATTCTTATCGCTTTTTACATTGACAGTATAGAATAGGAAAAACGAAATTCCGATATAATAACGTCTTTAGCATCGAGAAGAGAATACACAAGTATGCATTGTAATACGAGAAAGTATACTTGCATCATTTGTTTTCAGCATGATATAGGAAGAACAGCTTACCCTCGTTTAATATTGCAAAACTGTCAGAGAACTTTCCTTGCTTATAATAATCCCATGCAAGTATTTGCTTCTTGTTATCCATTTCCTTTAAAGTTTAAATTTCGATTAGTTCCACGATTAAGCCATGCAATATTTTGTTTTCCGTCCCGTAAAACTAGCTCGATAAATTCTCTCTAAAATTGCTCACTTCTTCTTTTGCATGATCTGCAGAGAATCAAACAAACTGTCCCTGATCCAAGCCTTAAGACCCTTTCTATCTAACTCACAGCTATAATACTAGCACGTAGCTCACTTAATAGCTATTTAAAAACAGACTCCAAAATTTAGTCCTACTAAACGAAAACTATAGTAACTTTTCCACTATTTCCATTAGGACACCGATCTGCAAACCTTCCTAAGGATAGCAGAGTAGCTCGGCTCGAGTACTCTAGTTGCTATGATAACGCTAGATGGGCGGACAGACAGTTTACAGCAATCTACTGTAAAACATAGACACTCCGAACATAGAAATAGACAGTCCATAGTAGAGTACAGTATGGAAAATTTCTAATACAAAGTAGTAAAATAGAAGGTACGTTAGCGTAGCAAGTCTAGTCAGAAATACCAGCAGTTGAACTGGAAGACGAGCTTGCCGAGGTCTCCATCAGCATTTAGTTTGTTGCTTTCAATTCTGGATGGTAAACGAAGATTATTTTGATTGGCATCATAGGTTTGTATAGCACTGTATTATGCATTGATATGATCAATCTCGTTAACGATATTATTGTGGTCAATTTGTGGAATGTTCTTAGAGTTTAGTGTATGCTGTAAAGCTTCCTAATCGCTATTGCTTCGACTACAGCATGCGAGTAAATACGAGCTCGTTAAGCAACGCTGCTAAGAAGGTCTTGTAGCTTTTTGCATATGCTTCAATAGTACTTACTCTATTATTTGAAAATGAGTGTGGAATATCACCTAGTGCATCAGTAGGCAAGATATAAGAATGTATGCTAGCTGTTACTGTCTCATTTACTACTGTATCTATTCCGCTTTGGCTTCCAATTAGCGTTAAGCAACGCTGCTAAGAAGGTCTTGTAGCTTTTTGCATATGCTTCAATAGTACTTACTCTATTATTTGAAAATGAGTGTGGAATATCACCTAATGCATCAGTAGGCAAGATATAAGAATGTATGCTAGCTACTACTGTCTCATGTACTACTGTATCTATTCCGCTTTGGCTTCCAATTAGCGTTAAGCAACGCTGCTAAGAAGGTCTTGTAGCTTTTTGCATATGCTTCAATAGTACTCTATTATTTGAAAATGAGTGTGGAATATCACCTAGTGCATCAGTAGGCAAGATATAAGAATGTATGCTAGCTGCTACTGTCTCATTTACTACTGTATCTATTCCACTTTGACCTCCAATTAGAGCAGATCATCAACTACAGTAATTCGATTTTATTACAACTTCCTTCCTGCATGCAGAGACTTTGACAGTGGGCCGGTGTTCTCACACTTTCAAATTTCTATACTATATATGAGCAGCCTGGATAATTGCTGCAAGTAGATTGCTAATTCAATACTGTGTGATCATATATCATCATTGTTACTACTCAGATTCCTGCCGGTTTCGCCTTCAGCAAAGATTGTTCAGCCAATATTTTCTTTGGCGTAGCGCTTGGCAGCTGTTGCAACTAAAACGAATACAAGCATATTAATTTACACTGCTTTCTCAAACTTGAAATAATTACCTACATTTTATGGATTTACTTCAAGAAATTTATGGATAAATCAAAGCAACAAGTATGGTTGTCCATACGCGAACAAAAATCATCAGAAAATACACTTTTATGCCTACTGCAAGGTTTACAAGGCGTTACAACAATCATTGAGCTAGTCAATGAGCAAAAAATTCATGGAAAAATTGATTCAGTTGATGGTTATTCGAATGTCACTATGTCTGATGCTGATATTTTAACTTTAAATGGTAAAAGATTGCATTGTCCTATGATATTTATCCAAGGGAGAAAGATTCGTTACGCTCACATTCCGCCTCATATAGATATAAGCAAAACAATCAATAGATCACTTGGAAATTTAAGGCGAATGCGAGCCAACATCAGAAGATAACACTACTCTCTAAGAACATCTCCTTTAAAGGTATTCAAAATCCTGATCCAGATTTTATGTTTAGGGTAATTATCATTCGATTATACAGTGTAGTGGATCTACTAGAAGATACAACATAGACGTTTATAAAATTATTGGTAAATCGACGGAGAATAACCCGTAATAACTTGTAATTATAATTATAATCAAAGTAGATCCTTGAATTGTTATAAAGTGGAAATCTTGCATTTACCTATCACAAAAGTTTTTGAATCAGAAAGCAAGTAAAATCAATTGATTCACCCATTCTTTAGATTCTTTAACCTTTACATAGCTACCGCTGTAAATTGCTTTAGTAATCTATCAACAGGATGTTGTATAAGGCTATCAATGCACTACGAATGTGGAAACCACAAAACACTAGTATGATTTGGCTCATGGTTGAACTACTGAATTATAATATTATACTATTTCATCCGTAATAACAAATTATGGCGTTCGTTAATATGTAAAGGAAATATGCTACGTCCTTCAAATATTTTGCACATCAATATACTTCGTTTTGTACATATGTACATTTCTAATCGATTTAACTTTGTATAAATTTACTGTAACCTGACCAGACATGTTATTCATGCAGAAATTGAATGTTTATGGACATGTTAGTGTCCTTACTTAGTCATGATTTATGATCAATGCTGCCTTTTTAATGTAGTTAGCAATAATTTAGCACCAATGATTTCATAACCTTTATTTCTGTAGATAAAAAGGTTGTATAGATTAATCAAAGACTTGATTTACTGTTGTTGCCATAATAAAATATTTTAATAGCCAAAGTTAATACCGGTATTAATCGCAAAGGATACATGCAAGGTAACAAAGGTTAGCTGCATCCTAAGCAATTCAATTGCATGACTATAACTGAAGTTATTGTATCACATATCACTGACACATTCAGTTATAGTTTCGTTATAACCATAAGAATTAATTATTATGAACGTTTGAATTGATGAAATGATTCACCAAAAGCGCAACAAATAGCTACTATTGCCATTGACATTAGTGTTCGACCATTTTCTATAGGCATACACCACATATATATACACATATCTGCCTGATATTGTCCATAAAACTGTAACAATCATACCCAAAGTCGAATCATTTCTTCATTTAACTACTTCAGAAATGTAACATGTAGCATTAAATGCAAATATTTTGAATTTCTGCCCGCTTAACAAAAGAACATACAAGACTTGTTTTAACTAAAATTAATCATGTAATAAAAGTATCATTTAAGATGTCCATGAAAGCTTGATAGGCTGTCGTTTTGGCATGGGACTAATTAACGGCGTTCCATCGTGTGGTTGAAAATATTCACGTCTTCGATGATAATCTACTTGAGGAGGATCCCATCCTTTGTCAATCAACTTATTTACTTGACTTGTATTTTTTTCTGTATTCATCCGTTTTCTTTAACCCAACAGTAAAAAATACCAAAAGTATGGATAAAGATCAGTACTTTGAAAACATTTACCAAAACTACAATTTATTGGGCTCCGTACGTATATATATATAAGAAAAGAAAAAAGAATTTGTGCATTGAGTTATTACCTGCTTTGAGTCCGTATATTACTCGTGATATCATATAATTCCATTTTAATCCAATCACGACTATCATCTTGCCCACGCCCAAGAGGTACTAACGGGGATGAAGGTAAACGATATTTAGCTAATTCCCTTGAAGAGCAACTCACACCAGTATCACATCTTCTAACAGTACGATCTTCAGCTGTTCTAGCCCTTTCTTGCAAAATTAGTGGATCGCGAATTGGTGCCGCCGATCTCTGTATCAGATTCAAGTAAGGGAAGAATTAGATGTTTGTATGGGTCCACATTTTATTGTAGTGCTAGCAAATAGGATACACGAAGACAGAAAGGCAATGCCAGTACTACTGTTTCATTTACCCTAGAGCCATGATATCGATTTCGTTGCAAGTGCACTGGATCATATTCTTCAGGTGAATAATCGTCTAACAATACTTTATACTAGATTGAGATTATACCAAATATAAGTAAATCATCAAGCTAACAAAGTGTAAAATGCCTATCTTCTTAGCTTAATTAGCATCTATTAGCGAAATGATATAAGATATCAATTTTAACTATTGATTAGATTGTATCCAAAAACAATCACATTATATTTGAAACTGCGATTAAAAATTTAAGAAAGCGCTTATGATTAATTGACAACCTTCCTATTTGTGTATTGAATATATTGATCGATAAGATGGCGCTTTTCCTTATTAATTTTATTATAATCTTTCATAACGTCGTTTACGCGAATCTATCAGTTTTGAATAGATTAATAATTGAGATTTTTCAGTTGAACTCAATACAACATCTGAATACAATTCGACCCTTGTCTGTCTAAAAATGAATAATTCCGTAAAAAACGCATCATAGGTCACCTGTACAACATCATAAACATGCTCATTCCATTTTTTATTCAACATCCTCTTTTTTCGGTCATGTTTTTCATCCTCATATTCCACATATTGGTTAACACCCTAATTAGTGAAATTTTATTATCAATATGAAGACATAATTTAATGAAATACAAATGCAAGTACTGTACTGTGTACGTGCACCTATAATCAAAAATAAGTTCATGTCATCCTGCATTGATCTCGATAATAATAATCATCCTTCTGTAATGACTAACCTTGACGAAAGTATCTTCTACATTTTTTAAGCGTGAATAAAGTCGCCTTGCCTCAAGAGATTCATGATCTAGTCTTTCCTAAGAATTGTGAATATCAAAAAATAATCATCAATGCTGTGATTGGCAATTAATACTAAACAATACGCAGTATGGTCTACTATACACAAATAAATTTGAATAGTATAACCGGATGAGTCCACCTTTCTTTATGGCTCGATTATTATTATGAGTAGTACTTATAAAAGTGCTCGTTAAAATGTTAGCTACCTTTAATGAATCCTTACTAATCCAGCCCTGTTTTCTTAATTTATTAAGCGTATTAAATGATGCTGATGTAGCCGGTTTGGCCGGAGCTGATGAAGTGCGGTTTCTTTGCGCAAGCTTTCTATAAAACTGTTAAAAATTATTTAGGAATTAAATATAATTCGCTCTTAAAATATGAAAAAACAAAACTACGACATTGCCAGTGGCGCCTAACAGATAATAAAAGAACTGGCGGTTCTTTAACATATATATAAATGCTTCAATTTTAATCCTTTACGCTATAGTTAGGATGGATTCTATGTAGTTGGATGATCCTATAGTTATAATCAAGTGTCTTACCGAGGATCTTATTTCATCGTCACTGTTATTGAGTATATCTTTAGTGAACTGATCCGAAATAATAGTTAGATTATCTTTGTTACTCTTTTCGAATGTCTTCTTCATATCCGAATGCAAAACCGTAGTAAAATAGAATGGAAATCTTATTGTTTCATTTATCCAGTGTAAAAATATCCTTAGGAGATAATAAGTTCGATTTTCTTTCCAATTTTACAGCACCAAGCCAAATAATGGCAGAATACAATTTCTTGTCTCGTCCTTACAAGGGATGATTATTATCTTCAATCTACTTGATTATTTTGATTGTAACCTTACATTAATTGTAACTGTAGTTGAATTCTTTTTGTGTATTCTTTCGTGTGAAAATTTTAGAGCTATCTGAATCTTTCATACAAACAACACCTAAGCGATAATCCTACTTAACTTATATAAAAGCATAAATAGCCATTTATCAAGCGAAGAGGCATAACCAACTAGAACAACAAATGTTAAAGGTAAAATTGAATCATGTATACAACTGCTAATCTTAAGAACTGACTACTTTAGCCTAGAGAAGTAGAACTGTATGCGACTACAGCAATTGTCGTTGTCTATCGACTGTGTTTTCTTCTGTGGCTGTGCGATGATTATATCGTATGGAATCCATAGCAACGCAACGCTATTAATTGGCATGCGCATTCAATTTGTTACCCAAGCAACCGTAGGGCCCAAACCTCCTAATTTCCTCTTTTACTCCTCATAAAAATATTGCATTGCATGCAATCTGTGAATAGTGTTATAGCGAATACTACTGCCAATTTCGTTCAAAGTACAGTAGCTTGATAAATTTATGAGTGCGCAGCCTAAATTAACTGACAACAAGTAATTGTGATTATCTGTGAAACCGCTTGCCGTTTAAGAATTCAGTAATATCGTGGCTTGAGGATCTAGTTATACAAAAGCCGCAACCTTTCACGATTTCGAAAATCTATAGATACAATTTGAAGATTGAAGGTGCCATCGATAAATTATATCGATATCCAATTTTGATTACTTCAGTATAGAATTTTACCGATTAAAGTCTGCAACGAAACTGTTACCAATTGCAAGATATTGAAGTATCGCAGCGCGAGCTTCCTATTTACCATACCAGAGCAACGGAAAAGATAGACGAATTGATCAACTTATACTGTCAGAGATTTACCCTTTGGCTAACAAATCTGAAGTTTCTGTATCTTACTGATTCCCAGTCGGAAGATAATTAGAGCTTCCAATATAAATACTGAATATTTTTGTCAATATTGTGAATATTATATCATTGATTAGAAACCCAACTACATTAGCTTCTCTATTTAGCTAGCAGTGATACGAGTTCAGTGTCCTTGCAAGAGAACCTTATTTATTATCAATCAGATCATTGATTGACATGTTATAGCTTAAGAACTTCTACTAAAGACGTATTTCGTACAAAGTGTCTAATTTAATATGAATCAGTTACATGAACTACTCGGTGAAGCACTATTATCAACAAAACATGTTCAACACTGCGCAATAATTCGAGTGAAAGATGCCTCCTTGAGAGCAAGTTCCGTTGGGTTAACGGTAAGTTGAAAGAAGTAAAATTAATTGCACTGTTGTATCAGTTTGCTAGTCTATTATATTTAATCATATGTACCACCCAAGGCTGAAAATGTTGCGTTTTCAGGAGTATCAAAGCATAGAGAATAAAAATCTAGTGTAATGACTGTTATTTTGATCTTTTTAGCTGGATAATGACCAGATAAATCGCTTCGTGATGGCCGTAAAAGACCCGGCTACTAGTCGTGAGGAAGGACTGATGTATGATGGAAAAAAGTACAAAGTAGTTCGAGCTGATAAGCAGTCCGTCTATGCAAAATATGTAAGTAAGGTTACTTCTGAATGCCTTTAATTTGAATTCTTAGTTATAAGATAGTTAAAATATAGGAAAGGAACATGGAGACTTTAAAATCTTCATACTGACAGGCTTAGTTCAAAATATAAAAATTTTTGCATTACTTAATAAGGGTAAAGAGGGAATCATTATATCTATTACTGCCAATCTTATGATTTTATCGATCTATAACGATAGTATGCATTCAAGCATATGCGTAGAAGCCACCGAAAAGCTAGGTAAAATTGATAACATAACAATATTGAATGTTATAAGTTGTTTTCAGATTTTCAGATATAACTAAAATAGCTGTTACGTGGTGGTCACTGCTGTATACTTCTTTGTAATTTCAGGTGAATACTTTCGAGAGAAGGACAGATAAAGTTGTCATATGCGGTATAATCAATATTATTACGGTACTCTGTATATAAGTTGACTAAATTCGGCTCACAGGCTAATAATTTCAGCAATAACACTACTAATATAATTGACGTTAATGTAATTAACATTATATTTAATAAAGTTAACTTAATAAAACAACAAGTGAAGCAACTAATAGCTACTGAATTCTGTTATACTTGCAAGATCAGTGCGTTTACACAATTCTCGTTCATAACAATTTTTATAATTGCCTGATCAATAAATTTATTTACTGTAGATTTGCACTCACAAATAAAATAATAGATACTGCTTCAAACTCTATGATCAACACTTATATGATTACAGCATTGTTTTACGACTTGAGCGAATTTGAATCAAAACGATATTGTTGTCCATTGCATTTCCAAGATAGCTTAAATTTCAACAAATAGGGTAATGATCAAACATTTTACTATTTGTATATAAAAGTTGTTCATATCCATTTCCTGTAAAATTGTTTATCATAATTAATTAGAGTACAGTATGTTGATGAATGATGAAATTTGTACTGTTTACGTACCAATAACATTTTATACTTTTGCTGCCCTATTACTACCTCCTTGGCGTGTGACCTCAAATTATGGAATAATGCATGAATGTATTAATACAGTATTGTATAAAAATGACTGCAATAAAGAGCTTCTAGGGACCCTCCGTAGTAGCTGCAGTATGTAACACATAATATAAGATCACTAGATGATATAATTTACTATTACTATCCTGCAATAATGATTGATTCGATAGTTTGAGGAAATTTTTGTCTCTCAATTATTTAAATATAATGAATTAATGATTGTCAGTAAAAAGGAGTACAGTACCCAGATAATGATGGAAAAATGATCTCTTTATTTTAAGCATTAACAGTGAGCTAATTTAGCAATTTAAAGCCTTAGTAATAATTAAAATTTCTGGTCATTAAAGATCATACATGATAATCACGATTGAACGGGCTGCATTTATATTAATAAACGTTGACATAAAGTTTAAGTAACTGAAAAATAAAGTTTAAAGCACATTCACAGTACATTTAGTCTGCAACAGTTGCTCTATCTAAATTGTTTCAAATTTAAGTGTGTACATTACTAAAAGCTAAGGCAACAACAAATATCTAAACTAGTGCCATAGTAGAAATATGTAGTTAATAATCGTAGAATTAAGCTAATTACAGCTTAAAATTTATACCTAGTTTTCATTTATAGCCGTCCGTAATCATTATTTCGCCTTTTGTAGTAATAAACAATACCGTAGATGATAATGCACAGCCCTACGCCCAATGCAATACCTCCAATGAAAGAACCACCATCAAAGCCTTTAGCACTGCTGCCAGAGTGAGTTGGAGTACTCTGGTTACCACTACTAGTGGGGTGCATGGAGGATACACTTACAGACATACTAGGATGTACGACAGTTGCAGATGGAGTTGGATTTGCAGATGATGCTGGCTGAGCATGAGACGACATCATTTGAGACGACATCATATCGGATGCCATCTTGGATGAAGTCATTACTGGAGAGTGATGCATCGTTGCTGATGTACTGCCCATTGGCATTGCGCTACCAGAAACGGTACCACTAGCAGCAAGATCAAAATCGTCCAATTCTTCAACGTTAACTAGGTCAATAAGTATAAAGATCGCAGAAATCCGTTACTTGCTGGGTAAAAAAGTAAATTTCGGTCGTAATAATCATTCGAATACTGATGGCCTCTTAATTACAGGTTACAGAAAGGTATAATCAGGGACTAGAAAATGATACAATTAATTATAAAATTATGCGGAAATACATAACTCATTTTGGGTATTTTATGGAAGGATTAATTTCCGGTGATAATTAATATACGCGTATATTTGTAAGTTTCAACGGGCATACAAAATTAAAGAAATTTCATAATAATCTACGACACTTTGATAAAAGCGTCAATGTTGCTATTACTACCAGTACATCAAGCTACAGTATAACAGCATCCATTGTAACTTAATAACGATGAGTCGCTCATATTTGTGATAGTTGTATTCTTATGATGCTATACGGAATAAACAATAGCAATCGGTCGATCAAGTACAAAATGTATCAGTTGACCATAGTTTTAGTATATATATATTGTAAGCTTTGCATGCCAATAACAGTTAGAACTTTGGAAAATGATATAATACAATCCTTCATGTATCAATCTAATGCAGCAGATGTGTTGATACAAAGGCTGAGCTTTATGAAATACCTTAGATCGTATACGCGTATCTATCAATAGATGATATTGTTGTTATGCAAGGTATATCACATACGTCACGCGATCGTAAATCACACCATAAACTATATCAAATGAAGCAACAAATACGCACAATATACAACAGTTTTTGTCAATCATATACAAGGATGTACTGTATATAATATACCTTTTATTCACAAAGCTTTACTTACAGAGAATAATTGAAAATTGAGGAAAATACTGGATTACCGCATATTATTTATCTTTCAAGATGTCAAACTGTTGGATTATTGTATGATTGTAAAGTAAACCCCCAATTATACTGTATTACCAATACTGTACACCCACCTACACAATATACCGTCTGTAAGTACGCGAAGACATACAGTACAGAACAGCATATTGGAGTCTATAGTTGTACAGTGAAATTGATGTTATTGACTGCGAACAGTTGATTCTAAAATTATATAATTACTTATAAGTAATACAGTAGTTATCGATGAGTACTATACAATGGCATATATGGTTTTTCGTTGACTGTACAGAACATAATAACATTATGATAAAAAATAATATTTTGCTTATACCATATGGGTCATTTAGCAGACAATGAATCAGTTATGATCGCATTTTCTAAGTTTTTGTCGAATATCATACCAAGATGAAAGATAATAACATGAAGTCTTTTGAAACACTAAAAAATACAGGATTTGCGTTCATCGTTTTATCAACATAGTACATACAGTACTGCAAAAAGCAAAAAGTAGAATTGTAAGTTCTTGAAACCGGAAATTGGAGGTGAAAACAATTATCTGTACTCTATTATATTGTGCACTTAGAAGCCGTTGACTGTATAAAAAAGGTCGTTAAATGCTTACGCAATAGCGTCAGTTTCATCAATTCTCTCAACATATGCAGTACATTAGAGTTGTGCATAATTATATCATGAAAATTGACTACCATAATTAGTCGTAGTACTGTAGATAGACAGTGAACGATTGCAAAGAGACAGCACATAAATGTATGTTAATGTAATCATTACGCGATAATAATTATATAATTAATTGATCGCATTGATAATAGGCGCAACTACGCAGTATTTGCCATTCTAAGATCCTCAATACCACCACTTTAGAGGGAATTAACAAATAAAGACGTATACGTCAGCTTTAGTTGCCAATATTACAACGTATTTTGACCACATAAACCATTTGTACGAGCACTTTACGAGTTTACCGTCACTCGTCTACGTATATATGAAATTAAGGGTAAAAGCTATTAATTAACGCAGCGTACACAGTCAGTTTTATACAACAACACTATTCCACTGTCATGTAAAGCAACATTTCCACTTTTTTTTTTTTACAGTTACAATACAGGATTATTGACTTGTAAGATGAAGTAAAGTCAATAAGTTCAGTTGAACTTATCAGGCACATATTGTGCAATGGACTTTATCCGAAGTTGTTACATATTTATTTGTAATTTTAAAAATTTATTATTGCAAAGTAATCGAAAATAAATGGGGGAGTTTTCTGCAAGAAAAATAATTTCTAAGAGCAATTTTTGGAAAAAGTTGGAGAATCACAGTTTACGCCGCGCAATATCATATAAGCTTTACTGCTCAGTCGTGTAAAGTATCTACGGTTCTTATTATTTAGTCTTCAATAGATGAATCATAGCATTTGAAAATTGGGATTCACTGTTGGGAGTTTAATTTGCGTTGCATTTACGCCTAGTACTTGTTGTAATGTCAGTGATTTTCTACGTCGTAATAACTGAACGGTATTTTAAGACAAAATTCAATTGTATTTCAAATGAGTACTGTACCGTTGAGAACGATTTAATAACGAAACTTGTTTGGCATCAACTAAGCCAAAAAAAAAATAGTAGCCGTCTAGGCATGGGGCAACTCAGCACGCGAGTGAGTGACTGGACGGTACTGGATATTGGTCGATCAGAGGAAGAGTGATTTTGGAGCATGAACAAGTAAGAACATTGGAAAATATCATTTTAATAGCAGCAGCTTATTGAAAAATCGCAGTGGATATACATACCATCAAGCAGCTAGGAGAAGTTATTCATTCTATTTCTCAAACTAAATACAGTGTCTCTCCTTTTATATTTTTTTTCATGCTATTGGTATCTTCTGTAGCTAGCACCAGCTGCCCAACCATGACGTATAACAATGTCGTGCAAGTGTAGTAGTCATATAGTGATTGCAAAATAATCCAGTAGAGTGAAATATCAAAGAATAAAAGAGTGACTAATCATCTCTGACTTACATTCTTGTGCATAAGCTGCAAAACATAGCAGCGATAGGACCAAGGCAATGTTATAACTAGCCATTTGAATTTTTTTGTGCACGTAGACCGGAAAACGGAAAGTTGAATTGCTGTTGAAACGCACTCGGAGAAACCAAAACGATACGATTTGCAATTCGAAACCTAGCCGCACGGTAGAGTGAAATGGGACGATGAGGTAATGAAGTCAAGGTTTTATTTATTTACTCCACCGTCTACAGTACAGTACTGTACAGTAGGTACTGTACAGCACGTGTACAGTACAGTACATTCGATTGTGGCAAACTTTTCGCTAACTTCACCACTGGTGTACAGTACAGTACAGTACACTGTACAGTACAGTATTTAGAGTCAGTATAAGTATAACTCTACTGTACTGTACTGTACAGTATGTCTCTATACTGTACTTTATACTGAGTACAATACTGTGTTGGGTCAAATTTGAACAAACTCCAGGCTTTTTTGCAGACGAAAGCTTATGAACTCCTTTGTCATGAAGCTAAGAAATGCCCAGGAAGCTTCATGAAAATGAGATAAGAAATAGTTAGTACGCTCTATGAAACTTTCAATTTCCCCAAAATCGATAAACTTGATAAAGTTTCACAGTAAAAAAACCCATTTTTCTCGTATTTTCTGAAGGAGATTTTCGTTTTCGCCAATGCCGGCCATGATTTCTCCCAGCTTTGCACAGTACTGTACAGTACTGTAAACTAGCGCAGTTCGTACTGTACAGATCATGTCCATTGGGTGTGACCTAAGAACTGTACCCGGAAAAGGATGTTTGTCTAATAAGGACTTGGAAATTAGAATTTCATACTGTAATTTCAAACTGTGGGAAGGATTTTACCCTCAGGGTGTCTTATAAATCCTTCCCACTGTCTAAAATTAGATGAAAAGGACTAGAGGATAGGGGTGACAACTTTATTAAAACGGGCATCAAACTTTGAGTAGTCCCTGTTTCCATCTGTAACTATTCTTGAATAGCATCTAAAGCATTCGAGTCATATCCTATATTGTAAGTACAGCAGCTTGAAGCCTTCCATATTGAGTCATGAGTACTGCAAAGCTCAAAAAAGAAATCACTCATTCAATTATTTTTAGCTTCACTTTCACAACGTGAGATAGTACACTCGCTAGTGCTAGACTAATACGGTACTTGTGCTGCTGTAATAAAATTTTAATGGATAGTAAAATCAATCATTCAAATATTATTTTTAGCTTCACTTTCACAACGTGAGATAGTACATTCGCTAGCGCTAGACTAATACGGTAACTTGTGCTGCTGTAATAAAATTTTAATGGATAGTAAAATCATTCATTAAAATATTATTTTTAGCTTCACTTTCACAACGTGAGATAGTACACTCGCTAGTGCTAGACTAATACGGTAACTTGTACTGCTGTAATAAAATTTTAATGGATAGTAAAAAAATAACTTTAAAAATGAACGACAGTGAATACTGTATGCTCATAGCTTGCTTCCCGTTACAAACTTAAATCAATCCTTTTTAGTTGGTTTATACCACTGAATCACTATTCTATTCTCCATAAAATGCATTTCTCATAGCTTGCTTTCCATTACAAACTTAAATCAATCGTTTCTAGTTGGTTTATACCACTGAATCACTATTCTACTCTCCATAAAAGGCATTTGTTATAGCTTGCTTTCCAGTACAAACATAAATCAATCCTTTTTAGTTGGTTTATACCACTGAATCACTATTCTATTCTCCATAAAATGCATTTCTCATAGCTTGCTTTCCATTACAAACTTAAATCAATCGTTTCTAGTTGGTTTATACCACTGAATCACTATTCTACTCTCCATAAAAGGCATTTGTTATAGCTTGCTTTCCAGTACAAACATAAATCAATCCTTTTTAGTTGGTTTATACCACTGAATCACTATTCTACTCTCCATAAAATGCATTTCTCATAGCTTGCTTTCCATTACAAACTTAAATCAATCCTTTCTAGTTGGTTTATATCACTGAATCACTATTCTACTCTCCATAAAATGCATTTGTTATAGCTTGCTTTCCAGTACAAACATAAATCAATCCTTTTTAGTTGGTTTATACCACTGAATCACTGTTCTATTCTCCATAAAATGCATTTCTTCAAAATGTATCCTAAGGGAAATTAGGGATACTGTCTTATTTAGCGATGACATTAAGTAAAAAGCTAGAGACCCATGTTATGATTGGACGTATCCTATGGGTTATGTCCTAATATTACTAGCACATTTCAATTCTATTATTAAGTGATATTAAATTATCAGAAATCTCATTTGCACTACATGCTTAGCCGATTTAGCTAATAGGAAATAAATAAAACATCACAACTTACACATGGCATAAAAAATAGGAGTATTGACTAGGTGAATCGATAATTAACATGTACGTATACATATACTGGCACATATACGCGTATTCATCAATTAATTAATATAGAATGAGCCCGTGAACATACAGTTTACAGTATTATTGACAATAATTAAATTACTGTAGAGTTGCAGTGAGATGCTACAGGTCGATGGTACTGCGAAGAATTGGAAAGTCTTGAACGTATACTGCCACTATTTCTGCTCGTTTAAAAGGGGAAGACAAGTTGTTAAATCAAGAAAGAAGCATTATTTAGAAGCAACTGGTAAATACGCGCGGGTTATTATTATGAGTTCAGGAGGAATCATTAATTCTGTGCTAAATTACTACACCGTAGCTTAAGTTTTCATGCAATTTTATTAAGCTCGTAGCTTTAGCATTTCTCCTACCGTACAACGTCATACTGTATAGTAATATTATTTTGATCTGTAATTCTGTATTATGCATAAGAAAAAAGAAATTAATAATATTATTTAAGTAACACGTAAACTTTGGCCGATCATTTGATAGCTAACAGAAAGTTAGCGTAATCTACAGTTTAACGATAATTAGTTTTTGCCTAACAACAGATGGTGGATGATAAAATTATTTGTATAACTTAAGATTCCTTGAATTATTTATTTTATTATAATATTAATTAATGTCCAATGTATCCTTAGGACAGCGTAATGAACAGAGTATACAAGAATTCCTGGCAAAACTGACTGGGCCTATACTAAAAGTGTATTGGTATGTTACATCCAGTACATTATATGAATGTGTAAACGAACATGGAGATGATCTTATTGCTGGTAGAATACTAAGGGGTAAAATAATGGTTCAAAATGAAAGCGCAAAGGTATCGCAATACTCATGCGACTAAAATTAGTTCAGAACATTATTACACTATTTTTGTTTACATAATGATATGGCAAGCCTCTAGTAAAAATTCTACAACGGTTGTATAAATAATATAATAATTAAATCCACAATTATAATAAATATACTCGTAATATCTGACGCAATCATCAACAGTTAAGAAACCACATATACGGCATATTACTAAAATGGACATATGTTTATTTGTCTGAGCTCCAATGCAAATTCAAGGTCATGCAAGCACCATCAGTGTAGCGAAGTAATGGAAGGTTGAAATATACTACAGTTGCGATTACAGATACAGTATATAATTATCAAATATGGCAGCACAATCGCAGCAGAGTTTATTGAAGTAATTTCACTAGCGTTAAGAATAGGTCAAATTACAACCCTAACCTACCACAACCACGAACTTAGCTTTCAATTCCTACACTAATAATTTTATAGGTGAATTAATAATATACATATATCGCTAGGCTGCTAAACTCTACCTGTAAAATTTACAGTAGTAGCCCATGTATCCCTACAGTGACTGGTATTGCATAAAAAGCTCACTCGATAAGCTGATACAAGGCAAATCATAATATATAACACCAATTTTATACGAAAGCTAGAAGAGCCATAAGCACACGTATTACTGCGCAATGATCATTGAGCTCAACAAGAGATTCATGCTTTGCAAAGAAATCAATTTCCATTGAGATGTTTTTGCCATCCAGCAATGACTTCATCTTCAAGGTAAACTGTTTTCTTAAATGCCTCGGTTTCAAATCCAGCCTTTAAGTATTCAAGCAACTTTGCAAAATCTTTTGGTATATCGAAATGCTTAAAATGCTTACCAGCAACTCTGACATGATACAATTTGGGGAGCAAAGAACAGTCAGGATGGGTTAAACTATCACCAGAGATGAACCGATTCGATCGCGAGCTTAAAAACTCATTAAAGTTTCTTAGTTCATCCAGCAGTTTCTGCCTTAAACTACCATCCAAAGCTGAATCTTTATTCTTCATCAATGCAGCAAATTTACCAAATATGGCAGCTCCAGCAGATTTACAATTTTCATCGTTCGTTTCCAGAGCTTTCGTAGGTTGGTATTTTTCATCCAAATAACATGATATATCATTAGAATCAGTTAAAATGACATCGCCATCCTGCATCACAGGAACGGTATTACTTCCAAGTTTAGTAAAGGATTCAGGCTTGTGAGCTACATTAATAAATACTAACTCAGGTTCAATATTTTTCAATGCTGCAACCATTCGAACACGATGACAGAATGGGCAATCGCCAAGTAATGTATGTTGACCGGCCTTAATAACATGGATAACATACAACAACGAGCAATATTAATATTACAAGAACCTCCATTATAATGATTAAATTAGCCTTCTAAATTCAGTCTTGCAGTGATGATGACACAGCGAAAAATTCTGACTTAAGTTAATCGCCATAAACAAGATCTACAACTTATCTAATCTCATTTCCGATTCAAATTGATGACTACTGTATGTTTCATGTTCATCATGACGTATTGAAGTCATATGACTTCAATATTTCACTAGTATCCCGGTCAATTTCTAAAAATATTTAAACCTACCTTGATGTACAGCGTCAATGCCATACTATTCCAATATGATCAAGTAAACTAGCCGCAAACGGAAGTTTTCTCTTCGTCAAATTTGATCCAGCACAGTCCTTCTGCGTTAGAGCTGTGCGCATTTATTGAAACCCTAGTACAGTACAGTACAGTACACTTTTAATTCCCTGGTATCTCCTGGTACGGTACGATCCAGAGCGTAATTGTACTGTGCTGTACTGTACCACTTTGTGGGTGTGGACTCTTTCTTCAGCCGAATCGCAAGGGACTGTGTCAGCGACTACTACCTACTCCTCGACCCATATCCACTTACCACCAAGTTACTTTCTTTCCCCCCACTTACAGCACTTGTAATTAAAATTCAATGTTTTCAAAATTGCGAAAAGAAACAATTATGTCCTCAAATTAAAATATTGTTTACAATTGGGAAAATCCGCTGTGTATTGACTGGGATAGGGCGTGAAACTGTGACTTAGCAATGAGTGAATATGGGTTAAGTAGTCCCTGACTGTGCGTGGAAACATCATGAGTTATGATGCTACTCTTACAAGATAAATAAACGTTATTTACTACAATTTGTAGCTTGACTGTAAATGGTTAGTTTGATGCCAAGCAATTTAGTGATATTTTTCACGGTATAGTAAGATGCATAAAAGGTATTCTACCGTTCTGATCGACTTGAGTCAGATTCATGATTACAGTATATGACTGCTAAGATAAATAAATTTACTGGATGACATTATAATCAAAATTATATTTTTTCTAGGCGAACGTGTAGAAACAAACAGATCGCAAAGTCACAACAACAACTCTCAACAGAATCTAATAAATCAAATAGTAACTGCTCTCAAGTTCGACGATTAGGGTACAGTCAAGTCAGCCTTTATGAACGCGTAGTGCCAGTAAGGAAAAGGCATAAACCAAACATAGTACCCTCATTATAGGATAGCATACTAAAGTAAAGTTATGAGTATGACTAATTATGTGTTTAGCTAATGTTAATCAGCAATACAGTGTTTCTATAGTGTACGGTACTTAAATACGATTGGCTCTAGTCTCGTTCTTTTAATGATGTACATCATATTTCGTAATAAAGTCGTGCTACGTATGGAACTTTGTTATGGTCCTAATATCTGTGGATATAAAAATATGCAAAAAGTATAATAAATAAAGTCTCCAAACAGAGTAAACAATAATAATAACAGATAGCTTATAGATAATACGTAGGCAAGTATATGATATGAATACGGCATCTTCAATATCTTGCTTCTTTGACGATGTTGGGTGTTTCGCATATTATACTTATTAAATGACGCTTCATAGACAAGTTTCCGGTGTACTACTTGCATGTGCACAACCTTGTCCTATACACGATCGACTCACTATCTCAGTGGATTATAAAGTATAACGGGTTGTGTGAACATGCATTTGAATTACCTTTATATTAAACGATAAATTAATCAAAGAATTATGATCAAGAACAATATTTGTTGTTAGTGTACAACGTAGTTGTATTTTAATAGCATCACAAGCAGAATGCAGCATTTTGTTTGCACACCAGACATACAAATGCTAGTGTTTACTTGGCTTTATTTTAAATAGATTAGAATACAGTTTTGTATCGGTAACGTAATAATAATACACTGTATTTACAGTACATGATGCATTTTACTTTTTCAGTAATTGAATACAGCAACTTTCACTGTGTGATAATATTATTGCATATTTTACGAAGTTATTTAAATTTGGCTTAACTTAGCTAATTTGTGGCATGGGATAAACCATGCCATCATAAAAGCGGTACAGTCGTATTTGTGATATTTTGAGAAAATAAACGTAACGGTAGAAGTATATACTATTTAAGCCATATTTCGTTGCTCTATAAATTACAGAATGGAGTTCAATAAATTTATTACTAGAGTTACGTTAAAAATATTATGATAGCTACAATATCTGCGGCAGGTGAATTATACCTTAAAAGTAGCCTAACATTACTATAATTAATTAATCAAATCTCATTTTGGCAATGATCGTATTTTTACTCTCCGCGACACTAGATTATTATATTGAATCACGCCATTAGCTAGAGCTAGATTGTATCACTAATAATGTCTGTGAGTAAAATTTTGTAGGAGTATTATTGTAAAAAATTTAAAGTTTGCTACAGGCGAAAAGGTGGTAGTAAAAAGCGCTAACTTGTTGAATTTTTGGAAATGATACATATTTCAGAAAATCTTTTAATCAGCTTTATATATGCCACTATCGGCAATTCTACAGAATACCGTAGGCCGTTCATTATAGGTTTTCTGAGCTTCCAAAGTCATCAGAGTCGTGTTTCCTTCGACTAGTCGTCTATAATTATAAATACCAATATTATGCTCTATTACCATGCTAATGAGAAAATATAAGTAATATCAATAATAAGGTTTCAAAACCGTTTGGGATTACTTACCCGAATGCAACGAATTTAGTATCCATCCACTTAGCTGGACTAAGTGTAATGTAGAATTGAGAACCATTCGTGTGTCTTCCTTTATTTGCCATTCCTAGAATGCCACGTCTATCATGATGAACTGAGAAATTTTCGTCTAAAAGGCGCAACAAGTAACGTATGTTAATTTTTTACCTAGTAAATTTCTAAAGCTTACCCTAGCCAATAGCATACCTTCAAAAACAGGTCCATAAATTGATTCAGTATTAGCCCCGCTACCATCAATTACGTCTTCCCAATAACATCAGCATGATTAGTGATCAAGAGTTATTGCAATTGTATAAAGACAAGCTATTCATAAAAAATTGTTAAATATGACAGATTCCGAAGTAATCTAATAGAGAATTAATACCTCCGGCTTGTACCCATCCACCTTTAAGAATTCGGTGAAATAATGTGTTTTTGTAGGTGAGAGCAGAGCCATCTTCACGCTGATGAGTCGATGAACACAATTCCCGGAAATTTTGACATGTTTTCGGGCAGATATCAGTATAAAGCTATCATATAAACATGCATATGTCTCATCAAGCCCAATGATTTAGGAAGTAGTGGATTTTGCGTGAGTTTAATGAAAGCTAACCTAACGGGTATATGAATTACTTAGCCGAATACCTCAAAAACTAATTTTCCGGCCGATTCATCGTTTATAGTGACATCCATGTAGACAAAATCATGCTGTAAAAATCGATAATTTGTTTAACGCTTTCATCATATTTATATATGTATATAGCGATCTATCTCAAAATTTTACTTTTGCATTTTCAAATCTATCTTTATAAGCTTCACATGCCATTGCTTCATACAGAGGAAGAGGTCTACAAGAAGAGAGTTATACGTAAATTCTTACTTTATAGGTACCTTTCGCAATTGTATTAAGCATTTAGTAGCACAATAAATGTTAAAAAATTATTATTCTACCTATAGTCTTCATAATCGAAATTTTTAGTTGCCCATGCAACAAAGACACCCGTTGATCCCAAAACTTCTCCATTAACGAAAACTACAGTATCATCATTGAAACCCCAAAATTCTTCTTTGATTTCCTAGATATATTACAGAACATTTAAATTTAAAAAGGTTCGAAAGCACTCACATAACAAAAATTACATTAAAGACGGAAGTCATAATAGCCAGTGTATCAAATTAGTTAATTTTTTGAAAATCATAATTACTGAAATGAAAAATGTCATGGACTTCAACGCTTCCTTAAAAATAGTTACATTTCAACCTTGAGCATTTTTGATAATACGAGTACTTCAGCAATATACATTTGATGTAAACAATTATAGCATTTTCAGTTTCATATTGCTCAACTGAAATTAATGAGTACTTATAAAGCATTACTACAATTAACTTGTTAAAAGTCACAAGTCATAATGTCCTAGGGATAAGATTCATACCTTTTTCTTTGTAGTTATAAATTCATGCCAATCGCATTCAAGTAAGCCATTTATTTCTAAATTCTCGAATTTTATTGGGTCGTTTTGCTGCAACGTCTGGCAATCATTTATTAATCGTAAATTATTAAGATTAGTCTAGTCAAAACTACTTTTAACGCAGTCAAAGTTTATTTTAAGCTAGCCAGTCACCTAATCATCAAAATTTTGCATACTACAGACGTTACTAAGAATAATGTACGTCAAATATATGGAGTTAACGATCTAATAATATAAATTAATATAGTATTAAAAGATGTAAATTACTATTTCACACTGTAAATTATACGACGCAATAGCATACATAGTTCACGCAAATATCCCAGTTGGTGATCCATGTAAATTGATAATTATATAACGAATTCTAACATCTATAATCTAATCAAGAATCTACTTTGCTCTCTATTTTCCTAAGTCATGTATTGTATCACTTATTCGCCATAGTCAATAACCAAAATGCTGTAAATGATGCGTCTGTTACTGGACTCGGCATTTTCATTGAAAGACAGTTGCGTGAACAAATTAAATGATGACAAAATATGACATCATGACATATGCACGATTACAAGAGACATTCATTATAGTCTACTATTATGTTGTTACCTCGGCAGCTGTTTTTGCTACGTGAAAGTTATAAGTTTTAAGTAATCCGAAGATTGTTATTTGCAACTTCTTGCCATCTTCCTGCCCCGCCATGTTGTATATAATGTTGTAGTCATAACAACAATTTGCGCAAGCGCATTTAGGTTCCAGATCGCGAGCATAACCTAGCATCCGTGGATCAAAAATCGATTGTATCAGCCAATCAGATTTGAGCTTGACTAACCAATCAGATTAGACTATCGCTGAGCGCCAAGTTTGAAGGGGCACCCTAGCGCGCCAACGGATAAGCTATAAAACCAGCAACCTTGCTGATTCCAATCATTCGTTATCGTTTCAACGTTATTGTGAAAAGATATGGCTCGTACTAAGCAAACCGCTCGCAAATCTACTGGTGGCAAAGCCCCACGAAAACAGTTGGCTACCAAGGCCGCACGTAAAAGCGCCCCAGCTACTGGTGGTGTCAAGAAGCCTCATCGTTATAGGCCAGGTACCGTCGCCTTGAGAGAAATCAGACGTTACCAAAAATCAACTGAATTGTTGATCCGCAAATTGCCATTCCAACGTTTGGTCCGTGAAATCGCTCAGGACTTCAAGACCGATTTACGTTTCCAAAGCTCTGCCGTTATGGCTCTCCAAGAAGCTAGTGAAGCTTACTTGGTTGGTCTTTTCGAAGATACCAACTTGTGCGCTATCCACGCCAAACGTGTTACTATCATGCCAAAGGACATCCAATTGGCACGTCGTATCCGTGGCGAACGCGCTTAAATTACTACTCGACAAAATGAGTTTATAGTTTAATTAACATTACTATTAACACAACGGCTTTTTTAAAAGCCACAAATCAAAGAAAAAGGAAAATTTTCGAAAATATAAAGTTGCTGTATAGCTTTGTGTTAAAATTTGATTGAGATAGTCAACAGTACTTTCCTGTGCACGGCAGAGCTTTGATATTTTAATGGAAAATTAGACTACAGCATCACCCAAATAGATAATTGGCTTTTTTAACGAGTGAAAGAAGTTCCCAGCTCCGAAAACCATACTACACAGTCTTTCAAGGTTTCAGTAATAGCAAGCTTATAACGCTGCACATAGGTCATGCTGAGTTATCCACTCGATTAAAACTATATAATTTGAGAAATTCAAATTTGGCCAAGATAACTGAAAAGTAATTAAAATTGGCTAGCAAAGCGGATTGAACTCATAGTTAAAGTAGAGGAAGTCTACTGTTCTTCAAACTGTGTGATTGCGCCGCGACGAATAACGAATTCAGTTCGTGTATTTTTGTCATAGTGAAACTCGTCCAAAATTTCGCTCTATATGTTGTCTACGATAGTTCGAAACTGTCAGAGATTGATTTTAGAAGCGTTCACGTAGGGACTTGTTAAGAGAGCATCACTCAAGTCGCTGGTCACGTATCATTTACACATTTTTCATGGAAAAAATTTGCGAAAGATTTTCTGAGTTGTTTATAATAATTATTGACTGCCGAACCGATGGCAATGGGTGTATGAGAGGGAGATTCTACCTTAGAAAAATGTTAATGACTGATGCAGCCTAGCACTGCACAGACTGATAAATGGTCTGTAAAAAAAGGTTGAAAATTATGAGCCATCATTACTAGTTTTCCTGTAAAGCTTACATGTCGCTCTTTCGAACATCGTACTTTATGTTGTAGTGAACTTTATTTCTGCTTGTGTTGGTGAAAGCGGGAGATTTTTCGCTATATAGCATACAGTGTGTGTAAGTAGCAGTTAATACTTATAGAACTAAAAGAAAATATGGCCTTCTAACAATATTTTATTGGATTCTGATGTAAATCATTTCAATAAACGCATTGCTTTACGATAATGTGACAAGGCACACGGTTCGACTCTAGTCCGGCTTCGAACCGAACTGTTGGGACAGCTAGTTGAATGTGCAATTGGAACTAGTACACGTGTATTGCACTAATCCAGTTTTTATTAACTGTAAAAGTACTTTAGCAAATAAAATCTGCAGGTTAATGTCTTACAGCAATACCATACACGGTTTAAAGTGAGCAAACATGAAATGAAATCCTTCGAGTGCATATGCAAAGGATTTATTTCACTGTGGACACTTGCTGTAAACCGTTACAAACTCGACTTTAAGAATTATGTAGCTAATTGCAATGTTCAACAACTACAGTACTATCACTACTAAAAATTTAATTCAATTATAGCTCCTCTCCAATTCCTAATTTACTGTACACTACTGTTAGATTTTTGGGTACCAATGCAATTCGCCAAGTGCTTAGCTGCTTCTTTTTGCCACTCTACAAAGAATAAGCTTATAATGACAGTTCTATTATTATTAATAATCAGCACTGTAACTGTAAGAGCGCATGGAGGTAATCGTGGACTGATCATAATCTGAACGATCATAGCAGACTATTCGTATAATATGTTGTAGAGTTTAGTAGGCAAATTTCACACAACCTAATTCAGATCGTCTATTGAACCAATTATCGGCACATGGTTTGTTATGCAGTCCGTATTAAGAGGTAAATATTTCATGGTCTTTGCCTGAGTACAATAGTTAACTGTTTGCAGAGTATCAGCACTAGTGACCTTTTCTCTACCTCTGCATTGAGTACTTAATCACGTAGTGGGAGATTTTCTACCTTGCAAATGCGTATTTGTGAACAGGAAAGAAGGTTACTGTAAGTCTGTAACCGAGCAATTTTGTAAGAGCTGCCCGCCGAAAGAGACGATTTTTCTTTGTGAAAAGCCCGAAAAGCTCCGTATTTAATGATGGTATCGCAAAACGGATGTGATCAAGATTATACGCTCGTGATCAAAGGTTGGGTCTGCTATTAGACATGAATTAAAATGTTTCATTTGACCAGTAAGCGTTTGAGCTGTAATTCGATAATTGTTGTACTGTATATAATCACATTGAATCATAGTCGTTGTGATCCAATTTGACAACACTATCTTCAAGAGATCTAAAAACCAAATTAGGAAGACAAAATACGCCTGTAGGTTATGCAACTGACTGAAGTTCAATATCAATAGGGCAGCAAGATACTTTGATGAGCTGCACACATGAGACTGTATACGTAAAGGCTATATAAGAAGAATGTTTCTATTTCGTAGGCCTGATAGAAGTCTATTTCGAAATTAAAATGCAGTAGTCACAAGTGGCTCACAACTAATGCTCTTTTTGTGCATTTTAAATTCAAAGCGTTAAAGGAGGGTATAGGTATATCTGCCTAAAAATCGGTTACTATCTGGCGTTGACTGAGTAAATTAAATGACGTAATAATTAATCACTATCGAATTGTATTATAATTATAACTATAATTATCGACCAAACTTTAGAAGTCGTCATAAGCGTATAGCTAGCCATTGCCCGGGATTTAGGTAGATCTTGCCGTACGACAGTACGAGTTTAGTCGCATGAATGCTTTAACGTAGTCAGACAAATATAAATCCCCTTTAATATTGTCAATGTTGGTTTAATCTTTTACATTAAACGTTTGCAAGCAATCATAGATCGGAAACGTCCGCAAATGTAGGTTATAATTAGCTGTTTTATACGTAAAAATAATCAAGTCTCATAATTTATAATTGTGTGATTGAATAATTCAGATTTGGATAAAATTATTAGTACAGTGCAAATTAATGTGAACTCATTACATATCAATTCTTTCGTGTTTCAGTAAATTACACCTCATTAATTACAAAAATTAGCTGATTAATCATGAATGACCCCTTTTAAAACATCCTACAACAACTGCCATAAGCACTATTGCAATAGCTAGTAGTCATCAGTTAAATCAAATACGAACTATAGATACTTTTATATCATTTAATCTAGTGTCAGTTGATTAATTTGCTTTGATTGAATGGCAAGTACATACAGTCTACAATTACATTTCCGTTACTGCTAGATTGCAACACGAACAGTGGATGGAGAGCTATAATCATGCTAGTATAGCTAGAGAATTTCGCTTTTTTAGCCGCTACACGAAGTGAATTAGCTTAACTAGAATTGTATCACTACTATACAATATATACCACATGCCAGCTCTGATTGAACATAAGTAAGCATATAGCTAATGATCCATTTGTGCGTTAATAATGCTCCTTTAAGGTAAAGTAACTAAGTTTCAACTACGACTTATGTATTCATAGGATCTTTCTTTGATATTAAGCTTGGCTGGCAGTATGGCTAACCAGATCTTTGATATAGGAGTTACTACAAGAAGACAAAGAATTTCTCAGCATCGCAATTTCGCTGTAGACTTCTTGTGGCGATCTTTCTGTTGTAGAAATTTGACTTATCTTCTGCAAAAAGTCGTGTATTAGGCCTTCACCTTCCTAATAATGACATTAAAAATTGGTAAAAAATCTTACGGATTGCTAATAGGCATTATATACCTACGGTTATACAATTTACTAAGATGAAATTAAATTATCATACTTCCATAATATCACGACGTCGATCGCTATCCGATTCTAGAACATTAATAGACGAAGCAAGATACAAATAAGATATTCATCTAAAATAATGCTCCAATTAATCGATTGCTGTGTTTTCATTGGATTTAACTATACTATTAAAGTAACTCTACAATAAGACGACTTTGTTGGAGTTACCGGTAACATAACTTATGGCCTGGCAATTTTCCAAATCCGCAGCCCTTTCCTTAGCGTGCTGTCCAAAGATAAAATTAATTTTTTTTAGACTGTTAATCTGAAATTGATTCTACCTTTTAATAGTGAAATGCTCATTATTGTTACTGTACCGTAACAACATTTTCCGGAAAATGAGCAAGTTCAGCTACATGAATTCCAAAACTTTGATCGCAAACGCCTGGCTTAACCCTATATAAAAGTGTTAAAGCTTCTTCTGTCGTCATAGCAGAAACGTGAAAGTTCTTAACAGATTTGATATCATTTGCTAATGCCGTCAATTCGTGGAAATGTGTGGCAAATAGAGTAAAGGCACCAATATCTTTTGCTATAGATCTAGGTTGATTCATCAATTCCAACACAGAATAAAAATCTGATTAAAAACAGGATATTAGTGACTTCTTAAAAATGCATGATATAACTTACTCAGAAATGGCCCATGCTAATCCAAATCCATCGTAAGTGGAAGTACCACGACCGAGTTCATCAATAATAATTAAAGACTTTTCTGTAGCAGTCTACAAGACATAAGACAGATCTTGCAGTATTAAATACTAACACTCAATATCAATACGTAAACATTAGGATAATCTTATTCAATTTCTACCTTTAAGATATATGAAGTTTCCAACATTTCCGACATAAAGGTAGAAACACCCTTTAACTGACTGTCACCAGCACCAACGCGAGCTAAAATGCAATCGATGATGGAGATTCGAGCAAAAGAACAAGGAACAAAGCAACCAATCTGTGCCATAAGGACTATTACACCGATCTATATACAGAAAATAATTATATTTTCAATTTGGAGATAAATTAAAGGCTACTAGTATTCGCAAACAGTTATATATACTTGACGTATATAAGTAGATTTGCCACCCATGTTTGGGCCAGTGATAATAATAAATTCTGCATCGTCTGAATTTGAAATTAAGAGGATTAAATTTACAATAGGCAATACAATTTACAGCTGCAAAGATTTACAAATTTAACCTTTAGCAAATTTGACATCATTGGGAATAAATGCTACATCGTCTTGCATTTCAAGGCACGGATGTCTAGCCTCAGTCAGTTCAATTATTCGATCACCTTTAGTTAAAATATAATACAAAATACAATTCTAATCTTCAATCCGAACAACACCATTTACTAGTGACTAACATTCCCGATAATATAACAAATAATCGTATGAAAAATGATCGGCTATTAACGAATATCTGATGATTCTATCCAGTAACTTACTTGTATCCAAGATAGTTGGTCTCACGTATGGGACAGGAGCATTAGTTGATGCATGGGCGAAACTAAAGTACAAACATATCAAGTTAAATGCTTAATAGGTTACGTGATTTCCTTTCACTAAATTTTAGCGACTAAGTCCAGAGAAACTTAAAAATTATGCTGTATACGTATTTTAGTTATTAACCTAACAATAACATCCAAATGAGCAATAATCCGGCTTAATGATTGCAAAGGTTCATAGTAGCCGCTTGCAATATTGATAACTTCAACGGCAAAGTCTTCTTGTTTTCCGTCATACATCGATTTTATCTCTTGCAAACTTTTATTTAAAGACTCCAGATTATTATTAGTAAATCGGACTCCATGCTTATTGGTATCGATCATCATAAATCGCTTATTGCTTCGTAGCGCTTTCTCTTCCTGCGGCATTGTTTGGATTGAGACAAGAAATTATTTCAAAGCAAGTCACAAGGTGCAACAAGTATTAAATGAATTTCAAACCTTTAAAGTTACTCTAAAATAATAGCCGAATTGGCTGTTGGATTCAAGTTTAATAGACTTGTTAGCTTCAAGACCTAAATCACGAGCAGCCTGAGATAGCAGAAAGAATCATTACTATAGTTCCATGCTTACATAATCAACAAGTACTATTATCATCTAAATCCAGGATACGCTACTGCAAAAATACTGACCAAACTTAAAAGGCGTGAAATCTGTTCAATCAGGTCATCCATTTGATTGCGATATTCTAACCAGAATTAAATTCATAGTCGTCAATAAATATCTTGGTAATTAAAAAATGTCGATTTGTATATTAATAAAGAACAGATTTCTTCACCTTGTAGGTCCGGGTCGATTGAGGGTTTAATAACAAATTCATGGTTCGCAACAGAATCAAGATCAACTGTGGTCTCAATTAATTCTTGATATTTTTGAAAATCTGTCGTTAAATCCTATAATATAAGGTTCAACAATAATTTGAGAAATATTAAACCAGATCAATATGAATTAATGGAGTACTGTATTTAAAACAAATTGAATTTTTACAACCAAAATAGCTGAAGTTAGTTACAGAAAGAGTGAATAATTTATGAATGTCTGTAAGCGCTATTAATACGTACACTTAATGGGTTGCTATACATATTTCGAATAAGATCTTTGTAGGCACTATCATAGCCTACTAATGCTTTGATGAGACAATTCACTCTATTAATGCTTTGATAGACACGAACACAATCTTGTAAATTCGCTCGGCTACGCTGAAACTTTTTAGCAAGACGCTGCAAATCGGGGAATCTTTTAAGGTGATCCTCCTGCGATGGTAATAATGGGCAAATCAAATATGTTACCATTTAAATTGTTAATGAAGGATTTATTACACTTACTTGAACTGACTGTCTCAATTCCGTATCGTCAACGAATACATCAACCAAATTTAATCTTTCCTCTAAAATTATTTGATTGAAATTCTTAATTTATAGTTCAATTTACTCATTTACCATTGATATTAAGCCAATGTATCTAACAGAATTTTTTTTACCGATTTTGGCAATGTCCATTAACGGCTGTTTAAGCCATTGAGCTAGTAATCGTTGTCCAGGAGCTGTTTTACAATAATTTAGGACACCCATCAAACAACGCAATTTATTACCAGCATCCGAAGGGCTTGGAAATAAATTAAGGGCTCGAACAGCTGCTGAATCAAGCTTCATGAATTGGCTTAAATCGAATGTTACCAAGTCAAATTGATTAAAGTTCGACACGTTACTCAAAAGCTGTAAATAACAAACATTTACTCAGTTATCATCAGCGGCAATGTCAACTTCAGTATGACAACATAACTCACTTCTAGATATTTTATAAGAGCTGTAACACAACTCATTGCAACTTGTTGATCGATTTCAGCTATGACAAATTACAAACAAGACTTGGTGGTTATTTTGTGCAATTAATAGTTATGGTAAGAAAAAATCTCAGTTTTATCACTAATACTATACCTAATGTTGCGGCGTTACCAGATTTTATCCTCAGTAACCGATTCAAGTCTTGTACAATATCCTTGTCGTTAAAGTCCGCTAGAAACGGTAATTTAACACAAATGGTAGTTTCATAAGCAGGTTTATAGCATACATGTACGAAATTTCATTCTTATCAGTATATGAAAGCCTTATTTTAGTCTACATACATTTCTTTCTTTCAGTTACCAATACGCCAGTCTTATTAATTACTTGACGAAGTTTAACAGCATCTACGCTGGTTTCTCCTGATACTAAAATACATTCTTTGGGGCCGATTTGCACCATTAATGCCTACGACGAATTCAAAAGAACTTAAATTGCATCACTTATCTATTTATTACCGGATTCCTAGGCAATGACAGTACAGTATACTGTACCGACCTCGAGATTAGTCATTAAATCGTTATCTTCAAATTGTGAAATGCCGAGGTTATAGAGGGTAGCATCAGCGTATGCTACACCAATGATCTGTAGACGTATTACGAATATATCAGTCGTTTATTTCAAAATCAATGATACGCTCCAACGTAAGTTACAGTTCATATTCGTCGATAGACTTACCCTTTGGCCATTTTCCACTACTAGTCGTATGGCTATGACTGGGGCTGATTCAGACATTTCATTATTTCCAAAAATGATTTCTTCAAAGCATCGCAAATTGCCAGGTGTTGCCTTCAAAAAAATAGCCGATAATAAAGTTAAATCACTTAATACCACATCTTAACAAGAAGCCTCAGTTAAATTTATCCAGCTACCTTTTCGGCGAGGTACCATTGCTGATTTGTCTTTGTACCCTTGTTCTTGTAGAGTTCAATGCGATATTGTCGAACAAGCAGCAAATCTCGTAACACCTTTTCGTAATTTGCATTATTTAGGACTACATATTCTAACTTTTCATTGCCTATATTATCGAAATTCGGACATATTTGCCATTAGTACAATAGTGACGCGATGTCATGTAAGCTAACCAGATTCAAATAGGCTTACCATTTCGATAATATCGAATTACACTTTTTGATCGAAAGATGTTGTTTGCAACAAAAATAGCGTCGGATCCATGGACAGTGAACCAATCCTATATTAATATACGGGTATAAAGAAAATCGTTACGCTATAACTAAGGTTGCTACAGTGTCAATGCTCAAATTCTAAACTGCTGATTAACAGTATTTGTTTTAAATTAATTCAGTAATAGCTAGGAAACATATACGTTTCTAGTAGATTTTAGTAGATCCTAGCCACCTAGTCTCTTAGTCCCAGGTAATTTAGGCGATTAAAGTTGGGATTACACTAATGTGATGATTATCGCACTGTTCCAAATAGAATGATACCCGTATGCACACATTGTACTTAAAATCTTACCGATCGATCAAAGATTCGGATAGTCGTTTCCAGTTTCTATTTACGAAACATGAAGGAAGAATCAATTAACTACAACAATAAGCAATCTATTCAGTCTAATGTTATTATCGATATAATACTGTAGTAATGCAGTAATCTTAGTAAGGTACTGTATAAAGTAGAAACATCGAACATAATGATAGGATAATTCTATTAATATTGGTACTAGTAAATTGTACAGTAATATCGTCTGCGGTCCTCTTTCAGCGGCCTGGTTAATTTTCCCGCCGAGATAAAACTATTCCTTCAATAGGTAACATTTAATGCGCTATTGCCAGTCAGCCAACATTCTAGCCATAGCTGATCAAGGGGTATTATTGGAGGGATTCATAGTTCATACTATACTGCATCAGGGCCTGACTGTACTGTATAATATGGTATTCTCTTCCAGTGACAATTTCGAAATGAATCGAACGTAAAGCTTTATTTACTATTGACAAAATTCAATTTCAAAATACTTATCATGCTGGACTCGAGCTAGCAAAGTATAGACCTTCATTAGAAGTTGTTGTGGGCGAGTCTATCGATAGCTAATCAGTGCCTGTTTCACTCCAGTATCGAATCGTTGCTTTTGGATTAATTATTGCAACATTCCATACCTACAAGTTCTACTGTAGGTATGAAATTACTGGGATTGTATTTTATTCTGCAAGAATCAAAGCCTCACTGTAGATCACTAGTGCATGATGGCTGATTTTGTAAAAATGAATTTTATGCGCTGTAGACGCCACAACCTCTAGTTGTTAAAGTTGAAAGTACTCTACAGAAACAGACAAGAGTAGCAGCACCATACCTCTGGTAAAGAATCCAGAAATCGTCGAAATCCATTTTGATTTGTACCATCTAAAAGTAGATCGTATTTGAGCTCGTGATTAGCTGATTACGACATTGCAACATGCATCTACTTTATTTTCGAGCTACCATGAAACCAAAATCACTATTACCTAGAGTTAGTTGTTGAGTTGATGATGATGCCATAACGTTGAATTAGTGCAAAATCCTTATATAATTCTAATCTTCCTCCAGCAGCAAGTTGATAGGTGCAAGCTCCCAGGTGCAAGCTCTGGTAACCAGAAAGGTGCCGATCGATCTTGTAAACACAACGTGGTTGAAACTTTGGCGCCAAATATTTGTGTACGGTACGGTACGGTAGTCCGTAGTCGGCAGCAAGGACAACTCTGCACGGAGAAATCTCATACTGTATAGTGTACCGAATGACCGAATACAGTAACGACCCTAAAGGATCCAGGGCAGTGCCAGTACGGTACCAGTACCAGTACAATAATAGAACTGTTTACAATTTGACGAGTGTAAAATCGGTAACAGAGCCCAAACCATACTCTGCATATAGCCCTACTGTATAAGGCTTTTGAAAGACCAATGCAGTTAAGCTTCAGCAGCAGCTCGAGCTCTCTCCTCCAGCCTCAAAATATCCAAAACATGGAGGAATTAAAGCTGTATATAGGCTAAGCTGGCAATGAACGACAAGGATGAACTAGTTACAGTCCAATATGGATGGCAGTAGCCGATTTATCAGGTAGAAATGATTGCAACTTAAGTGATATGCCACAGAGACTCTAGTCAGAGAGAGTGGAAGGATTGGTTTGCTTGCTTTCGATGCAATCGTGTCCTTGTAGCAGAGGATGCAAAGTACAACTTTCGATCATTCTCTTACTCTTTTGCTAGCAAAAACTTGTAAAAGAGTTATTTCGAAACCTGTTGAGTTTTAGCATTGATTAAATTAATATTTACTGCAGCCTAAGGATGGAATACTTGCTGGATAAATTTTCATCCTTTTGGAATATACTTGAAGCAAGTCGAAGCAGAAAAGTAGCCAAATGGGACGAAACGAGCCTTAGCCATGCAATTCAATGGTCTCAATATATTGAAGAGGTTCGTGACTGCAATAGTACTTTAGGCATGGCCATGGAATGAGACCATGATGAACTTACATCATGTCGAATTTCTTAATATCATCTATACGATTTCTACTCTAGGTATGCAATCACTTAAGGTCGAAACCAAATCGACCTAAAATCAACCAGCAGTTGTTTATACGTTATAGCAACAATCATCTCCAAGAGACAGAACCCGAATCAATGGTCTTACCATCGATCGAACATTTTTGCAATGCAGAATTGATGCTATTAAAGGTAAATGTTGTTGATAATAAGGCGTGAATCAACGAAAATGAAATATTTTACATCTACTATTTTCTATAATTGACATTGAATAATTGGCGTTGATTGACCAATTCTTCAAACTGTCTCATTGGAGTAAAAATACCGTTTAGCTCTGACAGTATTTAGAATAATATCCGATGACAGCCTGTAGCGTCCATGGAAATGTTTACTGTATTTCATTTTAACATTCATCGCATGACCTAAGCAGTAACTTGGTGTTTTACTTTATGCAGAGGCTACTGGGAAACGAAAATTTAACCTTAGAATTATTCCAGTTTCTATTGGAACGGTACTTGCTCAATAACGGGTCGCAAGATAAAGTTGAAAGTGTCGTCAAGGTAACATTAGTTGAATGATAGTATTGATTATTAAAAAAGAAATAGCCGAAACTGGTTCTATGTAGCCTTATCTTATAATAGCAAACTTAGCTTGCCAATGATAACTACATTGCTTAAATATTTATTATAGCTGTATTGAAAGAGAAATCTTCAATTTAAGCACGGAGAGGCAGACTTTCCCTTAACGTTAATGTATCTTTTGCAGATCATTTCTGAAAAATGTGTAAATAATGCACTGCTTGAGGTTGCAAGCAAAATCGATGCTATGATTTCCGAGAACTCTATCCATGGTTAGTGACAATATCTTACTTAGTAATTAATTTACATTGACAAAGCCTATGATGGTACTAGTCCATGTATAACAGTTTTACTTTGATGATAGGTATGAAGGAATTTTCTGACACGTCTTTATTGAAAGTGACTATAGAACAGAATGCAAAAGTATTAAATCAATACATTGAATATGATACAAATCACTCAATCACTTCTCGGTAATTACAGCTATGAATGAATTATAATGTACATTTATCATTATAGATTTCCGCCCCAGTTAACTTACAGGCACGACTATAATCTAATTGTTATGCATATTTTTACTAGGGAAATCTTTCTACTCAAGAAGAAAGCATTATTCCATTTAACTACTAAAAACACTGGAATAGTATGTATCTGAATATCGGTCATGAAAATTACAGCTTTTAAATTTTGATAGAAAGGAGATGCTCTTGCACTCACGTCGAACTCTAGATCTTGCTGAACTAATTTGCTTTAGCAAGACGTAATTAATTTATAACCCAGCTGTGTACTTTTGAGGTGTGAACTAATATAAACTATGTCATTGAAATGATGCTATTAATTATTATTCTTTTCGTCACGATATGATCTTTGGTAGGCTACTATCACGACAGCACTACTACAACGATACGAATGTAAATCGGAATCAGATGCTGATCCATGTGTCCAAATTTTAACTGAATTTTTAATAGAATATTATAGTGACGGCTTGCAGCCTGGCGCTGTAAATGCTATGCCAAATGGTGAGTAGAAGAGATGTTGCTAACGTTATAAAATCGAACTTCCATTATAGAAGTTAAACATAGAAACAGATTGAACTCCTAAAGTCTTGTGCTAACTCGACTGTGTTTGATTAATATTCAAGAATCAATTCGACAAGCCCTTCCGGATAGACACAGGGAACTCCTTATGCTTTCCCCTGTAAAGTTGGCAAAGCTTGCAAGTTACTGTTGTCAATTTTTCGTTGTCTACATTAGAATTCTATCCAAGTTTGCTTGTGATCAACAGCCTGACAATAATAGTCCTTCAAGGAATGAAGGACAACAATTGGCTATAAATCACTTTCAACAGCTACTAAAAGGGCCCAATAATGTGACCAATCCTGTAAAGCAAGTCTTGACATGTTTACATCATCATGGGATAAATTATAATTTAGCATTGGATGATTTACACAAAGATGTCCTAATAAATCCTATGACTAGTTTTTAATGTGGCGATAAATTTTAAATATTGACAGCACGATGCAAAACTGTTTATCAATATTATTACAGTGATAGGGCTTATAAAATTTATTTTTTTAAATCATTAGGGTTCTAAAATTTTAGTTTGTCGTATGAAAAATTCTTGAATCTCAAGCTTTATCCAGTATTGCTAAAGCTACTTGTATAATAATATCAAATTATCCTCTGCTTTACTGTCCATTATGATTATAGGAATACCGTTGATAGTCCTGTTATCATTTTTTTTATTTTTTTAATCCAATAAACCAAATATCAACCTATTACCAGTAAAATTTGGATTTGAAAACCCCTTGGTATCTATTCTGAAGTAATATATGTTGTAAAATTTTGTTGGCAAATCGATTCCTATGAATCAGCTTATCAAAATTAAGCAAACATGCATCGACTAGTTACTCATTGTAATGAGTGAAAATGTTTTCGTAGACCGTGGTCGAGAACGAATACCTGCCCTTCTCAAAATTAAAATTGAAGTCATTTATATCTTTAGTTTATCCTTATTACTAGTCACCTAATGGGCTTTTTGCTTAATATAGAATTTGAAGTAAAATTACAGTTAGTTAAGCCACTGCAAGACGGAGTCCGTATGTAGAAGTATTAGTACACATTGTAGCTAGTGAAAATTTTTTCGTAAGCTGCAGTCGACAATAACCATCAATCTTCCTCACATACTGTACGAAAATTTGCCATCGATCTTGTAAGCTTATTTCCAGTTCACTTCGGCAAGTGATCGACGTATTAGTATTGATTGATGCACATAAGCATATAGGTAGTTAGGCACACATTACAGCTACGCCGTGGAAAAACATTTTCGTAAACTGCAATCGAGAACGAAAGCCAGTATCTCTAAAATGAGTCATTTATTTTACCAGTTTTGAGCTTGCTTTTAATTTAAGCGATAGGTATTTTGGTTAATATAGAATTTGGAGTAAATTGCAGTCTGGTCAATGCACTGCAATACAGTCTATAAGAATATCAGTACACATTGCAGCCAGTGAAAATTATTCGTAGGCTGCAGTCTCGAACGAATACCAGTATTCGTTTGGAAAAAATGAGTTATTTATTTATTTTATTTCGTGAGCCACTTAAACTTATGACTAGTTGAAATAATGAATATTTTACTTGATCTGCGACGTAGACGTACGCACAGGATCTGGAGTAAAATTATAGGTTTGTCAAGCCACTGCAAATTGTCTGCAATAGAGTATATGGGAATGTCAGTATACTGAACATTGCCGCAAGTGAAACTATTTTTGTAGGTTGCAGTCCAAAATGAATGTCAGTATGTTGTAAAAAATAGTAAGTTATTTATTTTCGAGTTGAGGTTTTACTTTATCTAGTTTATTTTATTGGCCTTAAGCTTACGACTAGTTCAACTAAAAGGTATTTTGCTTATGGTAGGATTTGAAGTCAAAATTCCAGTTGGTCAAGCCACTGCAATACAGTATATGGAAAACATTGTAGCAAGCGAAGCTATTTTTGTAGGCTGCAGTCCAAAATGAATGTCAGTATGTTGTAAGAAATAGTAAGTTATTTATTTTCGAGTTGGGGTTTTACTTTATCTAGTTTATTTTATTGGCCTTAAGCTTATGTCTAGTTCAACTAACAGGTATTTTGCTTAAGGTAGGATTTGAAGTCCAAATGCCCGTTGGTCAAGCCACTGCAAATTGTCTGCACATACAGTATATGGGAATATCAGTATACTGAACATTGCCGTAAGCGAAGCTATTTTTGTAGGTTGCAATCCAAAATGAATGTCAGTATGTTGTAAAAGAAAATAAGTTTTATATTTTCGGGTTGGGGTTTTACTTTATCTAGTTTATTTTATTGGCCTTAAGCTTATGACAAGTTCAACTAACAGGTATTTTGCTTAAGGCAGGATTTGAAGTCCAAATTCCCGTTGGTCAAGCCACTGCAATACCGATATAGGGGAATGTCAGTATATATCGCAGCCAGTGAAAATTTTTTCCTAGGCTACGATAGAAAAAGAATACTAATTTATCTCCCATATGAAGAGTAAAAGTCAAAAATTATCTTGTTAAAGCCTTCCACTGGTTTTCCATTTCACCAAGCGGTCGACATTTTGGGGGTACATTGTACCTAGTCAAGCAGTTGGAGGACGTCCGGTAGTCTGTTACCGTTGCTTACTCCACCCAGTCTACCCACTGGTACCGTACAAGGTTTCCAAGGTGCTCTCCCCATACTACAGGCAACAGTGGAGTCTAAGTCAAGTCAACATCCGCTTGTTGGCCATCTGGCTGGGGCAGTAGTTAAGGAAAAGAACCAGTTGGCGGCGACCTGACTATTTCCACAGCAGTTGCACATTGGTGGCTAGGCAAAGTTGTTGAAAAGTTGTTGAAAAGTTGTTGAAAAGTTGTTAAGTTTTTCAGCCGTCAAAGAGGGAACTTGGAGAGAATATCGACAATGGAAGCCGTGACATTATCCGAATTTTTATCCAGTATTAACATCTTAGCCGTTACTTTAACGCTGTCATGGCTGGTGATGCTGTGGGATATGTATTTAGCGAGCAGACAGGTAAGAATGAATGGACGTTGATGAGTTAATGAATCAAAATAAGCCATTTTTTCCTCCCTTGCTGATGAGTTAACATTACACTATCAATGCATTTCAAATTGGCCAAGATTTGGGCATTAGCCTTCTCTTTTTCCATGTCACTTTTAATGAGCTTATTGTATTCAAAATGGCGTTAATTGAATGTATGGGAAAAATTGTCCATACAGCAAATGATGATGAAAGTCCTTTTCAATATTAGTTCTTCTGTATTTTTCATACTTCAAGATGGATGAATGAATCGTGCTGTAGGATAGTCCATGGATACAGTAACGACTTGTCAATATCGTATGCATGCATGTTATTCTAATTTTGAAACCCCTATTCTAGCCTTTATGAAAGGGTCTTATGCTGGTAAGAATGCTATTTCATTCCTTGATATCGCTCACGATTAACTTCTTCATATACTCACGCAACGCATCCTTTTCGATCATGACTTCAAGAGATCATAGAGGATATACTGTACAATAGATCAATTTCGACTGATATTAACAGTGTAAAAGATGGCTTCTCTCCACGCATTATGCATCAAGTTAATACTATTGCGATATTTTGAAGGTTCCCAGCCGATAATGATACAGTATATTACAGCTACTGAGGAATATCGACAAGCATTGTTGTATTGAATATGTGGAGTCAAGATATCTTTAAACCATGAAATGCCTTCTACCATTCCAAAACTAATGCTATATTATATGACACATTTTGCAAAACAGAGACGTGTTACACTCAATACTAGACGTGTTCCTGCCGATTTAAGAGAAATGATCTCGACAGAAGTATTTGAGAAATCCAGACGTTACAGCTTGGATAAAAGTAGCTTTGGATTCTATAAAACGCTCTACTCTCAGATAGAAATGACGGTAAGTGCAAATATCATTTCTTGCTGTCAATCAATATGGCGTAATTGGACGAAATTAAAAAATGATATTATATTTCTCTCAGTTATTTCTATACTATGGTATCTTGCCTTACGTATGGGAATACTCGGTCGATTTATGCATTCGGTATGATTTCGATGTTACGAGCGAAGTAAGTACATACAATGAAAGAGGAAATGCGTTATAGTGGTAGAGTAATTTTTTTTAAATTAACATTTAGTAATATTCCCCTAATTGATTTATTCAATACAATTGTTTGATCCAATCCCGACGGCATTATCCCAAGATGGATCAGTTATGACATAATATTATGATGGATAACGGCTCAAATGGGTACTCTGCATAATACCACTACGGTACTATCACTTGAATTAGGGGAGTGATGACTGATAGAAATGGTATTTGTAAATATGGAAGTATGTTTGGCTAAAAACGAAAGCGTACTGTACACTGACTCATAGAATGGAGTTAGTGTACAATCGTTTGTCAAGAAACATTAGCATAAATATACACGATGCAGTAGCCTTTAGTACCATGATTGCAAATACTTCTTAACGCTTTTAAAATATATTCGAGTATATCTTACCACAGTTACTTTTACTTATAATAAATGTAGCCGATAGTACGATCTAAAAATATGACATAGAATTTTGAAGATTACGTTGACGTGATATTATTAGCAATGGTCGTATTCATAACGGCATGCCAAGTAATACCGAAATGATTAAAATCACTAGTTGACATAAATGACTTAATGTTGTCTGGATTCTAACAGTAAATAAAATAATCTATTGCTTATTTACAGATTTGGCCATCGTTAGTCTTCACTACACTACTCTCCTTGTGGTCTCTTGTTATTGGTCAGCCGTGGTCTCTTTACCATACATTTGTTTTGGAAGAAAAATACGGTTTCAATAAACAGGTTGATAAACCTAGCGATCCTATTGCTTGCGCGGAGTAAAAGCTTGCGTAGATTGAGCCTGGTTACTACATTTAGATAAGACTACATTGATTGTTTGAACTTATACATACGTATATTTAGATAAGTAATAATACTGTCTTAAAAAAATAGAAATAGGGTATACTATAATTATAATTAAATGTCGTGATGATTGCTTTTTCTTTCATGTATAATCTAAATCCCATCCTGGTATGACAGACCCTACGTTTCTACATTAAAGATACTCTGAAGAAACTTGTCCTCACTTTGGTACTATCATATATTGTCGTAGCCGTTTTAATATATATCATTATGAATGGAGGCGATTACTTTTTTATATATGCCTGGTTGTTTGTTTTTCTCTTTTCTATGGTAAGTAGTTCACTGTCGATATTGGAAAAGCATTTAACATAGAGCTAGTTAATTTACAATGGCTCTATTGTATATAGCACGCATGTAATTTAACTCTTCATTTCATTGGATAGTAGTTAAACCAGAATGAAAAGATAGAACCAGTCTTACTAAAATGATATCGAAATCGTTCAAGCTGTACATATCAGCCAGCATATTTATCGAATGTTTTTCTTCTTGTATAGTTTATTGTATTTATATACGCGGATTTTATCGCTCCGTTATTCGACAAATTCACTCCTTTGCCGGATGGAGAATTAAAGACTGCTATCGAAGCATTAGCTTCTAGTGTCAACTTTCCATTAAAGAAATTATTTGTCGTAGAAGGATCAGTCCGATCAGCCCATAGCAATGCGTACTTCTATGGATTCTATAAGAACAAGCGAGTTGTACTGTTTGATACCTTATTAGAAGATAATCCATTAACGCAAAAAGAAAAAGAATCAGAAAACACTGATGACCAAAAAAGTGACATAGCAGCTGAGACAACCAAGGAAGAATCAGTTGAGGTACTTTAGATTCTTGAATGATGCCAATTTCAAGATGTAATTGTTTCTAAAGAACAATTTTAATGTGTCCCCTGCATTTAGCAAAAAAGCAAAGAAAGTGATAAAAACTGGCATAAAAATCAGATCAAAGGTTGCACAAATGATGAAGTTGTTGCTATTTTATCACATGAACTCGGCCATTGGAAATTTAATCATAATTTGAAGAATATTGTGTTAGCCCAAGTAAGACCCCTTTTTGGTGATATTGCTATGAAATTATGATCATGATTATTCTTAAAATTTATTTACTTACCATTGTTGGTGTTATTTCCTTCAATAGATTAATATCTTCATATGTTTCTATGGATTAAATTTGTTAATCAAAGAGAATGCCATTTATACATCCTTCGGTTTCAGTAGTCAGCCAGTGCTAATAGGTCTCATCATCGTTTTTGAGTATATTTATGCAATCTATAACGAGGTAATGCTTTAACACTGACTCAATGCTATTGCCACTTTATCAGCGGATTATTAATAAAGTCCTTTTGAGTTAACTATGAAATCAAATACTGTCGGTAGCGTTACTAACATTTTGTAATTTTTTTCTTTTTGTCGCAGGTTTTTGGATTTTTTATGACTGCTCTCGGTCGAAAATTTGAATTCGAAGCTGATCGTTATGCCAAAGAAATGGGAAAAGCTAATTTACTTTCAGTCGGTCTTATTAAACTACATGAAGATAATTTATCATTTCCAGTTGTTGATAGGCTGTATTCTGCATTTAATTATTCGCATCCACCACTATTAGAAAGGCTAAAGGAGCTACGAAAAAGCTCCAAAAAATCCGACTAACGTTGCTTACTCCATTGCAAATTATCTGATACCATTTACTCTAACAACTTGCAGTTGTTTAATGGTTGAAGTCAATATTGCTCTGATCAGATTTTCTATTGTTATGGCTAGAGAACTTAAAAACAGTAATAAATTAGATATCTAATGGTTCCTAATTTACAAATATGATACTTTGTTGTATTTACTGGATATTTATTATTTTCAGCCACAAATTAATGTCTATCCGTTTCTTGTAATTTAGCTAATAAATTTTTTCATTTGACTTTATTATGTTCATTTATGACTTTAGCAATGTAGATGGAATAAAATAGCTCTGTGCCATTCTGTATTATCTAAAGTTTACAAACTGGTTGAAAATTGATCTCCATTTATTTTCATTGGAATCGAGTAAGGATTATAACCGATTCTGAAATCATCATAGCAATGAAATGCTTGATAGATGGGACTAGGACTAATTTAAGAAAGCAGTTTTAATCTTGAATCCTATCATAACTTATAGTTGAAATATTAAATAAATAAATATGTTGTAATGATGCGGTGATATATCGTACCGTTAATAGACATTTAGAATATAAATTATTTGAAACAGAAAAAAAAACACTTAAAACAATATCGTAAAAAAGTTAGTTGTTTTGCAATTGCACTCTCAATACTATAGCTCAAACTGTATTCTACAACAAGTACAAGAAATTCAATGCGCTTAATTTCAAAAATAACCTTTAAAATTACTATCCCCTTCATTTTAAAATGAAGTAGACCGTAGCAGTCGCTAGACTGTTGGTCCAAATTTAATCATCAATTTTTCTCTTTTTCTTTGGATGCCTGGACCTACTTTTCGCCTTACATAAGGGACAAATTGGAGCATTACGATGAATTTGTTGATGGCATGATAAACACATTTTCATGGGTGGTGCTTGTTGCTTAAATTGTTGTATTACAGGTTCCTCATCTTGATTCTCTGCTGGTACTGCTTGTAGTGGGGTGACAGTATCGATGGCAGTTGGTGGAGCAAGAGGTAGTGGAGGCTTGACTTCTGTGTGGATTATTTTAGATGTTTCTTGAGCTTTCATTATTCTGTAATACATATTCAATGCAAATTTAATGATATCATACGGACTCTTATGATACTCGTTGCCAGATTTCATTTATAGTACAATAGTTAAGTAGTAGACTTTGAATGGACTATCTTATAACTAATTTCAACTTGCTAAATCAATAAGTATTAATCAATAGCTAACATACCCAGTGAATAGGTTACGATCGTCATCTTCTAAGCCAGGTAGAGATTCTAAACCTAATGAAGATCTCATCTTGTCTACCTCATATTTTAATTCATTGTATTCTTTATGTGTACGTTGAATATTATTTCTACACTGATGGCATTCTTGGTCGGTTTGCTTGATAATGGCTTCCATCTGATTTAGCATGAGTAAAGAGAGAGTTGAAAAGAGCAGTGATGAAATAAGTAGCGATATAAAGTGAGATGATTACCAATGCATGACCGTTAATCTTCTATATAAAATGAATTAATAGCTTACTGAATTAATATCTGCATGAATTAATCTTAATGCTTCGACGTGATTCATTTTTTCCTCTTGTAATAATTCAATTTCAGAGGTAAATTCTTGTAGTTTCTTTTCTTCACCACTGATTAACTCCAGTTCTTTTTGCATTTTGCTCTTTAATTTATCCAATAGTTGTACTTTATTTCTACGTATAATGAATGATTCAATCGCAATTTTAAAAGACGATCACATTCACGATCATTGCTTTCTACCATTAGCGTTAGTGTCAAAGTTGAGACTATCAACATAGGCATGGAAACATGTATGTAATGTTCTCCTATCATTTCTTCGTCTAATTATTACAGGAGAATCGATTGGCAGACAGTATACACCTTTTAGGCAAGACTATCATTTCTTCGTCTAGTTATTACAAGAGAATCGATTGGCAGACAGTATACATCTTTTAGGCAAGACGATCACATTCATAATCATTCATTTCTGTCGTTGGCGTAAGTGTCAAAGTGGAGATTATCAACACTAGCAATTCAACATGTTTGTACTGTTATCCTATAATCCATTTGTCCAATTACTACAGGAGAATAGATTAGCAGACAGTACAGTCCATAACTTCAACATTTTTCCGACAATTTGTTCGTTTCGATCTTTCCGTTGTGATATTATCGTAACAGCATGAGTACATGGAGTAAAATACCATCGCTCGATTTACAACTGGTAGAAATCTTCTTGACTGTACAGAACACACTCTACCAATTTGCAGTTGTAGAATCCTGTACAGTACTGTACAAATAAGGTGTGAAAAGCAAAATTGGCTAAAAGCCATGACTAAACCTTGTGAAAATGGCGTCTATGATGAGAGATTGGTGGATGGATGGTTGGTTAACATGCAATTAACAATAATGGAAGGATAGATGAATTTGAATAGAATGGAAATCATTTTGACTGTAAATAAAAAAATGCTCTCATTCTGGGGGCAATCCGTCTAAGCGTGGGTTGCAATAACATCCTAGCAAATTATTGTTCATGTCATGACTTGATTATCCTACCCAAGACTGTGAAAAACAAGGAAGTGTTATTTAACTACTGTACAATCATGTTTTGTGAAGTTACGCCAACCTGTGTACAATAGCATCTAGTACTACAACATGATGATTGCCATTCAAATCATGATACAACCATAGCCATTTTGTCATAAGCTAAGCGTGTAACTGCAAGACATTGAATCAGTATGCAGTAGAAAAGGCATCCCTTTAGTAAGGAAGGCTGTCTCCTTGCTCGTGTCGACAGTAGTAAACTAGTTTTGTTGTTGGATGGGAATGATGCCGCTTTCTCATCGAGTGCAATGTATACTAAAAAGAGAGACAACTTGATGCAAGCTATTGAATCTGCCAATTCAAGCTCGTGCAATCATGCTATTGCTATTTAGAAGAAGAAAGCGCTAGCGATCCTCCATCACTGTCTTGGTTTATTGAACGATAAAGAAATAGAGTTGGCTGGCTATCGTGACTTACCGAATACCTCGTACCATATCTAATTTACTCATGACATCCATCTCTTCTTCAGCCCGGTAACCAGCCATATTGTAGCTGTTCTTGATTTGCAAGGCAACACGTCGTGGCAATCTAATCTACTGCCCAATAAGAGCTAGGACTATATATACCCCAATTGGCATGTGTAATTTATGCGTTACATTGTGTACAATACATGACAATGTTGAATAACCTGACCATCTTGCACGCAAATATTCATGTAAATTAAGCACATTTTTGATTTGATGTTGTTAACCATTTTAATTGAATTTTCCAAATGTATGCGTGAGGGGCCGCAAGGACGCTAGGACGCACAAAGAGTGGGTGCTGGAGCATTATGTGCAAAATAGCTTGTCACTGTAAGGCGTGTTGAATTGATGGTATAACAGTGTCTACTTTATGCACAAGATGGAGACAACAGATTGCACATTTTGCCTACTACTTTACCGCTAATGGAGCAAAAGAATTTCTCTAATAAGCGTAAGTAAAAGTCCCCGATTGAGCAAGGGCTTTTGGATTGGGATTATAGACTACTATAAGAAGAAGTTTATTCTAGTAATCCCTGCCTGGAGGATCATCGTTGTTACATGTTATAAAATCACTTTGGGATTGATTAGTCCAATTATGAATCATGTAGCCATGACTGTGTACAAAGTCAATAGCAGGTTTCTCCTCTCCGTAGTAACTTTGCTCAATCCATTTCAACTTTGATGGATAAACTAATAGTTATCGTACTAACTTGACTCAATCACTTGAAATTTCCATGGATAAAACTAAACAGTACTGTACTGTCTAGCGTTCATTGTTGCAACGATAAATAAAGTAAAATGGCTACCATCTCCTGACACTTACTTTGCTTCATGTATTTGAACTGCTATGGACAAACTGATCGATAGTCTACAGCAACCATAAATAAAGTAGAATGGCTACCATCTCCTAACACTTACTTTGCTCAATGTATTTGAACTGCTATGGACAAACTGATCGATAGTCTACAGCAACCATGAATAAAGTAGAATGGCTACCATCTCCTGACACTTACTTTGCTCAATGTATTTGAACTTCTATGGACAAACTGATCGATAGTCTACAGCAAACATAAATAAAGTAGAATGGCTACCATCTCCTGACACTTACTTTGCTCAATGTATTTGAACTGCTATAGACAAACTGATCGATAGTCTACAGCAACCATAAATAAAGTAGAATGGCTACTATCTCCTGACACTCTGCTCAATGTATTTGAACTGCTATAGACAAACTGATCGATAGTCTACAGCAACCATAAATAAAGTAGAATGGCTACCATCTCCTGACACTTACTTTGCTTAATGTATTTGAACTGCTGTGGACAAACCGATCGATAGCGTACAACGCATACGAACATTGCTTAATCTGCTATTCATTTATCCTCCAAAAAAATGACATCTAGATATTCCGGATTATGTACAGTACTGTAGTTTGGCAGCGTCGATCTCGGCAGAAGAACATGATCTGACTGTTTATAAAAAAATCCAGTCAACAGTCAGCAATAATGTGCAATGACTGGATGTTTGCTGGCTGCATGTTAGCAATTACTCGAATCTCCCTCTTTCTTTTCTTAGTAGTCTCTAGATGGAGTAACTGTCTATTACCATCTGGTATGTCAGTAGCTACCAAAACCTGCCTCTCTTCTTTTACAATTAGCAAACCCTGGGTAGAGTAACTGTAATCCATATTCTTGCAGGGTGTTTGCATTTTGAGATCCGACAACGGAACGTCTCTCTCTTTTCTTTCAACTATAAAGTCGTCTCCGGATAGAGTAACTCTCATCTCTATTCTTGAGAGGTGACTATTGAGTGCAGTGGGTATCTCTTTTCTTTCAACTGCAAAGTCATGGAGTAACAATCATCTCCATTCTTGTAGCAAGTCTATATTTTGAGAGGGGACTACTGAATGCAATATCTCTTTTCTCTTAACTGTAAAGTCCCATCTCTGGATAGACTAACTACCATCTCGATTCTTGTGGCAAGTCTGCATTTTGTGAGGGGACTACTGAGTGTAGTATCTCTTTTCTTTTAACTATAAAGTCCCATCTCTATTCTTGTGGCAAGTCTGCATTTTGAGAGGGGACTACGGAGTGCAGTATCTCTTTTAGCTATAAAGTCCCATCTCTATTCTTGTGGCAAGTCTGCATTTTGAGAGGGGATTACTGGCCCGGACCAGCTTGACAGAACGAAATAGAAAGGGAGTGTAAAGTCATGGAGTAACTATCATCTCTATTCTTGCGGCAAGTCTGCATTTAGAGAGGCGACTACTGAGTGCAGTCGGAATCTCTTTCTTTCTTTTAACAGTAAAGTCATCTCCGGACAGAATTATCTTCTCTATTCCTGCAACCATATCTTCATTTTGAGAGGCGACTACGGAGTGCATCCGGTATCTCTTACTTTGAACTATGAAATCATGGGAGTAGGAGTAACTATCATCTCTGTTCTAGCATCTGTTAATATGAGGAAGTTCTGTGTATTACTTGAATTCGAGGAGTACATCCTTACTATGATAATTCAAGAGAGATTCCAAGAATTCAGGAATACCTACAGAAGTGCACCACTATTTAGAACAAATACGATACTATGAACTCTACAAGGCATATTGCAGTGACAACTCAACATGAGTACATGATATTGCAGCAGCCTAGGTGTGCATTTTGAGAGACAACTAGTGAGTGCAGCCAGTATCTCTTTTCTTTGAACTGTAAAATCATGGAGTAAACTAGCTGCAATCCCTAATAACTATCATCTCTATTCTTGCGGCAAGTGTGCATTTTGAGAGGTGACTACAAAACTATCGCCTAGGTATAAAGTCATGGAGGAACTGTCATCTCTATCTTCTTGCACCATGTCTGCATTTTTGGTTTTAGTCATCTCCGGACCGAGGTTCTTCTGTCAAAGGTAGACAGCTATGTATACCTATCATTATAATGGCCATCGTCATTATTATGATAGTACTGTACATATAGCAAGAACATGATAGCTATCTACGTATAGCCCTATCATTATAGCTAACTATACCCTCTCATTTTCGTTTTAGAGTCATCTCCGGACAGAGTTTCATCTGTCAAAGGTTGGGTTCTTGCGGCATGGTTTGCATTTTGAGATGGGATAGCTGAGTGTTATCGGGTGCCATGCGGTAAGCTGCTATTTGCGCCATATATATTTATATATATATAACGTAGAGAGAGAGCTCCATCTGTCAATGGTTGGGTTCTTGCAGCATGGTTGCATTTTGAGATGGGATGGCTGAGTGTTTGCAGACGCCAGGCGGTAAGCTGCTGTGTATTTGCACCGTCTATATTTATACATTTATGTTATACTGTACACAGTTATATATACAGAGTTGCATCTGTCAAAGGTTGGGTTCTTGCAACATGGTTGCATTTTGAGATGGGATGGCTGAGCGGTTTGCAGACGCCAGGTAGTAAGCTGCTGTGTATTTGCACCATCTATATTTATATATATGTCATATACTGTACAGGGTTATGATATACATATCTATACAGAGTTTCATCTGTCAAAGGTTGGGTTCTTGCAACATGATTGCATTTGAGATGGGATGGCTGAGTGTTTGCAGATGCCAGGCGGTAAACTATTGTGTATTTGTACCATTTATATTTATATATACGTCATATACTGTACAGAGTTTCATCTGTCAAAGGTTGGGTTCTTGCAGCATGATTGCATTTTGAGATGGGATGGCTGAATGTTTGCAGGTGCTAGGCAGTAAGCTGTTGTGTATTTGCACCATATATATTTGACATATATACGGTACAGAGTTACAATATAACATATGTATACAGAGTTGCATCTGTCAAAGGTTGGGTTCTTGCAGCATGATTGCATTTTGAGATGGGATGGCTGAGTGTTTGCAGGTGCTAGGCAGTAAGCTGCTGTGTATTTGCACCATGTATATTTGACATATATACGGTACAGAGTTACAATATAACATATGTATACAGAGTTGCATCTGTCAAAGGTTGGGTTCTTGCAGCATGATTGCATTTTGAGATGGGATGGCTGAGTGTTTGCAGACGCCAGGCGGTAAGCTACTGTGTATTTGCACCATTTATATTTATATATATATGTCATATACTGTACAGAGTTTCATCTGTCAAAGGTTGGGTTCTTGCAGCATGGTTGCATTTTGAGATGGGATGGCTGAGCGGTTTGCAGGCGCCAGGCAGTCAGCTGCTGTGTATTTGCACCATCTATCTTTATACATATATATTATACTGTACAGAGTTATATATACATATCTATACAGAGTTGTATCTGTCAAAGGTTGGGTGGGTTCTTGCAACATGATTGCATTTTGAGATGGGATGGCTGAGTGTTTGCAGACGCCAGGCAGTAAGCTACTGTGTATTCGCACCATTTATATTTATATATATATGTCATATACTGTACAGAGTTTCATCTGTCAAAGGTTGGGTTCTTGCAGCATGGTTGCATTTTGAGATGGGATGGCTGAGCGGTTTGCAGGCGCCAGGCAGTCAGCTGCTGTGTGCATTTACGACGTATATCCGATAAATGATCCAGCTGCTGTTGGCGTCTGCAACTTTTGTGCTTTTGTAGCGTAAGTCAATCAATCCCTATAGTAAAGTATTGTTCTGGCAGTCTTATCCGAGCACAAAATAGCCGTCGTCGACCTGGATGGCAGTCATTTCCCCAGCCAACAAAATAATCATTGCAAATAGCTTGGTCTAACGCCTTATTGACAATCTCCGCATGGAACACACTACTGTAAGGCTGCAGGTAGCCTCGGCAGACTCCCATCCATGCTGTTGCCACTATGGCGTTTGAACTGGCTTCCGAGTGGCAATCCTGTCAGCAGTATCCCATACTACAGTGCGGTAGAGTGGAGGCAGTATCGACAGTAAGAATAAGAAGTGCATTTTGCCCCCATCGGATCTCGATATTGCTTTGGTCTACGCCAACATTGATTTATTAAAGAAATAAATTGCTTATGGTAAATTCTACGTGTTCTAAAGTCATTGCTACAACTGTGATGAAATCTTACTGATTGTGTGCCAGTGATTATTTGGATGGTAGTAGAATTGATCGGCGTCAACAGGCAGCAAATTCTCCCCCTTGAAAGACACTTTGGACAGTCTCGTGGCCATTTGCAAGAGGAACCATCAACGCAGTCAGCAGCAGATTTTATGCTATCCTTGCCACCATTTTCCTTCTTTAATGACTGGATAAACAGTCTACTCTATTTTTGATCCTATTGTTTCCATTGAAGAAAGTAATTGACAAAAGAAATTTTACTTGGACTGATATTCCGCCAATTGATTTACGACGCTTCCATCATATGTTGGCCATGCCAAACAATGTCAAGGATTAGACAATTATTCTCATTTTATTGATGTATACTGGAGGCAAGCTCTATTCCTCATCGGTAAGATTATCCTTTCCTACTTTCTTCCTTATAGTGTCCATCAAGCAAATCTTTCTCTCTCTCTTGTTGGCTTTGCTTCCCTGCGATCGCCATATTTCCATCCACTCCAACACAAAATAATTCAATTAATCGCTGATCACTTGATAAAGAATAATTAACTACTGCCTAGAAAAATTGCCATCGTCATCAATCTTTGACTAATATCTACTACGTTAGCCTGCTAGCCGTGACGACAGTGACAAAAATTGGCAACCTGTATCGATCAATCTGGCCATATCATATTGTATCCATCAATCTGTTCATTTCTTGCCCATTAGCAACCCATTGCTATTCATCCAATCCAAATTGAAAATCGTCGTTGATGATATTATTATTAACTGTAAAGTGAATTACAATCCTCCCAATGAATAACATAATGAATCGTACCAATCGAATACGTCCACTACCAGTCATCTTATGTGTCATTTTATTTATATTACTATCATTGAAATTTTTCGGTTACTTATCCTCCGATTCCAATACCAAAACTTTACCACATGACGATTTTAAACTAGATACCAAAGATAATCGAGCTAAACTGGAAGATGCTGCCCAATTACGCTTAGAGTTAGATGCTAAAATTGTTCAATTACAAGAAGCCAAGGAAAAAATTCAACAACTCAACAAGTTATCCAATCAACATAAATGCGATTCCAAAGGTGATTTAGAAAAGAAATTAATTAGCTCACAGCAAGCCTATGAGAAATTGAAAGCGGATAAAAGTAAAGTAGAAAAAGAATTATCAGAAAAAGATTCTCAATTGGCCAAGTATACATTAACTACCACGTCACCATTTGAAGGGCAAAAATTAGTCCACTTCGATTTGAAAGGAGCTCCACCAAAGATCAAATACTTACTCCAGCTATTGCCGTTATTCAAGAAATTAGGTGCAACGGGTTTATTAATGGAATACGAAGATATGTTTCCTTATACGGGCAATATTTCCGTTTTAGCAAGGAATAATTCCTATACTGCTCAAGATATTGCCAAAATACACACAACAGCCACTCAACTCAAGTTAACCATTATACCATTAATACAAACTTTTGGCCATATGGAATTTGTCTTGAAACATGATCAATTTACTCATTTAAATGAAGTAAGCCACCATAAAATGGTCATTTGCTCTGGCTGTAATGGCTCCTATGAATTAATCGAAGAAATGATTCGACAAATTATGACTTTACATCCAGGAATTGATTATATCCATATTGGTGGTGATGAAGTCTACGATTTATACAAGCATAAACATACTCGAGGTAAATTTATTTCCAAAGAGAAATTATTTACTACCCATATTATGCAAGTATCGAGTTATATTAATAGCCACTGGTCCAATGTACGTGTCATTATATGGGATGATATGTTAAGAACATGGAGTGTGGATCACATCGCCAACTTGAAAGATTACGTTATACCTATGGTATGGGCCTATTGGTCTAATTTAGATGAATATTTCCCTACCGGGATGTGGCAACGTTACGCTAAGGTATTTCGTGAAGTATGGATTGCATCCGCTTTTAAAGGAGCTGGCGGATCGGATAATGATTTCCCACCTATTCAGCAACATGTTGGCAATCAAGAATCGTGGTTAAAAATTATCGCATCCTTACAAGATACTGGCATGACAGTAACTGGCATTGCATTAACAGGATGGTCACGTTATGATCACTTTGCTAATATGGTTGAATTATTACCAGCCGGAATAACATCGCTAGCCTTATGCTTAGGTGTTTTAGAAGCTGGCGAAATGAATCATAAAGTCGTCATGACAGCAACACATTTACTTGGTTGTCCAAAAAATATTACTGTTGCCATTAATCGTAAATATCAAGCAGAAGAATGCTCATTTACTGGTTCAGCTGCATTCTATGCCATAGGAATTTATTATCAAGGTACAATACATTATGATCGTGCAAGAAATGTAATACCAACGTGGCATACTCGATTTCAACGAAAGCGTGGTAGAATTAGTCCATTTCGATTAGAAAGAGCTTATGCTGAATGCATGGAAAGTAGAAAGTATTTACTGAGAGCTCAAAAGATTGTACGTACATCATTCGCTAAATTATTCTATGTTAGAGATATCCAAGAATGGATGATTACCAAGATAATTACCAAGTTAGCTAATGTAGACTCTCTTCTAAAAAAATTAGAAGATTACAAGGTTGCCTCTTAATTCTTTTCATTAAACTGACAGAATAAACTATATATTTTACTCATCACGTTATCTCACCAAACCTAATATTTCTAAATACAGCTACTTTGCAACTATATCATTATACTTTGTCAAATTGTATTATTTCATAAAGTTTGCTCGTTATACTTTATATATTTCACATAGACTCATCGATAATATTGTTAGTTCTCTTAATTTATAATTCTCTTTCCATACAGTATATCGATTATAATAGTTTCCAACCGTTTTCTTATGCATTGGCTTTACTTATCTTTAATAACTTGATGTAACTACCCTACCTGCAATATCTAGACATAACAATTAGTCAATAGCCATTTTAGCTAGTCGCACTTGACTAATCTTACTATCTAGGCTGTCCTGATCGTAATTACATGTATATCGATCGATATCTACTATTTTTATGATCTATCCATTAAATATTTCTCTCCTTGAAATTATCCTACTTTTCCTCCTATTTCGTAGTAGTATATCAAACATTTTTATCAATGAGAATATACAATATTACATGATTCTAGTGATCTTGATCAGGAGTATAATCATTTGCCATAAAATAAAAAACTTAGACAGAAACCATAAAATATTTTATTATCTCAATGGACTCCCTAAAAGAACTTTCGAAGGACAAAAATTGCAATCAACAATTGTTAAAATTGAGAACCAACTATTGAACGAAAAATTTTTAAAATACATCGGAAACAAAACAATTGTATCAACGTATTTGTCAAATACTCGTAAAACAAATGATAAGACTTCTTCTAAAGTTGAGCATGATATTGTATCTAAATTTCTTATAGAATGAATTCCATGCTACGACTAGGATGCAAGTGGGCAGATCCCATACAATCCCTTGTATACTTGAAATTAATCTTTCCTCAAAAGTCTCTCTGTTGAATAGCTAAATTCATTCATTTCAATTCACCTGAAGACAGTGGCTATCCTAAATTTTAATCATAGTTTGCGAAACATTTATATAACCTTAAGATTAAACAAACGGTCTGTATGTAAACAATGTCACACTGAATACTATCATTACAAATTTTTTACAAAAATACTAAAGTTAAGATAGCTGTGCCTTCATGACACTCTATCGCCTACTTTATATACAACATTCGCTTTTGAAGCGATCTTGATCTGCCTAGGCATAAATTAATCACAATATCATGATGACAACATTACTGTACATTAGTAATCAACAACATATGAGTTTAAGCTAATTTGGTTAATCCTCAAATAAAAAAAGGCAGCTAATATCTACTTCTAAATATTAATACACAAAGAGTAACTATTTCAAAATGGTGATTCTTATTCCTCAAGATCGACGACAAGGAATCACCTGAAAGCGAAAATTTTCTTTTGCAATCGAAATGCAAACTTAAGTTACTGTACAACTTATTACAAGCATGATCGCTGAATAAAGTGCTTCAATATCCAATATGAAGTATAATATTTAATCTAAAGGCTCCAGATCACTTCGATATTTTATCACTTTTTGTAGAAATTCAGTTGCAACGGGACAAAAGTCATCATTCCAAATATCCTTTAGCATTTCTTGCGTCTCTGGCGAAACATCACTATCTGCATAGTCGAATATGATATCCTCATCTATAAATAATATACGCAATAGCAGCATTCCTCGTTAAGATTCCAATACATTTACAGATACCCTAAGCATAAATTAAACAAATACCCAAGTATTCTTCCAGGAAATCTATTAGTCGGTCAGTATCTTCTTCACCAAACGCTGAATATGAATTTTCCATACCGACGCTATAAATCATGCATCAATAATTTAATTTTTTTATTATCATCAATTCATAAGACAACATGCTATTATTATCTATTATTATTATTGGTAAATCAATATAGCTGATATGGTTGTCAAATTGATCGTTATACATTGAAAACTGTACAGCCCTATCCTACCTGTAATTCCATAGAGTCTTGCAAATTAAACCTGCCAATTGCCAATCATCTCGTCCAAAATCTCGTAATGCATCAATCAGTCTACCATTGAAAGAACATAAGTGAAATACATCTTTACTGTGAAATTTTTGCTCGTGGTATAAAACTGTCTGTACACTTTCTATTTTGGCACTTAAAATAAAAACAACACGATACCTTTTAACACCTCCTTCTTTCAATAATTTCTCTCTGTTATCCGCATCTTTCATAAAATTCATCAACAGTCCGCAAGCATAAAATACTGTTTCTCGCTGGCCAGCATCAAGAAGCGCAATCATCATCTCATCCACTGCAAAATAAAGTGCACTCAATTACGGAGGGAATTACTCTATTTCATTACGTTATATGGAATCGATAAAGTGAAAGAGAACCTACCTTTTTTCTTAACTAACAAATCACGAACGGCTTTCGATCTGGTAAGATTGCCAAAAACACGTACGACATCAATCATGATGGAAGCATTATCATCCAGTAGTAAAAGTACTAAAACTATAAAATATATATATAATTAAATCCCTTAATCATTCCAGTAGCAGTCGATTATAAATCAACTTTAAATTCAGTAGTGCATTTAACCGGTCCATAATAAGTAGTACGTACACTTTGTTAATTCAATTTCTTTTTTAAATAAGGCACTTTCATTGACATCATAAAAGGATAAATTACTTATCGCGACAGCTGCATGAGTCACAATTTCTCTCGATTTTAATATATCTTTTGTAGCTAAAGGAAAATGATCACAAGTTAATTTCTATCACAATGCTACTAAGCAATTAAAAAATTAAAACCTAATAGTTGTAGTAGGTAGTCGACGAATTCATAACTGGTGGCAATGATTGAGCCAACGTCCGGATATATAGACAAATTTACAATAGCTCGGATAATCTAAATTATACAAAGGCAAGTTTGAGCAAATTTTTCTCGTTTTTCCGGCAATGAACTCCTAAGTAACTTAGAGTACCTTTAGTATTACGTCTTCAATTTTGGCTACAGATTTTGGCTTTTCTTCGGTGTCTTCATCAGAAGCGAGCTATTATTGGCAAGTTTATAAATAGCATTATAATGAAGCAAGCAAGCGTCCACGCACCTAAATTAACGAAGATAGATTACAGTAAAATTTATTACCTTCCTATCCCAATCAAGGTATGTCCTAAGTACTTTTAATAAATATTCGATGCCATTGCCATTAGAAGTTACAAATATACTAATTTCTTCACTTTCCAGAAAGATATTTCCAAGAATATAACCCAAACGTAGAACCAAATCCTAATTATGAAGATATTTACTATGACTTAATTTGATATTGTAACTATTGTAATTTTATCAAGCAAAAGTGCAAATTTTTCAACTGGATGTTACCGCTTTATGTACTTGCTTTTCCATTACTTTCAAGAAAAGTACGATAAGATCAGCCTCATCAATCAAGATGTGGCAGAATTCACTATGTTGAGTCAATTTACTGCAGGATTTAATATACCAATAAGTAGATCATTTAGTACCAAAGTACTTTACAAAAGTCCAAATTAGCAGTCAATATTAAGTGTAACATGATATATCAAAAACATTTGTGTACCTACCTAAATATTCGTGCTATATTTAGCATTAAATCATGATCACTGGTAAACTTAGTAACTACAGGTAAAACAGATAGTACAATCTCTTTTGACATTAACTTTTTTCGATGTTGTCCATTGTCAGCTAGATTTGCTAAAATTCCAGTCAATTGAATCATGGCATGTGAAATCTCGCTACTTTTCAGGTCAGACTGTAAAATAAAAAAATCTTTCGAGATAATTCTTAAAATGCATAGTTGTAATCAAATAGAAAATAGCGTACTTCAGAATTGAGAGAGTTCATCGCTAATGCCACCGCCTCGATACAGTTACGGTCGAACAGATAATCCTGCAGATTTGCATTACCAGACAGAAATTTAATGGACGCAGCACTGTAAGTTAGAGCTTCTAAATTAATTGTAGGGTCCACGTCTTTCCATATTTCAAATAAATAATCTTAACCAAAAACAACATTTCATCAATGTTATATACTCCAATATTTTCCAGCGATAGCGTTAATGATCAATATTCATATAACTTACCAGGAATGTTTTCATCGATAATCATTTTATCATTCGATTCATTACGACTAGCTAAATACACCAATTTGCAAATATTTCCTAAATTTTTCCCACTGACTTTCATCTAATTTTATAAATAATGTCTCATTAATCTAGTATCATTTTCAGAAATAAATTTTGCAATCAACTTACAGAAAAGATAATACGAGCAAGTTTTATTAGTAATTTTGGATCATCTTGATCCAATAGGCGGTAAGCAGCATGTAAAACACTACTTCTCCTTTTACTTGATCCAGTTTCACCGCTGCTTCGTCCTAGTAAATTTTTTCTAAACAATGCATCCCATAGATAGCACGTGGATTGATAGAGTTGGTTAGTACTGGTAGGACCTTCCAATTTAGTTAAATCTATACGATTTAATAGTGGTACAATCACACGTTCCCAGTAAGCAGCATCTTCGTCTTCAGTAGCAGAATTTTTCGTCTTTTTATTTTCATCTTGAATGGTAGACTTTTTATCCTTAGTAATTCTTTTTTTAGTAGTTTTTAAATTTTCTTTTGATTTTGTTAATGTCTTAGTTTTTACTCCCTTACTATTTGAACTGGCTGTTTTGTCAGAGCTAGGCTCCAAATCATTTGTTACAGCTAAATTATCATTTTTCGAGGTATCAATTGTAATATCTGACTGAAGTCGTTCTTTCGGACCACTATGAACTCTTCTATTAGCCATTCCTAGGACAATAATATACAACTATTTTAACGTATACTGATATCCAAAACACTGTATATAATTAATTACTTTCATTTTTATAACGTTTTAGTAGCATAGAAAACATTTATCTGACAATTTTTTTATGGATTGAAGCGTAAATCTTACCAGTTTCCTTTGCTGGTGAAGGTAACGACCCTCTTCTAGCTTGCGAAGGTGGACGCGGTACTTGATCAAAGCTAGCAGTATGTTGTAATTGCTTGGATGCTTTACCTTCCAATTTGGATTCACTTTTCGGTTCATCAAGACTGTCTAAACGTCGATACTGCCTACCAAAAGATGATCTTCTAGGAATGCCCGATGGACTGTCTATAATATTTTACGCGGCAATAGCATATTGGATAATCTTAACATTTACCGATTCTACTAGTCAAATTAAAATCCCTATTGTTATTCAAATAATTGATCAGTAAAAATTTGAAATGATGCACAACAGTAGCATAAACCTAGCAAACAGTTATACTTTCTACTCTACTTTTGTGCAATATTACATTAAATGTAATGAAACAACGATGATTTTATTTGTCGATTGAAGATTTTAAACTTGAGATTGAAATACCGAAAATGAAACAATTATAGTTGAAGGATTGTTAGATTACTACGATTATAATCAGTACAATTCAACTACTAAAGAAAATATATTTATTGGTCTACAAAATTATAAAGATGACTGCCCTTACCTTTGTCCAACTTTCGGTTGTTAGCAGAACTACCACTACTAGCCCTTTCTCTGCTCTCGACAGAATCAGCCGGAGAGATAGGCTTTTTTGTAATCTTCTGTTGATCAATCGGCGCTAATCGTTTCCCAGACGGTGGTTTAGCTGCTGGATAATCAACAAAGTTCCTCGAAGAAATACTGTCGATAAGTAATAAATAATAGTATATAACTAAACAGAAATCGTTTAACCGGCTACAAATGAGAAGGTAATCAACTTTGTTAAATCAGTATCAAAGATTAATTAGCCATAAGATTGTCATATCATTTTTATATCGTTATTTTTAAGTGCCGTAAATATGTCCCAAGTAAAGGCTTACAGTATAATAATTAGTATCGGTCAACGATTGATGTAAACAATTTTGATTATAAAGGTTTTATAAAACGAAATATTTTGATAAAAAGGAGTTGATCAGTAATGACACCTATTCAAGTTATAAGAATACATTTCAATGCTATAAATAAGTTTCGGATTAAATGATCACATCCACAGAGCAGAAAATTAAACCTATGAAATACACTTTCCAAAGACTGCACTAAGTAGAGATTTAAACGGATGAATATGTTTTACAAGGATTGAATCAAGATTGTATTTTGACGTGATTTGGAATCTCTCGATAATTGTATTATCATATCAAGTCTATCAGCTATTTCAGTCAACTACTGTATTAGATTACTAGGAGAGTACTAGGTATTGATTTTTTGCTCTCACAGTCTCTTCTAATTATATTATTGATGAAATTCATTCAACATCGGTTCCGCATCAATAACCTGATTAAGCTTTCTGGTCGATGTCTTAATTATGTACTCCTCTTTATCATTACACGAGTGCAAAGCGCATTTAGTGTGTTAATTGATAATATTCCTATTACATCCACAACTAAATAGACTGATATGTTATATATAATTTGATTCTATTATAAAGGAATCGCTTAGACTTAGATCATGGTAAAATATAAGGGAAATATTATTGTTGGAACTATTTACCAATTCTTCAATATTACTAATCATTGAATCATGTCCGCGATATTCTGGGAAAGATGTGTGCAGTAGGCACTCGGTTAGACAGCGTCAATACCAAAATTGTAAATAAAAACAGTGATGATTGGCTTAATCCGATTAAATCAGTATCCATTTACAATCATTGACATCGCAAATGAACCACATACTTTATTAACCTAAGTACATGGCAATAAGCTTAATTTCTATCATCTCTCGTTGTTCTCCATACTGTAGCAAGAGTTCGATTAACCTATTATCGCCGAATACAGTATATTCAGCAATAACATTCGAATTTTTTGACTACTACGGCATGAATGATGATAGAACGTTGTAGTTGTTACTATCGACTTTAAAAGTGAATAATTTAGTAACTTTGCGTACCGATTAACGATATTCATTATTATAAATGGAAAATCTAGAAAATTATTTTGACACACTTTAAGATTTGATATTTATGGTACACGCAAGTAACAAACTTCAATTATAGGATGTGCGCAAAACTCAACTAAATCTACTCGACTAATCAAGATGATAATCTATATGCTGCAGCATCTTGTGATATCCAATATTATTATAACTGATCAAGTTGTATAAATATAATTTGGATTACAGTAGCAAGATGAATATGTTCGTTGATGCTCAATAAGACGATATTACCAAGTCTACTTCGTCAATATGTAATACGGGCCCTTATATCCTGACGTCATCCATATTGATATAAAGTCAATGACTAAATATACCTATGAGACCTATTGCCAATTTTACCTCATAACTGATGGTGGTCGACTTTCACGCGTTTTTGCACTACCACTACGATCTCCTAGTAGAGTTCGCTCAGATTGCAATGGAGTTTCAGGTCGTTTAGTTTTTAATGTGCGTAATGATGATCGAGCTTGAGAAACTATCTGAGCAGCAGTCATGCGATCACCCGCTTGATAAAATGGCTTGTCGTCTTTAACGGAGCCATGCTTAGAAGCACGATTGCTACTCATCTTGGCAATCTTGTTATGAGTGAGGAGTTACAATACCTTTAGCGAATAAGAATGCGTAAAATAGTCACAACACAACTGCACACCGATGATGATGCATGCAACGAGTTACCACTAGCATAGACTGGACTACAAACTGCTAGTCCAAAAGTAGAAGAAATGCTTGTAGTCAATGATAGATTTGGAGTAATTTTCCAAGTTAACCAATCAATCGAAGAGAAGAAGATCCAACTGCGTTTAACAGTAGCCACTTTGCTGAATTGGATTGTGGTGTAATCTCGATTTAATGGCACTGTTTAATGGAGCAATCCTGTAGAGTATAGCTGGCCAGAGACCACTAGCAGATTTTGCGCGTCTGATCTTAGCCAAGAAGAAGTTGCCATGGAATTGCTCTGCCTCTTCTCATATTGAACACTGGCGATCGTCCCTACCCATACGGAATCCAGTTACAAGAATGAACGTCCTAAACAGTATACTGGCATTTTCAGCCAATCTATACTCTTCCTTACTAAAGCTTCCATATATCGTTCCGATGGTTTGCTCTACCGTACTGAGCATGCGCTAAGATGACGCTCTGTTGACTGCAAGTGGACTGTTCAGGCATGCGTAAACCCTTTCCATCTTCTGCTTTGCCTTGATCCATTGCCTGTGCTCACAAGATGGCTTCTGCAACCATTTCTCGGGAACGATCGCTACGTTCAGTATTTGGTATGTTAAATCTTTCTGTTCCTCATGTTCTTAGTGATAGGGTAGGATATTCATCTCCAATGATAGTGGATCTAATGGAACGTAGGTTATGTGTATGCGTAGTTTTATTGTCCTACAGTATCGTATCCAAGCGAGGCGTTATGGCGTGTAGAAAGGAAGAATCTTTTGCTCTCGGGTTATCGATTAAGTGTAGGAATGGAATGATTATACAGTAGTTCAAATGAATCTTACTTGTAATCATGACATTAGAAAGGAGTAGATATTGCCTATGATGTCATATCTATACCCTAACAAATCAAATCGTTCTTGATGAACCTTGTAAAGTGCGATCATACTTGCAACAATACTTTCATAAAGTTACGGAATGAATTAGTGAGAAATTTGCAAGTATATACATACAGTAAATGCATTCAACAATTCTTCCTACAGTATCGCCTATACGCTATAGGAATCATTAACGAGCTGCACACCAATTAATTATGTAGGCAATGTAGTTTAGCAGGAATTAATCTTCCTCTACTAGTCCCTATTGATGCTTATCCACATACGCTACACTAATAGTAATATGATTAAACAAGAAGAAAAGATTGCCTATCGTAGTGTCGTGGGTGCAATATGCAATCCGGAAAAGATACCCTAACGTAGTGTCGTAGGTGCAATATTCAATCCGCAGTGGCAATGCCAAGTGAAAGTTGCTATCATATTGGAAATGGAATAATTTGTTTGCCTACTATATATTTGTGTCTTAAAATACTTTTGAGTGCACTCTCTTGACATCAGCAGCTATAGCGAACGGTAATGTGAACATAATGTAGCCTCTAAATTAACTGCTGCCATTCCTAATTACGGTAATCCCCTCTGCTAATGCAAACGCTACATGACAAAGTTACTAGCTCTGAGACGCAACGCATGCTCTTTGAAACTATCGATCATATTGTTTGAGAATGATATCGAAACACTTAATTTGTTATTCTTCTTGCAGTCGGTAATATTCCTTATGAAGCCACTGAAGAACAATTAAAGGACATCTTTGGAAGTGCTGGTCCAGTTGTCAGTTTCAGGTAGTACTGTCTTGATGAAAATTTAATTGCTACCCTATCTTGCCAAATGTTAACTATTAGTAGCAATATCATAGTTTTGATTCCATTGGCAATGAATTATTATTAGGCTTGTATATGATCGTGAAAGTGGTAAACCTAAAGGTTATGGATTCTGCGAATTTCAAGACAAAGAAACTGCATTAAGTGCTATGAGAAATTTGAGTGGTTATGAATTAAATGGGAGATCATTAAGAGTTGACAGTGCGGCTAGTGAAAAAGATAAAGATCGTAAGTTCATCTTACGTACTACCCATTTGTAGAATAGTCATATGACTGAGAGTGTATCACTTGCCAGTTTCTGAACGATGCATTTCAATGTTGTAGTTCCTTTACAAATGCCGGCTGGTGGTGGTGGACTAGCAGAGGTAAAATTAAATATGATTTACGGAGAATGTAGTATAATAGAATAAAAATTTAAATTAGTAAACAATTGTTGCATTGTACACATTGACTTACAGCAGTTCATCACCGCAAAGCATCAATTAAGTTATTGTCTTAAAGTTACTCTAGTTGTTTATATTCATGATCTTTCTGTAGCCGTCTATGTATGGCGATGCAGTACCTATGGAAGAGGTTCCAGAAGTAATAAAAAAATCTGTGCAGAGTCTCCCACCTGAACAAATGTTTGAACTGATGGTTCAAATGAAGGTTAGTCAAACGATTTTAGCTTAGCTTGTATGCTATCCACTGCTGACATAATTTATGTATACTGTCTTATTTTAGGAAAGTATACACAAGTACCCTGATGAGACAAGACGAATGTTGCTGCAAAATCCCCAATTGGCGTATGCACTACTGCAGGCTTTAGTTGTCATGAAAGTTGTCGATCCAGCTGAAGCAACAGTAAGTTTTATCAATTGTGGCTAACAAAAATAAGATTGATTTTCCTATAAAGTTCTAGTGTTTTTTCTTTTTAATTTGCGAATAAAATATTTTCGATTTTTTTAGAAACTTTTACATCCTCCAAATACCTTGGTGAAACCGTTAGGTGGTCCTCTACCCGGAATGCCAATGGAGCCTCAGGTTTTTAAGATATTTAAATTGTATTAGAACATTCTTTCACGAAAGATAGACGTAATTAAGAAAATGATGTTGAAAAGTTGCAGTTCTATACACATATTAGCGTTATCGCGATTAGTCACTTATCGATTTCAAACTGCGTTAGCAGGTAGGTAGACCACCTGTCGATCCTGGATTTGGCCACGTTGTACCTGAACCTCAACAACGTCCTAATCAAGGAGCAGGTAATCCACAGCCCCCTCCAGCCAAGAAACCCTCAGCAAATCGTGCTCCACCTAATCCATCTACGACGACGCCTCCACCACCAGGTATCAAATTTAGCGATATATCCAAATCAATAATAGACGTGACTTTTATTAAAACCTAAGTTATAATGTAATCAAATTTTGTTGCCTGATAACAGCATCTCAAATTCGTGCTCAAGATCAAGAAAAGGTATTTTCAAATGTAGTTGTGTTATACTCTTGTAAAATTTGTTTTATATAATTTACAACGAACTGGTTCACAACTAGTACTGTATGCGCTTATAATATATTACGTGATAGCGGTTAACAATAATCTATGTTTTGCTGAAATTTTATTTCAGGCCGCTCTTATTATGCAAGTGTTGAGCTTAACCGACCAACAGATAGCTTTATTACCTCCGGAGCAAAGACAAAGTATATTGATATTAAGAGAACAAATTGCTAGAAGTAAAGGGCCATAATTGGATAATTCTGAATTGATTTTATAATCATATCTAATGAAAGGTGTACTGTATAATGTATGGAACTTCTCAAAATGTAAAGTAGCTGTTATGATAGCCGTAGTCGTTTTTGTTGTACTGCATTCGGTTACCATAGTATTATTAATATTATCGCAGGTGATGGGACATTCTCTAAACGTTTACTACTGATAAACTGTATTCCATTTCCATACTGTGAAATTGTTTGGATACGGTACTGTACATTGTATGATAACATGATTTATGCTTACCATCGCTGTTCTGTACATGTATAGCTGATTTGGTGTGTAAAGTTAGATCCCCTTATCTTCGGATAAGCTTATTACAGAAGCACGATGAATTGTACTTTTACTTTCCCTATCTTGTAGACTTGTAGTCACGTAATTATACATTTTTGCGATGTACACTGTTATAATGTTTGAATGGTTTACTGTATAGGAACTCTGCAGTATTAACATAAATCTTGTGTAAACTAGTAGACAAAAGTCTACGTATCCAACCCAAACTGTGCATCAATGCATCTCTTCCGTCCGTATACCGTGCGGTCTTTCTAATTGCTGCGTGGATTAATTTCTAATCCTCTATGATCACGTCATCGATGCTGAAAACTGGTTTTTGGAAACTGCTAGTGTTTGCAATATTTCCAAATGATTAAAGTGTGCAGCATGCTTCTTGATTCTAATTTTATTTTGTATTGATATCCAATTGCATGTTCCTGTGGATGAAGGTTGTCTACATGAGTCGATATACACGTACACTTCATTGTATGGTCGAGCCATGAGCTAAAGACTGTCCACTATAATGATATCATGGTAGCTAGTAGTGTACAGGATAGAACTATGAGAGGACTGCATGAGTTGACTGCAGGTTGGTTAAATTCAAATATTCATTTATTATGTGAGTAGTTGAGTCGAGTAAGGCGTATTGCAGCAGACTATACAGTATTGCTTAACAGCTGCAATATTATGAGGACTTGGCGGTAGATAGGCTAAATCTGGCCGCTATAATTAAGTCACTTCATCCATACTATCGTAGCTCATCTTTCCTTTGCTTAGAAGGATGCCAAGAACATCGACAGCAGTGTATGTTCTAGTAATGATGGAGATACTGCTATGCATAACAGTGCAGTATTATACTGCCTATTACTCGTATAGAACATATTTGTATGTCTACGCACTCAAGACCTCCAGGGTCTCCTTTTCATGTACTTTTTAATTGTACACCGTCCACTATCATCCAAGTACGAGTATAGCAGTCATCGTATTTGACTTTACTTTTCAACCCAGCTTGCCATCATCAAGCATTAGTTCATAAAGTCATGCTCAATTTTAGTATGAAGACACCTTACACCTTACACCTTAAGAAGCACATCATCTGTCTCAGCTCTGACGACAGGTAGCATCTAAACAAAATCTTCTATTGTACAAGTCGTTGTAAGTCATGCTCAATTTTAATATGAAGACACCTTCAATTAAAATAAGAAGCACAGCATCTGTCTCAGCTCTGACGACAGGTAGTATCAGAATAAAATCTTCTACTGTGCAAGTCGTTGTAAGTCATGCTCAATTTTAGTATGAAGACACCTTACACCTTATACCTTAAGAAGTACATCATCTGTCTCAGCTCTGACGACAGGGAGCATGTAAACAAAATCTTCTACTGTACAAGTGGTAGTAAGTCATGCTCAATTTTAGTATGAAGACATCTTAACCCTTCCAACGCTGAGTACTATTTGAAGAAGAAAATAAGAAGCAAAGCATCTGTCTCAGCTCTAACGCAAGTTAGCATGGAAACCGAATCGACTGCAGTAGACTTTGTCGCCGCTGGATGGCTCAACCTGCATACCGTATGACGTCGTGGGCGTCATGCCTATAGCGTCAACGACGGGCGGACGTGCTCGTCCAACGTCAGCAACAACGATATCACACTCTACCAGTCAGAATGCAATCCAGTCGTGAATCAAGTAACACAGTATCACTCCGCTCAACCGGGTGAGGTGACAGTGTACAGTAGAGAGAGTACTGTACTGTACTGTACACTGTACTCTACTGTACAGTACTATACTGTACTGTACACTGTACCCTACTGTACTACACTCTACACTATTTAAGCTATTTACGCTGAGTATCTGAGTAATCGGAGTTATTATGGCTGGGCCTACTCTACACTCTACTCTCTTCAATCGCGCATGCTTGCCATTCTTCCCACTCCAAGCATAGGTAAATTGTAGAGGGAAAAATCGGTTACGTCACGAGCTGTCATGAAGGCACGAGTCAGAATCACTGTAGGACTGCGGTGTCCAACTGTATAATAAGAACATGCGCAAGAAGCAATACGCCATAACCCGCTTGCTTCAAAATAAGAGTCCGCTTGCGACTGCTTGCATCTCCATTCTCAATCACTGAATTTTTACGCTAGAAAAAATGTCCAAGACAGAAGAAGATAGGACACCATCTGAGGTAAGGAAAGCCTCTTGATGATAGGATTACAGTATGTAGAAGAGGAAGGTTGATGGTTGACGATGGAGTCATCATCACAGACTACAGTAATCGATCGTACGAAGATAGATTAGTCAGTCTATTGTATTGAATAGTATTCCATTAGTCCACGCCTGCTGGAGGATCGATGGATTCGATTGGCTTGATTTTGCAATTTTGTAGATAACATTTCAATCCATATCCTAATAGATTAATCAACAACTTGCTGAAGAATTCAATCAAAAAATGGACGTTTCCACCACTAACGTACCGACTAAAATGCCGAAAGGTAAAGATAACGTGACAATGTTGCATCATGGTTCACAACATAACTGATCAATCCATACGTTGATTTATCTTCTGTTGATTAAATGCGATCATCATCATGTTGGCCAGCATCATCAACTAGTTTCATTGCCAATGAACGAATACAATCTATCCCTTAACAATAGATCATTTAAAATAACCAATTTAGATTCAGCTAGCACAACTGCCGTTCAAATCGATACTTTGAAGTGGATAACAACCACTGAGGATAATATGATGCATACTGTATCATCCTTCATCATCATGTTCGACGGTAGTACTTTCATATCGTTTTACTCGTATTCGCGATGAAATCAGAGAACGGTAGAGGAGTGAAGGATGGATACCTTAAGCTTCAATAAATGGACTACCCAAAATATCGAAAATGGAGTAGCAAGAGTCGACTCGTAAAACTCAACCTTGATAACCACTGGTCTTCCAATTCACGACCACACAAGTACAGTAGTATCATGATATTAGCTAATATTTTCCAACAATCTTAATAAAGCCATCAATGATAAGAAGTATACCCTACACTCCAATGATCGATATGTAATAGAGATAGAATCCATTACCTTAACGAAATGGTAAAGGTTAAATCGACATTGAACTTAGCCATTCATTGAAAACAATACTTTATATAACATCACAACTGTCCGTTGACAGTAGTTACGTGTATGACATAGTTTACTGTGACAGAAAGACATCATGATTTTATAAAATCATCAAGAGTATTTTATTCGCAGCAAAGTATCACTCCCTTGATTAGGCTGATTCTCAAGTTATTGTACACTCCGCTAACGTCATAGTTCATTTTTGGCTCAATTGTATCGTCATATTGTTGCTGCGTTACTTTGATATTCGATAATGAATAAAGGTGATTGCTTACAATTCGAGAATTACTTTCGGACTACCAGCAGGCAGCATCCGTCCACAATGTATAAACTATTAATTTACTACCAACCAAATCAATGCCCCTACTACGTTGCTGGTAGCAACCCTATCGTAGTAATAGCTTACCAAGAGTGAATCAAACGATAGTACAGCAGCAGTTCTATACGTTAATACATTTCAGATAATTTCCATCACGGACGAAAGTCACTGATCCGGCGTGGCATGAAGATTTGACGTTCTTTCATTTTAGCCTTCAATACACATTATACGATCATAAATGATCCATATCTCCTACACAACTTATTAGATCGTATTATTAGAGTACAGGTGACATAGCACTACACAACAAGCTGATTTGTTTAGACTAGTATAATATATTGCATTGCCCGATCCTAATAAAGTGCATCAAAACAGCATTTCATCGTTATCCATCTCACTGAAATATAAGTCAGTTTTGATAGATTGTGCATAGGACATATTTGTTTTTACGTGGTACGTGATTGTAGTGACTATTGACTACCGTAAACGATTCTGTTCGAGAATACAGATTGCACGATATTTGATTAATAGTTTTCGTCAGCTCAACTGATACGAGCTTATATTGTTAGGACTGAAGGAAGATGTTAAAGCTGTTTCTTTATTACTACATTATATTAATCTAGTTTTGTTTTATATAATTATTATCCATATCTTTTTGCTAGATCCTCTTATGAAACCGCTGTTAAAGGCCTTCGATGAAGCTGCTACACCGGAAGAAAAACTAGCAATAGCATGTTCTCATTATCTGCAGACGGTATGTGGGTGGATAATAATATGTTGTAATCTTGCATAATAACTATTCTAGATGATAATTTACAACTTAGTACAGGTTACAATTGATTCTTGTCCTTATCATTGACTTGATAAAAATTATGTTTGATATACTTGGTCAATCATAGTATTAACTTCTGCCCTTGAATTCAATCGTTGAAAGGTGGATCCAGTACTGTCAATACGTAAAGCGCTAAAAACTAGAAGCGCAACATCTGCTAGTGCGTTAGTACTGCATCACTTTATTAACTTAAGACTAAACAATCCACACATACCGCTTCATAACATACGTATACTGTAGTAGAAGTTTTTAATTGTTAAGAATTCCTTTAGTTAGACCGAGTGAATCCTTATCCTTAATTTGTAGGATTCTGGAAAAGTATAGCATACTGATAATTAATAGTCAATACGTATCCACTAGCGATTACATACTTGAAAAAATGAGCGGTAGTACAGTAGTAAACAGCCAAGATCTGAGCCAGTGGAAATGATAATTTACGCGACTACTTTATAATGTTATCGGTACCATGTACTCAACTTACAATAGTATAACGATATTAATTAGACTAACTTTTATGAAAGGGTAATTATTTCAACGATCGAAATCGATCATATGACATGTTTTTGTAAATGCAATCACTGAATGAAACCAATATATCTACCAACTTAACTAATGGAGCGATAGTTACTAATGTTGATGCTCGTTAAATAATACAGAGTAAAGCCTTGAAGAAACAGGAGAAATCCGTCAAGGCTAATACCGTAAATCAACAACGAGTAAGTGAATTGTTATTGTAGAGCAATGAATGGAATAAAGATTATTCGTATAACCAATAAATGATACTATTTTTAACTTATTTTAATTTATTATTTGTTCTTAAGAATTAACTGTTAAACATTAACACTTATTCAAGCATAAAAATCAAATTACTATATTGTCTAGAATCATACCGTAGCGCTTACTCTTCAAGAAAATTATTGCAATACATTTCTTACAAATTTATACCAATTCCTAAAATGTCATTATGACGGCCTCGTTATATCTATCCTCTATTAAACTTAGCTATTTCAGTGAAAATTTACGGCTACTTTTTTTAACAGTTGTTATCAAAGCTACAAATGATGTTAGTATTCGGTGATTTCAATAACTCTTTGCCGTCCGATACATATAGCATCATTTCGTTTATAGACTTTAAAAATTGGAATTTCTATCGCTGATGATACTGCGTGCTCTTTGTTTAGCTATATTACTCATATACGTTACAATACACTACCTTTTATATAGTAATATAGTAGCAAGACAATTGCTACATATGTACACATTTTTGAATTGCATGACATCTGTGAATTGCTTTATACTAAAAGCGCCAAGCGAACAAATTAGGTCTTTCGTTTACACCTAGTGCATTACTTGTACTAAATATGATAATAAAAAAGAAAGTAACGTCCTTTGCTTCCTATGTAAGCTCACTAAGGAAAAGCAATCTCTGCAAACTCAACTGGAAAAAGCAAATTCGGCTAAAGTAAAGCTGGAAAATTTATGCCGAGAACTACAGCGTCACAATAAAGCAATAAAGGTAAGCAAAATAATACACTCGTACTAGGTTTTAATTCCTCAAGTATAGTATAAAAATCCAGTTTGCTATGACTTTCCTGAGAAGCAATTTTTCCTTTTACTGCGTTAGTTCGTAGTGAATATTTGTTCTTATACGGTATGGATAAATAAATGTGTTGCCATACAGCTATTATTGACTACAAATCTGTCTAGGCTAAGCGGTAATATTCTACATGGGCCATTTATAGGAGCATATTTAGTGATTTATACGTTATAAAACTTTTATATATTGCTTTCATAGGAAGAGTATATGAATCGTATCAAAGAAGAAGAATCGAAACGTCAAGCAATAGCTACAAAATTTCAGGTATTGTACACTATGTAAATGGTGCTAGAATAATACGTGCTACATTCTATCACATCAATGATAAAAGTTTGAGCAAAGTATTTATTACAAGCATATTCTAACACCTTCAGCAAGTTCCTAGTAAACTATAATAGTAGCTTATAGCTTGATAATGCATATTTTTGACGCCAGAATCAGCTCTGCTGAAATAACATCAATAAAGTTGCAACCGTGTTAATGTTATTCTTTGAAAATGAAAATATATCGTCTAAGTAATTATAATGCTATACAGTGATGAGCTAACAACGTACTACTATGCAGTTACTGTATAAGCACATTTAACCGTGCAGTTAATGTAGGAATTTATGCAATTCAATTAATATTGATAAGATATGAATTATAATATTAACTGACTACCTGAATTATTTATGTTAAAGTACCCGAGTATAACTACTAAAGCAGTTAAACAACGTGGTAAAGCTTATACATGAAGGAAAATTTCAACAAATTTTTTAATATTCCACGTTTTAGTCTACAATTGACGACATAACAAATCAAATTCAGGAACAAAGCGAAAAAAATGTTGCTTTACAGGACCAAAATGCAGAGTAAGTAGACGTATTCAAAAAAATGCCAAAAAGTTCACATTTGCATTGAAATTAATGCATTTTTATCAAAGTATATTACTATGCGTATCACTCATTAACTGAAGCAATTTATCAAAGATTGTGTAATAATAAGATTCGAGTTTCTACTTAGTGAAATTGATCAGTAGTAAATCGGCATATCGAATCACTAACTCTCTTTAAAAAAAAAACTACAAGCCATATACCGAATTGTCATTCTACTTTACTCCACTGTCTTCTAGATTAAGTAAGAAGTTAAAAGGATTGCTGGAGCAGTACGACGTAAGAGAAGAGGTAAATATGCTCTCAGAGTTAGAATAGAATTCTAATAATTTTCTCCAGTTTATTCATATCTTGAGAAAGTACTAAAAATTAATGTTGTATAATTAGCACGTGGAAAAATTATTTAAACAAAAACAACTTGAAGTTCAGCTCTATGAAGCTAAATTCAACCAAATTAATAAAATATTAACCGAAGAAAGAGCACGTTACGATAAAGCTAAAGAACTTGTAAGATTTTACATATTTAGAATCACAATTTGTATATTACGGCTAATAGATAGTACCAAAACTCTGATGACTTAGTACAATGTAATGAAACTACATCAAGATATTAGCGTAAAAATAGTAAAATGGACTTTCCTCTATTTAAAACTCTTAGTTTATAGCTGAAAATAACGAACAAAAGAAAAAATGCGAATTATTAACTAAAAATGAAGCTGAGTTGAAGAAGCAGGTAGTACCCACAATAGAGTTATTACGTCGTTTCTGATTTATAAAATTAAGTAAATTAACATAAGGTATTATTTTTGTCAGCTTTTAGCGTACACCGATAAATTTCAAGACTTTCAAAAAACCATTGATAAAAGTAATGATATTTTCAATACCTTCAAGAAAGAAACGGAAAATGTAAGAAATGCAGTTCTGGCAAATATGTTTGATATACATGTGTTAATATCGTACAAAATGTTCAATTTCAATGGTATAAAATATCATAGGCTTCAAAAAGTATTAAAAGATTAGAAAAGGAGGTTATTGTATGGAAGACTAAATGGGAGAACACAAATCGTGCATTTTTAGAAATGACCGGGGAGGTTTGCGCTAGACTAAAAATATTTCTATATTTTTCTACCGATAAAGTAATGTGCTACGTTGCTAACGTTAATTTATTGCTATACTGAACTGTATTGATAGAAATTAAAACAAGAAAAGGAACATGAAAATTTCAAAGCTAAATTTGATCGTTTAAAAAGCTTATGCCATGCTCTTCAAGAGGAAAGAAACCAACTTCGACAAAAAGTAGCTGATTTTACCAAGGTCCGTACTCATGTCGCAAGACACGATTAAATTTAATGATCATTCTATTTTACATGATTAGCTGATCAGTTACTTTATTTCTATACCCATATTTAAACAGAAAAAGGAAGTTAACACAAAATCTTTGGAAAAAGACAACAACGAAAGCGCCGAAATTGATGACGTCAACGACAAAAATGAAAAACCAAGCCATGATGAAGTGCCAGATCTAGATAATGTAAACAGTAATGCTAGTACAACTGATAAAATAGATAATGAAGAAGTAAACGATTGTGCTGCTACATTAACAGATCAAGCCAATGATGACCTTGTGGCATCATCCAATAAAAATTCTTAATTAATTACTTAATGTAACATTAAAATTATCATGGAATTGCCAATACATTGTGCAGTACTGTAGATAGAGTGTAAATTTCGACATAACATGCCTGATCTCTTAGTTAGTGACAGCGTAAGTAAAAATAATTATGTAAAGTATATTATAGTCAAGGTAAGTTGCAAGCTTAGCAACAGCTGGCTATTGCTAAGCATTAGCTGCATGAAGTACAAGCGATAAATTATTAATTATAAAGACGTCTCTTCCGTATCTCGTGTTACCAGTTGGTAACTTTTTTACGTTCGATTGGCATAATGCCACTGAATGCATTTTATGTTAATGAAGAGGTAATTTTATAATGGATAGCCATTCGCAAATTAATAAAATAACATCTTTTTAACCGTTTTATAAAAAATTTATTGAAGAGCAACAATACTATTTTTACAATTGATCAAGTCAGTACGTACAAATAGAACACTACGTTACTTCGTTTAAAAGAATGGCTTTGCTGATTTTTAATAAGTTAGGAGAGTGATTACATATATATATTGTTTGCTGACAGCCTTAGACTTATTGCTTTCTTGTAGATGTCACGAAGTTCTTCCCATGATACCTAAATAAATACAACCAACTCAATTAAGACGTAATCATATGCTACACGTAGACGAGTATTATCAACATTAGTAGCTTCGCATGTGCATTTAAATAATAGCTATACACATTATAATACTTTGTAAAATAATGTAAAAATGATCATTGACAAAATTGACTATTCCTAACTAGCGTCTTTGTCATTACGTTGTGATTCAACTTACATTGGTACTTTGCTGTAGCACAGACTTAGTTAAACAACTCCACAAGAGCTTCAAAGTTTGCATATCAACTGTGGATGATTCCGTATAGCAAATATACAAAACTGCAGCTTTCGCACTGATTTGGCATTCAGTTAGAACTGTTTCGAAATGGAAAGGCATGCGTTATGATTATATTGCTGTAGTAGAAGGAACATTTTATCCATATATAAATGCAATTACTTGAATCGCTTTCAATACAACAACCATGAATAGCATTGATATTGTAGTGAAATGATACGTTATCATTAACATCTACTATAACCTAGCTTGGTTTGATTGCCTACGAATAAAGCATGTCTAGTTACAACTAGTCTATATGTCAATGAAAAGTTACCAGCAGCAGGAGCATCGCTAATTATATTGGGCTGTTCTAATGTTGTAATGTCGTCATTCTCCGTCCAAAAGGCGCTTTTTAATGTCCTTAAGAAAGGCAAAACAGTTGGTAGCATACTTTGATAGTTACATTGATGTAGCGATGTCATGAGAACCACTTTATCAGCATCAAACGTCTGCATTAACTATAGAAAGATAGATAGTAGAGAAAGATGAATCAAATTGAAAAGTTGACCAGCGTTCTAGACTGCTAAATGGAATAGTGATGTGATTGACAGTCACTGAAGTAAAAATAATATTAACAAGGCTATGCCATACACTTTGTGCCCATTGAAAAGAATCTTGAGGTTTGTTGGAGCAAAAACATATTAATATAGAGTTTTCATTGTCGATACCAATTACTGGATATCGATGACGTTGGCTAGTTTGACCATCCAAGGCGAAGTAGCCAATATTGTTCACTGTTCTATTGCTTAGATAGCCTTGTAAAAGAATGGTTGAAGCTAGAGCGAATAAAATTCAGAAAATTAGAACGTATGTATTTGTTCATAGTAGATAGATAGTTCATAGAACAATTATACTCATAGTATACCCGTATGGAATTGACTGTGCAAGCATTTATGCAGGTTCAGCTTAAGTTTAATAATGCAATTACTTCAACATGAACTATGGCGAGTTCACAAATTGTTGTTCTAAAAAGACACGTCCTATGATTACAAACCTTAGCTAGTGAACTTACATACTAACTAGTCAAGGTCGATGGTAGTAGTTTTAAATCTTGCTATTTCTATTTTATTCCATGTACTGTATCATGTCTATGTCCAGTATATTACATAGTCATAAATATTGCGATTTCTAAAATGCAAGTCTGTACAATAAAGCATGCGATTCTTTTATGAGTATTATTATATGTAATTAAGCTCCTGTTTTATTACAGTAAACTTCGAGACCACTTTAGACAGTATGAACAACCCAATATTGGTAGAATGTACAGTAATGTGCGAGTCGATTTCTTCTCTAATTCTTTCCCTTCTTTCTCTAATCTGGCATGATTTGGTATTTTGAAAGATTAGTATAACGAGTAATCTACCGTCTCGTTTCTAGCAACTGTGCCTATGCCTACATATGGACGAAGGTATTCAAAAGTAAAGTAGATCATGATATGCACTCTTATTTACAATTTAAAAAATAGTCAATTCAATCTAAATCTATTTACAACTATATTAAGCCAGAGTGTTACAGACTAGTCGATTAATGTTTTACTATACTCGTCGATATGTAGTAAGATCAGTCAATGCTTATTGAATGTTCTCATCCTTAAAATACACGCGTACTATGCGTATGATTAAGGATTCGAAAATAATTATATCATAGAACGTGACTGGGATTTCTTGCTCTAGTTTACATCATCACATCAATCCGTTCTTCTACCAAGGATTTTTTACATCATTCTCTCCAATGACACGATAGACACTTGTATCAATGTTACGATGTAACCTAGCAGCAAGATTTATTTTGGAGGCAGCACTCCAGCAACGATATAAACATTGCAAGGCAAAATGACGAAATGATGGAAAACATCTCCCTTGTCACAACCATGTCCATTGACACAGCGTCGAAACAGTTACCCATACCATGAAATAGGGGGGGTAGATTAAAAGAGTTTCTTCAGATAGATCGATTTAATCCAAGTAGAAACATTGACGATGAAAGCAGATCCATTTAATGATTCTCTGTAATCAATATTATGTCCTCTCCTTATTGGTCTATGTCGAGTGTCCATCATGATTATTCAGCAAAAATCCATCTTGTATAGCCGTGTTGGACAACATCAACACCAACTTACCTGGATCGAAAGTGATGATTATCTCTTTACAGTTCCATTTGGATGCTAGCTTTTCACCTTCATCCTGATCTGCTAAATGAAAGGTATATTTAGCATGTTGCAAGGCAGTTTCATCATCCTCCAAGTCGTCGAATGGACTACGAGCAAAGTAGTTAACAGCCATAGCGCTTTTCTCGATTGCAATGACGTAGTGGTTTTTGCAGTCCACTCTAGTCTGCAGTACAGTACACAGCGTCCTGTCGGCTACCCTATAGTATAGACTGTAAGCCCATGACCCTGACGAAGTAGTCAACAACATCGACTCGATATTGCTGAAACATGGCGAAAAATTCCACTAGTTAGTATAAAACTATTTCAATCGTATTAAGTTGATTGCGCTAATATTCTCAGTACTGCTTATAAAGGATGGAAATGAACCCAGTCGAATGTATACTAAACAAACAGCTGTACAGCAGGCAATATCCAATTTCCAAATACTTGATATGGCCTTTCTACTCATTAAAATTATGCCCAGCCATCATTTACTTATACTTTATTCAGCAGAATAGACTAATCTCACTTCTACGGTGGCTACTTAAGATTACAGAGGGTCTAAAACTACTTTTACAATCCCGTCTTTTCAGCTATAGATATAGCCGCTAGCCATCATTTACTGTACTTTATCAAGCAGAATAGACTAATCTAATTTCTACGGTGGCTACTTGAGATTAGAGATGATCTAAAACTACTTTTGCTAGAGATGATCCAAAACTACTTTTACAACCCCGTCTTACCAGCTATAGATATAGATATAGCTGCTCTACTCATTATTGCTAGCCATCATTTACTATACTTTACTAAATAGAATAGACTAATCTAACTTCTACAGTGGCTACTTGAGATTACAGATGATCTAAAACTACTTTATAACCCCGTCTTACCCACTACAGATATAGACATAGCCGCTCTACTCATTATTGCTAGCCATCATTTACTATACTTTATTAAGCAGAATAGACTAATCTAACTTTTACAGTGGCTACTTGAGATTACAGATGATCTAAAACTACTTTTACAACCCCGTCTCGCCAGCTATAGATATAGATATAACCGCTCTACTCATTATTGCTAGCCATCATTTACTATACTTTATTAAGCAGAATAGACTAATCTACGGTCCCGCAGTGCTGACTTGAGATTATATGGTCTAAAACTATTTTTACAACACCATCTTGCCAGCTATAGATATAGCCGCTCTATTCATTAGCGCCAGCCATCATTTAGTGTATAATTATTTTATTAAGCGCAATAGACTAATCTACGTCTCACAGTGCTTATTAGAAATTATAGTACAACTTTCAGCACATATGACTACTGGAATTAACTGAAATTACTACGATTTGGACTTGCTTGATTTATAATTAATTATTTATTATTATAGTGTATATATACGCACTCCTATATAGTCGCGTAATAGGATATATCAAAATAGAATTAATTAATTCATGAAACATGAAATATTACGCCTTTTATCTGAATCATGCCCTCCAAATATTGATAGATTGAATATGATAACGTTTCTACCCGTTGTGTAAGTATAGAATGCTACATATTAGGCTATCCAAGAGAGATTAGAGTTTCTGCAATCTTTCCGGGATAGCCTACTGACAGTGTACATGCAGTCAAGGTGAGTGTCAACATGCACAACTAGACAACTTTAAGCTCATTCTATCAATTGATAACTGTCTTTTATAGAAATAGATGTAGATATAGTCAACATGAGGGCGAAAATGTAGAGGTTGATCACCTTCTACTTACTCGATTGATCGAAAATTACACCTTTTCGATACAGACGCGTAGAGTCAAAGTCAGTCAGAAAATAGCTATTGAAATAAACTTCTATTCCTATACACAAGATTAATTGCAGACTAGAGCTTTTCGCTTTTACAAATATACGTATGCATGTACATAAATTTAAAGTTAGCAGGAAAATAGAGCATTCGATGAACTTGTATTCTTGCCCTCTGCATAGATTGAAAATGATAGCTTTAAGCGCATGTGTGATATGCATAGGGTCAAAGTTAGTAGGAAAATGGAAAATTAGCTAAACTTTTATTCTAGATGACTGGATTGGCCACAACCATAGCTCTTTCTATGTATGCGAGTGCAAATAGTCAACTTTATTAGAAAAATGAAGAATAAGATAATGTTTTATTCCTACTCACTAGATTAACTAAAAGGTATCGTTTTTGAAGGTGTATGAGTGTATATAGCCAAATTTGTTAGGAAGATGGAGAATAAGATAGACTTCTCTCTGTCTGCTCACTTGATTAACCGAAAGGGCAACTCTTATAGGTGTTCGAGAGCATATAATATATAATCAACGCTAACAGAAAACCGAGAATAGTGTGTAGATAAACCTCTATTCCTGCTCACCGAAACGCCAGAAAACGATCTTTTAGCTTTTTCGATGAATACATATATATAGGATCAAAGTTAAAAGGAAAATTAAAAATTGGACAAAAATCCAATCCTGCTTACTGAGTTGATTGAAAATAAATGGCTTACATAGTTCTGGATCGCTTACAAGGGACAACATATCTTACGTAAATATTATAGGATTATAGAACTGTGGGAAAATCGGTGCATAGTAGTAATATCCGCCCTAATGACGTAGAATTAAGAATTAAGAACGGGAAATATATCCAGCTACAATACCGTTTATCTGTAGTCTACTGCGTACCTGCAATAGAATCAATCGTTCTATTTTCGATGGAAATCAAATTATCTCCAGTTTATCAATCATTCTACTTATTTAATTTAATATCATATTGAGAAATAGGATAAATAAATGCATTATGTCATAAATCATTTCAAAATGGGACAAAGTAGGACCATTCAGAGCAGTAATTAAATTGCTCTACTTCTAAATCACCTTTGCCAAGCCAAGATAGTACAATGTTATTTGTTGAGAATGTAAAAAGCTAACGTACTAACATAGAAATTTATGCTGGCAATGGTAATATCAGGTACAACACAAGTAGAGACCATTATTGCATACATATTGAGCAGTGTTCTTGACGAAATTTCACCCTTTAAAGCCTTACTACGAACAGAATCAGTTATTTACTGAATGATACTTTCAACGAGTGCAGTAAATCGAAAATAAGCACCGTTCTATGCAAAGTGACTATCAATTAATTGATTACTTCGCCAGCATAATCACTTTACTGTCAAACTACGCTCAGAAAACAACAACTTCATTCATTAAAATTTGAAACTCTCTCTTCAACAGTGCGTTATTATTACTACGAAAATATTAAAACATTCAGTAGTAACTACTTTAGGAAGACTTAGAAACTCATTTAAACTAATTTAGTAAATGTAAACATAAGTCAATAACGAAGACGAAGTTAAGAAATAGCAAATCCATTCATTAAAATTCGGAATTCTCTCTTTTACAGTGCATCATTATTGTTACGAAAATATTGAAACATTAGTCAATAGTAGCAGCTGAATGAGCCTGTAAGAAGTAAAAATTGCTTTGGATCGACTGAAACCTCATCTAAGCTAATACGGTAAATGTAAACGCAAGTCAATAACGAAGACGAAGTAGAGAGACAGCAAATTCATTCGTTAAAATTGAAATTCTCTTTTCTATAGTGCACTATTATCACTGCAGAAACATTGAAATGAGGCTAACACTACCAAAATAGACTAATAGAAAGCAAAAACTGATTTGGATCGATTTGAAAACTCATCTAAGCTAATGCGGTCAATGTAAATGTCAGTTAGCAACGAAGAAAAAGTAAAGAAACAGCAAATTCATTCATTAAAATTGAAATTCTTTCTTCTATAGTGCACTATTATTACTATAAAAACATTGGAATATGGTCAACACTACCAAAATAGACCAGTAGGAAGTAAAAACTCTTCGAAACTAATACGGTAAATGTAAATGCAAGTTAACAACGAAGACGAAGTAAAAGCTGATGGCTAAAAGACCAATCCAAACGGCAAGTTGAATATAAGTTAGAAGGTAACGTAGAATAAATTATTAATTAATCAATGAATGAGAAGCTTGTGGATTATTAATTATACTAGCTAATAGCTATTCGCTGCCATCCTATCACAGTAAAGTACACATGGATAATGATGTGCACAGCATGATAATCCAGACTTGGTTTAATTAAGAGGATAATCAACCCATGCATATTTCTTGCTTCCCTCTTATTGGCTGCCATCTTGAATATAAATCCATCATCATTATAAATAGATAAATGAATAATATCAAGGATAAATAAAATTCATTCTAACCCATTCTTTTCAATAAGAAATCAAATCATGTATTGGCCAATAATTTTATTATAGCCTAAGGGCATATTCGATACTTTGTATTGCATGTTCATCGATGAAAAGAATAATTAACTTGATCATTCGTTATGTCCATGCAAGCCTAATTACTATGCAGTAATTTCATGTAAAGAATTGCCTTTACATTTCATCCCCTTTAGACAATCGATTGATCGTCATTAGATCAACGTATAAAATAAAAACAATAATATCCTCCTTCAATAGCGATTACGTTTATACAACAGTGGATGGCCGAAAGCTTTGACGCCTGGTAGCCAAGTGCAAACATTACTTACGTATATCGAAAAAATCAGAAACAGTCGTAGCAGTCAGCATAGGAAGCGAATGTCGATGACAACGTTAACATCAAGATATTCCACTTCAATTTAAAGGAATCATCAAGTAAGTCATTCAATCTAGTCCGTAGATTATTTCACTCCTCTATAATCTATCGACAATCCCTGAACATGATTAAAGCAAAAGTTTAACCAACAAAATGTTAGTTAATATTGATGGATACGAGACCATTCAAACGGGAAGAAAAAAACACGATAATTGACGATAAGGTGTTACCTAACAGTCTTATTTACCCGGGATAATACTCACACTGGCTTGGTAAATTTCGCATTTAGTTGTCTAGTAGTTGCCATAAAATATAGTAAATGCTGTTGAAAATAGCAGAAAATGAACGAGAATCCACCCTGACTAAATGGCCGATATCTAGAATTTTAGATATCGATAGCCACAGGTTGTATTGTTGATCGCTGTCGCTTGGTGCCAATAGAAAGAAAAAACGAGTAAAATTTATTGTCCAGTTAGAGCAATTTAGAAATAATCACAAGAAAAAAAAATGGGGTAATCGATCGTTATTGGATTATCATTAAAATACCCAAGACATAATCAATATTGATAGTTCATGAGTCTGTTCGTTAGTATTAACTCCATACTATCCAACATGGAACCTTATGTATATTAAATCATTGGGGAATAGTCGATAGAAATCATCTCAAATAAATACAATAAGGCTAAAATAATCCATTTCTTGATGTAAATAAATGTTTGATATTACTCTCCAAGGATCACAAATTAATAAAAGGAATCATTCATATTTCTAGTTAATCGACAATCTGTTATACTTTATTTTTAAAGATCAATTGTATAACATCGATTATCTTTGATTCTGATGTTAAGAGTAAAAATGATTTAATTAGTTGTAAAATACTATCTTTAATAGAAATCATTTATTGATAGAAGATTAAGCCATGCCTAGGAAGAAAACGTCGCCACCAGAAAAGAAAGGATCGAAATTTCTAGCAACTTTTTGTTGCTGCTGTTATTCACCACCAGTAAGTGCCGCTAACGTACAAAGTTACAAGTACTATTTTAATTGAATCAATTTTTTTCGCTCCATTTTACTGGTACTTAATATTTGGCAGAAGGCTTACCAATTCAATCATCCTCTTATATAATTAGAATACAGTCGCCATTAATTCTTCTCTGATAAACAATATATAAGACTTTCAGGCTGAGTTTTATCATACAGATTAATGAACTTCTCTAGCAAGGCGTTTTAATAACGGCCTGGTACTTTCCTTTTTAGTAACGCTATGCAACAATTCATTCCTGAACGTAGTTATAAATTGATACTCTACAGAATAAGTAAAAAATTCAAAATATAGCATTGTGACGATCCCATTAGACTTTCAAATTGAGTTTTATCATGTAGATTAATGAACTCATTTAGCGAGGCATTTTAATGATTACTTTCCGTTTTAGTTATACGCTATCCAACGATTCATTTCTTTCTTTACAAAATTATAAATCGATATTCTACAGAATGAGTAATGTATTCAAATTAACATTTCAATAATCCCAAAAGGCTTTCAGATCGAGATTTATCACGTAGAATAAAGAACTTGTCTAAAAATTAGGCTAGGTCTTTACTTTTTCTTCAGTAACGTATCCTACGACTCATTCTCTTCTTATGAAGTTGTAAATTGATATTCTACGGAACAAGTAATGCATTCAAAACATTAGCTTTCAAATAATCTTGTAAGGCTTTCAGACTGAGCTTTATCATGTAGAAGAAGTAACTCTTGTAGAAACTAAACAAGGCGTTTAATGGCTACTTCCCGTTTAGTACGCTATCCAACGATTCATTTCTCTATGTGGAGTTATAAATTGATATTCTACAGAATAAGTAATATATTCAAATTAGCATTCTAAACTATATAAAAGAATAATAAATAAGTCAATGAAGCCAAGCGCAATGACTGATTCGTATCTACTATTTCCATAGAAAAAAAAATCAAAGGAAAAGTCCAAACTATTAAAAAATTCTGCCGTGGATGATGATCGCGATGAACTTACTTCATCTTCTGGTGAACATTACCCGATGGAAGAAAACAGCTGCTCTAGTCGAAGCCATGGCGATAATGGACCACCTAGCCCAATAACAACTTACGAACAGGTTATTACCAACAGGGAAGAAGAAATCACTTTACCACAAAACTCTGTAAGTCGACGAATAATGATAAAAATAAAAACAATTAAAAACGCGGAATAGAATTAATCAGGGATGAAAAATAATTCTAATTTCCGTCACAGCTCATTAATTACCTACTGTAGTGTAAGCAACAACTTTCCATACCGCATTAATATTCAACAGTAGTAATACTTCCCTGCATGTGTTTACTAACTTTCAACGAGAAATAACAATACCATTGATCCGAATCTCCACCTCCATAAAGAAAATACTGTTTCAATAAAGTTGCCTAGTTTCGATCTACTAAAATCAGTTAACATTGAAGCGGTGTTCTCTTTCTCTTCGATCAATGTAGTATGTTACCAGAGCTCTAGACGCTAAAAGCGTTGTTGGCTACTACGGTAAAGTATCAGGTAAAATCGATATGGATGATGGAAATAAGCATTATGTCTTCAAGCAATGGAATGATGTGGTAATGAATAAATTACGTTTATATTATTACCTATTAATAGACCTGCATACTGATCATAATCATTATTACTGAGCAGATTTTTCAAGATATCAATGTTGGTAAACAAGTAGAAATTTTATTGAGGTGAATTATAATTAAAAGTACATGCCAACATTACAATTTATATATTAAAGAAATAGATGCTACTGCTTTACTTGTATTAACAAATGTAAACTGATCATGTAGAATTCGTCATGAAAATATCATTAAAGTCTTGGCCTATATTAGAAACGATTCATTTGGTGGTGTCTTGGAGGAATATTGTCATATCACACTTCATAATCGTTTATTTGATATTGGGGTAAAATATTTGAAAATTGACCGTTAGATAATATAAAATATTAGAGGTAGAATTAGTAATAATACTAAATATTGAAAGTAGCGCAATCTCATACAAATATTTATGATCTTATTTCAGCCAACAAATAGTGCTGCAGTCTTAGATTGCTTTCGACGTTATCGTATCTTGTTTGATATTATGATGGCTTTAAAGTATTTGCACGAGAAAAAGATTGTCCACAATAATATCACCAGGTAATTTGAATTGCAAGACTAACCTCAATCTATCATATTTACTTGAAGATAGAATGCACGATATACCATAATTTATTGATCACTAATACCTTCTTTTCTCAATATTGCTTTTTAACATGTTTATATCTGCCGGCTCCTTCTTGAATTTCATTAACTTGGGATTATCTAGCTATAATATTTTATTAACACAAGAAAATAAAGCTAAATTAACTCATGGCGGTTACCAAAGCATATTTTCGGGAATAGATCGTGCCATAGATAAAACATATTTTAAGACAGTTCCAACGAAATTGGAATATTACAGTCCTCAAGCACTAACCGGTATTTTACAACCAGAAAATGATATCTATAGCTTTGGTGTGGTAAGTTTTCTTATATTTTGAGCTATTCATTGCAAGACTGCCCTTACTTAGACATCTACGTAAAGATTACTTCAGAGATATGATATTAAGTGATCTAGTTCACTCCTTTTCGCAATCTTCTGCACTTATCCCGCAATATACACAGTATATATCCAAAACCTTTAATTCTACTGAATTGGTTGAGCTCAATAAGCATTTGAAACAAAACCACAATACAGGAAGTAAATAGTGCACTGACAACATTATATGATTTTCTGAATATGTTATCTATCAATTAACTTCCAAAACGATACAGACTATTCTCTCAGGATCATCAAACTATGTCGGCGTGTCTCTGTCTCTATAACAGAATAGGTTATTAATACGAAACGAAATGCAAACTAATTTATAGCTAATATATATCAATATCAAAGTTACATAGATACTAGTTTAAAAGTACGCAATTTTCTGTATAAAGATGCAGAAAATGGACAAGATTGTCATCAGAAAGTATGAGTACAAGTTAAATTATCTATAAGAATCTACATAAAGTTGGTCAAGTAAATTATCAGTGATATTCAGTTTCTACTTGTGAGCAGATACGGATTTCTTTAACTAAAAGTAACGCATTTCAACAGCTATATCTAAAAATTCATCTTCGAAATAATTAGAAGCGAATGATAAATATTAAATATATTCTGAAAATCTGTACAACCAATTAGTTTCATAATCGAGCATGAAGTCTTTACGGTATTCCTGAGCGAAGCGAAGATTTTTAGGCTATTGCGATTCTTATCATGCCCTTTCCAATACATATCTGTCTGAAATTAAAGAGTTTAGTTTTTAATATAATGTAATATGAGTAGCTAACACTATGACTAATTAATATTATGAAGAATATCAGGTAATGCTCAATTTTATCGATTTTCACTCTCCGATTACGCATTTATCCGAAAGTAAATAGTTTAATTTTAAAAAATTACAGCTATGAGGATGATTCTAAAATTAATATTATTACAGAATACCAGGTATCAATTTAGGCTTTGATTTTGATCTAGATCATTTTGGTTATGGTTATTGGCAACGAGCCGTACCAGCCTAATAATAAGCAATACCGTTATGCGGTAAGTTGAACTTTTAAACTATTCATGATAGAAAGATTACAGTTGTTAAGTATTAGTAAAAAGGTTAACCTTAGCAAAAGTTTTCTCTCATGATAAAAAACTTTAGATGTAAATAATTAATAGCTGTTGCAATTACTATCCAGTGAATGATTACAAATTGCTTTGTGCCATTATGATGAATAAAATTACGTATTCACAAATCATTACTTTAACACATATTTTAAATTATTATGATCGCCTATACAGATGCGGGTGTTGAGAGAAGATTCAGATTGGTCCATGTTAAAAGATTTTAGGATTAAATGGCCTAAAAATCAAGTATATCCTTCGCGAAAAACATTTCGCAAAGTTCTATTAAGAACTGCTTATGAATGTGTTAAAAAGAATAAAAATTCAAGACCAACATTAACTGATGTAAGACAAAGCTTTCCATAATTATTTCTGTTGTCATCCAATTTATTAGATGATACTAATCATTGATTTAAGTGTATCCTAATCACCATTGATCTGTAACAGAAATAAAATTGTTACGATTACAACTTGATTAATGGAGATACTTATTTTAATTCTTTCTTTTAGCTAATTGAGAAATTTATCAAGTACGAAGCACGGTACTTCCAAGAATGATCTAATGTAAATGAATTTACATTCAAGGCCAATTATTTGTTGATCGACAACGATATCAAATTTGAACGTAGATTGTGATGTAGGATTACCTAAACTTAATCTTTTGGACTGAAGAAAGCCTAATTATCAATATTTCAAATGCCATGATGTTAAACTATCAAAATTGTCTAATTATCAATATTTCAAATGCCATGATATTAAACTATCAAAATTGTCCGTATTACATCTGCATTTTTTAATTCTGTTTTAATATTCTCTATACAACATTGGATTTTATTTTGTACCTTAAAATTGAAGTTGAATTAAGGATGGTTACTTTGTTAGCTAAATTTGGGGCTAATCTTGTTTTGCTACTAGTAACTGGTATAATTTCTAATTTCAATTTCCGATTGGGACTATGCTTAACCAATACTATTTTTAATAATTAAATAATCATCATTATATATCGTATTTAACAATTGGTTTATCGACCTAACATTATTTCTCCTTAAGATCTATCATTAGGGTTAATTGTAAGTAAATGTTTAAAAAGGAACTGTATCTTCCTGCGGTACTTTTACCGAATATTTGGCTTAACTAGCATATTTGATAATATAGAAAGGAATTATTTTGTAGATCTTGCCAACACTATAGACAGACTGATTGATCTATTCACCTACGATATTTCTTTTATATCACAATTTATAAATTTTATTACAATACGAAGTTCCCATAAACGGCAGCCTTTAGCTTATCACTTGCTTTAATAAATATGCTTTTTTTTTAAATTTAGATATCAATTCTTGAAAAATATGTAGACTAGATTAAAAATAAATGCATCGTGCTTAGTATACTCTACATTGTCAATCAGCACGTAACTTTAATTACGGTAATTTGTTCAGATAGAATACCATACAAGTTTTTCAGGTTTTATTCAGCAACATACCTTGGAAAATGAAGATTTGATGAAACTAATATGGTTTTCAAGATAGATTAGAAAGTACTTTTACTTTAACCATCTTAACTTGATACAAGGTTGTACCCACTCTTTCATGATTGCAGCTGAAATTCGTTAAATCATACTATTCAGTATTCACATTATATCGGATCTGTATGTTATCCATCTGTGCAGCATGAACGCGTATTTTGCGATCGATAGAAGATGAGAATTAAATTCACAATTTTCCATTTAATGGTTAACTAATTTAATGATGCTAAACCTGGCTGCTCTGATTAACAGTGAATCAATTGCAATTCATTATTGCAGATATGATAAATTATAGTCATCGCCAAGTGAAACTCGTAGCAAGCCTATATTCATTATCCACATCCTATCAACTTTTCTCATCGATAATAATGTACTGTAGAACATATACATCTGATAATAAGAGAAAAAGAAGATATGGTATCACATATGCCCATGCTATTAACTTTTTTCATAATCTAAATATCGCATTTAATGGTTCCTATTAAACTGCTAATGGTTAGTGATTCGAATGGGAATACATGAAATTAAACCTCTTCACGTTGATTTTTTAAAGTAGAATATGATTAAATCTGGTGGAGATCAACTTTATTACCATAAGACTTTATTTCAGTAACCATTCTAATAACAAAGTCTCTCCATGTCGATTACTCTAAATTAGAAAATCGTGATTTACTACAAAACTTTTTGATAACCATACAGGAGATATATTATATTGTTATATTATGTTATATTTTTTAATACACAACGGATGCAACATCTAGACTATATTCTTTGTAGAGGGTTAGATTTTCAGTTATTCTCGATAGTAAAATGAACGAATCTGACTTTATAGAGAAAATTATTATTAAAATATTCAGCAAACATAATGAGGCTAACAAACAGATTAAGAGAGGATCACAATCGATTTTGAGAAAGATTTAAATCGACTAGTCCAATAGTAATGTTATCCAGTCAAATTAGCATACAAACAGTTCAATGCTGACTATTCGTCTCAGTCTATTTATTAATATCTCTCTGATATGGTAATATGAAAGATTGATTATAGCTGGCCAATTTTATACCGAAATCGGTACTCGTAGGAAAGGAAAAAAAGTTAACGGGATAGAAAGACAAGTGATAATTTTGGCAATAACAATGTCAATCGATTTAATAGAACGATAAGTGGACATGTTTATAAAATTGTGAATTAACACTATCTCCAAAGAATTCAATCTTAAATTTATCCAATTTGCATTTCTTTATTGATAGATAATGGTTGAAATAGAGATCAAGTTTATGAATTTTATGTTTTCTTAATCATCAGATAACTTAATTTCGAGGTTAAGGTATGTAAATGCATTTCTTTATTGATAGATAATAGCTGAGATAGAGTTATTAAGTTTATGAGATTTTATATTTTCTTAATCATTAAATGACTTAATTTTAATGATACAGTATCTAAATGCATTTCTTTATTGATAGATAAAGGCGGAGATAGAGTTATTAAGTTTATGAGATTTTATATTTTCTTAATCATTAAATGACTTAATTTTAATGATACAGTATCTAAATGCATTTCTTTATTGATAGATAATGGCTGAGATAGAGTTATTAAGTTTGTGAGTTTTATGTTTTCTAAATCGTTAGATAACTTAATTTTAATGATATCGTATCCAAATGCGCTTTCTTTATTTAATAGATAATAACTCAGATAAAGCGATAGTAAGTTTACGAGTTTAATATTTTCCTAATCATCGCATAATTCAATTTTAAGGTTACGGTATCCAAATACACTTCTTTATTGATGGATAATGACTCCGATAACATGATTATGTTAATAAGTGATTCATCGTAGTTCTATTTCATACTTCATTAAATATAGCTACTCGTAGTAGTACATAGACATAAACAAACTGCAATGAACTTGATCAACAAAGAAATTAGGAGTTAATTGACTTAGCCTACAGTAAAATTGCAGAAAATGAAGATGATGGAAATTATCAAAACCAATGACCGTTAAATACTAACAAATTTCTGGGTTGTTCATTGTTAAAATCATTTTTAACTCTGATTTATCAACTAAATCGTACGATTACGGTCAATATTAGTTGTATCTTTTCCATAAATAGTAAGAGATTGATAGATTAAAAGATAATCACATTAAGTATCAATTGTTACAAATGATCGAATTCATCATTGGACCAATAAAAGATCTAGTTTTCGATCATGTTGATCTTACGCATAATTTTGTTTATTTTGTTAATTCGGCTGTCTTTAACGTCACCGAACGCATAGGATACTTTCATCCCTATAAGTAATATTTCATTTTTAGTGTTTTAATTTGTGTTTTGGATTAAAAGTCCTCTTCAACTTAAGCTTAATTGTTATCGCAGACTATTTTAAACTGCAAACGGATTAAATATTCGTTGAAGATTCCTTCCTTGGCTGTTGAACATTTTGTCGACATTATCGATAAACAGTTTGAAAAAATAAATGTAAGTAGACGGTCCTCCAGATCAGCATTCCAATATCTATGCTATCAAATCTCGGTGATTATGCCATCGTATCGTTTTTATCATACCTTTTTTCGCACTTTATTGATGGAAAAATGAGTTGAGAGCTAGCTGAAGGATAGCCCGAAAACATCATATCTCTTAAAACAGTTTTGCGTTTACTTTGAAGAATGGCTATTATCTGATTAACGCAAAGCTTCTATTTTAATTAACATCATTTAATAGCTTATAATATAGTTCATATTGTACGAAGAAGGCATTTTTTACCTAGCTACAACGTCTATAATGCCCTTTACACAACTCAAAATAGAAATGTCTTTCTACTGTTAGCGATTACATCATGTTATTCTTCTGCCATTCGTAGTTATCTTGCTAATTTAATTTTATCAACTAGTAATATTATTATTGATATCCTAAAGTTATGCCTTTATTAATTTCAAAATTTATATGAGGATAATTCTGTATAAGTAATTCTATGCAGCTTTATATAAGTCTAAATTAAGAAGTATTTACTTGACAGAGGACAAGAATTCTTTTTAATTGATGCGTAAATTATAAAGATCTGGGATAATATTAATAGGGTTTTAAGATATTACAATGATTTAATGATCAATGACATTAATCGAATCAACTTAAGCTGATCATAACATAAAATTGTAATCCTATCAATTTTTGCCTATCTTTCCAAAATTGAAGAAGTTTAAGAAAACCGATGGAAAAAAATTCTGATAACGAAGAGCCAAAAACCACAATATGTTGCTGTTGTTTTACCAAGGTTAGTTTGATCTATTGCTTATAATAAGATTGTTAAACAACTGCTATTGCAATATAATGAATTAACTGAAAAGTTATTCTATAATACGAGTGTATGTGTTATATATCATGATATTAATCACAATCAATAATAAATCTCGGTCATCACTTTTCACTCCATTTTTCTTGTGGTTTTCATCATATTTCTTTTGGTATGAAATCTGTGATAATAATCCATAATAGACTCTAGAGTGTAAATCTTTTCAAATCAAGATTTTATATCATCGGTTACTAATATCGCAATCTTCAAAACGTAAATCACAATTACTAAAATTAAAACCCTATCCAAGTTAATTGAACATTCAAAATTAAATACTCATATATATGCACTGAATGCTTATTCAGTATTGATACCATTGGAATAATCGCCGTGCCACTCGATTAAAAATGCCTCATTTTACATTAAAATTTGAATTTGTTATCATCCGAATAAGCAGCAGATTGTTAAAGCTGTAACAACTTTTCGGTAGCTTTCGTTTCAATTTCTTACTGAAATTCACAAGAAAATTTTGTTCACTTTTTTTGTCTCATTAATCGCTTAATTTTTGAACTTTAACAGCGAAATAAGAAACAGACTACGTACCAGCAAAAACTGATCGTTTATCGTTCACGAAATACAGAAAATGACCAGTTGCTCATGTCTGATAGTGGTGTATCATTATATAGTGATTCTGATGCTGAAAGTACCATCGATGGAGTTGTAGAATCTTCAAATTGTTCAACCCAAGAAACAGATCGTAGAGATGATGAACCAGAAGTAGCTGAATCTAAAGTGCTATTAGAAAAGGTACGTGATTACTGGCGATTAAATTAATTTACTCCTTGAGAATCGCTCTCATGCATAAATCAGTATGGCCCATGTTGTGAACGTGTCTCCCCTACCCCTATCTGAAATAGCGTCGTCTGTATATATCTATAAAGGTTACTAATGTTAGCGGCTTGCAAGAGAAATTTTTCGTGATTTCTCTCCAAAGTCCCTGCTTAAGTACTTATGGACGCCATCGTTGAATACTTGCAACTGTACTTGAGTTTACTCCATTACTATAGGGCGAGTATACGTTGTGCCATGGACTACTAGATATATCTCTATCAGTGACTACTCAACTAAGATTCGCCCTCCCCTCCAAGCTGCAACTAAACATTTTTTCCCTTATGCTACAAAGAAAAAACAGAGACTACTTCAGATTTCCCCTGCAAGCTTTGAGGAGGAAATCTTAGCTGAGTAGTCCTATTCTTCGTGTTCCCTTGTTACCGCCATTACTGCTAAAGCCCGGCCAGTTTCATCCTGTACGTTTTTGTATGGGCAATTCTTAACATGACTTGAAAAGAAGGTCTGTAGTAAATGCTACCTGGAAATTTTACTGTCGACAGTAAAACATGTCTATTTGCCAGGCTAATTGCGTTGTTGCATAATTTCTAACTGTTAATTACAAACATTTCCTATGAGTTTTTATATACGTTTCAACACTCAGGACAGTGCTACCTACTACTATAAATTTCACTACACAGTACTTTAATGTCAGTATTAACCATACCCATAATCCAGTATATTAATTACTCAGATCACTGTATACTATTCTCCTTGACGGTAAGCTCAGTGATTTAGACTCGTCTTGAGACTCTGAAAAATTTCAGGATTTCTATTTAGGTTATTCTTCGAGAAGTACACACCGAGCGGCCAATAACAGAGCTGATCTATAACGTCGATAATTCGTATACTGCAGACAAGAGACGCCAATCCATTAGCTAGTAATGCATCGTATACTGACCAAATCACATTTACATTTTAGCGATCGTATTATCTACTGTATATACTATACCATACTAGTACATTGACTAGTGGCCCATAGCCAATATTCAATTGGCTACCCTCAAATTGGGAGTAGTTCATTGTAAATTCATTGCATGTGTATGTGCATCACTGAGGAATAAATCGATTTAAAAGGTCGAATTGAGTTGATTTACACCAACGAGAGAGAGCAAGCGAATAGACTACCGTGATATCAACTAGTGCGAAATGATAACTATAATGGATAAGAATCACAGGCGAAATTCAAAAGTTAATAAATCAGATAAACCACATTAATAGCAACTATAAATAGAAAGTATAGCTATAGTTATACCGGAATGACGACAATTCGATTATTAATAAGGTGCAAACAAATTGCTGACCATGAGAATCGCAATTATCTCTTAATGCTGTAGCATGAACCATCCTAATATTGTTCGAGTCTATCAATATTATCAAAATAAAACACTTCATGGTGTTATTGAAGAATACTGCTATTACAGCTTACACTTTGTCATGCTTAAGGTAACTGATAAATTATTCTTTCATTTCAATTTATCAATTTATTATCCTCTATTGCTTGTTAAATCGCATTGTAATAAAGAAAATATAGGCCTTTGCTGACTATTTTATTCTTGATGCTAGTCTCCTAAAGAAGTTCTATCCTGCCACGATCGAGTTCGAATCCTGCTATCCATATCTCGAGCTCTAAATTATCTGCATAACCGTGACATTGTACATAATAACTTAACAAGGTATCAATTGATTATCAACAAATTGTTTCAATAATTGAAATACCAGCTGAATGAATTCTTTTCAATGAATCTATTTCCAGCGATAATATACTTATTAATCGTGAAAATGTCATCAAAATTAGCCATGGCGGATATCACAGTATTTTCAACCACGTCAATCGTGAAATTATAGCTAACGATCTGCGATTTAAATGCCATGCTCAAGGCTATTACAGCAAGGCTGCACTACATGGTAAAGTGCAATTCGATAACGATGTCTACAGTTTCGGAGCCGTAAGTTTTATTATATGCTTGTAGCTTAGCTAGATTATCTAAAGTGAAAGTGTAGACAGTATTCCCTGAGTTGAGTACAATTTCAAGTTAGGCCAAATTGCAGTAAATCTGCTATAATTAGCTCTAATAAATGCTGAGCTATAATTGACAATAAATCTATTCAGCACGTACTTTCATGCTGCAAGAGGAGAAATAGAATAAGCAACTCATATTATATACTGCTTGATTAGGCTTTATTTTTAATGGTAAGAGGTGAGGAATATTATAGTGGAGAACAAGAATATCTACAGAACGTAAGTTAAGCTTCAATGGGTACAACACATAATGTATCTAATTCATCTTGATCAGATGTTATTCATATTGCAAAGATTAATTTATCTAAGTATACAACTATGATATATCATCAACATTTCGCTTTAATACAACTTTAGAAAGATTTACTGAAGTCTGAATCCAACTGGTCCCAATTAAGAGATACACGTATCGTTTATTGGCCTAAACTGCCTACATCATGGTCATCCCTACGTACTTTATCAGGTAAAGCTTCTGGTAAAAATCTCAGAAAGGACATGTTAAAATTATCAAGGCGTTGTCTCAAACAAGTACGATCAAGACCTCGAACAATCAGCCAAGTAAGTTGTTATTAAAGTTGATCAAGTTTAATGAATATTCTTAGTAATTAAGAGCAGAAAGTTTGAACGCATTTGAGTAAAAAAAGGATAGTTTTCTTAATTATTATCTGCGTATTTCTCCCTAGGTAAAGGCTAAGATAGAAAATTGGGAATTGATCTATTTCTAAAGCTTATGCAAATTTTCAACTTGAGTTTCAGTTTTATTTTTTTAATCCAAATTGGTTATTGATTAAGAAGCGCCTTCGATACGTTTCTTATATCATGGTTAGTTTCTATTTTGGCCATTTATGATAGTAAGAATAGCTTCATCCAAGATGAAATTGGGGATAAAATATTATTAAATCTTGATTCTACGTTACGGCAATATTGTAATACTAGCTGTATTATAGCTAAAGCTTCCATGGGCTAGCCGGAAATGTAGCTAAACCGAATACCGGCAAATAAATTAAATTATATCATCAATGTTGCGAGTAGAAAAATGAGCGTATCTCTTTTACTAAAAGGGATTTATATACAATGAGCATGTTAATCAATATGTGATATTTTAACAAAGTTAGGATCTTTCTATAATATTAAATCTTAGCTCCATGTCACAGTAAATATTATAATTATGCTAGTCCTCGTCAAAAAAAAAAAATACAGAATTACAGTATCTGCTCTTCGCTTAATTACGAGTATTCTGGTTGAATAAAGATCGAAATATCATCTCTCTACTTGAAAATTCTCTCCAGTCATTGTTTCTAACTCTCAACTGCAGACTGAAAATTTGAAAATATCAAAGTTGCTCTCTAATAATACAGCTCTAAACATTGGGCCAAATCTACAGTCGCATTAAACTACCTACATTACGTTATATTCTTTGAGCAAAGATATAAAACATCATCTCTCTGATAGTATAACTTTGACAAGATGCCACTGCATATATAGTAGTTCAATATCAATTTTTATAACAAAAATACAGTTAACACTTGATTAATAATTAATTAGGCTAGATGGATGTTCACTGTGAAAGTTATATCGTTGCTAAACCTTATGGGTGATGTAAGCGCTGAAATAATTAAAAAATTCAAATTTGCAAAGTTTGATATAAAATTATTTAAACTGGCCGATTTGGTTATTCAAAACTGACTCCAATAACTCTATAACCGTACTTGAATTCTCTCCTATTTTAAAACAGAAATATCAATATGGAAGTTGCGTGCTAATAGCCCAACTCGAACTGTTTTGAGCAAACCATGGACTACTAGATACGCGTATATAGGTGCATCTAGTAGTCCATAGGCAAACACTATAGAATATCTGCCATGGGCTGTAGGATGAGAATTCTTGTAGAGTAAAGATAATAAATATCATCACTCCACCTGAAAATTCTCTCCAACCTTCATTTCTTGCTCAGAAAATGTAGCCTGGAAATTGAAGAAAAATGTCAAGACTCAAACCGTTTCTATCAATAGATTCAACGGAAATTAGGGGGACAATATTTGCTATCAGCCGAAGTCTACTTTGCCTTGGTAGTTAGGAGGATGAAAAATTTCACTTACGCTTCTTTCCTAGGAAAATATAGCCTGGAAATTGAGAAAATGCCAAGACTTAAACCGTTTCTAGAAACAGTTTCAGCGGTTATTAGGGGGGGATAATACCTACTATTAAGCGAAGCCTGCTATGCCTTTTATAGCTGGAGTGAGGAAAATTTCACTTACGCTACTTTACGCCGCAAATGTAACCTGAAGCATAGACTACTAGAAATTGCCATAGTAGTCATTTCTAATAGTCCATGGCTTTAGTCGCTCGAGGGAGACAAATTCCACTTCAAGGGTGCAAGCAAATAGCCACCAAATTCAGTCACCCCTCGCGTATTTATTTATTTCTCTCCGTCTTTTTTCTGTAGCACCCCATGATACATGATGCCATATATAGAAAATGTACACAGTAGAGTAATCCAGTAGAAATTGACTAAGCATTATAATAATTAAGGGAATAATAATTATTATAATCCGTTTTCTTTAGAAGAACAATCTTGTCCAATCACCTGCAGCCTTCTAACGTCAACAGAAATGTGTATATTAACGATGCATAATTCATTTTCGCATTTCTACAGTGTATTGATTTGAATATCAAGCCTAGCGTAGTTTAGAAAGTGCTCTCCCTACCTGATTGAAGTTCAATTTGCCAAGAGAATCCACATTCAAGAGGAAAAGATGACCATGGCGAGACGACTACAACACGTAATCTATCAGACCGGAAGGATCCCACGTTTAATCTCATCACCGAATGTAAGATGCAAATAAGAACTGTTTTTGTTTACAATCAGTGAACATCGGTTGATCAATCAATTCCATGTCATGATAGCATGATAATGATGACTGTAGAGCCATTTTTGATCATGGCGATGTTGGATTGGGATCGATTACAACAATTCCTGTCACGATGATCGTCTTGATCGAGACGACTACAACACGTAATCTATCAGACCAGGATGATAGCACGTTTAATCTCATCATCGAATGAAAGATGCAATGAGAATTATCTTTGTTTACAATTCGTGAACATCGGTTGATCAATCGATTCCATGTCATGATAGCAAGATGATGATGACTGTAAAATCATTTTTCATCACGGCGATGTTTGATCGGGATGGATTGCAACAATTCCCGTCATGGTAATCGCCTTGATCAACGCAGTAACATGAACATCATCGGGGTCAAGTCAAGATTATCCATCTTGCAATGATGATAATAAGGCGTATCGAATTCATTTTTTTTTTTTTTTTTTTCAATCATTAGATCCATCGAGTAACCCCAACAGCTGTTACCGGTATGATGCAGATTAAACACTTTTCTATCCATGAACATCAAAGTATGCAACTACTAGATCAACATGGCATTCGTACGCCTCAAAGTCGAGTAGCTACAACGCCAATTCAAGTTCATGAAGTAGCATCCACGTTAGGTATGAATTTGTAAGCCATTGGATAGGTTAAAAACTAGACTTTTCTTGCATGATCTAACTTAAAATAGATGTACTTGATGATAATCGATGATCCTTTTTCTTTCAAAATATCAAAGTAAACGACTTATGTTTATTTATTTGCGTACCATTGGATTGATTGATTGATGATGAGGCATTTTACATCGTCTAGCTTAGTTAAAAAGTGTAGTATATCTACGTGGCGATAATGAATCGATGATCCTTTTTTCATTCTAAATGTTAAGATTAATGACTAATATTCATTTATTTATACGCCATTGAATAGGTTAATGATTTGACATTTTTTGACATCGTCTAGCTTAGATAAAAAGTACAACGTGTACTTGGTGATAATATTAATATAACTGATCATTCTTTTTCTTTCTAAATGTCAAGATTGACGTTAATGTTCAATCGTTTATACACCATCGAATAGGGAATGACTAGACATTTTTACATCGTCTAACTTAGATAAAAAAGTACAATATGTACTTGGTAATAATTGCAATATCAATCGATCATTCTCTTTTCTTTCTAAATGTTAAAGTTAGTGCTTAATGTTCTTTCATTTGCACGCCATTGAATAGATTAATGATTAGACACTTTTTTACATCGTCTAGCTTAGGTAAAAAGTATAATATGTACGTGGTGGCAATTTTGATATAATCGATCATATTTTTTTCTTTCTAAATGTTAAGATTAACATGTCATATTCACTGACCTGCAGCTATGTTTTATTTACTGCAAGATCGAATGATCCGGCTGTAATCAATTTTATTCTCCATGTTAACAGTTTAAGAATGATTCTTATAGTATAGACAACATCGTTAATGGTAGTCAAGACGATATTTTCCCTCTATAGTTCTTTCTACTTTCTCAATCGTCTTGTTTTCTTGTTGACCTAAGATATTGAAACTAGTCAAGTAGCGTTACTTTAGTCACAGTAGTAAACGTACTCTTCACTGAAGATCTAATTGATGCTATTAGAACACTTAGTAGTATAATGTAATTGAGAATATACTTCAAGTGAAAACAGTAGTGAACAAATATCTCAATCGTCTTATTTTCTTGCTGAGCTAAGATACTGATTCAAGTCAAAGAGCGTACTTTTAGCAGAGTAATAAATATATTGCCCACTGAAGATCTTACTCATGCAGTTAGAATACTTGGCAGAACAACATATTTTAGAATAGGCCCTTAATCGAAGACAGTAGTGAATGCCTCGTATTTTTTTTTCTCCGATACCAAAATAATAGTAAACTATTGGATTAGGATAGTATGTAGGATTACTTCTACAAGAATAAGATAGGACCCAATCGGTACTACACTTTGAACGAGCTATCTTGGTAGTTGGTACCATTATACGAGTACCATTGACATTTGGATTATTATTTATTTCTACGGCAATAAAAATGCCATATATTGATTTAGGTACTACATTTTGAACCATCTATCATAATGTCGTTATACAAGTGCTTTTAAGCAAAAACACTTTAATTGAGATAGAGTTAAATTTAATGTTTTTGCATCAATGTTACTCATGGACAGGCAGCAAAGATGTTGTTGTAAAAGCACAAGTCTTGGCTGGTGGAAGAGGTAAAGGCCTCTTTGAGTCCGGTTTAAAAGGAGGTGTGAAAATTGCCTACTCGTAAGTAAAGTATTGCACACAAACCGATAAAAGTTGGTGCCAAAGGAAGGCATACCTTCTACAAAATAATATTCATTCGTGATTCTTACAATTCTCTAAAGCTAAATTTAAAACAATGACTACGTTATTTAAAGTTCTAGCTTGATTCGTTTAAAAAACATCTAGAAATAAATTGGCTATTAGATGAATCATAGGAAAATAGTACTTCTATTTTTCGTAGTTTATTGAATCCAATGTTAAAGCAAAGACGACGAAATCCGTTAATGCACTCGTATATATGTCGTTTACCGTATAGATAATCGATCATTTTGTAAAATGACTGATGGTGCAGTTAAATAGTTTGGCATGCAGTTATAAGGATACATGATAAACTTACCAGCTACTGTTTGTTCGTAATGTAGACCTGATGAGGCTAAAACTATTGCAGCTAATATGCTTGGTCACAAATTAATCACGAAGCAGACAGGAGGGGCTGGGGTGCTATGTAACAAGGTCAGTATCAGATGGTAATTTAATTCGAACTAATTTTTGACTAGCGTTATTCTGTAAAGCAGTCCCAAATTCGTTTAAGATTAAAATACAGAGTCATTCTGAACTGATTGCATATAAGGATGAATTTTACTGTAATAATTTAGATAATCTGATTGAAGCTAAATAGTCTTTGTTAATTGCAAGATGAAATCTAATTTCTGTAATAATGTGAAGTTTACCAGAAACTGTAGTTCTTGTTCTATTATTCGGAAGATATTCTATTACCATTCCAAATGGCAACGAAAGAGACTTAACTTATTTTCTTGCATGAATATGCCCAAATGGCGATAATTATATTTATTTCAATTTTTAGCTCTCATTAATTGCAATACCACACATTTGCATTCGCTTAGGTAATGGTGTCGGAACGTTTATATCCTCGACGTGAGTACTATTTTGCCATTACTATGGACCCAACATCGATGGTTAGTCTGTACAAGAGACATAATATCTACAGGCAGAGTTATTTCAGATTAAATGACATTGACAAATGATGCTATTAGGGCCCTATTATTATTGCCAGTAATCAAGGAGGTGTAGATATAGAGACAGTTGCAGCCGAAACACCTGAGGCAATTATTAAGCAACCTATTGATATTATCGAAGGTAGATAAAATCAAGCCTGTGATTCAGAATCGAATAGATTGTGCTTTGTCAGCTAGCAATAAATTTGAGAACTTAATCTTTGATATGATAATAAATTAAATGTTACGACGAAAACTATTGCTAATATAAAGTATTAATTGGATGGCTTGAGTATTAAACTATCTTACTTGTTGATTTTATATATTATTTCGTACCAAATTTCAAGGCCTAAATCGGGACACCGCATTATCTATAGCACGTAAAGTAGGCTTTGGTCCGGAATATATCGATCAGGTATACAATTTTGTTGGACATTATTGACTTAAATACAATAATCAACCGTAGCAAGATTCACAGTAGTTAGTTATTGCCTGATACCTAATTTAATAAACTAAATTTTCAAAAATATAACGCTTCTAATTGTATATTACGGGATTCTATTATTATTTAGGCGACTGATATCATTCAAAAGTTATATAGCGTATTTATTGAGAATGATGCGCTGATGGTGGAAATTAATCCAATGACCGAAGATAGCAATGGAAATGGTAAGTTGATGCTTTACATCGTATGTTGTAATAGTAAATATAGTGAGTACCAGCATAATCCTATGTAAAGAGTATTTTATTCTGATATTTGTAAAGATTGGATAAGAAATTCTTATATTCATACCAATGTTGACTAAATTTTTCTGTGTTGTTGTCATTCGTTCGAATTAGTATATTGCATGGATGCCAAAGTAAAGCTAGATACGAGTGCGCTATTTCGTCACAAAAATTTAGCTGAATTGCGCGATTGGAGTCAAGAGGATCCTCGTGATGTCGCAGCTTCCAAAGCAGATCTCAATTATATAGGATTAGATGGATCTATCGGTTGCTTGGGTTTGTCATAATTTATGGGCATCATTTCATTACTTGTATATTTTCACTGTCTCTAACATTAGAATATTAAATGGTAGCGCATAGGATCTAAATAACATCCATCTATTCCTAATGGATTTAATATAAATAAATGTTACCTATATCTGCTGAAATAGCTAATGTTTCCATGCTGACCTTAAATTAACTGCCATTTACAGGTAATAGCTAATTTTGCAATATTTACGCAAAGTTTTCAATTTTAATTAGTTAATGGCGCTGGTTTAGCAATGTCTACTATGGACATAATCAAACTACATGGAGGTTTACCTGCCAACTTTCTAGATGTGGGTGGCGGTGCTACAGCTGATCAAGTTACTCAAGCATTTCAGATTATTAGTAGCGATCAGCACGTAAGTTTTTTCTTTTATAACCATCTTAATGTTGATCGTGCTAAATTTTATCCGCCTAAATAACAACGAATAATATTACATAAAGCCACATAAATAATCTATTCTTTTTATTTATAACTTACTTGCTTCCACGGCACTCATTCAGGTCAATGCTGTTTTAGTTAACATATTTGGTGGTATAATGCGTTGTGATGTTATTGCAAAAGGCATTGTTGCTGCCGCTGATCAATTGAAACTTAAAATTCCCATAATTGTACGATTGCAAGGTAACGATAGAAACGAATAGAATGGCATACATATACCATGTGCAATGGTGCATGTCGTTAACCACTACATACGCGTATATATATAGTACCCATTTCTACTCGAAATTAATGTCTCTAAGCTTAATATTTTCAATAGTGATCATCTTATACGCATATATATGTTCAATTTCTCATCTAGGAACTCGTGTAGAAGATGCCAAGGCCGTTATTGGTGCTAGCAAATTTCATATATTATCCTGTGATGATCTTGATGAAGCAGCTAAGCTGGTATTAATGCTCGAGCATATTGACAAATGAGAAATTAGATACAGTAGTAGCTATGAATTTTATTCAATTGCTTGAGAATAAAATATATTCATTCAATAGACAAACTGCCTTAAGTTTACTTTGTTAATTTGTTTCTAGGCTGTCAAAGTAGCTAGCATTGTGAGCCTAGCAAAAGAAGCTTCCGTTGAGGTTGATTTCACTTTACCGATTTAAAAGCCATGCAAATATCTACCGAATTTCTAATAGAGCTTTAAGTTAGACTGGAATATTTCTATGCATTTACCGTATTTAATATGTAGTGAGATAAAATTTAAATTAATCTATCCGAGAGATATTGCAATTATCTTGGTTTATCCACAAATTCTAGATACAGGAATACTCATATTTTGCAAATTTATAGAAGCAATAATACGATCTACTGTATACTAATTTAAGAAAATATAACTTACGACGAGTAAAATATTATCTGTGCAACGAAAGTATATCAGATCTTGCTAAGCATGAATGTTTACGTGTAGTAAATAAAATGAAGAAAACAATTGCAATCTTACTGAAACGTTTTGTTGATGTAGTTAAGATCGCAGATTGTTATACTTCTTAAAAACATCATTTAAAGCAAACCAATTTGATTATGAAAGCAATAAAATTTTAGCAATGAGGTATATGATGTCTTCTGGGATTCATAATTGCAACTCCAACAATGAACTTTATACATTCGTCATTTGTGACCTTGGAGGAAATTAACATATCTTTTACCACAAATGCTACGTCTACAATATATGATTGTTATTGTAGGGACTTAATTTCGAAATAAATGGGCATCACAGCCTACTAGAATTTTAAGTTGTAGTCTTCATATATAATTTACTATAGTTATCAAATATGCAAATACATAGCAATATAAACTTGATTTTATATCTAAAATCTAGGGATTAGCGATGTGTAAATGGGAACTCAGCATATTAGAATTTAAATTGTATTCTGTATAATTTTACTGCAGTTATCAAATATGTGAATAAACAGTAATATTCTGTAAATTTGATTTTTAAATTCACAGCGTAGGATCAGCAATGTATAAATGGGAGCTACACAATGTAGAGTATCAGTGATGCATAGTATCAATTTATTCGTTTCTTGCTGAAACAAGATATTACAAAACATGATATGCCATTGATATATTACTTCAATATTCTTATTCTCTTGAAAACTGGGATATCTATTATTCTTTAGTGAGCAGCCGTAGTTACAGGAGTAATCTATTTGCATATGACAAAATAGATGCGATTATCATGGTATATTGTCATCCATCATTGAATGGAATAGAATAACGATTATTTTTTGGTGTGGGTTGTATAATCATAGATAAAAATAAATGTTATATTGTTATAATTACGATTGATTAGATCCAATCAACAATAAATCAGATGCATATAGTATAGTTATACATGTTGCTGGACATATTTTTTCATCAAATATTGCTTATCTATTGTAAGAGCTATTATGGTATCAATAATGATCCGTGAATGATCAGTAAATGATACTTGCCATTCAGAAATGCGATATACGATTAATAAAAGGCTGTCAGTATTCTCGATGCTCTTGTATCGACTAAGGGAGTTTACTCAAACTAAAACTAACCTAAAATTCTAGTGATGAACTTATAATTTGTCAGATTAAAATTGTAAGCTATATGTATTCGGTCCTTCACAAACAGTGTAATGATATCCTAGCTATAACACGTCCAGCCATATTGGTAGGAACTATTACTATGACTAATACAGCAACAGCTAAAATTTTCTCATGCCAAACACTTAAAAAATAAGAATATATGTATGGCACGATAGGAATTTAATGAATTACAGAATGATAACTTTTAATCATGTAATGATTTAATATTAATGCGACAAATATGTGAAGACCGACAACATTTATAATTTAGTATTTTCGTCAATTTTAAACTGTCAAAACAAATTATAACCAGCCTTGTATGTTACCAGTACACTATACTGCCTGACTGAAAAGATACAATTTTGTTCCTATATTGCTTATTCTTTGTTCAACCGTTGCTAAATGTAGAGCAATAAAGAATCAATCTACATCAATAAAAGGATAGCTTGCTCCAATTATCTTGCTTAATTTTCGGTACAATTTTTCGAATTTGGGTCGATGAGTTGGCTCCTAAGTAAATATAATTATAAAAAAAGGAAATTGGAGATCACTCGGAGTCATTTATTGCTGTTATTATAAAGAAATAGAATGGTTTAAAGTTATTACTTTCTGTTCAAGGCATTACAGAATAATAATATATTTAATGTTTATTAACCTGAGAGTTACAATCACGAAGAATATTATAAATGTTCATAGGGCAAAATTCTGGCTTTTCAAGATAGTGACCCTTCAAAACCTGCGATAAAATTTAAATATTTTAAATTATGGATTATTTATGATATCCCTAATAATGCTTTTTTTAATTAAGGTTATAGTATCATTTAAAGCGTTTTATGTAGGAGATAGTATCTCACCTTTCTAGCTACCTCTGAATTACGCAATTCCGTATAAGGGCGCAAACCTCCAGTAAAAAGCTCCCACAAAAGTACACCTACAAAATATATAATCATTAAGGCAGCTATGTCAGAAATGAAGTAATACTCTCCATCACTTACGAATTAGTTCGTTAACTATAGTTTTTAAGAGACCTTACTGAAAAGCAATCAAGTGGTATATTTTTACAATTTAATATCAATATCGGCTTACCAAAAGACCAAACATCTGATTTATTGCTGAATTTACGATAACCTAGGACTTCTGGAGCTGCCCAACGGACTGCAAAAACAGCTTCTTCAGAGGCCAGGTAGTACTGACTATCAATAACACACCTGGATCGAAAAGAATAGATTTTAATTTACGACCGAAATATAAGATCTTAGAGAACGATTAAATTTATTGACTATGATACTATATGTTTGTTGCTAACTTTGCTAAACCAAAGTCGGCAACTTTAATAATTTGTATATTTGTCCCACCAATAAGGCAGTTGCGCGCTGCCTAGAAATATGATTGAATCTTCATTAAAATCGCAAAATTTACGTTCGTAAACTAATAAAATATAGGAATTTATGCGAATTATTTTTATATAAATAAGTATCAGCCCTATATTCTTTTTTATACGGTAAATAAGCTACTGCACCAGATCGCGATGGATGAAATTGTTTTCTTCTAAATACAGCATCGCTGAGCATATTTGAAGCGCCATATTCAAGAGTACTTCTACCGTTTGCTGAGAACTTAAAGCAGTTGTTGAACTGAAATGTTCCCTTAAATAATCCAACAAGCAGCCTAAAGTTTTTACAATCGAATATTAACGTTAGTAATTTATTCATAGTACAGTTATAAAATAATTATACTAGATTTAGTCCGTTGCCGGATATAGTGAAAATATCAGCCTTTTATCCGAAAATGATAAGAATACAATCTATTCCAAAGGATTCAATTTCAAATAATTAATAAAGATATCCTGATACTCATCAGAAATGGGTTAGAGCAAAATATTTACAATACAATAGTTAACTCTTTATGGGCAATAAGTGATTCCATAGTGATTCTATAGTGATTACATTAATCCCAGTTTTCAAATTTTGACCAGTAACTTCGCATTAAAATGTAATTAATATCGAGATTAAGATGAACCTTATAATAATTGCTGATACGATGACTGAAATTTATAAATAATTTAACACCAACTAAAAGTAATTTTTGGAGCCATGTGCAGTCATTACAAATTTATACAGCATCATACTATATTAAAATATTTTACATATCCTGTTATTTATGTAAATTCTGAAACTTATCACAGATTTTTAATTATGATGATGAGTAACTTCCCATTGAAATATAATCAATGTCGAGATTAAGATGAACCTTATAATAATTATTAATACGTTGACTGAAAATTAAAATGATTCAGTGCCAATTAAAAATATTTTTGAAAAGATATCGGAGTCAAGTATAGTCGTTCCAAATTTATATAGCATCATACTAGATTTAGCACATGTTATTTATCCTGTTGCTTATGTAAAATAAGCCATGATAGGTGAATCTAACTAAGGTAAGCGAAAGGACAACAGTATATTCAAATTTAAAATGCTTACCTCGAGACATAAACTCGGAAATAATGAATAATGGTTTGCCAATGCTACATATCCCGTAGAGTTGGACTAAATTTTCATGCTTCAGTTTACTAAAGAAATAAAATACGATATTATAAACAGCTATGATAAGTATTTTCCTTTAGTAGCAGTCAGTTGGATAGATATATTAAAAATGGATGGTAGGTAACAACGAGATAAACTCAAAACTAACTGCATGACTTTTGCTTCTCTTAAGAAATCCTCTTCTGACATGGAATCAGACTTTAACATTTTAACGGCAACTTCAATGGAATTACGATAGGTACCAAAATAGACAACCTAGAGATTTAGATGAAATAATGAACTTTATGAACATGTTAACAGTGCAATATGCATCTTAATTAAAATAATCCGCTAGAGATAAGCTTTGTTGGTTATTTGTAATACGACAATGTTATGGCACTAAGTTACCTAAATTATAGAGTTTAAGAAAGTATTGTTGCTGACAGTATTTCAGTATTATAGCATGGCTCTGAGCCTTTTAGAAGGGTAGTTTTCAGGGGTTATAGTAGCAGTACTACATTCTTACTAGATCTTTCGACAGATTAGGATAGTAATCTGTAGAAGCAACTCAAAGTAAGTGCTTTACGTTAGACTAGTAAACTTGTCAGGAAATAGTCCGTGACAAACATATTAAATTTGCATTCGCGAATAATCAGATAATGCTAGTTATGATTAACAGCTACAGTTGTAAAAATTGTTTCGGCTCTATATTAAGAGTTAATTAGGTCAGTAATAAGTATAGATTTGTCGACAAGTAATAACTTCTTTCATTTCCTTGACATCGCAGCTTTATGTGACTTATTGTGGTAAATGTTAATTGTATAATTATCATCAGATCTAGCAAATAAATATTTAACATTTATCTAGCGATCGATAACTAAAATTACACATTTATTATATAATTATAAAATGAGCTGAATTAGTTAATTCACTATTGCATTACTCCAAATTGGCCTCTTCCCAGTTGCTTTCCAATTTGTAAGTCATTTCGGTTAATTTCGAAAATATCTTTTCATTAATAGATTAATAAAATATCAATAGATGCACACGCAATTTTGGTGCAGGCAGCTACATGATCCCATTGTAATTATTTTCATCCTTAGATACTTTTAGTAATAATAAATCGATATCATAAATTACTCTAGTATCGGCATACCTCGGCCTAATTCGCTAATAACGGGGATAAATTCTTCCGTGTAAGGTTTAGAAAGTTTAGTAGTCAAACCTATAGAACAGCAGGATTAAAGAATGGTGAACAATAGTGCACATAAAATAGAATACCATACGGTAGTTAAGCCTAAAGAGTAGAATTTATTTTAAAATCTTGACTAAGTGTATTTCTTACCACCGTCATGATGTGTGTAATAATCTAGAAGATCTTGTAAAGTATGGAAATAAATCTTTTCTGATATATAAAATCTCTCTCTAGCATCTTTTTTTATTTGATAGTTCCAAACTTTTCCTTTATTCCTAAGAATTCCACACAAAATATCACAAGGTTGCACAGAAATAGATAATGCAAGAAACTAATTAGACATAAAAGGTCATGATACCTTACAGACAAGGCAAAAAATCCTCGTGTTTTAGATTTTCTAATCAAATAGAGGCCATTTAATGATAAGTTATTTGGATCCTAGAGAGAAATTGTGTAAATACTATATGTAAAATTTATCATAATAAGAGGATTTAGAGATCTATTTCAGAATAGATAGTCTAAGAAATGCTAAATACCGCAAGAAGCAATTCTTCAGCTTGTGTGCGTGAAACATTAGAATAATACCATCTACAAAAATACGAGAACTTATAGTTAATCTACTCGTTATAAATTAGATTAAAGTTAACATTAGTTGGAATATCTATACGTTTACTAATATTAAAGGTAAAACAATATGCTTTATTATATAAGAGATATCATTAGGAGAGAAAGCGAACAACTATCGTTAACCCAATTAAAAGATTATGTACAAGGAAAGGACGCATTACGACAGTGCACTCGCTAATTCTAATCTCCAGAGATACATAGAAAGTAGAATTATAAATCAATGAACTTATTGCTGTATCAGAAAATCGATTATTTCATCAATTTCATGTATTACAGTTTTATTTGTCAATCAATTTTGTTAGTCAAACTTACTGATCACTTTGGCCCTCTAATTTCTCTAAGTAATTGCTAGGAATAAATCCTTCAATTCTAACATGAGATATTTTAAAAGAATCAAAAGCAGATTATCATCACAGTATAGAGTATATTAACAAGTACACAATATGCTTTGATATAAAAATTTTATGCTCATTTTTACTATAGTATCAGAGAAGCAATGGCTAACCCTTGCCGGTTCTTGACTAGCCACCAATTTTCTCTGGAATGATCAATAACTTGGACGATTTCCCCCTAATAAAATTTAGTTTATGCAACATTATTCCTAGTTTAATTTAATCTTCATCGCATTCAATGTGTGGCTACATATTATAACCGTAAGATTATTTATACACTATCCACGGCGCAGATTGCAGTAAGTATGCGCTAATTCGTCAAATAACAAACCTTATTGACGGACAAATCGCCTTGAACCCGAGAAGTAAATGAATATTTAACTTTGCATGGCCCACTCTTTAGCGATTCCATGGATATGGATAACTTCTCATCACTAGAAACAAATAGACTTTGCGAAATGCCAAGGATTGCCGAATCAGATGAGACGGAAGCAGTTCGGCCAATCTCATTTGGAGTTGTCTATTACAAAGTTTTTATTATGAATTAAAATTAATTATGAATAGATATAACTATACATATTAAGAGTGGCTATTTAACAAGAATGAATTTGTGGGATGAGAGATATCGATTTAATAATGTTGATCGTAAAATTCAGATACCTCGCTCCTTGGATTCCGCAGATCTTTCGTATGCTTTATGATTGGAGCAGCACTAGGCTCCGATACAGCTTAATAAAGTAATAAAGGCTTTCAAAATTAGAATTTTTTGGTTGATCGATTTAGGCCAAGTAAAGTATGCAATTTTAGATGCAACATTTAGATTTAAGATATCGACATAGCTAATGGATTGTTCTTGCAAACATCAAATGATAACATTTTTGCTCCATTATCGCCATTTGAATGATGCTTATTTTACTTATAGTTTCAATTAATTTGATTTTACCTTTACATTTGTAAAAATTGTAGACTTAAAATTTACTAGAGTGATGTCGAATAAGTATATCCAGTCTATCTTAATTTCAATATCGTAGCAAATACATCATACACATCTGTATCAGTAAGCAGAATTGGCTGATTATTCGAATGCTAACTCATTGATATTCCAATAATGCGGCCGTACCTTTTGAACGAACTGGTATCATTATAATTAAATAGAGTAAGAAAGACTTTTAAAATCTGAATTTTTTGTTGGACAGATTTGCGTTAAGTAAAGTATGCAATTTAGATGGTAAGAATAAAGTACCGATATACAAAATATACAACTTTAAATTATATAACGCTATCGTTCTGAGTAACATTATGTATTCGTTCCATAGTACCTCGAGCTTTCACCACGTTTCGACGAAGGATTTCCCCCAAAAATGTAAATTTGCATCCTTCAATATTTTTATCTGATTTGCCACAACACGTCCACTTATTATTTGAATAAGCACCACTATGATAGAATGGAATTAATTTCCCTTTGCCTTGACAAACTATAAAGCAGAGAAATAGAAAGCGATTTCTTTTGAGGAGTTTATTAAAATTCTTTAAGAATTAATATGTGGTTTAATAGTAACAAATGAATGACAAAATTTAATAACTTAAAATCTTCTTACACAATAATCGGTAAACCCACTTATATATTCCGTTCATACCTGTTTGTAAAGTAGTAATCCATTTCATTTGCTGATCTGAGCTCTTGGCAACGACATATAATTTCCAGTCGCTTCCATCTTCATCATAGATAATCTGCAATAGGATCAATTCGAATTCAAATAATGGTAACATTAAATTAGCCTGATATTGCCTATTTCAAATGACTGAAAGCAATTTAACCTGGAAGACAAATTTCTGTGAGAAAGCTTGTGCATCCAATGATTCAATTACTCTAATATTTGTCAGCTCTATCGATCCTTTTAACTTGCCCAGTTTCTATAATGAAAAAGATTTATTGTGATGAAAGACCGTTAATGCTTAAAATTGATAAACATGCATAATAATTATGTATTCGATGGTGAGGGATCGATTTTGGGCAGTTGTATGAAGGTCTATCTAGTTGTCTATAGATATTCATTTCTATAACAATTGCGATACTTTTAAGCTAGTTTTCATGTGTCTTTTAACAGAAACATTGATTCCAATCGTCGATTGGGAAGGCCATTCAACGATTAGTATTGGTAAGAGGGTGGAAGGCAGATACACTTGTGCATTTTAGAACGGCCATGTCTCAGGATTATGACTGGTAGATGCAGGATAAAAGGAATTGTATTAAGGCCCTCTAATCAGTTGAGATTTATTCAAAATTTTGAATAGCAAACGTATCAAACGACTTATTAGCAGCTCTCTGTAGTCATGAAAGAATAATTCTAGTCGTCTAGGCAGCTTTAATCAATCGATAACATTACAGTTGCCTAGCTAGACAGAGAGATCATTAATTGTTTCAAATTATCGTCTACTGAAAAATCTATAAGTCAACATATAAAGCTATAATAAAATTCAAATCCAATGAAAGGCAAGCAAGTATTAATAACCTTCATTAAAATTTATTATTAGAAACTAACGAAGCTAAATGCAAGTTCTTTTTGCGGTATTTGGAACCGTAGTAATAGCTTCCATTATAATTTATTATTAGAAAACTAACGAAGCTAAATGCAAAGCTCTTTTTACGGTATTTGAAATCATCTATTTTGCCAGGTTGATAGAAAATATTTGCATTAAAAACTAAAGAAGCTAAATGGAAAGCTCTCCGTACGATATTTGGACACTGTAAGCTGGCCATTTATATTTGCTAGGTGGCGAGAAAAACAAAATATTCTCGTTGCGAACTCTATATTATCGAAGCTAAATACAAAGCTCTCCGACCGATATTTCGACACTGCAAGCTTACCGCCTATATACCAGGTGGCTAGAAAAAATGAAATATTGTCATTATAAACAATCGAAGCTAAATGCAAAGCTCTCTGTGCGATATTTGGACACTGTAAGCCTGCCATCTATGTTACCAGCTGATCAGAAAAAAGAAACATTCTTATTGCGAAACTAACAAAACTAAATACAAAGCTCTTCATGTGGCATTTGGATACTGTAGGCCTACCATCGATGTTGTCAGGTGGCCAAAATAATATTCTTATTATAAAACTAACATAGCTCAAGGCAAAGCGCTCTATGTAGTATTTGGACACTCTAAGCCAACCATTGATGTTGTCTGGTAGCTAAAAAAATACTCTCATTGCAAAACTAACGAAGCGAAATGCAAAACTCTCTGTGTTCGGTATTTGGATACCGTAAGCCTACCATCTATGTGGCCAGGTGGCTAGAAAAATGAAATATTCTCATTGTAAACTATCAGAGCTAAATGTAAAGCTCTCTATGCGATATTTAGACATGGTAATCCTACTTATAGTCTATGTTATCAAGTGGTTAGTCACGACAATTCTTCGTCATGCAGTAGTTTAGAATGACGAAGGAATGGCTAAGAACTTGTGTTCTACCTTAATCTCTCTATCATCGTTTTATAGCGCGGTAGAACTAGATGGGTATAGCTCCATCATTGGCATTCATAGGTAAGGAAGACAGCAAGAAATGAATTGTAAAATCGAATAGAATAAAACGAAACAATAGCTCTGATCGCAACCATAGAAAGAAAGCAAATTGAATATATATCAAAGGGAAGAAACAGACCCAATGACATTACTATGATATGTCTATCTTATTCAATAAGCATAAACAGATTAACTAATTACCCTCAAGCACTGCTTGATTTTTAAACCAAACTATTACAACGCCTAGTTAGACATCGATTGTTGTCTTGCCATT